TGACTGTTTCCAAATCATTCTGATCGTTCTGATGTGGGAAACAGTCGCAGTGTTTCAGGATGTTTCTGAATTTTTCTAACTGTATCTGTCCTCTCTGAATGTTTCTTACTGTCTCTGTGTTTCTCTGAATCTTTCTGAATCTTTCCGGGTGTCACAGATGTGGGAAACAGTCGTTGTGTTTCAGGATGTTTCTGAATCTTTCTGACTGTATCTGTGTTTCTCTGAATCTTTCCGGGTGTCTCTGATGTGGGAAACAGTCGCAGTGTTTCAGGATGTTTGTGAAACGCTCGACTGACATGAAGGAATCTCCTCCGATTAAAAACCTGAGCGTGAACTCTGCTGCATGCTGGGAGCTTTTCTGAAACTCCATTTGCCATTGACCTTTTTATCTGGACACAACATATAAATCTATACACTTAGATCTACAGCTGCTTCCTTATTGGATCACTTAAATCACTCCCAAAGCGTGGAAGAAAACCATTTTTAATTCGATAGGCTACTTGTGTGTAGATGATGTGGGGTTTCTCTTCTAGTATCTAAAGCCGTTTTCACATTTGCACTCCTGAAAATATCTCGATAACTTCAGGAGGACTGCTCCGGATATTCTCCTGATCCGGTTGTTCACACATGCGCCTCACAGCGGGAGACTATCCCTGTCAGACAGGAGGGGGGTCTCCTGAGGTAAGACAGGACGTAAAATGAATGACATGGAAGTGGCATACAAAGCAGCAGAGTCCTCTATACCAGTGGTTCCCAAAGGGGGTCGGGACAACCTGGGTCATCTTTCATACTGAGCCTGTCCCAGGTTGTATTATGCTTACAGACTGATGCTAAGCTAACAGGTCCCAGATTGTATAATGCTTACAGACTGATGCTAAGCTAACATGTCCCAGATTTTGTCATGCTTACAGACTGATGCTAAGCCAACAGGTCCCAGGTTGTATAATGCTTACAGACTGATGCTAAGCTAAAAGGTCCTAGGTCATGAAACCCTGCTAACAGTTTGAGGCTTTAGCTAAAAGGTCTGAAGTCATGAAACCATGCTAACAGACTGATGCTAAGCTAACAGTTCCTACTGACCGACTCTGTTGCTCATGTAATGGTCATGAAGGGCCAGGGCCGGCCCGTGGCATAGGCAGTATAGGCAAATGCTAGGGGCGCCAGCACTAGACAGTCTTTTCTGCCACACTCATTTGGGGCGCCAGTGCGGCAGAAAAGTTGAAGTTAAGAAGAAGAAATAGAAGGAAAAATGTGTTTAAATATCACTAAATATTATTTAATATAATTTTCATGCTTTTATTTAGCAATGATCCAAAAGAAGCCATGAAAACACAACTATCACATTTAAAAAGGCTCTATTTTCCTTCATTGACAGATTTATCTGTTGTAGTTAAGCTAGCTTGTTATGGATGGATGATAGTTACGTCAGTGTTTCCTAGCTCGAGTTAACATCAGTTATTTCCACTGTACTTTTATTAGGTTAAGATTATTCATGTTAAGAAAATAACCAGTGTAAGAAAATACACTTCTTCTTTTGTGAAGTAGGCTGAGTTGTTTGGGACACAAAACCTACTTATATATTTATTGACATTTGTGTTTAGTTAGCTTTCACCCTAGTCGATTAAAATGTTTATTTTCCACCTCCTGTTGTCATTAATAGTTTTAAGCTCTTGCCTTTTGTCTAAGAGTGTGAATGCATTTTGTGCTAGAAGTCCACACTGAATAGAAAATTGTCCATGCTGTAGGTCTGGTTGTGAGGAAAACGTTTGGGCTCACCTGAAAAACAATGCTGTATGAGGTTTCTGTACTGCTCTGAACAGAAAATTATATTTTGTGTTCACACTATATTATAAAATGCCCATTTTTCCACAAATGCTCATCTTCTCTCTCCAGATGCAATCATAAAACATTTAAATCCATCCCCTGCTGTACCCGGGCCGTCTGTGACCACTTCTGCTCCCTGCACTGTTTGGTATTGTTTGTTCTGTTACACTAGTTATTTGTATTTATTTTATTTTGTGTTTATTTATAAGAAATATTAGTGTTATTACCATTTTATTCATGTTTGTTTTTAAGTATTTTTTTTTTCTAAATAAAGACATTCTGTTAAATATAAAGCTGTATGCCAGTTTACTTAAGAGGATGAATATTGTCTTTGGTGGTCAAGCTGTCTGCAATAAAAGGGGCAACTGCTGAAATCTTGCCTAGGGCACCAAAATGGTTAGGGCCGGTTCTGTGAAGGGCACACGTGATTTGGTTTCAGGTGACTCAGGTGACCTGTATTACAAACATTCGTACGAAATGTTGTGAAAAAGAATGATTAATCTGCTTTATTTAATTTATCTGTTTCTTGTCCGCTGACAGAAAAAACAAAGTTTCTCCTCTTCATGTGTTAATGACAAGTACAGACGGGCGAGCGAGCTGCACTCACATCACTCTCTCTCTCTCATGCTGACTGCTGGCTCTGTGCTAACAGTGTGTGAGTGTGTGTATGTGTGTGTTTGTGTGTGTGTGTGAGTGTGTGTGTGTGTGTGTGTGTGTGTGTGTGTTGGCTCTGTGTAACAACAAACGAACTGCTGAGTGGAAACATTCAGCTCTGACTGTTTTTCTGTGTGTGTGTGTGTGTGTGAAGGTCGTCCGTTGTCTGTTTGTCTCATTGATCTTCTATCAGCTCTACCTATCTCTCTCTCTCTCTCTCTCTCTCTCTCCCTCTCTTTGTTCAAACAGACAAACTTTCTGTTCACACGTCGTCAAAGAACAGATCACATGAGACTTTTGAAGTCTATTTATTAGGTACATCTGTTAAACAGCACAAATAACCAAACAGCCAATCACGTGGCAGTAAGAGATGCATTAAGGCATGTAGACATAGTGAAGAACGATCAGCTGAAGTTCAAAGCGAGAGAGTATAGAATGAAGGGGATTTAAGTGACTTTAAATGTGGCTTGGATGGGCTGGTCTGAGAGGTCATCTGAAAGGTTTACAGAAGTTGGTCTGATAAAGAGAGAATATACAGAGAGTGACAGTTCTCTGGGCCTTGTAGATGGCATAAGGTCAGAGGAGAACGGAGGGATGACAACAGTAACACCCCGAGGGTCTGCAGAAGAGCATCTCTGAACAAACAACATGTTGACCCATGGACAGGTGAAGGTCTGCAGCAGCTGAGAAAAAGGAAACGTTGTCTGGTGTAAGGAGTCTTGTTTTCCATACACATCATGAAGGCATGGATCCATCCTGCCTTGTATCGACGGTTCAGTTAACCTCTGATGTTGAAAAAATGAAGCCAATTCTGAAGTGTAAAATCCTGCAGTTCCTCGAGTGTCCACTAGAGGGTGGCTGCAGAAGCACAGGAAGTCACATACACACCCATTCTAAAAGCCTGTTTTTACAGCAGGGATTAACATGTTTACAGCCTGGTTCAAAAACCCAAATAGGTCTGATTTGCTCATGTCTCGATCGACACACACTGTACGGGGGGTGAATTTTTTGATGACTCATCCGTTTTGATTTGATGAAGGATAAGAGTTATTCACAATAAAGCGTGTAGCTGATCTGATTGACAGGTGGGCGCGGTGTAACGGTTTGTCAGGAGGCTTAAAAACCGCCTCAGCTCCAGCTCTCAGCCTGTCGTTAGGTTGACTGAAAGTTAGGCTGAGACAGAATTTCGAGCATGGAGACCACCATCGATGTGACTCCAGCGCCACCTGCAGGAACAGAAGGGGGACGTCACTCTGTGTTCGTCCAGTAATATTTACAGTCTATGATGTAAACAGGTCTGTGATCCTTCACATACTTTTTAAGTTAATGCTAATAATCTGAGACATTAATGTTTATCCCCACAGGTGTTTGTTAGCTAGCTGTTTGTCAAAGCAGTGTTAGCATAAGCGCTAAGAGCAGGTTTTTCTTGGGAGTCACAAACTTAAAGGATCCTTTTTAACTTAAACAACAGGACTCATAGTGATGGAATAGAACCAAATGAACGTTTGAATGAATGTTTGTTTAAAAAATAATAATAAGAAGAAATCAGGTAATGACAGAGTAACAGTAACACGCGGCAGACATCACAGCTCCAACGATAATATGGATACGAGGCAGAGGTCGACTTTAAGATAAAAGTGGTCTGAAAGATAAAGAGTTATAGCAAGTTTAGAGCCATGTAAGGTAGCTGTGAGGTGTGTGTGTGTGTGTTTTTGTGTTTCTCTGTGTGTCTGTGCGTGAGCAGCATATTTTCAGTGTGACAGCAGGAAAACTAACACACTCTGTTTCTGTTTGTTCTGCAAACACCCGCTGCTTGTTTCACTCAGATTAAACTGTTGGCTCATCCAACAAACATCCAGCCGACACGACGTGAGCTCAAACAGCCTGACAGTCTCAGATAACTGAGATCACACTGAGCATGCTCAGTGACCAGGAGCTGTCTGAAACGTCTGACCTGTTCCTGTTCCCTGTGTCTGTTAGAAATGCGAGCGATTAGCTGACTAAACGATTCAATGTCGTCACCAGTCAACGGTTAAAATAATGATTAACTCTTCAGTTCAGTGTTGTGTCTAAGCTGTAATGCAGCCTCCGGCCACTAGTGGGTGCTGTAGCTCCTGTTAATGGGCCGGCTGTGCTCGCTCCCCCAGCGTGGAGAGGTTTCCTTAAGGAAACAGGAGCTGCATTCAAACGGACTGACCTGAGGCTCACAGTGAAATGAATCATGATTGACATAAACATAGATTTTCTATTTGAGTTCAGTAATAAAGAAAAGGTGGAGGCAGAATTCATTCAAGTTTCCTTGTAAGGGCAAACATGTCAGTGAACACGGCGTCATGTGGAGCGGGTCTCATGACGGCATGCTCACTGCTGATCACACAGACACATGATGTTTTGATCTTCATGTGTTTGATGTTTTCATCCTTCATCTCACACACTCAAAGGTTGACCTCTGAACTGAAGTTCTGGTAGAGTTAATGAAATGATATTCTCCCAACTTTATTGTTTGTTTGTTTCTCTCTGACAGCAGGATGAGTAACGTCCGGTTGTCTGCAGCCTCCTCCCCTGTCTCTAAGGTTACAGGCCTGTCACCAGGATGCAGTTCCCGTAGCAACGAACCTCCAGCCTTCATCCTCCCTCCCCGTAACGCCCAGGTGGCCCTGGGGGGAGACGCCCGACTGGAGGGGAAGGTAAGACACGCTCTGCTCCTCCGAACACAAAGAAACACAACCAAAAGAAGGTGAGGGGGAATTAAAGGTTCATCCTCTGAGGAGCAGTCATGTGATCGGCGGGGGAAAGTCCCAGAGGAGGCAAGGAAACGAGACAGAGTACATACTAAAGAGGACAGGTGCATTCAGGTGGAGTCAGACCTGCAGGACGGAAAGAGGAGATGAGACAAGGGAGGATTGAAATCAGGTAAGGGATGAGACAAGGAAACAAGAGAGGAGACGAGACGAGACGAGGGAGGAGGATGTGAGAAAAAAAAGGATTACCGTCGGTCTTATGACCGGCAGCGTCCTGATGTGAAGCAGTTGACTAAAAGAGAATCTGAGGCTGTTTCTGCTCTCAGCTTCTCAACACTTTAAACAGTCAGAGAGAAAATATTCCTCGTTCTCTGACGTCATGACAGGTGTGACCTGAAGGCAACACAGTTTAAGCCTCAGGCTCCTCCTGTTGCCATGTGTCTATAATCCCACAGCACCTGAACGCACCATCAGAACACTTCAGAACAGCTCTGTGGAGAAAAACATGAAGATTGATGGAGCTGCAAGACCTCATGGGAGATCTGATACATCTGCACACCACATGCTACACACACACACACACACACACACACACACACACACACACACACACACACACACACACACACACACACACACACACACACACACACACACACACACACACACACACACACACACACACACACACGATTCTTCTGTGTCAACATCTTTACATTTCCTCGTTTACTTTACAAACGAGTGTTTCATATCAGAGTTAAAGTTTCTCAAACACTTTTATACAGAATTATCTCTTGCAGGCTGTTTGTCGCCTCCTCTAAACTTCTCTCTCATAACGACGAGAGACACATCCACAAACTGAGAACAGAATCCTGTATCACAGCTGCTCTGAAGTACGACCAGAGATAAAGAAACGAACAGAGATAGAAAATACTTTTTCATTCACAGGCAGACAACGCAACAGAGTCGGACACCTCAGCCCTGTTCACACTTTCTGATGAATATCTGTCATTAGAAGAACTTACTGGAGAACAAAAAACAGAATGCAGCAGGTTCATTACGTGGACGGAGATCAAGCCGGCCGCTCCCCAGTGGCGTGCAGGTTGCCCCCTGCTCACTCAAGGAGACTTTTCCTGAATATTTCCTGCTGCGTTCTCACCTCACCTCAACTTCTATCCATCCATTCATTACCCATTCTGGGGTCGTAGGTCATAGATCCCAGCTGTCATTGGACGAGAGGCGGGGTTACACCCTGGACTGTCAGCAGCCAATCACAGGGCTGATGTATAAAGACAGACAACCAGCCACACTCACATTCACACCTACAGACAATTTAGAGTCACCAGTTAACCTAACGAGCATGTGTTTGGACTGTGGAGAACCCACACATGCACTGGTAGAACATGCAAACTCCACACAGAGAGGCTCCTGTCAGATGGGGATTCGAACCAGGAACCTCCTCGCTAACCACTGCTCCACCGTGCAGCCCCTCACCTCAACTTCATGTGGAAAACTTATTCGGGGGCTGACAGGAAAAATTCTGATTGAAGTTGGAGCTCAAACCGAAAATGTCAGGAAGTTTGATGAGTTTTGTGCATTGTAATATTAGTGTCTGAATTCATGGAAGCAAGGCACAGCACACACAGTCAGACATGCACACTCACACAGCGCTGTTGCTGCACTGCTGGCTCAGCTGATGGTGATGATGATGGTAATGATGGTGATGATGATGTCTTTCAGGTGCGTGGTCATCCTGAGCCTCAGGTCACATGGTACAGAGAAGGGAGGGCTGTGACTGGTGGAGAGCGCTGTGTCCTGATGCAAGGTGGGCGGGGTACCTTCAGCCTGGTGGTAGGTGGAGTCACAGAGGAGGACCTGGGCCGTTACACCTGTCAGGCAACCAATCAGGCAGGGATCCGGGAGGTTACCGTGGAGATCCTTCAGGAAGGTAGAAACAACTGTTAGCACTGATTTCTCTCAGCCCAACTAACTCTGTTCTAACAGCAGTTCTCCTTTAATGCTGCAGTTTACAAAGCGAGAGAGAGAGAGAGAGAGAGAGAGAGAGAGAGAGAGAGAGAGAGAGAGAGAGAGAGAGACTCTCTGCCGGCCGTGTGTTTTACGGCGTCGTAAACAGGTCGACAGGAGCTTCCTGTTTGGTTAAACACAGACTCAGTTGGAGTTTTTTTTCACACTCTGTAAAAACTGAAGTGAACTAACAGAAGCTGCAGAATAAAAACGTCTTTCTGCAAAGAGATCACGTCGATCGATATCCCTTCATCCACACTGACTTCTTTAAACATCACCACTGACCTCGTGAGACTTTGATCTGCAGCATCTCAGTAATTAATCTGTATTTGAATGGTTAATATCTCTTTGGACATCTGTGAGTGTAAACATCCCATAAAACATCTTTAATGAACTGTTAACCTGAGAACACCTTCATCTATGTTAATGTCGTCAGTAGAAAGGGATCCTTTAATATTCTCCACAACTTCATTTAAAAAACATTAAAGGAGCAGTATGTAACTCTGACACCTAGTGGTTAAAATGGGTACTGCAGTCCAAATTGAAACATTAGAGAGAGCTGCTGAAAAACAACCTAAATGTACTTGTTAACATGGGAAAATGTTATAAAGTGAAATGTAAGTCTTCATGTCCCCTCATGGCTTCTGTACAGATCCGTCCTCATGACTTTCTCTTTCACACATTTGACCGTTGATAATGAAGTGAGAACAAGAACTACAACAAACTGCAAAGTGATGAGCTTTAATTTGATCTGAAATCTTTACGGTTGTCTGTGTTTGAGCCTCATCGTGTCTCACGATGTTCAAGTGTTTTTGATTTGATTTGTGGCTCTCTGTGTTTATTATGTTTCACACATAAAGCCCTTCATGTTTTAAACTGCAGATTCTCTCTGTTGAAACATTTTCAGCTCAAATCAAAGAGACAAATCCCTTAAAGAAGCCAATCTTCACTTTCATGTTTTTCCCCTTGCAGTGAATTCCGGGAAGAAAAATGGCCTCCCGTCCTTGATGAGAACAGGGTGAGCGCCTCTTCTTTCCAACAAACGTCACGTTTTTATGGATCATAGAGACGTGGTCAACGCAGTAAACGCCACTTAAATTCATGCAAAACTCAATTTCCCATGATTCCAGGTGTCGCTCTGCAGTCCCATCGATAACGAACAGGCCCAGCATTTGGGGCGAAAGTCCGCCGAAGTTCATCACCAAACCGGGCAGAGTGCTGGCTAAACTGGGACAGACGGGGAAGTTCACCGCCAAGACAACAGGTCGTCCTCAACCCCAGGTCACATGGTACAAGGTGGGAGGAGCTTCCCTGAGTCGCTCTTTGATACAGCAGTGATTGTTTTAAAGACTTGTAGCCCTCGAAAAAATAGCAACATTTTAAAATATGAAATCTGGATGCAACGAAGGCGTCTTAGCTTTGTTGTTTGGTGATTTTTCTTTACTTTTATGATCAAAGGATCAAAGGTTTTCTCTTAAAGAAAGAGTCAGCAGCTTGTTCCTTCAAAATAAAATACAAACTTCTAAAGTAAAGCTGCTCCATCGTCCCTTCTGGGCCTCCATACATGTGTGGTTCTGACTGTGTCTGCAGAGACCCTGTCCTCTGACTGGATTTTACTGTTCTGGTTTGTTCTGGTTGACTCGGGATGTTTCTGGGCAGAGTTGGTGTGTTTCCTCCAGACCAATGAGTTTAGGAGTGGATGACGGACGTGGACGTAGCGGCAAAGAAGAGATAATATAATCACAGTGAGGAGAAACACCAAGCGGATAAAGCTTGTTCTAAAACGAGGGTGAACCTTGTGTTGTCTTTTACCCGTGGACGTTGAGTTGTTCTGCTTCCTGTTGGACAGGCCGGTGATAAACACCGGCGTTTAGCCTGTGCTAGCATGCGGTAGCTTGCAGTGTAGGTACATACAGTAAACATACACACTACGTCTTGTATTGAGTGGGTGTGGCTTCAGAGGTCGATGAGTTTAGGAGGAGGGGCCCAGTTTGAATGTTGTCTCAAGTAGAAACAAATGTTTATTTTGTAATCTCCAGTTTTAGTGCAGATGTGAAGATCTGCCTTTCAGGAACATAAATCTGGGTATCATCAGCGTAGAGTGTGATGTACTAATTTAATAACTGTTTAACATTTAGTGAAGAGGTTAAATATATAAAGAAAAAATAGAGGACCAAGATTAGAGCCATGAGGTTCACCATATTCACATCAAATGACACTGACATAGTGTTTTAACTGAAATTAGATCTTTCACAGTTGTAAGACTTAAACCACTAGAGCCAGACCAGAGATCAAACACTCGGCTACAGGTGGTCTTTGGGGATAAAATGAACGTAGATCCAGTAAAACAACAAATGAAACTAAATCTGATCTGATTCTAGTCAACTACAGACTCTGGCTTTGTCCCGTTTAAAGGCCTGCATCCTTCAGAGGGCGCATTTGAAGACCTATTAGGTCACAGTGGCGTGTTGAAGTCTGTCTCATTTTCAAGGCTAACCAAGAATCCATGCCGACCATCTTTCATGGCCCAACATATCCCATGATTCATAGCACGCCAACAAGCTGGCAAAAGTTGTGTGACATTAGTTACTGTATGTTAGCTAGTTCAGGTGCAGCTGCTGAGGTTGCTAAGTATTAGGGGCGGGGCTTAGAAACAAAAGAGTAAGGGGCAGAGACAGATTCAAAATTTAAAAAACTTTATTAGCTAAGGGTACGCTGAAACAAGTGGTGAAGGGGGCATGAAGGGTCGTCAGTGATTGCTTTCCTTTCTGCTGCTCGGCTGCTGACACAAACATGAAATGAGATGAGATTCAACTTTATTGTCATTACACATATACAAGTATAGAGTAACGAAATGAGGTTTGGCATCTCACCAGAAGTGCAAATAAGCAGAAAGTGCAAGAGTCTGTGCTATGTACAGTAATTGAGTGCAAGAGTCTGTGCTATGTACATTAATTCTGTGCTATGTACAGTAATTGCAAAATTTACAGATGTAGACAAAAAAAGTGAATTATTAGGTAAATCTGGATGGCTGGATTAATGGGATGCAATAAATATAAATAAATGCTATAAATAAGTAATGCTACAAAATAAGTGTGTTCTTAGGATTATAATATACAGATTAAGATGCAGTGAGCATGCTATACTAATAATATACAGATTAAGATGCAGTGAGCATGCTATACTAATAATATACAGATTAAGGTGCAGTGAGCATGCTATACTAATAATATACAGATTAAGATGCAGTGAGCATGCTATACTAATAATATACAGATTAAGATGCAGTGAGCATGTTATACAAGTTTACAGATAATATAAAGAATATGGACATACTATGAACATACTATAATACAATAATACAGATGGATGAGAGATGTGTGTGTGTGACCAGGAGGAGTGGTGGGGGGATGAAGGGTGTGAGGTGATATGGAGGGGAAAGGGGGGTCAGCAGGGTGCGGAGAGAGAGTGGGAGAGAGAGAGAGAGACGGAGTTCAGAGTTCGGGGGGTAGAGTTCAGTAGAGAAACAGCTCTGGGGAAAAAGCTGTTCCTCAGTCTGCTGGTTCTGGTCCGGAGGCTTCTGAAGCGCCTGCCGGAGGGCAGGAGGGTAAACAGTCTGTGGGCAGGGTGGGAGGAGTCTTTAAGGATGCCATGAGCTCGCCGCAGACAGCGTGTTCTTTGGACATCCTCAATGGCAGGAAGTGGACACCTTGTGATGCGCTGGGCGGTTTTTACCACCCGCTGTAGCGCCTTACGGTCTGCGACAGAGCAGTTTCCGTACCAGACTGAGACACTGCTGGTCAGGATGCTCTCGATCACACAGCGGTAGAAGTTCATCAGTACAGCTGAAGACAGGTGGTGTCTCTTCAGTGTCCTCAGGAAAAAGAGGCGTTGATGAGCCTTCTTAACCAGACTGGAGGTGTTAGTGGACCAGGAGAGGTCCTCTGTGATGTGGGTCCCCAGGAACTTGAAGCTGGAGACACGTTCAACAGCCATCCCGTTGATGTGAATGGGGTTGTGCGTGCTTCCTCTTTCTCTCCTGAAGTCCACGATGATCTCCTTCGTCTTGTTGGTGTTGAGGAGCAGGTTGTTGTCAGCACACCAGGCGGCCAGATGCTGTACCTCCTCCCTGTACGCCGTGTCATCGTTGTTGCTGATGAGGCCAATCACCGCCGTATCGTCCGCAAACTTGATGATGGTGTTGGATCCATGTACAGGTCTGCAGTCGTGGGTGAAGAGGGAGTAGAGGAATGGGCTCAGCACACAGCCCTGTGGTACGCCTGTGTTGAGTGTGATGGTGGTGGAGCAGGTGTGTCCTGACCTAACATACTGGGGTCTGTTGGTCAGAAAGTCCATTATCCAGTGACGGAGGGAGGTGTTGAAGCCCAGGTCTCCGAGTTTAGTGTTTAACTTGGAGGGGATGACAGAGTTGAATGCTGAGCTAAAATCAACAAACAGCATTCGTGCGTGTGTGTTGTTATTGTCCAGATGTGTGAGCACAGAGTGCAGCGCAGTGGAGACTGCATCCTCTGTACTCCTATTGCTGCGGTAGGCAAACTGGAATGGGTCCAGTGTGGGTGGGAGGCAGTTTTTCAGGTGTGCTAGGACCAGTCGCTCAAAGCACTTCATTATGATGGGTGTGAGTGCTACAGGGCGGTAGTCGTTCAGGCCTGTCGGGCTAGAGTGTTTCGGCACTGGGACAATGGAGGTGGCTTTGAAGCATGCTGGCACAGCTGCTTGGGCGAGGGACAGGTTGAAGATGTCCGTAAAAACCCCAGTGAGCTGCTCCGCACATGCTCTAAGCACGCGCCCGGGGGTGCCGTCTGGACCAGCAGCCTTTCGAACTTTGATCCGGCTCAGTGCAGCGTGGACGTCTGTGGAGGTGAGTGAGAGGGGTTGGTTGTCTGCAGGAGGTCTGGTCGTGGTCTGCGACTCCCTGTTGTCTCTATCGAAACGAGCATAAAAGTGATTTAGCTCGTTCAGGAAGGAGACATCTGTGGTTATCGGGGTGGAGTTTCTGGGTTTATAGTCACTGATGGCCTGGATGCCCTGCCACATGCGTCTGGGGTCGGAGTTGGAGAAGTGTTCCTCAACCTTCAGCTTGTAGCAGTGCTTGGCCTTGATGATGCCCCTCCTCAGGTTTGCCCTGGATACGCTGTAGGCCATTGCATCATCTGATCTGAAGGCGGTGTTGCGGGCCTTCAGCAGGAGACGCACCTCCTTGTTCATCCATGGCTTCTGATTTGGGTACGTGGTGATCTGCTTCCATGTTGTAACACTGTCGATGGTGGTGTTGATATAATCCAGCACAGAAGAAGTGTAGGTGTCAATGTCTGTGTGAGAGCCCAAGGTAGCCTGCGAAGCAAACATACTCCAGTCTGTGTGATGGAACTTGTCCTGAAGTACAGAGTCTGTCCCCGCTGGCCACACTTTAATCGTTGTTACTGATGGCTTCACACGTTGGATGAGTGGGGAGTACTTGGGGATGAGGAACAAAGAAAGATGGTCTGACTGTCCCAGGTGGGGGAGGGGGGTCGTGGTGTAGGCTCCTGCGATGTTTGTGTAAACATGGTCCAGAGTTTTGTTTCCTCTTGTATTGCAGGAAACATGCTGGTGAAATTTAGGGAGCACTGTCTTTAAGTTTGAGTGATTAAATTCACCTGCAACTATAAATGCAGCCTCCGGGTGAGCAGTCTGTTGTTTACTGATAGCGGTGTAAAGTTCCTTCATAGCAGCTTTAGCATCGGCATCAGGGGGGATGTAGGCTGCAGTTACAATAGTGGAGCTGAGCTCCCTTGGCTGATAGAAAGGTCTACATTTAACCATGAGAAACTCTATGTTAGCTGAGCAGTGTCTCCCAATAATGACAGAGTCTGTACACCAAGCTTTGTTAATATAAATGCACAGCCCTCCTCCTCTGGTCTTACCGGAGTCCTCTGCTGTTCTGTCTGCTCGGTGTGTGTGGCGACCGGCTAGCTTGATAGCATCGTCCGGTACTCCGTTGTTTAGCCATGTTTCCGTGAAGATCATGACATTACAGTCCATAATTCTCTTGCTGTGGATGATGCGAAGTCGTAACTCGTCCATTTTGTTCACCAAAGACCGCACAAATCATCTGTCGACCAGAGCGCCTTAGTTAGTGTGACAGCTGGCAGCTCTTACACTTATGTTATCTTTTTATTTTTATAACTTATTATTATTATTCTTCCTCCGTTTTTTGGCTGGTATCTTCTCCTTTACTAATTGTGCTAGAAACATGGCTCAAACTGGAAATGGTAAAGCTTGGTGAGGAGAAGTACGCTATTACTTGTAGTGATGCTACAATGTTCCAGGCTCATAACTTGTTGTATTCAATTTGTAAGTTCACTTCTCTATATTTTTTACGTTTATGTTCAACATTTTGAAAACAAAAGTGTTTAAAGTCTAAGGTCTAAAATCAGAAGTTTTTCCAGTGTTTTGTCACTGCCCGATAGTGTAGCATTGTTTAATGGTGTCTTCTCTCCTCTGTAGTCCAGAGGGTAAAACCGCTACTTAGGTAATCTGTTGATTATGGGTTCGATTCCCAAGAGTTCTAGACTACCTCATTTATTACGGAAACTTGTTCCTGTGGTGATAACAGTTGACCTACAGATGGTGCTCAAGTACTTCAAAAATGTTAGCTGCTGCTTGGAAGTGCAAAAAGCTGCCAAACAGACTGTGGTAGCGATGCCTGCCAAGGCCATGGCTGTGATCGTGTAGTTGCTTCTGCTCCCAGCTCTGCCAGCTCTCACACTGAAATTTCTTCAGGAATTTCCCATTCAGTTCCCTTTGTCCTGAGCGTCGACTCAGGCATGTCTTATTTCTGTCTGTCTGTATTTCAGGGGGAGGCGGAGCTTCTGTCATGTGGGCGGGTCTGTATGTATGAGCGCTCTGGCCTTCACTTTCTGGAGATTCAGGAAGTGGGAGTAGAGGATGCAGGAAGTTACACGTGTTTACTAACCAACAGTGCCGGAACTGCATCTGCTTCTGCCACGCTCAGTGTCCAAGGTGAGTCGACCAATCAGAGCTCACAATGTTTTTTTTCTGAACCACTTTCTCTGAAACTTCCTGATATTTGTAAAAAGGGAGAATTCTTATGTATTTAGCAGCTCAAGCTGCAAGAGAGTGAACATTTGTGTCCTGTTTCTCTTCCCAGATGTTCCTGAAAACAGCTCCAGGTGAGTTCAGTCAAACACCTTAAACACCTTTACATGGATCACTACGTCTCGAATTGTTCCACTACAGAAAACATGACGGGTAAAAGAAGCTTGGGGTAGCCAGGCAGCGGTAGTTAGGCGACACTGGTCTGACATTGGTTTGCTTTGTGATGTTTGCAAAGCAGGAAGCTATCCAAGGTTAGCCGTTAGCTACAAGTCAGTCTACTTTCATGTTTAATGCCCGGTACTGACTGTTCAATGTTTGACCACTCGGACAAAATCCCCTCAAAACACTTAAATTAAACTCTAACGATGTGAGATGTTTCCGATCCAGCAGTGCTCTGATGTGACGTCTCCTCCTGCAGGTCGGCTCACTCGGCTGAGACCTCACAGTCAGGCAGCAGAGACCTGACGGAGGACACAGCGCCTCGCAGTGCTCCCAGTGCTCTCAGTGCTCCCAGTGCTCCCAGTTCTCCCAGTGTTCCTAGTGCTCTTAGTGCTCCCAGTGCTCCCAATGCTCCCAGCTCTCAGACACAGCCGCTCACACCCAGAGAGAAACATCATCAGAGGCCCCCGTCTCATCCTGGAGGAAGGGTTAAACCTCCTGTGCAGGCCCCTCCTGTAGCTGAGAGGAGAACTGCACCTGCTCAGGTGAATATGATTTTGTCTTTTATCATTAACTCTCTCTCTCTCTCTCTCTCTCTCTCTCTCTCTCTCTCTCTCTCTCTCTCTCTCTCTGGATAGTGTCAGAACTCTGCAGTGAGTTAATAAAACACTTTAACAAAAGCTTAAAGATAAGGCTCACAAACTGTTGAAAGTAGAAATGCTCTGATCACATGACTTAAATGTGCAAAAGAGGAGTAAAATGTGTCTACCTGGATGGATATAAAACTTTTAGGATAAAGGCTTTAAGAGTCCCTATGCTGAAAATCTTAGAGGTAAACTCTATCCATGTTCAATCTGCTCTTTCAAGCAGTGATATTTACGTCCCTGCGACGTCTCGCCTTCCATCTTTAGCCCTTCTGTGACTCCTTTTTTTTCACACAAGCAACGTAACTAAGCTCAGCCATCGTCACGTCTTTGTGCATTCATAGTGATTCTGTTACGGCATAATTTTGGTGTCCCAGTCTGTGGATTCACATTGTGTTACGGCGTTGTTGAAGCACGGCACAGCGGGGGCTCCACATACACGCACAGTCAGACATGCACACACACACAGCGCTCCGCCGCTGGCTCAGCTGATCCTGTCTCTCCTCTGTAACGTGTTACGCCTCCACAACATTCAGATTGAAGGACAAACATCACAGGACGTAAATATTGCAACTTGAAACAGCGCTCCGAAGTGGGCTTACAGTGTCTGTTTGTGTGTTTGTGTCTGCAGGTCCAGTCCCTCATGGGTTCTGTTCCAGTTCAGACCGACTCAGTCCAGAAGTCAGTGATCGGCTCAGACAGCGCGAGGTAAAGAACTCGAAGCTAACAATAAGCTAATGCTACGTACGCTAAGAGAGAGTTACATATTGCTCCTTTAAAGTTTAAGTAATCCAGATGTGTGTTCTTCTGTAAACTTGTTTCTTTATTCTGTTCAGTGCTGCTCAGTATTATCTGTGTTATCAGGGCCGGGAGGAAGTCAGCCACAGGGTCCAACCTGCGGTTCGAGGCTGTTCCTCTGGACCAGGAGGCCACAGAGGGAGCTCAGGTCACATTCACCTGCCAAGGTAACAAAAGTCAAATAATAATGTTTAAAGATGGCAGTGTCATGTGTTTAAGGAGCTCAGACGCGGCGCAGCCCTCGTCCTCGTTATGTTACAGTGACCAGCACAATGAAATCTGGCTCGTGAACATCATTCCCAGTCAAACATTGAGGTTACGGAGAGGGTTTCATTCTAAAGAGCGTGGAATCACCGACACACGCTCACACATTAAGGTCAACACAGGGAAACGGGACCTGGATGCAGCAGGTGACAGGGGGCGTGGCCTGTGAAGCAGCAGGTTCAGTAACAAGGAAGCAGTCCGTATTGGCAAAGTACCTGAAGTGGAAAGATGTACGACAGGTCAGAACAAGGAGGAGGGTCAGAAAGAGACAGTGTGTACACACGCTCAGGAGCGGGCGCCACAACAAGCAGAGACACAAAACCACAGCTCAGTGTACAGACACACCCACACACAGACACATTAACGCTGGGACGCACAAACAGGCTGGGAGACTAGTGTACAGTTTGAATCCGTGTTATAGGGATCCTAATAAAAACGCTGTTTCTTTCTATAATACGAGCTTCTGTGTTGCGCTCATTAAGATCTCGTCCAATCAGATTTCTGTCATTCAAACAACTTTAAGTCAATGAGACGGGCCAGACCTGAGACGGGTTGGTTCGGCCTGAATGTCTTTGGCCCAATCATGTTCATGTAAATAAACCGTTCAGTTCTGTTCAAGAGTCAAGAATCTGCCCACACCTTCACAGTGTAATGACCCTTTTCAGCCTCTAGGGGTTGTTGTTGTCTCACTAACTGAAGCCCACCCCCCCCTCCTGCTCTTAGTCTCCTCCGTCACCGTTGCCGCGGTAATGTGGCTGAAGGATGGGGCCCCGGTGAGGACTGGAGGGTGTCTGCAGCAGAGACAGGACGGGACCCGTCTCAATCTCACCATGGAGAGAGTGAGACGGGTGGACCAGGGGACGTACAGGTGTCAGCTGACCACTGCTGACGGACTCACTGTGACCTCTGCAACATGGACACTCAGCGTGAACAGTAAGAAAGGTTTCATATTTACAGAGATTTGCAAAAAATAAGCAGATCCAACAAACTGAAAACAAAAGATGATTTAAAGTCACTAAAGAAGAGAGGGAGCTCTTCCTCTTATTGTTTGGTATATTTGGTGACAAAGTATGTGCATTAGCTCGTAGCTCTCTCTGATCACTCCTTCACTAACGAGCTTCACTCAGCTGTGAGAATCACTTCAAACAAAGCTGATTTCATGACGGACCTCGAGTGGGGAGGGTCCAGTTTGAGAACGGCCCTGAGACTTTGTTACCTGAACCTGTGATGACGCTTTAATCTGAAGACTCTAAAGCTGTTTTCACATCAGCACTCCTGAAGATATCTAGAGAACTTCAGGAGGACTGCTGCTGAAATCCTCCTGACCTGTTAGCACTTGCACCTCACAGCAGGAGACTATCCCTGAGTGGTGGCGTGCAGACAGCCTATGGAAGATTTTATTTTTGGGCTTTTCTTACCTTTTAATGGAGAGATAGGACAGTGGATAGAGTCGGAAATCAGGGAGAGAGAGTGGGGAATGACATGCGGGAAGGAAGCCACAGGTGGGCACTAACCACTGCGCCACCATCGCCCCGAATTCTCCTGATTTTATCCTGCTGCGTTCTCACATCAGCTCACTCTGACTTTCTGCAGAATAAATACGAGGAGGCTGGAGGAGAAACTCCGGATGAAGAGAGAAACACTCAGCTGTTTGTGTTCACACATGACGCTCAGTGCAGAATTATCAGGAGTATTTCAGGAGGTTACTGCAGGTGTGAGAGCTCTGTTAGTGTCAGCGTGTGATGGACTCATTTGTGCAGCAGAGGGCAGCAGACTCTCTGTGTGAATAACAGTTAAACACACACTGAAGATCAGCAAACATAGAAAAGATTTAGATCGAAGTAATGAAAAGAAAAAGCATAAAACATTCAGGGGTTATAAATGTGATGAATATTATTATCATCAGCTGGAGTTCAGCATTTCTCTAAATGCTCCTCGAATCTCTGCAGGAGACAATGGTGAGATAAAGACTGGTCCCCTGTTTGAGGAAATGTGTTTCTACGGCTGGAATAAACATCATTTTAACCAACATAAATCAAACTGACACACAGCACGATAAGATAACCGCTACACACTCCTCAGTGTGGGAATACGTCCGACTGTCTGAAGCTGCTGGAAGAGGAACTCTGATGTTTTAGTAGCTCGGTGTAGAAATAGAGAGACTCAGTTTTACAGAATATTAGAATCCATGTGCCAACCCAAAATCCAGATCTATGATTGGCTTTTTGCCTAATCAGAGGCAGGGTTTAAGTAGAAATCCACTATTTTGGGGCAAACTCGGGGAGCCTAGAAGGTTGTGTGTGCACCGCATGTGCAGAAGCCTTGGTCCTCTGGGCAGGCGGCCTCCGGTCTGACCTGTGGCCCCTGTCGTTTCCCTCTCTCTCTGTCTCTCTGCTGCTGGTAGTTTTCTTTACTGTAATGTAGTATATATTTTATTAGTTCTTTCAGTTGTAAATAAATTCTTTGCATTCTTTGCTCGGGAATTTTTAAACAAAAAGCAAACACTCGTGCAGGCTTTGCCACTTAATATATTTTTTAAGTCAGAGAGTGTATTACAGTTTAGTGCTTTAAGATGTGACTTTGTGAAAGCATCGTTGTTTTAAAGACCCTAAAGACTCAAACACCCAATCCACCCCCTCTGGACTCTGGACACACCCTCTGAACACGCCCTCTGGACACTGGACACGCCCTCTGGACTCTGTACACATCCTCTGAACATGCCCCCTGGCCTCTGGACACGCCCCTTGACTCTGGACACACCCCTTTCATGGAAAGAGTAAAGAATGCAATGTATTTATTTACAACTGAAAGTGCTGCCAGCGAAGTTTATGTGAATTCAAGTCCCGCCTCCGATTAGGGAACTAGCTAATCATAGATTTGGATTTTAGGAAGGTTCCTCGGGTGGCCAATCCGTTTTCAAGGGGGGCCCACCTATCCCCTGGCCAGCCTTCTGGACACGCCTCTGATCAGTGGGAATAGAAAACGTAAAAAATATAATTAATTTTCATGTGTGCGCCCACAAACTTCTGCCACAGCTGTATGAGTCAGTACTCAAGGGGGGCCAAAGAGTCTAGACCTGCACTGGATTCAAATCACTGATGGATCGTTGTGTTCATAGATGTGTTGCTGATTTAAACGATGTTGTGGCATGGAGAGAGCGAGCTACAGGAAATGGAAATAAACAATGAAACTACCAACGTTAAACTTGAATACCTCGAGGAACAAACTGTATTAAACTGCAGAGACACATTTGTACGGTCGGAGGAGGAACTGCAGAGTCTTTGTGTAAAACGAATGCAGAGAACAAGTCAAATTCAAGAGAAGGAAACACAGAGCGCTACGAGAACAAGCTGATCTGAAGAGAGAGAGAGAGAGAGAGAGGGCTCTGGTGTCACACAACCGTTAAACAAATATGAGAGCTGGAAACCATATAAAGACAAAACATGCTGCTGCAGAGAACAACGCACACACACACACACACACCCACACACACACACAGAGAGACACTGAAGCCGACCCAAGAAGGGCATTGACGGGGAATCCTGTGTGTGTGTGTGTGTGTGTGTGTGTGCGTGTGTGCAAGTTTGGGGACTCCTTTCTTCTTGTTTTTTTTATGCTTGTATTTTTATCTACTTTTTGTGCGAGGAGGGAAACGTGATCTAAATGTTATTTAACAGTCCGTGCTGATTTTTACTGAAGCAGAGTTTTCAGAGGAGCTTGAAGGAGAGCAGATCCGAGCACAGAACATTAAACGTGGACACGAACTAAAGACCAAAAATTTAATGTCCTGAGCCGTCAGTCCTCAGTATGACACTGGAGTCCCTCAGGGCGCCATGCTCGGTCCTTTACTGTTTAGTGTCCGTTGCAGTTTTAACTCAACATGTATGCAGATGATGCTGTCCTGTTTGCTGCTGTCATTGTAGTCTCTTATTTTACTTTAGCTGAGGTTGTCAAAAAGTGAATTCCACATGTTTTAAATGATACAACCACCGTTCTTTAAAAGGTTGACCCCGTTTAAAACTCACATATAGTCAGACGGCTGTTCATCATGAGTCTGGTTCTGCTCCAGGTTTCTGCCTCTTAGGGCGCGGTCACATTGGCCATCCGTACTGTGCCCAAGCACGCGTCAACCCTAAAGTCCAGTTAGTTTGGCCAGTTTGACCGCTCTGTGCCGTACTCCGGCACGGTACACTTCCTTGGCTTTGGCACACTTTGGAGAGGTGTGCTTCAGCACGGTACACTTCATGCACGAGCACAAGCATGCGGTACACAATGCTGACATCCTTCATTATGGAGAAATCCAGAGTTTCATGGCTGTATCTGACTAAAATGACTCAATATAAGGCACAAAGTAGCTGTCATGCTCTGTGTTGTTCTCCGATGTGAGGCCGCAGACTCGCCTGCGTGTCTCTTTTTATTTTTAAAGTTGTTTATGGCTGTGTCTGATTAAAATGGCTTAAAATAAGCCGCAAAGTCAGTAAAGTAGCTGTCATGCTCTCTGTGTTATTCTCCGATGTGCAGACGCGGATTCGACTGCTCTTCTCTTTTTTTTTTCTCCCTCTCTCTCGTCCGCCTGTTTGTCAACCGAATGTGTTGTATTACGACATTATGTACAAGAGCTAATCAGGCACGGTTAGTCATGGCCAGTGTGACCGCGGGCCGTGCCGGCCAGTGTGGGAATGGGGCAGCGGGGGGGCCAATCCTGCTTGAGTATGGCACGGTACAGATGGCCAGTGTGACCGCGTCCTTTCGGGAAGTTTTTCTTAAATGTTGTTTAATGCTCATGATGGATTAAAGTTGGGTCTTAGTAGATAATATAACAAAGACTACGGTCTTTAACCTGCTTTTGGTAAAGAGCACAGAGTACGGAACGTATGTTGGAGTATCCCAGGATGAGTCTGCAGAGGGCGCTAAACATCTTGTTCTGTAAATCACACCATAGTTCCTCGATATGAAACCAAGAATTTCTCGACAGCTTCAAGCCCCTACGTAAGCTGGAGAGCAGCCCCCCGGCAGCCCTGCAGTGTTCTGACCCCCAGGAAGGCTTTCAGAGAGCTGGCCAATCAGAGGACAGTGGGCTCATAGGGTGGGGGGCCTTAAAGAGACAGTAGCAGAGTCTGAAATTAGGATTTTTATTGAACCCAGTATCAGATAAATAAGATCATGTAAAGCTGCTCTAAAGGTTTCACACACTGACAACATGAAAGGTGAACATGAGGAGGAGATGGAGGCTTTAATGAGCAATAGTATTAAGTCTCTCCTTCATCTGTCAGAGAGCGTTTGGCCAATAGGGACTCGCCGTTATATGTTGGGGGCGTGGCTTCACTGACCATGCAAAATGCATTATGGCCTGCAGACAGCAGCTCCAAGGTCAGCAGTCATAAATGCATGAGCTGTTTCTTTATTAAATCAACATATTTTTTCCACAAACAGCCTAACAAAGCAACATTCTGTTTTCTGTCTCCGCCTCCTCCTGAGGGAAATATCTGTCCATCAAATAGTTTGTCCTTAAACAGAGACCGATAACTTCGCCCCCCAGCTGGTGTCTGCTCAAGTTCGTCTGTTGTTTTATGCTCAGCAGGTAGAGTGACACTGGTTTATCTGAGTGGACAGTGAATGCAGCATCAGTCAGCCAATCATTCACAGAAAACCTTCATCACAGCTTTATAAGGAAAATCAAAAGACCCTCCCGAGACAGGAAATCCCCTGAACACACACACACACACACACACACACACACACACACACAGGGAAATATCAGGAGATTCCCACAGCTCGACCTCACAGACTCTGATGTCCATGTGAGGACAATAACGTTTCTGAGAAGAATCGGTCCCCTCTTTGTTTACATCTCCTCTGTTGAAGAGCCAATCATCAATCAGGCTGTATTGACAATGGATCACATGACCTCTGTTATTGTCAGAATATATTTAGGTCCATGCTTACGTTAGGAACAGAGTTGAATGCAGCGAACACAATGTTCATTTATATTGAACACACGCTGATTCTCTTCTCCTTTATTCTCTCAAATCTACACATCAAAATATGTACGAGAGGTCGCTTTGTGTGTGTGTGTGTGTGTGTGTGTGTGTGTGTGCGTGTGTGCGTGTGTGCGTGTGACGGAGAGAGAGAGAGAGTCATCAGTCTGATCCTCACTCGTCCTTCTCCATATATGGAGTCTGGGTTTCCTTTTCTTTCCACCACCTGTGTATATGTTTGTGTGTGTGTGTGTGTGTGTGTGTGTGTGTCTGTTAACATGTGTGTGCATATGTGGATATACAGTCTGCCTGCTGAGAGTGTGTGTGTAAACAGGCTTTGTTCTGTGTACATATCAGACATGCCAGAGAGGAGACATGCAATTAATAACGCACACACGCATACACATACTAACAGTCTGCAGAGATAATACTAACTGTTTGCAGAGCTAATGCTAACTGCTGTCACTTTGTTCTGTTAGCAGCCGAGGGAGAGATAAAATCAATCATCATCTATCATCGTGGTGGTGATAAGAACAAACAACATGTTTCTGAAACTCCAGTTTAGCCAGAAGTTATTGATAAACCACTTCCTTTCAGGTTCAGCATCAACGGTTCAGTCGTAAACGTCGACATGTCTTTGTCCATAGAATCCCCCAGAGTGACGCCGTTCATGTGAATAATAAATCTCACAGAGGCGTCACTCTGGAGGTGTGAACCTGTTTTTCTCATGTTAAAGGGACTTAAGTGTGCGGACATGACGCGACATGATGCAGATTAATAAAAAGTGACCATTAACTCTGAGTTTAGTAAGATGTTTAATCGTGTAGTCACAACCACGCACTTTCCCTACATCAGACTTTCTAAAACTGAAATAAGCAGCAGTGCGTTCCCAATCCTACGTGAGCGACAGAGGGCGAATTAGAAACAAGGTGTCGGGGTAAAAACGGCGCTTGGTGTCGCTCACAGGCTGTCATGACACTCCTACAGGCGTTTCATTCTGTTAGCATTTGTTGCTCACGACTGCAACAAAATGTAAGGTTGCTTCTTGTAAATATAGTTTGTTAAAGGGAGCTAACAGGAGTTCCAGAGCTGGAGCTTTGGATTTCAGGGTGGATAAACGCACACATCCAGAGTCAGACACCAGCGGCACCAGTTTACACAGAACCACAAACGTGATGTCACACTCAACTGACGTCTTCTTCTTTGTCTGTTTCATGTTGCAGGCTGCAGACCATCGGTGGTCACAGAGGTCAGAGGAGTCTGTGCGGCTCCACGTTTCGTACGACGGCTCGCAGACATGCAGGTGATGGACGGCAGCAGAGTCACCATGACTGTGGAGCTGACGGGTACGACCATGGCGCATGTGTGTTCAGTGTGTGTGTTCAGTGTGTGTGTGTTCAGTTTGTGTGTGTGGGTTCAGTGTGTGTTTATGCGTGCGTGCGTGCGTGCGTGCGTGTGTGTGTGTGTGTGTGTAAGCTGTGGTATTTCCTGTCAGTTCTCCGGGGAGATGTTGGAGATGAGATGAGGACAGATTCACTGTGGACGAGCCCTGCCTCTTCATTTCCTCTCTCTCCCTGTGTGTGTGTGTGTGTGTGCCTGTCTGTGTTCGGTGTATATATGTGTGTGTTCAGTGTGTGCGGTCGTGTTCTCGGTGGGTCGTTGCTCTGATCTGATGGTTTCTTTCTGTGTGTGTGTGTGTGTTACATAATGATTTTCCACACAGTCTTTTCTCCATATAAGCGGTGTGACGATGAGCTCTACTGCTGTCTCTTTAAGATCTCTCTGTGGTCCTGAAAGAAAACCTGGATTTATTTCCATATATGAAGTTTGATATAAAAACAGAACGAGTCACATTCATTTAAAAACTGTGATTTTGTTCTAACGTGAACATTTCCGACCTTTAGGATGAGTTTGCAAAACCTGTGAGAGCTGCTGACACATGGTCTTCAGATGAGAGAGGGTCTAACCCTGCCCCCCCCTCTTTGAAAAGTGTTGGGTCGCCGGTAGCACAGTGGTTAGTGTGCATGCCCCATGTACGGAGGCTGTAGTCCTCATTCCCTCTCTCCCTGGTTCTCCTCTCTCCTGTCTCTAAATAAATGCCCAGAAATTAACCTTTAAAAGGCATTTTTCACATCAATGTCGTAACAGTTAAATGTTTCTATGACATTAACCTGTGCAGGTTATTTCAGGTTCTGATCAGTAACGATTGAGATGTATTGACGTCGTCATCCTGGTCCATAGGTCACCCTCCTCCAGACGTGGTGTGGCTACATGACGGGCAGGAGGTGACGGAGACGGAGGACTTCCACCTCCTCAGGGAGGAGAGCCGCTGCACCCTGCTGATCCAGGAGGTGTTCCCCGAGGATAACGGGGGCTACAGCTGTCAGGCCTGGAACCAGTACGGGGAGGACGCCACCCACTGCCAGCTCACTGTGGAGGGTAAACAGGCACTCTGTTCAAGGAGCTAAATGCTAACTGCAGCATGCTAACAAACCAGCAGTGATGATGCTAACATGCTAACAGCTGATTAGCAGTTCATCCTGAGGGGAACATTTATTCCAGCTGGAGTTTCTATTTAACTCTGGACCGAAGTACAGGACAGGTATTAGCATCATTAGCCCGCATTGCTAACATGGCTTATAAATGTCTGTGTCTTCCTCTCAGAGCCTCAGGACGGTGTTCAGCCCTGGTTCATCACTAAACCCAAACCTGTAAGCGCCGCCGTGGGTCAGCACGTCCTCCTGTCATGTGCCATCGCCGGAGACCCGTTCCCCCAGTACACCTGGACCAGGGTGGACCCCAGCCGATCTCTGACCTCTGGAGGAGACTACGAGCTGCTGCAGAAGGAGGACGTGGTCTCTCTGCTGATCAGGTCAGTCTCTCACATCATCCTGTCAGACAATTGAACATCCAAAGAACCAACAAGAGCCCGATCCACGTTAAGTCAACCTTTATGTTGTTTTTTATTCAGGAGGGTGAAGAAACAGCATGCGGGAGAATACCTGATCACTCTGAGGTGAGACGATCACACTTCCTGTTTATTTTCTGTGTCAACAGAAAAGACTAAAATAATCCTCTGATGTTCAGTTTGAGATTAAAGTCACAAAGTAACATCCCCCCCTCGCTCCCTCCATCCCCCCTTCCCCCACTCCCCCTTCCCCACCCATAAATCCTTCTATAATCTGTCCCTCCCCCTCCTCACTATATACTGTACACAACTGTCCTCCACCATCTTCATAGGATCCCCGTTTGTCCATGAGCTTAATGGTGGTCATAGTACTGGCCAATCACGTACCTCCGTTCTTTGGTACCCGGTTAACCAGTTTTGCCTGTAAAGCTCCGTGCTTTTCCAAACGGCTTCATCTAACACCAGGAGTGGCGTCCTGCTTCACCGCACATCAGCTTCTCTGTGCCTGTTCAATGAAATGGCCCCGCCCATCTCCGCTTGTCTTGACTATATGTTTCGATTCAAACAACCCTAACTCTCCACAAAGTTTACCTTTAGCTGCTAGCTCCTTTAGCGTGGCTAGGTAAGGGGCTGAATAAGCCGATAATGAACAAGGTTTTCTAACCTGTGTGTGTGTGTGTGTGTGTGTGTGTGTGTGTGTGTGTGTGTGTGTCAGGAACTCGGTGGGGGAGTGCAGCGGCGTGGCCTGTCTGTCTGTCACTGATGGAGAGACGGACCGGACGAGAGGAAGAGGAGGACGAGGGGGAGAGGACAGTAGGTGAGACGTCCTTCAGCTCGATGTGTTTCACCTGTTTGATATCACGTTAACGAGCGGCGGTTCACTATGCGTTAGAGAGATCACCTGAACGTGGAGAAAGTTGAGTATGATGGACGAGGATGTCGTCGGTGAGGCTGGTCTGGGAGGATGGACTGAAGGCCGGGCAGAGGGAGACTCAGGATGGGGTTCCTGTCTCTGATCCCGACCCAGACTGTACCTGTAGGGTGTGGTTTAGACGCAGTCCTGCTCCTGAACCTAAGTGACGGAGAGAGAGAGAGAGCGGGAGGGAGGGAGGGAGAGGGGGAGAGAGAGAGAGAGGGCGGGGGAGAGAGAGAGAGAGAGAGAGAGAGAGAGAGAGAGGGAGAGGGGAAGACAGAGAGGGGGAGATAGGGTGAGCAACCACTCCACTCTTCTTCCATTTCCAGGATTTCCTTCTGAACTGTTTATCATTCATTATCCCTCATCAACGATCTCCATCTCCTGATCACCAGTTCGTGTGTGTGTGTGTCTTCCTGTTCTACATCCACAGATTCACTAAAGCTTCTCTAATCCGACCATCAAACCAACCAATCACAGCCTCCCTCGCTCCCAGCTGTTCACAAACTTGTCTGTGTGTAAGTGTGTGTGAGTGTGAGAGTGTGTGTGTGTGTGTGTGTGTGTGTGTGTGTGTGTGTGTGTGTGAGGGTTTTAACTTTTTAAATGAAAATATAAAAAATCTAAAGTGATCGGAACAAACAGAAAGTAAAAAAAAAGAGAGAGAGACAGAGTCCAGCTTCTCTTCTGTTTACATCTGTGTGTGTGTGTGTGTGTGTGTGTGTGTGTGTGTGTGTGTGTGTGTGTGTGTGTGTGTGTGTGTGTGTGTGTGTGTGTGTGTGTGTGTGTGTGTGTGTGTGTGTGTGTGTGTGTGTGTGTGTGTGTGTGTGTGTGTGTGTGTGTGTGTGTGTGTGTGTGTGTGTGTATGTTTGTGTGGAGCCCGTTCTGGGTGTATGCCCATATAAGGGCAGTGGAGTCACTTGTGATGTAACGTGAACATTTTGGGTCGAGGTCTCTTTCCTCCCCTCTCTCTTCCTCTGTCTTCACCTCTCTCTCTCTCTCTTTCCCTTTCTCTCTCGCTTTCTCTCTCCCCCTCACTTGCCCCTTCCCCCAGCAGGGGGGGCGGTGCCTCTTGTTTCAGGGGGCTTTAACCAGCTCTGTTTATTATCTCCCCCCTCTCACTCCATCTGTCTCTGTGCTCGTTCAGCCCTGCAGCAGCAGCAGGAGGAAGAGGAGGAGGAGGAGGAGCAGCTGGTGGGATCTTTGGGCTGAGAGGAGGTGCCAGAGGAGGAGGAGGAGGCGTGGAGCAGAGAAGCAGCCGGAGCAGTGTTGGTGTCAGTCGGCAGGAGGCCAACCAGGAGCAGAAGGAGAGCCAGAAGCTCCTGCACCTGCATCAGGAGGACAAGAAGAAGAAGGAGGAGGACCAGGACTCCCCAAGTGCCAGCACCGCTCCCCGAGGCCTCCTCAGACGCTGTGTGGACACCAGGGAGCGCGGTGAGGAGGAGCTTCGACAGAGGGAGGCGCAGCAGCTGGACTTTCGCTCCCTGCTGGGACGCCGAGCTTTCAACGCCAAAACCAACCAGGAAGAAGAGCAGAGGGAGGCCGGCCTCGTCGCCGCCGAGCACCACTTTCATCAGATGGATTTTAAGGCCAACTTGAAGGGCGTCAAAGCCAAGACGGAGGAGAACAAGAACACCTCCTCCGGACAGGTTGACTTCCGCTCCGTGTTGGGGAAGAAGGGCGCCCCAGGCAACGGGAACAAACCTGCAGATAGCCCTGGGAAGAACGCCGGAGACTTCCGTGCCGTCCTCTCCAACAAGAAGAAGCCAGGGAGTCCCGAGAAGAACGGCGAGGGCGGGAAGACGGAGGTTAACAACTGCGTGGATGGAGGGATTAACGAGAAGAAGAGCGGAGGAGGAGGGAAGGAGCCGGAGTTCGTGGAGAAGCTGAGTGATGTGACGGTGCTGGACGGGCAGCGGCTCCGGCTGCAGTGCCGCCTCGCCGCTGCCACCACAGACGCCACCGTCACCTGGACGCTGGACGGGAAGGTCATCAAGTCGTCCAAGTTCATCGTCCTCGCAAACGAAGGTCAGAGGTCACACACGCAGAAACACAAACGCAGCCGCAGCTGCCGTGTTCAGACTCAGACTGAGAAGACGTTAGATAAAGTTTTGTGTTTTTGAAGTCAGCTGATTGTTGTTGAAGAAGACGAGGCAGACGAGGGGAAACGATCCGAGTAGAACCATCTGTCTGAGAGGATTCAGACTCTATTAATAGAGTCAGAGCTGAAACAATAGAGAGAGAGAGAGAGAGAGAGAGAGAGAGAGAGAGAGAGAGAGAGAGAGAGAGAGAGAGAGAGAGAGAGAGAGAGAGAGAGAGAGAGGATGTGACTGAGGCTGGAACTACATGTGGGAACAGATCACTTACACACACATACACACACTCACACAGACACACACATTTCAAACTGGCTGGCATGGCGTGGTGTCTCTCGAGTCCAAACTTGTCTCTCGTCAGTTTGAACATCCTTTGTGATGTCGTTGTTGACAGCGTTCATGATTTCTCGCCGTCTGTTTCTTTCCTCTCTGAACGACTCTGCAGACGTTTGCTGAGCGTGTTTTTGTTTGCACCTTCTCTGCTCGCTCGTGGTCGACCTCTGAAGCTTTTCATATTCTTCATAATCTGGGGTTCATCTGCAGACGATGACACAGGTTAGTTGTCGAGTTGTCTGATCTCCGTCACCACGGCAACATAGTCTGCAGGTTTGCATATTTTCAAAGCTGAACCGCATCCATGTGCGTGAGGAGGATCCACGGCGTCGACCCCGAGGGCGGTGTTTGTTTCCTCAATGCAGGCGGCTACGCTAGCTTAGCTTGTTGTCATGTGTTCTCTCTGCGCATGCTCAGTAGACTGTCCTACTCGATCATGCAGTGACCGTGTGTGAGGGAGAAACTCCGTCCTGTCATTCAGCACGTCATTAAATCTACATTTTAGAAATAATAATAATATGAAGAATATTACATGCATCACTATGGACATTGTTGTCCATTTGGTCAAATTTTACCAAAAGCTTCTTTCAGAAACGGGCCCCAGAACTGCAGGATAAATCACAACATCATCGTCATCACTATAAACACATCCCAATATTCTGAAATAACGGCATGTTTACATTTCACCTGTTAAAGGACACATGAGAACAATAATAATAATAATAATAATAATAATAACAATAATAATAATCCCCCGCAGTCTATAGTGAATCGGGAGTGATTCCAGACAAAGTTTAAAACTTTCATCCCGTCGTCCTCCACCCTTGTTTCCTCTGATGTCTTGTGTGACGCTGAGCGCTGATGTGAGAGGTCCAGAGATCTGAGTCCAGACTCTGAAGGACTCACACTGTGAGCGTGTGTCGATCTGTTTAAAGATAATGATAAAGATAAACTTTATTGATTCCCCCGTGGGGGAAATTTGTGCATTACAGCAGCTCCAGAAAACAGGGGACGGGAATATAATTATTAAAAATAAAAATAGAAGTTAAAATCAAATCAAACAAATTTACATCAGTTAAATAAAAAAATACAATTATGGAAAATTACACAGTAACTACACTGGAAAGGGTTATTGTTATTAAAAAACACACACACAGTGTGTAGCATGAGGTGGTGATGCTAAGTTTGATCTTCGCACACAATAATAATGCTGTTCCATCGTTATCTGTCCTCATGTGTGGACTCATTTTAGACATCTGTCAGCGTGGAGCGGGCTTTAAGTGACTCACACAGGCACCTTGATGAAGTAAACACTAGTGTTAGCTTAGCATAACACTCGGTGATGGCGCTTCACAGCAGCAGTAAACAAACAGAGGGGTGAGAGGGATGTCACTGAGGCCACGCCCACTTCTCACATACAGTCTGTGGTCGTAACACAGTGACCTGCTGCTATAACTGTACACACATGTATCTGTGTATTTATGAACCAATGAGCACACTAGCTGAGGATTCCCTGTGTGTGTGTGTGTGTGTGTGTGTGTGTGTGTGTGTGTAATCCCCCTCCTGTTATTTCAGTCTGCAGGACAGCCCCTGATCCACCATCGTGTTTGTGTTTATCATCATCGAGGTCTCATGTTAAAGGACAGAGGTCACTCATGATCTGCAGACACACACACACACACACACACACACACTGCTCAGGATCCGTTAACCCTGAAATGAGGGAAACTCAGGGTTATCCGTTTCAGGTGGGGAGCTCACTCAAACCCGTTCATCTTCAATGACCACCAAGTTTCTCTCGGTCTCCGCCGACCATGGTGTCTTTTAGTTGATCCTCGGTATGAAAGGGCTGCATTTCTCCGCAGGAGATATTCATTTAATTAATTAATAAACTAAACGGGATAAAGGTGAGAGGATATTTAGCCTAGGCTATGTGTGTGAATCATAGGTGTGAATATAGCATTATTGTGGTAACTTCTACTCCTAAGAAACAGTCTACAACTTTATGTCCAGATATTCACTCTTTATAGGCTATAGAATGGTAAGAGTTTGTTTACAGATTGTGAACGAGAGGGCAATGTGCTGCAATCAAGGGTAAAACGAGTGACGTTCAAATGCACACCAGAAAATCTTAAAACCCATACTCAAACGAAAACTGATAATCTAGTTATTTATCATACTCCCGTCCTGTTACAACAATTATCTTTGGGATAAAGTTAATGCACATTCAGATAGACTCTGAATGAAGTTAACTTTAAATTTCATTTTGAGCTATTTTAAAGTCGCTTTTCTTCTGCTGGATTGCATCTTAATGAAAATAAATTGTAGGTTTAATACCATTCCACCAGTTTTGACCTGCAATATTATAATTCTGATTAAATATTAAATTAATAGACTTCATTACACGCTGACTCGAGCAGCTGTTTTCTCTTACACTACTTTTCTCTCCTTTACCGCTGCAGCAATGTTCCTTTTTTTCCTTCTTAAAACCTGTTCATATTTGCCGTATGTCCGCATGAAGATATGCTATATTTTGAGATGGTTAAAGTAGGAGGATCTCTTTTTTGTCGCCTGTTGCCATGGTGAATCGTAGAATTGGGGCTCCATTCATGTTGGCTTTTTATCGTCGTGGTGCACACGCTGAACACCGAGTGGACCTACTCAGAGTTGATTTAACAAATTGAAATCTGCTGATCTGGAACCGAAAACTCAGAGTTTCCCATCTGAGAGTAAATCAACTCAGAGCTCAGGGTTAGACTGAGGGTTCGTTGAACCTTCTTTCAGAAACGGGCCCCTGGTGTTCAGGTGTGGAGTGTTTTTAATAGTTATATAAATGTAATAAATCGAATAAACATAATAACACCGCCTCCCCGTCGTGTCTCTGTTTGTGTTTATTAATAAAGTTTGTGATAAACTAGAGGATTAAATGTTCCTTTATATGCTGAGAACGTTTCCCTCCATCTTTAGATAAATAAACGGTGATAACTCTCCAGATCAGCTGTGAAAACAAAGTCAGAGCTGAGAACAGTCAGACGACGAACGACCCAAAGTTATACTTTAAAGTCGACCTCTTCTTCCGATGTCCGTTTATAAACTCTCTTAAAGGGTTACAAAGCTGGATGTTCAAACTAAACGTGGGCAAAGTGTCAGATCATGAGGTAAACGTATGTTGGAATAATCCCAGGATGAGTCTGCAGAGGGCGTTAAAAGCCTTGTTCTGTAAATCATGCCATAGTTCCCCGATATGAAACCAAGAATTCACCAGATGGCTTCAAGCCTCTACGTAAGTAGTTGAAACCTCTCACATAGACTCTCTTCTCCCAACACTGGAGAGCAGCCCTCCCCTGGCAGCCCTGCAGCGTTCTGCCCCCCCAGGAAGGCTTCCAGAGAGCTGGTCAATCAGAAGATAGAGGGCATGAGGGGAGGAGGGGCCTTAAAGACACAGAGACTGAAATGAGGGTTTTTACTTACTCCAGTATCATTCACACACTGACGACATGAAAGGTGAACTTGAGGAGGATATGGAGCTTTAGGGCAGCATCATGGAGGAATATGGTTTGGTGAGCTTTGGCGCCCTCTGAAGGCCTCTAGGATGAACTGCACTGTCGTAAAACATGCATGTACCATTATGTACCGTTAGAATTGTAGTAGACTGTTTCTTAAAGCTCTCCAACGTGTAAAAATCAGTTTGATATCTCCTCTAGTCCGTGTCCTCACTCTCTCTCTCTCACCCTCTATCTCTCTCTCGCTCTCACTGTCTTCTTCTCTTCTTCTCTTCTTCTCTTCTTCTCTTCTTCTCTTCTTCCGTCTCCGTCCTTTTCCTCTTAGCCTTAGCTGTTGTATCAAACAGTACAGAGACAGGCTAACTGGCTGCTTTGTAGCTGAAGGCTGCTGCGTGAACTAACGCAGCAGCCTCGGCCCGCTGCCAAAGTTACTTGGCAGCAGGCGAGGAGGGCGCTCTGTGGACGCGAGAGAGACACCATTCTCCCTGTTGGAGGTTATTGTTCTATTAGATCGACTTTGAAAAGACTGATTGAAGGAAGATGAGTTACTGACTGTTGCTTTAAATACTCACCATGCTGCTTGTTCAATTCAGCCGTGTTGAGGTCACTCCCTGCTGACACTGTGTGTGTTAATGTGTTGTTGTGTAGTGTGTGTATTCATTTGTGTGCTGTTGTGTTGCAGGTGGCCTGTGCTCTCTGACTATCGGCAAAGCGCTCCCTGAGGATGAAGGACAGTATAAATGCCGAGCAGAGACCTCGGCAGGGAAAGCTGAATGCTCCTGTATGGTTCTAGTCGACGGTAAGAAATATGAATGTTCCTCTTTACCACATTTGTATCTGTGTGAGGTAAATAAACGTGCACGTCACATGGGAGGACTGCTCCCGAAATCCTCCTGATATGTTGTTCACACATGCACCTCACAGCGGGAGACTATCCCTGTCAGACAGGAGGGGGGGGGGGGGGGGGGGGTCTCCTGAGGTAAGACGTGATGAAAAAAGAATGATGTGGAAGCAGCAGAGTCCTCTATACGACGCTATAATGAGAATATTTGTCTTTCTATCAATGCTACGTGTAGTTGAACAGAATCACAATCTGAACTAAAGAGTGGAGAAGAACATACTGGAGAACAGGAAACATAATGCAGCAGGTTCATTAGAGCACGGAGATCGTAGAGGTGGCGTGCAGACAGTCTATTGTCGTGCAGCGATCACAGAGAATAAACGTCACCACCCCCCTCCCACTCGCTCCAGGTGAATTCTCTTGATTATATCCTGCTGCATTCTCACATCAGCTCACTCTGACTTTCTGCAGAATACATATGAGCACACTTGGAAATGTCATGCATGCAGGTTTGTAGCCGTGGTTCATTTAGAACTCCTGACTCCTGCTCGGCTCTGAGGATTCAAACAGGAACTTTAGAAAGATAGAGAAAAGTCTGAAACCCTGCAGTGAACACAGCAGAGAATAAAAACACACAGATCCCCTCCCCCCCATGCCTCAGTCTCCTTCCGGTTTCCTGTAATTAAAATAATTCAACACAAACAGACTCAGTTATCAGAAGGAGATTCCTGAGACCAGTGTGTAGTTCTGACAGTAAGAAGAAGTCTCTGAGGGTTCATCCTCTGAGGATCAGATCTCTGAGGATTCAGCCTCCGAGAATCCGATCTATGAGGGTTCATCTTCCGAGGATCAGATCTCTGAGGGTTCATCCTCCGGGGATCAGATCTCTGAGGGTTCATCCTCCGGGGATCAGATCTCTGAGGGTTCATCCTCCGAGGATCAGATCTCTGAGGGTTCATCTTCCGAGAATCAGATCTCTGAGGGTTCATCCTCCGGGGATCAGATCTCTGAGGGTTCATCTTCTGGGGATCAGATCTGTGAGGGTTCATCCTCCAGGGATTGGATCTCAGCGGGTTCATCCTCTGAGGATCAAAACTCTGAGGGCTCATCCTTTTGGGATCAGTTTAGCCTCAGCTCCAGCTCTCAGCCGGTTGTTAGGATGACTGAAAGTTAGGCTGAGATAGCATTTCCAGCATGGAGACCGCCATCGATGGTTCTCCAGCGCCCCCTGCAGGAACAGATGGGAGACGTCAGTCTGCATCAGAAGCAAGTGATGATGTCTGTTGGAGAGGCACAAAGTGACCTTAGCAGTAAAGCTAATGAATCTAAAACTCAGACAGAAGCTCCTTCAAAGTAAAACAGCTAAAAAGATCGACAAAAACTTTTCAGACTTTGATTCTGAAATGTTTTTCACTGTTTCTTAATCATCTGTAAACTTTAGACCAGTCTGATATCAGAGTCAGGACTTTATCTGAACCATCTCCTGATCTTTTGTTGCTTAATCATTCTCTCTCTCTCTCTCTCTCCCCCTCGCTCACCCTCCTTCAGACCCCACAGAAAACTCTCCGGCTGACAAGAAGTCGAAGAAGGCGACTCCGACCTCAGAGAGTGAGTTTCCAAAATATGCAGCTGCCTCTTTCCTTTTGCCCGAATATGGAGCTGCAGCCTGGGATCACTGGTTCCACACACACACACACACACACACACACACACACACACACACACACACACACACACAGGCTTCTATTTTAGAGCAGCTCTGTGTATCATTGAAACCATCACTGTCAGATTATTAGTCCTTCCTCCCTCAGACGGCTCTTCTCTCCACATTAGGACCACATTTCCCATCAGCCCCCTCTTCCCTTCTCCCCTCTCTAAATGAGCCTTTCGTGTTTCTGACAGCTTTGTCTCTAGTCATCAGTGTGAATGTTTTAGTGACCTGGTCGTGTGTCTGCTCCTGAACCGCGGAGTCAGCCTCACTGTCGATGTTGTTGCCATGGTGACAGCATCCTGTTTGTTTACATCCTCTGGGGATGGGGCTGCATGTTCAGTTTGCTCCTCTTAATGTCCAGATGACGTCTGTTGTTGCTTACATAGTTGAAAGCCCTTTGTCCACAGACGCCGTCTTTTGTGCTGCAGTGTCGTCAACACAAACCAATGTATCTCAGCGATTTCAGCGTTCAGCTTCCAGAGAGCTAAATGATGCTCAACGTGATCTGAGACACAAGTCTGACTCATCTTCTGAAGGAAGACTTTCAGGTGTAGAGCTGCTGCTGATGTCAGGACACGACTCGTTTACATCCTTAACACAGTGTGTAGCAGACAGTGTGTAACACAACATTGTGTAGCAGACAGTGTGTAACAGACAGTGTGCAACAGACAGTGTGCAACAGACATTTTGTGTGTAACAGACAGTGTGTAACAGACAGTGTGCAACAGACATTTTGTGTGCAACAGACAGTGTGTAACACAGTGTGTAACAGACATTTTGTGTGAAACAGACAGTGTGTAACAGACAGTGTGTAACAGACATTTTGTGTGTAACAGACAGTGTGTAACAGACAGTGTGTAACAGACAGTGTGCAACAGACAGTGTGTAACAGACATTTTGTGTGTAACCAACAGTGTGTAACAGACAGTGTGTAACAGACATTTTGTGTGTAACAGACAGTGTGTAACAGACAGTGTGTAACAGACAGTGTGCAACAGACATTTTGTGTGTAACAGACAGTGTGCAACAGACATTTTGTGTTTAACAGACAGTGTGTAACAGACATTTTGTGTTTAACAGACAGTGTGTAACAGACATTTTGTGTGTAACAGACAGTGTGTAACCGACATTTTGTGTGTAACAGACAGTGTGTAACCGACATTTTGTGTTTAACAGACAGTGTGTAACAGACATTTTGTGTGTAACAGACAGTGTGTAACCGACATTTTGTGTGTAACAGACAGTGTGCAACAGACATTTTGTGTGTAACAGACAGTGTGCAACAGACATTTTGTGTGTAACAGACAGTGTGCAACAGACATTTTGTGTGCAACAGACAGTGTGTAACACAGTGTGTAACAGACATTTTGTGTGAAACAGACAGTGTGTAACACAGTGTGTAACATACATTTTGTGTGCAACAGACAGTGTGTAACACAGTGTGTAACAGACATTTTGTGTGCAACAGACAGTGTGTAACACAGTGTGTAACAGACATTTTGTGTGAAACAGACAGTGTGTAACAGACAGTGTGTAACAGACATTTTGTGTGTAACAGACAGTGTGCAACAGACAGTGTGTAACAGACATTTTGTGTGTAACAGACAGTGTGTAACAGACAGTGTGTAACAGACATTTTGTGTGTAACAGACAGTGTGCAACAGACATTTTGTGTGTAACAGACAGTGTGCAGCAGACAGTGTGTAACAGACATTTTGTGTGTAACAGACAGTGTGCAGCAGACAGTGTGTAACAGACATTTTGTGTGTAACAGACAGTGTGCACCAGACAGTGTGTAACAGACAGCGTGCAACAGACAGCGTGTAACAGACAGTGTGCAGCAGACAGTGTGTAGCAGACAGTGTGTAACAGACAGTGTGCAACAGACAGTGTGTAACAGACATTTTGTGTGTAACAGACAGTGTGTAACAGACATTTTGTGTGTAACAGACAGTGTGCAGCAGACAGTGTGTAACAGACATTTTGTGTAACAGACATTTTGTGTGTAACAGACAGTGTGCAACAGACAGTGTGTAACAGACAGTGTGTAACAGACAGTGTGCAACAGACAGTGTGTAACAGACAGTGTGTTTGTGTCTGCTGCAGTTTGTTTTTCTGTCTTCAGCTCTCAGTGGAAAATCTGCTCTTATCTTTATGATCCAACTCTTAATCCTCCCTGTGTGTGTGTGTGTGTGTGTGTGTGTGTGTGTTTGCGTGCAGATTGTGCATACCTCAGTATTAAATTCTCTGTGAGGATGCTGCTCTGACATGAACTCTGTTGTCCTGCTTTGAGTTTGTGAATCCTGAAACCTGAAGCAGGAGTGTGTGAGGGCATGCACACACACACACACACACACACACACACACACACACACACACACACACACACACACACACACACAGAAAACAAAGCAGTAAACATGTTTCTGGGTGATGTAGAGCGGACAGATGTGTCCGTGTTCTGCACAGAGATAACCTTGCCTTGTATGTGATGGATGTTGGAGATGACAATAGTCGTGTTCAGACAGTTTGGTTGTTTAAGGGTTAAATTGACCTTTTAAACTCGGTTACATTAAGGTAGAATGACTGCCTGCATAGACCAGTGTAAGGCAGCCATGTTAGTTTGATGTATCCTCAGTCTCTTTATAGAGAAAGTAATGGTGATTTGAATTAGTGCTAAGCTAACATTAGCATGTGCTGCTTACATGTGGACCATGCTGAATAACCATGCTCTACTTCAAAGAGCTAACACATTTAAAAGAACAATACGAGTTGGTTTGGTTTCAGGTTTTGTCCGAGAAATAAGAGTCAGGTGTTATTGTGTCTGAAGGAAATGGATTTAATTTATTGTGTTAATGTGGAAATACGCCCTCTGCTGGTGAGGATGGTTGTAACACTGAGACTGTGATTCGATTTTATCACCACTGTCTTATTTTTATAAATAGTATAAATAGTGTATATATTTTTCCTCTTTAATATAGTCAGGTTTGTGCTAAGCTAATCTAAGCTAAGCTAAGCTAAGATCCTGTTGTGTTGCAGGATTTGAGTTCACCTGACTCTAGAAAAGCTTTGAAGATGCTAATTCATGTGATCCGTCCTGAATGAAACGTGGAGTCCTGTGAGGAGTCTTAGCAGCAGATCTGAGCTGACAGCTCACAGAAGGGATGAGGGGAGGATGAGGGTGGAGGTGTGGGGGATGCTCTTCATGGCTTCTCTCCCTCTCTACCTTTTAAGGTCTGTTTTGCTCGACCGTCCCTCCTCTCAGACTTTGTTTTACTTCACACTGCACATCAAAACTCTGCAGCTCCTTTTAAGAAACTCCTGAAACGCTAAAGTCTTTACAGAGACGCTCCACAAAAACAGGAAGACGTCCACAGAAACTCAAAGACCTGGAAGATGTTTAAGAGAGACTGTAGCCTGAACCTGAGTCTGACTGACACTGAGTCTGACTGACATTAAGTCTGACTGAACCTGAGTCTGACTGAACCTGAGTCTGACTGACATTAAGTCTGACTGACACTGAGTTGTTGCTGTAGTTCTGGCTGCAGGTTGTTGCTGCAGGTTGTTGCTGTAGGTTGTTGTTGTTGTTGTTGTAGTTCTGGCTGCAGGTTGTTGTTGTTGTTGTTGTAGGTTGTTGCTGTAGTTCTGGCTGCAGGTTGTTGCTGTAGTTCTTGCTGCAGGTTGTTGCTGCAGGTTGTTGCTGTAGTTCTGGCTGCAGGTTGTTGCTGCAGGTTGTTGCTGAAGGTTGTTGCTGTAGTTATTGCTGCAGGTTGTTGCTACAGGTTCTTGCTGTAGTTCTTGCTGCAGGTTGTTGTTGTAGTTCTGGCTGCAGGTTGTTGCTGCAGGTTGTTGTTGTAGTTCTTGCTGCAGGTTGTTGCTGTAGTTCTTGCTGCAGGTTGTTGCTGTAGTTCTGGCTGCAGGTTGTTGCTGTAGTTCTTGCTGCAGGTTGTTGCTGTAGTTCTTGCTGCAGGTTGTTGCTGTAGTTCTGGCTGCAGGTTGTTGCTGCAGGTTGTTGCTGTAGTTCTGGCTGCAGGTTTTTGCTGCAGGTTGTTGCTGTAGTTCTTGTTGCAGGTTGTTGCTGTAGTTCTTGCTGCAGGTTGTTGCTGTAGTTCTGGCTGCAGGTTGTTGCTGCAGGTTGTTGCTGTAGTTCTGGCTGCAGGTTGTTGCTGTTGTTCTTGCTGCAGGTTGTTGCTGTAGTTCTGGCTGCAGGTTGTTGCTGCAGGTTGTTGCTGTAGTTCTGGCTGCAGGTTGTTGCTGCAGGTTGTTGCTGTAGTTCTGGCTGCAGGTTGTTGCTGTAGTTCTGGCTGCAGGTTTTTGCTGCAGGTTGTTGCTGTAGTTCTTGCTGCAGGTTGTTGCTGTAGTTCTTGCTGCAGGTTGTTGCTGTAGTTCTGGCTACAGGTTGTTGCTGCAGGTTGTTGCTGTAGTTCTGGCTGTAGGTTGTTGCTGTAGTTCTTGCTGCAGGTTGTTGTTGTAGTTCTGGCTGCAGGTTGTTGCTGCAGGTTGTTGCTGTAGTTATAGCTACAGATTGTTGCTGTAGTTCTGGCTGCAGGTTGTTGCTGCAGGTTGTTGCTGTAGTTCTGGCTGCAGGTTGTTGCTGTAGTTCTGGCTGCAGGTTGTTGTTGTAGTTCTGGCTGCAGGTTGTTGTGGTAGTTCTTGCTGCAGGTTGTTGCTGTAGTTCTGGCTGCAGGTTGTTGCTGTAGTTCTGGCTGCAGGTCGTTGCTGTAGTTCTGGCTGCAGGTTGTTGTTGCTGTAGTTCTGGCTGCAGGTTTTTGCTGCAGGTTGTTGCTGTAGTTCTTGCTGCAGGTTGTTGCTGTAGTTCTTGCTGCAGGTTGTTGCTGTAGTTCTGGCTACAGGTTGTTGCTGCAGGTTGTTGCTGTAGTTCTGGCTGCAGGTTGTTGCTGTTGTTCTTGCTGCAGGTTGTTGCTGTAGTTCTGGCTGCAGGTTGTTGCTGCAGGTTGTTGCTGTAGTTCTGGCTGCAGGTTGTTGCTGTAGTTCTGGCTGCAGGTTGTTGCTGCAGGTTGTTGCTGTAGTTCTGGCTGCAGGTTTTTGCTGCAGGTTGTTGCTGTAGTTCTTGCTGCAGGTTGTTGCTGTAGTTCTGGCTACAGGTTGTTGCTGCAGGTTGTTGCTGTAGTTCTGGCTGTAGGTTGTTGCTGTAGTTCTTGCTGCAGGTTGTTGTTGTAGTTCTGGCTGCAGGTTGTTGCTGCAGGTTGTTGCTGTAGTTATAGCTACAGATTGTTGCTGTAGTTCTGGCTGCAGGTTGTGGCTGCAGGTTGTTGCTGTAGTTCTTGCTGCAGGTTGTTGTTGTAGTTCTGGCTGCAGGTTGTTGCTGCAGGTTGTTGCTGTAGTTGTTGCTGCAGGTTGTTGCTGTAGTTCTGGCTGCAGGTTGTTGCTACAGGTTGTTGTTGTTGTTGTAGTTCTGGCTGCAGCTTGTTGTGGTAGTTCTTGCTGCAGGTTGTTGCTGTAGTTCTGGCTGCAGGTTGTTGCTGTAGTTCTGGCTGCAGGTTGTTGTTGCTGTAGTTGTGTGTGTGTGTGTGTGTGTGTGTGTGTGTGTGTGTGTGTGTGTGTGTGTGTGTGTGTGTGTGTGTGTGTGTGTGTGTGTGTGTGTGTGTGTGTGTGTGTGTGTGTGTGTGTGTGTGTGTGTGTGTGTGTGTGTGTGTGTGTGTGTGTGTCCAGCACAGCATAAAAGAGGCCCCTAGCCACGATTCCCTGATAAAAAAACATAAAGAAGGTTCTGCAATAATGTGTATCGCATCGACACGTGACCTCTGTAGGGGAAACTCCCACAGCTAGGTCTTTGTTCTGCCCTCTGAGTGAGCCCCCTTCTCACCGTAAACAATAGGACATGGCTCGAGAAAGCCCGAGACAACCAAGCCCTTCCAGAGAGGGGGCGTGGTCAGACACAGCTCATTTACATTTAAAGGTACAGACACAGAAACAGCCTGATCTGAGCAGGGCTGAAATAGAGGGGTTTATAGACATTATCAAATACAGGATCAGAGTTGATTTAGAACAAGAAACTTCACACACATGTTTTGAGGAGCTCTGAGACTTATTTACACTGGTTGAAGATATGTCACCTTTAAGTTTTGAATTGATGGAGACGGTCTCCCTCAGTTTGTTCCTGGTTTACAAAGAATCTGTTCCAACAGGCAGTTCTTCTGAGTGAGCTCAATAAGTTTGTGTAATAACTGAGACACATGTCTTCGTCTTCTTCTCTAGAATAAATAAAACCTCCAGGAACTATTTCCTGCCTGCAGAGGAGCTATTTTTAGAATTACCATATTTGGTCATCAGAGCCGCTCTGTCTCACATTCTTCTTCTTTTCTGTGACCCATGAAGAAGAAGTCAGCATACATTGTGATGTCACAGAAACAAAAGACAGAAACTCATCAGAGAGATGAAAGAAGAAATGAACATAAAGAGTTCAGATCCCTAAAAGGACAGACTCCGTTTAAAACAGGTCCAAGGTCAACAGATGATCTGAGAAAGGAATGAAGCAGAGCTGAACGTTAAGTGTCTGTTTCAAACCATCACAGGTAGTTCAGTTTATCATTTAAAGAAGGAGGGACTGGCAGAGGACATTCATGTTACAAAACACAGAATACAAACGTTAAAGATACAGTCAGTCTCATGTTCCTTCAAAATAAAATACAGGGGCGCTGGTGGCGCAGTGGTTGGTGCGCGCGCCCCATGTATGGAGGCTGTCGTCTCAAGCGGGTGGCCCGGGTTCACATCCCACCTGTGGCTTCTTTCCCGCATGCCGTTCCCCACTCTCTCTCTCCCTGATTTCTGACTCTATCCACTGTCCTATCTCTCCATTAAAGGCACAAAAAAGCCCAAAAATAAATCTTAAAAAAATAGATAAATAAAATTAAAAAAATACAGACTTCTCCTAAAGTAAAGCTGCTCCATCGTCCCTTCTGGGCCTCCGTACATGTTTGGTGGTGACTGTGTCTGCTGAGACCCTGTCCTCTGACTGGACTTTACTGTTCTGCTTCGACGGATGTGGATGTAGCGGCAAAGAAGAGAAAATATAGCTTCAATACCGATTCTCTGACCGTCTGTTTTTGGTTTTGTGTTTCAGGTGAAGCCAGAATAAAGAAACCGACGACAAAGACTCCTCCGAAACAAGGTGACCATTACAGAGTCAAAGGTCACACACATTTTAAGCTCACGTTGACACAGTGTGTGATGAACATACTCCATCTAATGCAGCGAGATGTATGCAAAGTCTGTCAGTCAGAGTCAGTCGGACCAACATCAGATATGACAGTGTATATACTACTGATTGATCTGTGTGTGTGTGTGTGTGTGTGTGTGTGTGTGTGTGTGTGTGTGTGTGTGTGTGTGTGTGTGTGTGTGTGTGTGTGTGTGTGTGTGTGTGTGTGTGTGTGTGTGTGTGTGTGTGTGTGTGTGTGTGTGTGTGTGTGTGTGTGTGTGTGTGTGTGTGTGTGTGTGTGTGTGTGTGTGTGTGTGTCCAGCTCTCCCTCCTCAGATCCTTCAGTTTCCAGAGGACATGAAGATTTTAGCCGGAGAGAAGGTGGAGATCCTCTGCAAGTTCTCTGGAGCTCCACCCATCAACTGCACCTGGCTCAAGTTCAGGAAACCAGTGAGAGAGACACACGCACGCTCACACACCTAACCTAAACTGCAGTGCATGCTGGGAGTTTAACCTAAACTGCAGTGCATGCTGGGAGTAACACCTCTGCATGAGTGTGTCTCAGTACTGAAGCTTTAAAAACCTTCAGTCACATTTTCATAAAAGAGAGAGAGTGATGTCTCAACGAAGACAAGCTCGCTCGTCTGCAGCTCTGCCCTCTGTGTCCACACATGTTTGTCTTATCGAGTCAACGTGCAGGAGTTTGTCTGCAACTTTGTGTTGAATAAAAACAGTAAATATACAATATTAGGTGTCTAGGACTTCTGTCTGTTGCCGTGATAACAAACACGTCTTTTTTTCATGTGTGTAGATCCAGGAGGGCACAGCTGATATCTCCATAGAGAACAGTGACAGCAGCAGTCAGCTGACCATCGCCAGCGGTCAGCAGGAACACTGCGGCTGTTACACCATCGAGTTGAGGAACAGCTACGGCCTCCGCCAGGCGGCGCTCAACCTCACCATCGTCGGTCAGACACACACATCGTGCTTCTTTACGAAGATTAGACTGTTTCCATGACAACATCCCTCTGTGTTTGATCAAAAAGACTTTAACCCTGCCCCCTCCCTCCACAGATAAACCCGACCCCCCGGCTAAGGTCCCTGCAACCTCAGATGTCCGACGTGCGACTCTGACCCTGTCCTGGTACGGCCCGACATACGACGGAGGCAGCGCCGTTCAGTCCTACAATGTGGAGATCTGGGACTCTGTGGAGCCCACGTGGAAACAGCTGGTGTCCTGTAACAGCACCTCCTACAATGTACAGGTGAGGGGGAGTCACACCTGAGACAGAGCGACGAAACGCCACCGAGCGTTTGATTCTAAAGTTTGCGTCTGTCTGCAGAATTTGCTCCCGGAGCGTCAGTATAAGTTTCGTATCCGGGCGGAGAACATCTACGGCGTGGGCGAGCCGAGTGCCGAGTCTGAACCTGTGACCATGGGACTGGTGGACGATGGTGAGTCAGCTGAACACACTTGACACACAGCAGGTGACTCGTCAGACCTGAGTTCACTAAACTGAGTTCACTAAACTGAGTTAATTAAACTGAGTTTACTAAACTGAGTTCGCTAACATAAACTAACCTAAAGCTGACTAACTGAACTAACTGTGTTTGGTCTAACAGATGCTCTGGACGAGGCCGAGGAGGAAGACGATGGTACGCCTTCCTGTTTACACTGACTGTATCATCTGATTAACACTAACACAACAACACACACACGCACAAACACACACACATCTGAGAGATGATAATAATCTAACAAAACTAAAGAAATCATAACATGATTAACTCAGCACTGACTCTCTCTGTGTGTGTGTGTGTGTGTGTGTGTGTGTGTGTGTGTGTGTGTGTGTGTGTGTGTGTGTGTGTGTGTGTGTGTGTGTGTGTGTGTGTGTGTGTGTGTGTGTGTGTGTGTGTGTGTGTGTGTGTGTGTGTGTGTGTGTGTGTGTGTGTGTGTGTGTGTGTGTGTGTGTGTGTGTGTGTGTGTGTGTGTGTGTGTGTGTGTGCAGACTCCGAGAAAGAGCCAGACTACAGGGACGTGAGCATCAGATCAGACGTGAAGGTGAAGGAGCTCTACGATGTGGAGGAAAGGCTGGGAACGTAAGGCTCCGCCCACTCACACCTTGCCCACAATGCAACTCTTCACTTATAGCAAAGAAAAAATGTGTGTGTGTGTGTGTGCCAGGGGGAAGTTTGGTCAGGTGTTCAAATTGGTGGAGAAAGCGACGAAGAAGGTTTGGGCAGGGAAGTTCATCAAGGCGTACTCGGCGAAGGAGAAGGAGAACGTGCGGCAGGAGATCGGCATCATGAACAGCCTCCATCACCCCAAACTGGTGCAGTGCATCGACGCCTTCGAGGGCAAGTCGGACATCGTCATGGTGCTCGAGATGTACGTCCAGATGTTCAACGGAAACGTTCAGATTAGTAGAGACAATTCTGCTGACAGAAACTTGACTCACTTTGATACGTTAATCTGTGTAACCACATGTTTTAAAGGAATATAATCCCAGTTATTCTATATAAATAAAGTTATTATTATTATGATGATCGGTGATGTTACAAAGTACTGACGCTGTTAAAAAATATTCATATTTGAACTAACAGCTGCAGAGCAAAACATGACCAACAAACGTGTTGGTATGTTTTCACATTACCGCTCTGTGGAAGAAAGAGGACGTGAGCATGAACGTGTTGTTTCACTACAAAGTCACACTGCCACCTACTGGCCTGGCATGTGTATCACAGTGTTTTTGGTCATTTTGGTGAATCTGTGTGCACAGAGATTGTTATCAAACGGTCGTTTTCTAAACTGACTTCTAGTGAAAGTGTCCGCAGGCTTTTTATTTTGAAAGTGCAGCTCACCACTTATCAGCAAATTTAATCAGCATAATACCTGAGACGACATCAGACCCGAGTATAACTCATAAAACTCTGTGTGTGTCTGTGTGCGTTCAGCATCTCTGGCGGCGAGCTGTTTGAGCGGATCATCGACGAGGACTTTGAGCTGACAGAGAGAGAAGTGATCAAATACATGCTGCAGATCATCGACGGCGTGGCCTTCATCCACAAACAGGGCATTGTCCACCTCGACCTCAAACCTGAAAACATCATGTGTGTCAACAAGACGGGCAGCAAGATCAAACTCATCGACTTTGGACTCGCCAGACGACTCGGTAACCAGTCAGTGCTAGAGGGGGGCGGGGGTTAAAGGAGAGCAGGAGGTTTAGGGACTGTAGGAGGAGGGATTTACTTCTCCGCATTGAGTGATGAATTATTCAAGGAGTTGGTTTATAACGACCTGTTCTACCGTAAGGAGGACGTTGTTTAAAAAAACTGGTTTGCTTTCTGTTTGACTAAAATACTTCACCCGGGTAACAACACACCTGGGATCCACTGAAGCTTCAGTGTTTAGCCAGCTCTGCATCGGTCTGTAAACCTTTCTGCGTTCTAACCTCTCTCCATTGCTCGTGGAGCTTATTAGAAACATGCAGAGGCTTTTTAGGTCGGGTACAATCACTTCTATCCGAACCATTTCTCTTGCCCGCTTCCATCACTACAACACCTGTTGGTTTGACCTGATAACTGCTCTCATATCTGGAAAACTGAAGGGCGTCCAAAACAGCCATGTGGGGGTGTCTTAAAATCGCCTACCCTCTCTGGTCCAAACAAATCCAGAGCATTCAGGACCAGAATCTAAAGTTAGAAGGAGGACATACTGGCTGCTGCATTGTTGTCAGAGAAGCCAGCACTTCAACATAGCATGTTTCCTTAATGTCTGATCATATAGTAACGTACCTTTATCATTTCAGTTACCACACATCTTACAGATATAATAAATGAAAGTATTGATGATACAAATCTTTGTTTCCGAACAGAGAACGCGGGCACTCTGAAGGTTTTGTTTGGGACTCCAGAGTTTGTGGCTCCTGAGGTGATCAACTACGAAGCCATCAGTTATCCTACAGACATGTGGAGTATAGGAGTCATCTGCTACATCCTGTGAGTACTTCATTATCTCATGGAGACTCTCATGTAGTGAGTCTGGTTCAGTCTGGTCCAGTCTGGCTCAGTTTGTGTTTGTCGTCCTCTCAGGCTGAGCGGTCTTTCTCCGTTTATGGGCGATAACGACAACGAGACTCTGTCCAATGTCACATCAGCCACCTGGGACTTTGAGGACGAGGCGTTTGATGAAATCTCCGACACGGCCAAAGATTTCATCACCAACCTGCTGAAGAAAGACATGAAGTACGAAAAACACTGAACACGGGGTCTGCAGAGGGCTAACTGTTAGCTTACTGTTAGCTTACTGTTAACTTACTGTTAGCTTATTGTTAGCTAACTGTTAGCATTATTTTGTTGTTAGTTTACTGTTAGAGAAAAGCTAAGATTTTAAATGAACATAAATCTGAAACAGTAAAGTGCGTGTGCGTGTGCGTGTGCGGCAGGACTCGTCTCACCTGTGCTCGGTGTTTTGAACACACCTGGCTGAAGCAGGACACCAACACCATGAAGACCAAGAAACTGTCCAAAGAAAGGATGAAGAAGTACATCCTGAGGAGGAAGTGGCAGGTAAACAAACAAACAAACAGAAATAAAGATGAGAGCCTGAAGACGATGTAAAGGAGTCGTGACATCAGCAGCATCTCCACACCTGACACAAAAAAAACGAGTCATCCACCATTGTTGTTGACCAAGCTGATATCAGAAGTCCGTCCCTTTCCTTACTTGTGACATGTGACTGTTTCTTCTTTTGTGGTAGAAAACGGGGCACGCTGTGCGAGCCATCGGCAGACTGTCGTCCATGGCCATGATGGCGGGAGTCAGTGCCAAGAAGGGCTCGCCCACCGAAGGTACGGACAACAAGGTGACAATGACTGAGAGAGAGAGATGCTTTGTTCATTCATTCATCATCGTGTGTGTGTGTGTGTGTGTGTGTGTGCGTGTGTGCGTGTGTGCGTGTGTGCGTGTGTGCGTGTGTGCGTGTGTGCGTGTTCAGAGGATAATCAGTTCCTGGAGTGTTTGGAGTACGAGCAGAAGACGGAGTGTAAGCCGACATTCAGCTCCGTCATCAAGGACGTGGAGGTGGTGGAGGGCAGCGCCGCCCGTTTCGACTGTAAGATCGAAGGTACGAGACGGACAGTTGTACATCACCACTGCCAACAGCCAATCAGAACACAGAAAGCACTGTCATGTTTACTGTTTGTATAGAAGGGTCATGTGTTGGATGCTACTCACAACACGAACAGGCGAATGTGTGTGACATCACGCCCTGGTTATACATCTTTGGCGGTGGTTATAAACCTGTCAGCCCTCCCAGGTTTAATCTTGACTTTAATGTACTAACAAACAAAATAATAGAAAATGAAGTTTCCCTCCTGCTCTGCGTCCGCAGGTTACCCCGACCCCGAGGTGGTCTGGTACAAAGATGAACAGCCAATCAAAGAGACCCGACACTTTCAGCTCGACTACGACGAGGACGGAAACTGCAGCCTTGTCATTTCAGAGGTCAGAGGTCGCCTGGTGGTGTCAGTGACGCTGTCATACAAGGAGGTGTTACTGATGATGTCAATGCTTCTACTCCTGCAGGTTTCAGGTGACGATGACGCCAAGTACATGGTGAAGGCGGTGAACAGTCTCGGGGAGGCGACCTGCACCGCCGAGCTGCTGGTGGAGGTGATGGCGGGAGAGGAGGAGGAGGAAGAGGAGGAGGAGGAAGAGGAGGAGGAGGAGTAAAGAAGTGTGCACTCCCACAGGAGGAGGAGGAGGAGCCTGTCACACCTGAGCATGAAAAACTGACCCCTTATTATCAGATGTTGTTGTTCCAGGTGGAGCAGGTGGGCGGGGTTTGTGGTGAGCATGTCATGAACATATCACATGATTTAAACCTCAAAACTTGTCTCAAATTCCACTTCATGTCACACGATATCATTTTTATTTAACTTCCTGCATGTTTTAATTTAAATTAGCACCATGCCGTGTGATAAACCCCGCCCACCTGACACCTTTGGAGATCAGCAGCTCCCCCCCTCACAAGTCAGGACCTCATCTTCAGCAGGTTTCCTCTTAAAAATACAGAACTGAAATCTGACACTACATGGAGCTAAGTTTATTTCTCATCATTTTAAATTCATCGGGTTTTATCAGTGAGATCACAAAGAACTATTAATTTTATAAATTTTTATTTGATAAATCGATAAATCAATAAATTGATCTGCTTATTGGAAATATAAACGACAGTAAACATGTCAGTAACTCAGAACAAGCTTTAGCATGTTAGCATGTTGCTGTAGCTCTCATCATATTTAAGACAAAATGAATTATGGGAGCTGTAGTTGTTGCCTTACTGTTAAAAAAAAAACCATCTGGAGCTCAGACTCAAACTTGAGGACTCGGACTGAGGCTAGGATAGTAGGGACTGGACTCAGACTCTTTGGTGACTTGACCTGGACTTGAGGTTTGGTGAATCTAGCACTGGGGACCTAAAGACTCAACCAGGGACTGGAGGTTTGGTAACTCGACTTGGACCTGAGCTCTGGGGACTAGAGACTCAACTGGGACTTGAAATTTGGTGATTCAACTAGGACTCAAGACTTAACTTGGAACTTTGCTTAGACTCAACCTTCTGGACCTTCCCCACCTCTTCGGGGGGACAGGACTCGGACATGGCTCAAATTTATTTTGGTGACTCAACTCAACTCAGACCGGCGGTTTGATAACTCGACTTGGACTTTAGCTCTGGGTACTGAAACACATCTTGGAACTTTGCTCTGACTCTGACTCATGGGAGGGACAGGACTTGGACTCGGCTCAGATTTTTCTTTGAGGACTCGACTTGGACTTGAGACTCAACAAGGACTGGAGGTCCGGTGACTCGACTTGGAAGCAGATTTAGGCTGACATCACTCCTTAACCATACTGGGATTCTGGGTAATGAAGTCTCCCCTACAGTTTTCCTGTTGTGATGATTTGAAGCTGACGCAGAGCGCTGGCTCGCGTCACGACAACCTGAATAGAAACAAGACCAGACGCTGTCAGGCTCCGTGAGAGTAAGAGGGCGACTCTAACGATGATTAACGTTTTGAAATATTCCGTCTTGTAGTTTTTATCCCTCCTTCTGTTCTGCTTCATGTTTCAAACACTTTTATTTAGACTCTGAGCGGTTTGACCATGGAGTACTCTGTGAGCTAACGTCACCTGTGCCTTAAACTGTTAGCCTTAAAGCTACACGGGGGTCATGTTGTTTTTTTTTATCACTTTGAAGCGTCTCTGCTGCGTGAACGTGTCGCTGACGTCCCAGTCGTACCGTATGTTGTTTTTGTCACATTCCAGCTGTTTGTTTGTGCTTTACATCATTTATCAGACATTTGAAGAAACCAAAGAATCTCCTCTGAGATGTCACAGGTGTGTGTGTGTGTGTGTGTTCCTTACCTGCGCCTGCCGCTCGCTCTGTGTGTGTGTGTGTGTGTGTGTGTGTGCTTGTATTTCAGAAGGTTTTATTTAAGCACAGATTTATTATATTAATGTGATCATATGAAGAGCCAGCACTTACTAGGTCACGTCTGTCCCTGAGGCAGTGACTCACTCTGGTGTGTTTCGTATTAGATGTATGTAGATGATGTTTTTTTATGAATATATCTGAGTGTGACGAGCTGCAGAGGAACATGTACCACACACTTGGACTGTAGTTACTCACCGAAACAATAAACGTATCACAAAAACAACCGGCTGCTGTCCTTCCTGATCCCTGAACAACACAAACTCACCTTACACACCTGTCCTCAGTGAGCGATCATGTCATCAAACACACACACACACACACACACACACACACACACACACACACATACAGGTCATATGAGGTTATTAAAGTGAACATTTAAGATGCTTTATTTCATTTAAAGGTCACATATTCTGTAAAATCCTCTTCACCATGTTCCTCTAACTCTAATATATGTCTCTAGTCTGTCTACAAACCCCCCAATGATGAGAAAAGTCCGTCCTCTCCGTCTTTTTCCTGCTCCACTTTTCAGAAAATGTGTGCTCAAACAGGCCGTTTGGAAAATTTTCCCTTCATGACATCACAAAGGGCAGTAACCCCTCCCCCAGGTGGGTGACACTCCCACAGCTAGGTGTTGGTTCTGCCCTCTGAGTCTGCCTTCTCACCGTAAACAATAGGACATGGAGCGAGAAAGCGCGAAACACCCAAGCCCTTCCAGAGAGGGGGCGTGGTCAGACACAGCTCATTAACATTTAAAGGTACAGACACAGAAACAGCCTGTTCTGAGCAGGGCTGAAATAGAGGGTTTTATAGGCATGATCAGAGTGGATTTAGAACAAGAAACTTCACACACATGTTTTGATGAGCTCTGAGACTTAATTACTGGTTGAAGAAGAGGAGGAGGATATGTGACCTTTAATGAAAAGAGACATATAGAGATATAAACATGATCAAATTGAGCTTTCTGTGGCTCTGAAGCTGTGAAATAAAGCTGCAGATATACAAAGGGTTAAAATAAAACAATGTAAACTGGTAGAACATAACGAGAAGTTGGTGTGGTTCCAGAATGGAGACACAGGTGGATCTTTAAATATGAGGTTTGAAACCTGAAAGTAGTTTAAAGTCCTGTATAACTTTTTATGTTCAGAAACAGTTTTGTGTTGCCATGGCAATATGACGCACCAACACATCAGGTGTCAAAAATCAATACAGAATAATCAGCTGAGAAAACAGAATTCACACAATTATATATTAAGACACAATTTATTAACTTTCTCGGGGGGGGGGGGGGGGTTGTCAGAATGAGATTTCTATATTCTTGATTCATTTATTGTTGTTCAGAATCTAAACCAGGCCGAGGAGGAGGGAAAACACACACAAACACATACATGGAAGTTGTGCAGAATAGAACAGTTTTTGCAGATGCTAGATAGTCTGTGCAAATATAAAGTGCAGTCTGTACACGTATTAACTTAAATCATACAAAGGTCTAAATGTGTGTCCAGGCCTTTTCTGTTTGGATTTGATCAATGAAAACAATACAATATTTCAATTTCTGACAGCAGGGTATCACTTAATTCTGCTGGGGTCCTTTGGTACCAGTAGGGGGGGCTACAGGGGGGAAGAAGGTTTGGCACCTCTGTTAAACACCATGGATGCATAGATGTTTTAGTTTAAAGAATATTAACCTGATAAAACTTTTAGATACCCGTATGTGAATGATTAATTGTTAAATAATTTTACCCAAACTGAAGTATTTTACAGGTATTTCTTTTATATCAGTGTATTCCTCGAGCAGTTGTTGCAGGTTGTCAGCAGGGGGCGCTGTCAGGAAACGCTCTCACAGAAACAACAGGAAACCACAATCCGAGCATGCGCAGTGGATGAGCTGCTACGACGGTCCGGTTGTGGAGTTAAAAGCATAACTCTGAGCAGTTTTTTTGTTTTTGTGTTTGCTCTCCGGTAAACCGGGATGGCGGGCACCGCGCTGAAGAGACTCATGGCGGAGTATAAACGTGAGTGAACGAGCCCAGCTGTGTCGTCACACCTGATTCGACCAATGGGAGAACTTGTAGCGTTAGCAAACAGGCTAAGATAAATCGAGCTAATCCCTCTTAACCAAACCCCTTTAAATAATGTATTAATTCAGATACTTTCTGCTTGACTGTAGATACGCTACCGTTTTACACCTCATATTTAAAAGTGTGATGAGCTTATGAAGTTTAACTTATATACGGGATCATAATAATTCACCTTTTAGCAATAATCACGGTGAAATAACGATTTATTACCCCGTCAGCGCGCCTCATAAAACAGGCTGACTGTTCGTAAATAACAACAGTCCTGTTCTCTGAACTACACGCTTAACTTCACTTAAATAGCATGAAGTAACGTTTTAATGTTCCCGAACTGAAGGTTACAGTTTAGAATAGAAACTTAACACTTTGGTTGAATATAGTCATACATTTAAATATTAATAAATTTCAAAATCATACTTTTTCTTGTTTTTCAAATGGAGTTTGGTGCAGTCGGAGTTAATCGCGGTTAGCTCTCTTACTTTTTGAGATGGGGGAGATAAGCTTTAATGTAAGATAAATATGAAGTCCTATTTCAACATATGGAAGATTAAATAACTTTAAGGATAATAACACGTTTTGTGTAGTTTACACTTAAAGTATTAATGGTTGTTACTTGTTAGACTGCGGTTAGCTTCAGCTAGCAGCTAACACATCTGTGTACTCTTCACACAGGTGTTACTCTCTATAAAGCAGTAAATGAGAGCTCACGTGTGTGCGCGCGTGTGTGTGTGTGTGTTTCAGAGCTGACCCTGAACCCACCTGAAGGGATCGTTGCAGGTGAGTGGATCATGAGTAAACACTTTTTTTATTATTTATTAATTCCTTTACACTTGGAGAGATCTTCCTCTGCAGGTTTTGGATTATTACAGAGAGATTGTTGTGCTATATATTTAAAAACAAACTAATAATCAGGCTTCAGATTAAATACTAATGAAAACACTGTTAATGGTTTATAAGTTACTGCTGCCACCTCAGTGTCAAAGCTCACATATGCTCCTCCTCTTCAGTGTAAATAAGTCTCAGAGCTCGTCAAAACATGTGTGTGAAGTTTCTTGTTCTAAATCCACTCTCATCCTGTATTTGATCATGTCTATAAACCCCTCTATTTCAGGCCTGCTCAGAACAGGCTGTTTCTTTGTCTGTACCTTTAAATACGTAAATTAGCTGTGTCTGACCACGCCCCCTCTCTGGAAGGGCTGACTAATGAAGCATTCATGTGATGTCAGACACATCAGAAAAACAAAAAAAAAACATGTGGCCGAGTTGATGTCACGTTCGGCATCAACATGTGGCGCAAAATATGTTTTGTTAATGTTAAGAAACTTTTGATTAATTCACATATTGCACATCAAAGTCGGAAGAACAACTTCCCAACTCGGAAACTGGGACCATCCGAGGAGCACATGAATGCACCATCAGGCCTCGTCCACATATAGGCGTGAATTTTTTCAAACTCCGCCTTGTCTGTAAGTTTTGACCTTTTTGTACACTAATGGCGTTTCAGGTCACTGTAAAGTGTCCTTTAGTAAAGGGTGAAGATGTTCAGAAACTCTGTTTAAGGTTTTTCTGTGTTGACGGGGAAAACAGAGTTTTGTTCTTGTAATGTCACGCTGTGTGCCGCTTTCTCCTCGGTGTGACGTCATTGTGCAACGCTGTCACTTTAGTTTACATGAGATTAGTGCGATGGCAGACGTAACCAAACTAGCGCTGGTGCTAACGATGCTAACTGGACTTTTTACAAGCTCACACACACACAGTTACTCTCCCACTATGTTGATGGGCAGAGACGCCTGATTGGGTGACGGAGGTCACTGCTGCTTAATACAACACTCCCACCACACAAACCCCGCCCCCAACAGACGAGAGCTGGTCTGTCTTTGGCATGCTCATGACAGCCGTTGCAGTGCTTGGACAACGTTTTTTTCAGAACTGAGCGTGTGTGGACGGGATTCTTTTTTTAAATGGAGGGAAAGCTCTGAACCTGCAGAGTGTTTCGTCTGTTGTGTTTAGATGTGTAATAATAATAATAGAAACCGTGTCGGTCTTCAGGTTAGCTTGATGTGCGGCCATGCAGCGTTTTTTCCTGCATAAAGAATTCTTTGGCGCCCCCCAAAGAGGTTTTAACCAGCGCCAAAGGAAAATCATGAGCGCCAAAAGAAAAAAAAGACAATTCAAATTGCAAATCACATCCTCTCTTAATGTATTTTAAAAGTATCAATACATCAAACGACTGTTGAACAAGCAGAACATAAACTTAAATACGACGTCTCTGACTTCTAGCAGTCATCTCTCCTCTCATCCGTTTACGAATGCGGCTCACGCTGGATAGCCAGCTGATTGACTGTTTGTTTCTTTTGACTGGTTCCGGACGCTCCACTGACACCCACAAGCGCTAAATGAGGGTTGATTTTCCATTTGGAGTTAATTTCAAAGAGCAATCAACTTCATGGCGGTAAATATTTATCCCAACAGTCATGTTAAAACTATACTAAACCGAGTATGATGTAGCTGCGGCTACTTGTCCCTGCTCCTCTGCTGTCTGCAGATGGGTCATCACGGGGGCACGCAGAGACGAGACACACCAACATACATGGCTGCAAACACACACACACACACACACACACACACACACACACACACACACACACACACACACACACACACACACACACACACACACACACACACACACACACACACACACCGGAACGACAACCACCGCGCGCACCTGTTGACTTGTAGTGCAACGGAACACGGTTGATCCGCTATCCGTATGGACCCAGTCAGGAACACACGTTCAACTTTTCTCCGTTCACTTCCACCGTGTTTGCTTTTATCGACAATCAATATCTTAACGATCGTAATGTCAACCAGCTGTATGAGAACTTCTCCACTCAGTCTATCAAACAGCGCTGCGTTATAGCCAGCAAATATATTTTTATTATTTTTCAATTTCCTGATCTGATCAAATGATCCAAATCATCTGTGACTTAAATCTGTGATTATTTGACATAATACCTTAGTAACTCAAATAAATGTACTCAAACAAATGTGTATGTAAAACGAAACACAATTTATTATTTTGTAGGAAGTCAAAGGAAAAGAGCAGCCATCATAGGAAGAGGGTGAAATGCACTGGCAGGATGTGACCGCCGCTCTTTACCAGATATAATTGGGGTTTCAGTAACTTAAGCATATTGATAATATTCTTTATAAAATGGTCAGAAATAACAGGAACTGCGCAGATCTGTCAAATAACGTAATACAGACTCGTAGACTATACTGTAATACGCGGGACGAACATTTACTACAGCGGTATAGTCACCCCCCAAAGGCCCATTCTGAGCCAGGAAAAACCCTGCCATGTTTAACCCCTGATGAACTCGCAGCTCACATAGTAAACGTGTGTTTCTGCAGGTCCAGCCAATGAGGAGAACTTCTTTGAGTGGGAGGCTCTCATCATGTGAGTATGAGAATCATTTATGTTTACTAAACAGCAGCGACACGTTCATAAAGTCAGGGTCACAACATCACCGTGGAAACAGAACATATGTAGGACTTACGTTGGTTTGATGTTTCTGATCTGAGGTGTTTCCAGCAGGGTGTGATGTCGGAGGTGACCAGCAGGTGTCACTGCTCACAAACTAACCTGCATAAAGTTACCCAGCAGGAGGTTTAAATGGTGTTATATAATGTCTCTGACTGCACTTTTATGTACTCTGTGCAGACGCCTCCAGGCAACGCTGAGGGTTGATTAACCCTCCAGATCATCTGAACGTTATTCAGGTTTAACCTCCACCATGACGACTAGAAGACCGGCACGTGAGATCACACGGCCCAAAGCAGAGCTTCTGTGGATATGGAGGGAAATGATTGTGATGTGTTGGAGTCAGACTCATAGAGACATGAAACAGAGCGGAGGAATAACGGCGTGCAGAGGAGCAGGAGGCAGCTGCAGCAACAGCACCCAGTGTTACGGTTTAACAAGTGACCGTGTTAACTGGTGACTTGCAGCTGAACTTGTCCTAATGAACTTTATTTAGTTTTTTGTTATAACTTCAAAATGACTCATCAGGTTTAACTCTGACAACCACAGGCACATTCAGCTGCAGGTCACCAGTTAGCACGGTCACTCTTGAAACCATTACACCGGGGAGGAGCGAGGGGAAGAGTTGCAAGTTCCTCTTAATTAATTTGCCAACTCCACAGAGGGAGGGGCACACGCATGTGTACCAGCCACGGCTTGCAATGTTCTGGATCCTTCAAAGTTTATATAAGCCAAAAAACACCAAGGCTGTTTCCTCTTCGCCCGGGAAAGTTGCAAGGTGACAGGAAGACGATCAAGCCGTTGATTTGGACAAACGTACACTGCCTGAGTTGCTCTTTGGTTCTCTGACAGGTCAACATATGGAAACCTGCTTTGTATTAACATTCCGTCACACACCTGAAGTGCTGGTCAGGCCAAAAGGGAACCGTCTGGGAGTGACCTTAGATGTCAACCCGCCCAGTGCATTTTGGGTGTTGTAGTAATTGAACTCTTTTGGTTGAAGGGAATGGACACAGCTCTTTTTCTGAAATGTCTCTGGCTATGTAGATTTTTCCTTCAGGACCACCGTTACTTATTCAAGGACTGTCAGAACCTCCAACAGGAACCCTAGAACATCTTAATGTCTCGCCAAAACCTCCTTAAGATCCCTGAGGAATTCTAGAAGGCACCTGGAGGCCTCTTTAAGGACAGCTAGAGCCAGAAGGCCGCTTCATTGTTGTCTGAGCATCCTGTAAAAAACTTGTCGTTCCGCCTCACTGACCTCCGGAACGTCCACATGGTCATTTCAACGCCACTGAAAGGATGAATCCCTCCAACATGTCATTTAACGTCACCTGGCCTACAACCTGTGGACATTTCTGGTCAGTCAGAAGCTGCAGTGAACGTGATGTCAGTGAACGCAGCATCAGCAGCATCATTCGCTGTAATTCGGCCTCCTGTTTTTGTTGTCGTCTTTGTTGGCGTGCCAGAAGTGTTCAGTCTGCCCTTCAATTTAACCTGCTCTCTTTACCTGTCTGCATACCTGCTCACAGTGACATCATCATCATCATCAGCTCACATCCCATCATTACCTGAGACAACAGACACACACCCACACCAAGTCAGAAACACACAGAAACACACTCAGACACACACACACACACACACACACCCACGTCTGCTACAGCTCCGGGTTTAATCGAACTGAGGCTGAGCTTGCACGCTTCACCACACTCCTGCTCACATCCTGAGAGCAGCCAATCAGAGCGCGGCGTGTGGTTAATAATCTGCAGATAAACTATCACGGATCAGAACGGATTAGAACAGGAAGAGGAAGTGACCGACTGTGAGCAGATATTCAAACATCCAACCATGCTCAACATTCTCGGAGCATGCCATGGTGATGAAAACCATCTCTGAGCACGACACAGTGACAAAAAACACACTCTGTGTGTAGGGGGGGGGGGGGCGGGGTTTGAGGGAGCGGTGGCGAAGTGTGACAACTACTTGTCATCTACTCTGAAGGTTGAGAAAGATCCATCTGTTTCATCTTTTCACTTCACAGCGCTGACATGTTCATGTGTGCACATACATGAAGCTTGTGTGTGTGTGTGTGTGTGTGTGCACATACATGAAGCTAATGTGTGTGTGTGTGTGTGTGTGTGTGTGTGTGTGTGTGTGTGTGTTTCAGGGGTCCTCAGGACACGTGTTTTGAAGGAGGGGTGTTTCCTGCCGTCCTCAGCTTCCCCTCAGATTACCCGCTCAGTCCTCCAAAGATGAGGTTCACCTGCGACATGTTTCACCCCAACAGTGAGTCAAACCCCTGAACCTTTATTTAAACCAGACTGAGCCGCATTGTCGTTCAGACCCGAGTCAGAGACCTGCTGACTCTGAGTGTGACTTGAAAGCTTCACGAGACAAATCAGAATGTGTTGCACCGCTCTGCTGCTGTTAGCATGCTGTTAGCATACTATCATTAGCGCTCTGATTAGTGGACTGAGCCATGATGTCACAGCAGGGAGTCGGTCTGAGCACGCTCCATACTGATTAGAGGACGGGACACTTCGCCTGTGACCCCTCATCATCATCATCATCATCATCAAACACACACACACACACACACACACACACACACACACACACACACACACACACACACACACACACACACACACACACACACACACACACACAGGGACAGACTCCTTCAGGGAGGTGCACGTGTGAACAACCAGATGAGGAGGATTTCAGGAGCAGTCCAACCGCTGTTATCTAGAAACCTTCAGGAGCGTGAAAACAGATTCTCAACTTTTCAACAACTTCTCCAGACTCATTAGTTTTTTTTAAGGTTTCTCGTCTTTTAGGGAGCGCTCTCTAGTTAACGTTAGGAAATGAAATGACTTTTTAAACAAAAAAACAGAACAAATCCCTTTTTAAAACAAATCTCATCAAACTGGGTCAGGAGTCCGTCTGATGGGACTGATTAAAGATTTTATAAAAGTCACGCTCTGATTCTGATGACTTTCTCCTTCTCCTCTCCTTTCTCTTCTTCATCCTTCTCCCCATTCTGCTACTCCTCCCTCCTCCTCCTCCACCTCCTCAGTCTATCCTGACGGCCGGGTGTGTATCTCCATACTCCACGCTCCTGGTGACGACCCGATGGGTTATGAGAGCAGTGCAGAGCGGTGGAGTCCCGTTCAGAGTGTGGAGAAGATCCTACTGTCCGTGGTCAGCATGCTCGCAGGTAAACGCACCTCGCTGATTATCACGTCAGTCTACATGTGACACATACATGACACATGTCACATGATTTCAGGTGAGCAGGACCGGGCGCTGCTCCTTTCTCTAATGGCTCTGTACTTGCTTCCTCTTCTCCTATCTTTTATAATCTCTTGTCTCCTCTCCTTGTTTCCTTTCCTTGTTCCCTCTCAGAGCCGAACGATGAAAGCGGAGCAAACGTTGACGCATCTAAAATGTGGCGTGAGGACAGAGAGCAGTTCTACAAACTCGCTCAGAAGATCGTCAGGAAGTCGCTGGGCCTCTAAGGATGATGTCATCAGGCGGCAACGAGCCCAGCACTCAGTGCGTGTGTGTGTGTGTATGTGTTAATGTCTCCTCCTTCGCCGTCTTTTTACACACAGCAAACATCGACGAACACCTGGAGACTGAATGAAGATGTGAGCGTCTTCCCCATCACCATGGAAACCAGTGAAACACACACACACACACACACACACACACACACACACACACACAGTGCTGTGGAGACGGACTGATCAATAAACGAATGGATGGTTGACGGGAGCCAATCAGACATTTGGATAAAAGACAACAAGATTTTAGAAAACTTCAAATTTAGAAAATGTCAACAGAAGACGAAATCAGTGACATCATCATCGCCACACCAACAGCAGCAGCATCATCACTCTGCAGGTCGCTGTGTCAGCCAATCAAACGCCCCCACCCTCACAGAACCGCTTCATGAAAAAAAAATCTAATGAATCAATAAAATATTTTCAACGACTGATGATGAATAAACAGTAGGTGGAGTCAGGTCTGCAAGTGATTCACTCAAATCAAGCTCTGAAATATCACAAAGTTTAAAGTAGCAATATGTAACTATGACCCCAAGTGTTTAAAATGTGTACTGCAGTTTAAATTCTAAACTTTGTAGAGAGCTGTCTCCCCCCAGCCCCTCCTCTCTAGAGTTGATGCTCACACAGGTTACCATGTGGTGGACACTGAAGCTTCAGTGTTTAGCCAGCTCTGAATTGGTCTGTAAACCTTTCTGTGTTCTAACCTCTGTCCATTTTTCAAAAGCATCTCCAATATTGACCCTAGTTTGAGCACGTTTCTGCTCGTGGAGCTTATTAAGCCCAGTTTCCACCAAGCAGTTCAGTTCGGTTCGTCACGGTACGGCACGCATTTTGTGGCGTTTCCACTATCAGAAGTCGGTAAAGTTCACAACTTACCGTCCCGTACTGTCCTACTTTTTGCTACCCTTCTGTTGGGGTGCCAAGTCTACCAATCCGACCCTAAAAGCTGGACCTAAACACTGCAGTCTGTTGATTGGTCGAATGCGTTTTGTAACAAAGAACCACAAGCCAATGAGAAAGACCACAAATTGCTTGATGACCTCCATTGTTGCTCTTTGTTTACTATGTCGTGTTCTTCTTCTAATTTATTAGCAGGGTATACTGTGTCGCGCTGCTATGATGTCACGCTATTACGTAGCTGACGCGGCTAACGGCATCCGGCTTACACACCGCCTACTCAAAAAAAGTACGGTAACTACGGTTGGCTGTGGAAACGCAAACAGGATCAGGCTTTACCAATTCAAACCGTACCAAACTGTACTGATCCATACCGGACAGCTTAGTGGAAATGAGGCTGTAGAAACATGCAGAGGCGTTTTAGGTTGGGTACAGTCACTTCTATCTGAACCAATTCTCTTGCTCGCTTCCATCGCTGCAACACCTGTAGTGCCATGATAACTGCCAATACTGGGTTCTTTCCTGTTTTACATTATTGAAAGTTTCAGACTGCATACGGTCTAAATCGCACAAATATTATATAAATATGTAATAAAAGGGGGAGGGACTGGAGAGGAGCTCCTCCCTCTTTTACAAAATAGTTTTTGTGCAATTTTAAGTTTTTTTGATTCTCTTGATTAAAATAACATGGTATTACTTACTTATTACTAAATAATTAAGTTAATGTCGTTTTCTGCTTTCGGGTCGTCCTCTCCGTCTCCGCTGTTGGCGTGATGTGATGTCAGCTGATTTTCTTCTCTGCTGCGTTTTCAGGACAAACATTTGTTCCGATTCTCCGTCAGGTGGAGCCGAAGCTTCTCGCTTCTCTCAGTCGGACTTTATGCACTTTATCTCTTCCCAAAGGACGATGATGATGTTCGTCTTCATCAGGATCTGTGCGCGCTCAGACGGAGCTCAGGGGAAGTTTGTTTAAGATAGTTTCTTCATTTGAAAACACTTTGTGAAATAAACCGAGGGAAGAATAAACAACGTCTGTGTGTTCTGTTTGTGAGTGTGAGCCTCCTTTCACTACAGCTCCCAGGATGCATTTCTCCAGCAAGTCTCCAATCACAGAGTTTCATTTAAATCATTCTCTGATTCTGAGTCAGGAAAGAGCCGTTTCCACCGAGCGCTCTGGTTTGGTTCAGGACAGTTTACTGCGCCACAGTCAACCTGACTTCGTACGCGAACTGAGACTGATGGCGATAGCTGCGTCAGCGACGTGACAGAGTGACATCATAGCAGCTTGACACAGTGTAGCCCACCAATAAATTCAACAAAGAAGAAGGAGACACAGTAAACAAAGGGCAACAATAGAGGACGTCCAGCAGAGGTCAGAACCTCTGAGCCCTTTCAGGGGGCGGAGCTATGAGCTGACATTAGTCACAAAAAACAAAAACAGCCTTGAGAACCGGACTGCTCAGTGGAAATGTGACTTTTGTGATGAAGACCGTCTCCATGGTGACAGGTTAAAGTGTTCAAACTCGGCAGCAACACCAGTGGAGGCTCATGGGTAATGTAGTATGTAGAAACATACAGAGTAAGTTTACAGCAAGGGGGAAACACCTCTGTCTGCAGAGATTTCTTTTTTTAACCCAAAGTGGGCGTACCTGAGTCAGGTGACACGCGTGTGATCTCAGCAGCTTCCTGTCTCGACCTGCCCCTCCGACAAACACACTCGACATCAAAGACGCACACCAGCATCAGTTACTGTCAGAGTGTGTGTGCCCAGACGGGCCATTAGTGCAGCTAAAGCTGTGTGTTTACAGACACTGTCATTACCTGCTCAGAGTGTGTGTGTGCGTGCGTATTTGTGTGAGTGTTTGTGTGTGTGTGTGTGTGTGCGCTGCAGACTCCTAAATTATCTCCACAGTTCTCTAAATTCAGTGAAATTAATGAATACTATGATTTATTTTCCCCTGAGCTAAACGCTGTTAGCCGTGGAGCTAACGGTACCTGAGTGTTGTGGTTTTTCGTGCTTGTCGTCAGGTGTTCTCTCAGATCTCTCACCTGTTCTTTGAAACAGGAAGCTGCTGTTTGGATTATTTGTCCTCAGAAACACTTACAGAGATTTGATCTGTTCTCAGCCTCAAATGCCGCTCCTCTGTTCCCTCCGATTGTTTGGATGTGCTCAGATCTTATCGCAGAGTCGGTGAACCAAACAAGAAACTTCAGTGTTCAGTCTCAGCTGAACTCCATCTGGAGGGAAAAACAGCATGAAGCGCCCGTGGAGCTGGGCTGCATGTGCATGCGGGCGACCTCTGGCCGCTTCTTTGCTCCTAGAAGAGGAAGTAAGATGTCCTACTTGATTTGATTGGCTGCGTAAGACAAAAGTGACATTCATGAGCGCTGTGACTCTGCGTCTTGGGCTGAAAAGTTGAACTTTTCAAAAACTTTTGTGTGCGCCCAAAAAACTTCACTAAAAAAAGCGTTGTGCAGCAGCAAAGAAGAGCGCCCTGCAAGCGCGCTGCATCAGAGGAAAACTCTGGTTCCGCTTTTCTAGCGATATGTCTGTGTGCTCAGTACCTTAGATTACGTGATTAGCATGCTAACATTAGATTATTTGCAGTAATCGAGGGTCCAGCAGAGAAGTGCTGTCGGAGGTTCTGCAAGTTTTTGGATGTAGATTCAAATATTAAACATATTTAAATTCTGACATGATGGTTGCGCTAGAGGGGACGTCACAGAATATCCAAAGTTTTACTAAGCTGCAACCACTAATGAAGCCGATGCTGAAGTGTAAAATCCTGCAGTTCCTTGAGTGTCCACTAGAGGCTGGCTGCAGAAGCACAGGAAGTCACATACACACCCATTCAAAAAAGCCTGTTTTTACAGCAGAGATTAACATGTTTACAGCCTGTTTCAAAAACCCAAATAGGTCTGATTAGCTCATGTCTCGATCGGCACACACTGTACGGGGGGGGGGGGGGGGGGTGAATGTTTTGATGACTCATCCGTTTTGATTTGATGAAGGATAAGAGTTATTCACAATAAGGCGTGTAGCTGACATGATTGACAGGCGGGTGCGGTGTAACGGTTTGTCTGGAGGCTTAAAACCCGCCTCAGCTCCAGCTCTCAGCCTATCTTTAGGTTGACTGAAAGTTAGGCTGATACAGCATTTCCAGCATGGAGACCACCATCGATGGAACTCCAGCGCCCCCTGCAGGAACAGATGGTTGGATGTCAGTCATGCTTCATATTTTAATATTTACAGTCTGTGGGGATGAATGCTGGTTGGAGGAGCCCCCCCATGTGAACTCTTGCCTTGAGCCCCAACATTTCTAGAATCACCAACGCTTCAGAAACCGAGTGACCACTGAGACTACGTTCATGTTGTTTACAATCGTCTGATACAGAGAAAATTGTATGACTTTTTTTAAACTCATGGCTCGTTTTCAAGTGGATCAAAGAGGAGGCTGCTCTCTCTCTCTCTCTCTCTCTCTCCCTTCCTCTCTCTTTCCCTTCCTCCCTCTCTCGCTCCAGCTCCTCCCAGGCTTTTATATTTAAATGCCAGGCGAGCCAGCAGGTAAACTCTCTCTCTTCTCTCAGTGAGTCTCACCTGAGCCTGAACATCATTCAGTCTGCAGCTGTGTGTGTCAGGTCCACACACACACTTCTGAAGCGTTCAAACACTGAGGATTTTCATCAAAAGATTTGTTAACCGGACAGGTGAATGTAAAGAAGCACAACCTGTGGACAGAATCAGCTCTTCTCTTCTCCTGAACATTTTATGGACGATTTAAACGATGTGTTTGATGGATGAAAGTGGTCAACAGGGGGACGTCTGCATCTTTTGAACATCTTTCAAATCACTGAAGAGAAATGGACGACCACATGAACCGTGTTTGGATCTCTGAGCGTTGATTCTGAAGTCAAGAGAGGCTGAAATATTTCAATTAACTGATGACCGTTGGACATCCAGGATGGATCTGTCCACAGTCCAGACATCTTCTGAGGCCTTTACTCTGATTTAACAAGACATTTAGAGACACAACGGTGAAAATAACACTCAAATAAAACTCCAAAGACACGGACGACTTCTCCAAGTACACTTCCTCTCAAACAGTTTGAAAACAGGACTATAGAGGAAACTTCTCAGAGGTCCAAGTTTTGAAAACAGAACATTTAAAGGTTTTTGGACCAGACGGTTTTTTAGGGTTCAAAGCGAACTGAAGACGGACTTTCAAGAGACATCTTCGAGGTGTTTCCGTTATTTCCTTCGCTCTGACTTTGGACCTTCCTGCATGCTTGAGGATCCTTTTTAAACCACAAACTGATCCAGAGACGACGGCTGGAATAACCTCTGACCTCTGAACCAGGTTTGATTTTTATTTAAACTGGACTCTAAATTAGTTATTTTTCTTAATATGACCTTAGAGGGTCTGAAGGTCATTTTTAGAAAGCTTTCAATACGAGTGGTTTCATTAAAGGCTGACTTCTTTCAAATTTGCTCCAAAAACTTTTAGACAACTTTAAAATATATATTTTTTTGATTTAATAAGTTTCCCTTTCCCCCGATCAAAGGCTTTTGAGAAACGCCCGCCAACATTACCAAGAGGAAAATCCAAGGTATCTGATTGGATGTCGACCTCACGCAGGTTGGTTGTTTTTGAGCTAGAAAATGACGGGTAACTTCGCAGTTCAAGAAGCAGACCGGTGAGGCGGGATCAAACCAAGGTTGTTGGCGGCACACAGGCGTGATGTTGATGTGTCGCCCCCTGCTGCTGACATGGGTGCTGCTCACCGCCAGAGTCCGGAGTCAGAGCTGGAGACCCTGCACAGGTATGCGGTTGGAGAGAGAGATATGTCTTAACAAAGAAGTCCACAAGAAAATGTTTTTTTATTTGCCAGGATTGATAGATCGTTGGATTCTTTATATCAATTGAATTGTACTTCGGCTACATCAGAATGACAGAGCAAGATTCTGTTTAGCCTAGCTTAGCACAAACACTGAAAGCAGAGGGAAACTGCTAGCCTCGCTCCACCAAAAGCAAAACATCTACGGTCGGTTTTCTCTAAACCTCCTTGTTGTAAGGCTAACAGTGAGGTTGAAGAAGTAAAAATCCTGTTTATTTTCTCGGTAGTGGATTAGATTATGAACCATGATGTCATAACCATCATAGATAGACTGATCACGAGCTACCCGAGTGTGTAACAATGGTTTCTGCCATGAAACACGAGTTTGTCTGACACGAGTTTGTCTGATATTGACCTTGTTTAAAGAACAACACGGTTTATTCAGGACGTTGGGGGAAAAGAACTACACTATCACAGCGATGTCTCTGATTGTTGGAGCTCGCTGTTACCATGGCAATGTTTCCCGCCCCTTGGCGCCATATGCGAACGGATCATTTTGCTAGCAGGCTAGCTGGTTCGTAAACTAACAGTAAATGTACTAATAACCTTGTCATGCCCTAGTGAATGTAATTTATATATTCAACAACACAAACTACAACATAATACAACATGTGTATTAACAGAATAAACACGATAGCGACGACTTAAGGTGCATTAAGAAGAAAAAAGATTGCGGGATTGACTCCAGAAGAAAAATATATACACAGTCTTGTACCTTTACCTTTTTCTCAGTTTTTAACGCTGTTTTGGCACTGAATCAAATGAACTATAGTCATGAATAATGGGGTAACTGGTTGTCATGGTTACAAGCTTTTATCTCTTCGATATAAAGATTTTCTGAAATGTCAATGGAGGATTTGAACAGGGAACCAGAGCCATCAATAAAAGTGAGCGGTCTTCAAAGTTTGGGTTGGGCCTCAATCATTAGATACCCAGAGAGAGAGGCTCCAAACAAAGAAGAAGACAGAGTCGCCTGGTTTCAATAGAGAAGTCCATGCAGTCGTAAAGTCTGAAATAAACACAAGGTACCTGTGCCCTAATGAAAGGATGAGCGCCTTACATAACATACCTTGTGGCCATTAGTCACCTTCGCAACCAAAACAGCATCGCCACCTTCAACCCCCCCAGGCTGTGGTGATGTGAGCTCCAGGTAGTGTCAACGCCCATACTACCTACCCCCACCACATGGCGCCTTTTGGCCCCCGTAACTCAACAGTGTGGGCTGATGGGCAACAATAGCCAGGACATCACCCGGGATGTCAAGTGGGAACCTCCCTTCACTGGTGTTTCTTCAGATTAGTCCCATCACACGTCGGGACAGTGCCAGAGTCATCCCCAGAGTAGATCATAAAATGTTCCTACCTTTGATTCATTCCCTCTGTGAACATCTTGAGTTTATGGTCTCAATCTTTAGATTCAAGTCTTCTTCAGCACTGAGTGATTTTCATTTAGTGAATAATGATCCATAAAGCGGGGGAGGGTATAAAACATACTACTACATACATTTACAGGTGTGTTTAATGTGATTCAGACATTTCTGAGAAGCTTTGTTCATCTTTGTATTTCATGTCTTTGAAACGTGAGATCTGTTTCTGTACATGTCGTCCCCTCCCTCCATTCATCCTCCATTCATCTTCCATTGATCCCTCTGCAGCAACAAAACACACAGACGGTCTCAGAGGAGCTTAAAGGGGAATTCCTGCAGAAATATAAAATTGAACTTTAGCTGTCAGTTTAGAGACAAAGATTTAAACTCTCTTTGCACCTCTCCCTTGTTGTAACTTTGCATCTCAGTTGTTTACTGTGGTACTCTTATTTCTGTAGGTCATTATGTGTTTAAAACTACCTTCATGTTGTCACATTATGTCAAGAAAAATGGATCCACAAACTCTTTAAGGTTAAAAAAAAATTCACAAAGTATTTTCCAGAATAATTACATAAATGTGTTTTACATCATCCTGGATACTCTGCAACTTTGTACATGATTCTGAATCTTACGCTGTAGGCCTGCGTGATCTGTTACGTGGGTCAGTCTATTTATCCGTTGTTATTTAGTCTGTAAATTCATCTGTTAACGCTACAAATCCTTAAATTTAATTTCAGATTACTCTGACTATACAAACCTCCTCTGAATGTAACTGTAGGAGTCATTGTTTAATATTTCACGTTGAGTAACTCTACATTATATTCTCAACGTACAGACTGAGGAGCGTTCATCTTCATCTCTCACCTTTAGAAGATAACGGCTCCTGTAACAGTGGCTCTGACTGGAACAAACGAGATAATAGTACGAGGAACCTGAGCTGACATAATCTGATATCTGTTACCTGTCACACCTTTGTTGTTATTTTTAGATCACCACTGAAACCACAAATAGAGGAATGAAACGCCCCCCGAGGTTAACGTGAAAAAAATAAACAGCGGATCTCGAGTGTTGTCAGCGATCATTTTCATCTGAGAGGTGATAAGGATTCAAATACGTCTGACCACAAGATAGAAACTCTTATCAGTCCCAGTTAGAGGAAAACATCTTCAGGTTATAAAACAGCTGTTGTGAAACACCAGCAGAGATTTAGAAAAACTCTTCATTACTTTATTTATGGTTTTTCACACACGCATTCCAAAAAAATATCTAGATCATTTCAGGAGGACTGCTCCGGAGATCCTCCTGACCTGGTTGTTCACACATGATGTTCACAGATGTGACGTAAAATGAGAGAGTCCTCTACACAACGCTGTAATGAGAATATCTGTCTTTATATCAATGCTACGTGTAGTTGAACAGAATCACAATCTGAACTAAAGAGTGGAGAAGAAAATACTAGAGAACAGGAAACATAATGCAGCAGGTTCATTAGAGCACGGAGATCGGTGCAGACTAAAAGAGGTGGCGTGCAGACAGTCTATGGTCGTGCAGCGACCACAGGGAATAAACGTCACCACCCCCTCCCACTCGCTCCAGGTGAATCCTCCTGATTATATCCTGCTGCGTTCTCACATCAGCTCACTCTGACTTTCTGCAGAATAAATACGAGGAGGCTGGAGGAGAAACTCCGGGTGAAGAGAGAAACATTCAGCTGTTTGTGTTCACACATGACGCTCCTCCTCCAGCGTGCTCGTGTTGTTCTTACTCTCTGATGACGACACTTTGGATAAAAGCGTGTGATCCATGAATTGTAGAATTAAAGAGAGTTTGTGTTCCCTCTTCAGACCTGCTGCCTCTTGACCTGCTGACCCGAGCCCTGCCACGCCCAGACCAAGCCCAGCCCACACAGGTAGGCTACCTGAAGGTGTGGAGGAAGAGCAAACAACAGCTGAATGTGATAAAGTCCTCAAATAAACAAATAACTCGTTATTGATCAATCAGTTGCAGATGGTTCAGTCCAGAGGGTCCAGAGGTCTCCGACTGGGCGGCGTCTCGTCAACAGTGCTGAGTTTTCCCGCCTCCCAAATTTTCACCAACTGCGACTACTTCCCTTCAGAGTTCTCATTGGTCACCACCATCAAGATACCCAGACTGAGACAGAAGGTGAACCAGTTGAACTGAACAGAACCAGTTCTGATCCAGTCTGATCCTGTTTTAACCTCTTCCTCTTCTCTCTGCCTCCAGAGGAACGAGTACGTCTTCTCTGTGGTCGAGGAGGAATCTGATTTGCTGTTGTTAGGGTTACGTGTCTCAGAGAACAGCCTCCACCTCTTGGTCACGGCCCCCGGTGGTGGGAGGCGGAGCCGGATGACCTTTAAGGATGTTGGATTGGATGATAACCGTTGGCACACCGTGGTGCTGGCTGTCACCGGACCGTATGCCACGCTGACCGTCGACTGTGGGCTGTCTCTGGAGCTGTGAGTTCCGGAGTTTATTTCTTCTGGACTAAGTTCAGTCTTCAGATTTGTTTTCCCAAAATCAATCTGGTTTATTTAAGACTGGTTTACTTCAGTCCACCTAGGGTCAGACTGGTTCAGTGTAGCTTTGTTTAGTCATCTGTAAACGTTAGCAAAGCTACATCTATAGCCGTTAGCCACCTGGATAGTAGCCATGCCTTCTACAACGTATACAGGGGGATTTTAATAAAAGGTATGATGGCTAAATTATTGTCACACGTGATAACAGTTCCCAATGGGACAAGCACAGCGTTGAGGCATACAGGGGCACATGAACGTAGGCTCTCGCACCCCTTCCACCAGCCCAGCACCTCCTGCATTTTGAAACCCAAATGTTGGCAGGTACGGGCTTTATGTACCGTATTTTCCGCACTATAAGGCGCACCGGATTATAAGGCGCACCTTCAATGAATGGCCTATTTTAGAACTGTTTTCATATATAGGGCGCACCGGATTATAAGGCGCATAGAATAGAACGTGTTTACAACTGAACAAGGCTGGGAGATATTGTGAATATATAAATATAAATACGTATAAAACATAACGTATAAAACTACAAAAACAAAAGTACATAAGACGATTTCCCCAAATAATAAATTATTTCTTTGACGTTTCTCTTAACTCTCAAAACGTAGTTTTATACGTAGTGCATTCACAATAACTCAACGTTGTTCAAACGTTAATGTGCATATTCACAATATCTCCCAGCCTTGTTCAGTTGTAAACACGTAAAAGAAACACAGTCTGATACCGCTAATTCAAACGTTAGTGCAGGGGTGCCCAAACAGTCGATCGCGATCGACAGGTAGATCGCTGACTGATTCTCAGTCGATCGCAAGATGTTTTGTCAATATAAAATACAATTGTAAAATAGAAAAGTGATTTCAATTTCATCTCATTGCACTGTTTCCCACACACGATACCTGTGTTGGGAGCCCAAGTATACTTCCGACCTGTGTGTATTTAATTTTTCATTTATTCATGAAATTGCTGCGTGCATGAGAGAGCGAGCGAGAGAGATAGAGAGAGAGAGAGAGCGCGCAAGAGAGAGAGTGCAGGCATGCGCAATGACGTGCAGGTAAAACCGGGGGGTAAATGTTTTACCAAAAAGTCATATATAGAAACTATGCTACGAGTATTAAGCGCATTTGATGAAGCTGCAGCTACTTTTCTCTGCTCCTCTCTGCTGTCATGACTGTGAGCATCGCGGGGGACGAGACACACCAACAAACAGCGCACATGCACACGCACACGCACACGCACACACACACGCACACGCACACACACACACACACACACACACACACTTGCACTGGAGCGCCAGCCACCACGCGAACCTTTTTACTTTTTACTTTTAGTGCTACAGCACACAGTTGATCCGTGATCCGTACGGACCGAGGTGGGAACACACGTGACCCGGTCAAACAGTCGGTTGGACTTTACTCTGTTCACTCTCACCGTGTCTGCAGCTAATTTAACAAAAGCAAAATCATCTCACAGCAGCCTGCTGTAGTCTGTAGTCTGCATTATTTTTTACAGAACTCTCATTTATTATTTTCTGTTTGTTGTGTGAGTATTAAATGCGTTTGTCGGCTGTTGGTAAAGGCTATGGCTCACTATGTGGACTGGTAGATCTCGGCAGACTGGTAACTTTAAAAGTAGATCTTGGTTCAAAAAAGGTTGGGCACCCCTGCGTTAGTGCATAACTCAACATTGTTCAGTTACGTATAACACGTAAAGCTCACTTTTTCAGTTCATTCCCCGTCCACGAATCCCTCGAATTCTTCTTCAGTGTCCGAATTGAACAGTTGGGCGAGTACGGCATCCAACATGCCTGGCTCCCTCTCGTCATTATCCGAGTCAGTGTCGCTGAGCGCCGTGTACAACCAGTATGGATCAACCAATTAACCAATTGATCCATATATAAGGCGCTCCGGATTATAAGGCGCACTCTCGTTTTTTGAGAAAATTAAAGGCTTTTAAGTGCGCCTTATAGTGCGGAAATTACGGTACAAAAAATTCCAGTTGTAGTTGCACTAACACAACAAGTCGACTATTTTTAACACCATGTAAAGGTTAAGAGTTGGACAGGTCTTTGAACAAAAAGTCAAGGTGTTGCATTAACTGGTTTCCTGTCTCCCAGTAAACAGGTTCAGTCATTTCCCAGCACTCTCAGCACCAGAGGGTCCAGGATGTTCATCGGCAGCCGGAGGAGGATGAGGGGACGATTCTCTGTGAGTCTGTGAGCAGAATCAGACTCACAACTTTAGTATCTAAATGAATACAGAAACCAGATGTTACACCTAACATCTCCTGGTTCTGTCTGTCTTTAGGGACTACTCCGTCAGCTGGTTCTACTTCCTGGTTCAGATGCCACGCCCAGACTCTGTCCAGCAGCTGACCCCAGCCTGGTCGAGCTGTCCATCCCCCAGATCCTGAAGTCCACCCCACTCCGGCCGGACCATCAAGGACCAGTTTACCCGTATGGTGAGGAGGAGAGGAAAGTCTTCAAAAATGTAATCAAATGCCAACAGGGAGGAATAGCCTTAAAAGCTTAAAAAATGTTTAACTATGGTCAGAAATTATAAATATAAATATGTAAAACCTTGAACAACTTTTTCTTAACACAAAAACAGAAAACATATGATTTAAGCCTTTATAAGAGAGACATGAGAGTGGATAGCGTCATTTATCAGGGAGAGTGAGAGTGGGAACTGACGTGGGCTAAAGGAGCCACAGGTCAGACTCGACCCCGGACTGCCCGCCTGGAGGACTGTTCTCTTTTCATGGGTGCACAAACTGACCACTAGGCCAGCGGTGTCCTGACAAAATATTTTAGAGTGAGTGTGAATTTCAATCCCTGATGATATAAAACATACATTAACGTCTATAAATTCTCTTAGAAATCGTTGAAAAACAGAAACACCTTGTGCTGCAGAACCTGCCTGAGATTCTTCAGGATTCTTAGTTTTCTTTAGTTTCAGAGTTATCCAGTTCATGGATACCCTGCTAACAGGAGATGCTAACAGCTAATTCAGCAACAGTTAAAAGTAAAGTTTAAAATGTACAAATAGGCTGAAGTTGTTATTCTGGTAATGAGTTCTGACAGAAAGCAGCGACTCAGGATCACATGGGGGCACTTCGAACTCTCTGACCTTCAGTGTGTTTGCTCTTTAGTTGTGATGGTTTCAGTGATTCAGAAACCTGAGATACAAAATGACTGAAAGCATGGAAGTGTGTGTGTGTGTGTGTGTGTGTGTGTGTGTGTGTGTGTGTGTGTGTGATTGACAGGTCTTTATAGCTATTGGTTTTATATTTCTCTGTGTGTTTGTGTCTGTGTGCAGCCAGCAGTTTGATTGACAGCTGGGGTCTGTTCTTCTGTTTGATGTGTGTTTCCATGACAACATAGTGAAGTCAGACTGGTGCTGAGGTGACGGTGCTAACTTTCAGCTTTCAAAAACTCATCATCATGCAGGTGTGTTGTTGTTGTTGTGGCGCCCCTGTGTATAACAGTCTTTACCATCACCTTCAGATGTTTAAATAAAAGTAAGCGTTTCAGAAGGATGTCAGATTAATCTGTGGGTACATGGAGGTTAGCTTAGCACAAAGACAGAAAGCAGAGGGAAACTGCAAGCCTAGCTCAATCAAAGATCGACAGTGTGTTTCAGTAACTTCATGATGACTTCATGATGGTCTTTTATTAAAGTTTTGATTTGTAAACACCACCAAGATGTCAGCATAAAAATAAACCAGAGTCAGGTTTGGTTTCATGGTTCGATTTGTTGGATGGATCGATATTTTTTGGGTTTGATGGATAGAAGGAAGGATGGCTGTATGGATTGATTGATTGATTGTTGGTTGGCTGTTTGGTTGGTCAGTTTCAGGTGGATGAAACTTGTTGATGATGGTTGTTTTGTATCTCACTTTATTTTAGTTTTTCTCTGTGCTGTCTGTGTTGATAACATCCTGACTGATCCCCTCCAACCTCTCATAGAGTCTTATGTCATTATTGTGGATAAAAAAGATAAATCTTTAATTGAAGATTAATCTGATATCCATCAGAAACGTGAGCGGACAGAACAATCAGGAGGATTTGATCAGTCTTTGTGAGCAGCCTGAGGCTCAGAGTTAATAAAGTTCATCAGACAGAACTTTGTGTGTGTCTGATGATATCTTTGTCTTTATGACTCACAGTTTATATCAACCTGAATCAGTCTGTGTGTTTGAAGTACATACCTGAACAAAGACAGAGCAAACAGAACAAAGTGGACTGGACTGAAGGTTTGACTTTTATTAATGACTCACTGCTGTGATGAGGATTTCTCTGTAATTCTGTTTGTTTGGAGACATAAGAAACATCATTAATCTGTTAATCTCCCACTTAGTGAAGACATGTTTGAATCAAGATGACAAACAATCTTCACATTTATTTGAGTTTTAGGTGATTGTGGCTAATGCTAATAGGCTGTGAGTTTGTGCTAATAAAGGGAGGAAGCTAACAGGACCATGTCAAGGTGTTTTGCTAACAAACTGAGGCTAACAGGGTTTCCGTCATGGTGTTATGCCGACAGACCGAGGCTGCAGCATTTAACAGTAGACGTCATGATTTTCTATGATCTAATGCCAAACACAACATATTATACATTAAAATATCATGCTAACAGACTGATGCTAAAGCTAACAAGTTCATGATTTTAAAATACTAGATTAGGAATCTAACAGGTCCAAAATAAAACTGCTAACAAACTAAGCTCAAACTAACGTGTTTCAAAGTAGCATTATAGTGATAATATCCTAACAGCTCGTCTAAATCTAACAGGTGTGAAGTCATGATATAACGTGTAAAGAGTGATGCTAACGCCAACAGGTCATACATTCAAAAATCATGCTTACAGACTAAGGCTACTTACAGAACCAGGTTCACACATCGGTGCTAGCACACAGAGGCTTAAGCTAACAAGTCCTAGGCTAACAGACTCGGGTTGATCTGATACATTTAATAATAATAACAACATTCTGATTTAATGCAGGGTGATGAAATAAAGTCTAAATGTCAGAACAATTGTTGAAGCCCAATGAAGACTTTCTGAGTACATGACTTCCCCCATAGCATCATGGGTATTGTAGTTCCAGAACTCACAGAGTGAATATCATATAGAGGTAAGACAGAGAAAAATAACAGGTTTTCCCTGAAGGACAGGTAACACGTGAGGTAAACGTGTCCTCTGGCAGGTGAAAGCTCCTCAGCAGCCTGTGTCTACTCACGCTCAGTCGTCTACCTCCAGGTGATGTCGACTGGTGTCTAATGATGTGAGAGTCATCGCTCTCTGTCTGCTCTTAATAAACACTTGTGGTTAAAAGAGTGGTGAAGGCCGTCATTACTCTCCCTTCATTAACATGGAGCTGTCAGTTCACCTCCATCCGTCAACCACACACTCAGATACAGTTACTGTTTCAAATCAGACCAGAAGAGACGACTGATAAAGGTTTCAGTCACTGCGGGGTCGTTCCTACAGGAAAGGGACTTTCCATCACTCCGCCTCTGTCTGACCTGTCTGCTGTCATGTCGAATACACTTGAGTAAAGACTTCATTAACTTCTACAGTGCCACATCCATCTGACAGCGCTTTTGTAGTATAGTCTTAATGTAGCGCCCGGCATCAAGGCCTGGAGGGTAAGAGGAGTGGAAAGTGGCGTCCACCATTGCACACTCGAGCTGCAACACAGGCTTCTTAATTTACCTTCTCCTCTGAAAGCCACATGCTTACATCACCTGACAACCTCAGAAACACAGAGATTTGGGGGATGAAGTGTGCTCTTTTGTTCCCTCTCAGCGGAGCGTCTATCAGGGTTTTCTGTCAAACATTGCACTCTGTAGAAGAACCTGGACTCGTCTCCTCGCCGGTTAGAGCGTCACATTCACCAACTACTGTCTTTAGTGGTTGGCGGATGTATGTCGCTATATAATGACGTTCTTCTATGACCTTTACACCCTGATGAAGGCAATAATGAGCTGAAACACGACTCAAATGACCATGATTCACATGACCACGAAACAAAGTACCATGATTCCGACGATCACAACTAAAACGACCACAATACAAATAACCTCGACTCAAATGGGGCGGCTGTGGGTCAGTTGGTAGAGGTGGCCGTCTCCTAACCATCGATGTCAAACTGTCTTTAGTTTAAAAACTAAAACTGGTTAAAGACGGTGAGACTGGTGACTCTCCGAAGCGTGCAGCAGTAGGAAGCCTTTCTCCAGTGTGAAGTCATAGAAAGCTCTGATTGGTTAAAGATTTCTGCTTCTTTTGTTGTTAAATTGAGTAGATTTATTCTTATTGGCTCATAATATCTTGTGTTTCTTTTTCTTTTTCTCTTGAATTTAGTCTGCTTTGAAATTTAATAACGATTTTCAGGTTTTCATAGTTTAAAAAAATAACCATGTCAAGTTTGTCGATTAGAAGAGTATTTAAAAAGAAGAAACTCAAATTGGTTCCAAACTTTAGTAAAAAAAAATTCCACCGCTGCCTAACAATCTGTTCACAGTTTCAGTTTTTATCTTTGTTGTCTTTCGACTTCATGTTGAACCATCAAAGTCCTGAAGGCGTGTTGTCGGTTTGGTTGTTTTAGAGGCCGAGGCCAGAGTGACCACAGGACATCCTCCTCAGTGTTCAGGCCCAGAACAAGGTCAGCTGTGGTTCAACACTCGGAGGAGAGACCTGTTCATCTGTGACGGAATCACCTGGAGGACGCTGTTGCAGAGTGAGTCCGTCACCTGGGAACATTTGTGTTCTTTTCTTTTTCTTACTCTGGAAATATTCTGAATGTGTTCCACCTGTGATCTCGTTCTTACCACTGATCGCTGTGCACGCTACAATGACTGTATCATACTTCTACAACTTGGACTCTCTGTAGATAAGGAGCGTCTGGACTACGTGGAGGACTATCAGGACCTGTACACCAGCTCAGAAACCTTCGACGTGGAGGTTTTCTCCATCCCGTCTGAAGGCCTGTTCATGGCTGCAGCCAACAGGTACTGAAACCCGCCAGGGGACTCAGATCTCATGTAGAACAGGACGGGTTCTTTGACTTTAAAATCAGAAAGAGATAACGGCATGATTCTTTGTGTCTCATACCTGCTTGATCTCGTCCTGCAGGGACTCTCTGCCCGGCTCCAGGATCTACAAATGGAGAGACGGGTTGTTCCAGCTCTACCAGAACATCAGCACTCAGGAGGCTCGCGCGTGGAAACACTTCACCATCGAGGACAAGGTGAGAGCTGCTCTAACTCAGAACCTTTTTCACTCTAAGGGCTCACTCACACAAGGCCCAGTTTACCTGTACCATACTGAATAGAGGTCTTCAACCTGACTTAAGCACAATGGAACCTGAGACCCGACTTCGGGTGTTTTAATTCATGTTTATATCCATACGTTTTTCCTACAGCCTCATTTAGATCTCACCTGAACAGATTTCTGGCATTTAGACAAAATTGTACCTTTCATTATAAAAGACAACTCATTAAAAAAATGTTGGGTTTTAGTCGGACTCGGGCCTGTGAATACAGTAAATGGGTTGGGCCTGGCTCGGACAGAACGTTCACAGGCTCGGGTAGGGTCGGGCTGGATTTTTTGGGCAATCTTTTTGGGTACAGATGACCGATGTGACCGTGCCCTAATACTGAAGCCTGATTGTCCCCAGTCCCCTGCTGGCCTGCCCTCACACTGCTCCAGGCCCAACCGGGTCTGAGTATGTTTACCTCTTGTACATACTTCATCATGCTGTAGTACGCCGTATACTGATACTAATTTAGTTACAGTAGCATGAAAACATTTTTTCTTCAGACCTAATAATCTAGGATAAACCAGGATTGTCTCATCATTAGCTCGTTATCTTGACCTTCAGGAAAACAGAAACAAATCCAGTGTCACAACATTTACGATACAATATGAAGAGAAACCATATGAAAAGGAAAGATAGGACTATTTGTCCCCGAAGGTTGGTTTGTTTTTGACTCGACGGCTGCACACTTTAAGCTTCTTCTACAGAAGAATCAATAAAAAGAATAAACACAAACAACAATTCAGAAGTAAACAGATACACACACTGATGAAATACACCAACGATTAACACTTTATATTACACAAGATCTGCGTAGATATTAATATTTATAAAAAGATAAAGAGCTTCAGATATCTGTGTTGATGTTGTGACATTGTAAACAGTCTGGTCGTAATCCGACAAGTTAATAAGCTTACGAATGATTGGTTTGTCTGCAGTAGAGAGAGACGTTAGCTTTACCACTGCTAATGTGAGGGTTATCTCTGACCTCAGTTTGACCTCTAACCCTGGGGCCTGTGGTTGACATGTGACTCTGAAGGGTTCAGGCTTTCATGTTTTCAGGGTGAACTTGGCACACTCGGAGACGAGCGTCTTTAAAGGACAAAGAAAGGGAGACTGGAACAAAAGGAGTGGTGTTTGTTCAGTGTGTGACGTTCATATGAACCAACACACACTGACAGGTGGGCGCACAAAGCTCTACAGAGAGAGCTTCAGGAACTAGTCGACTGCAAGTCAGATGCTGAGCTGATGATGTCTGCACACGGTGGGTTTTATAACATTGAAGTTGCACTCAGAGACCTTCGGTAGGCACCAAATGTCAAACTCCTCCATGATATTGCTTAAAGTAGGTAGTGCGTTCAGGATTTGTAGTAAGCTATTTTGTGTATGTGGGAAATGTTCACTACATCAGCCGTATTTTTAAAGCACACTGGTTATACTAAATTGCCCCACAATGCATTGCGGCTCTTAACGTATATCCTGTGGCGAAGCTTGCCAGCCGGCCAACGAGTGTAAGTAAGGGCGCGGTCACACTGGCCATCCATACCGTGCTGTACCCAAGCAGATTGCCCCCCCGCAGCGCCATTCCCCCGCTGGCCAGCGCGGCCCGCGGTCACACTACACAGGACTATCCGTACCTAAGCACGATTACCTCTTGTACATAACGTCTTAATACAACACATGCATGCTTTATATTATTATGAAGCGCGCTCAGTTTACAAACAGGCGGACGAGAGAGAGAGAGACAGAAAAAGAGACGCGCAGTCGAGTCCGCGTCTGCACAGAACATGACAGCTACTTTTCTGACTTTACAGCTCATTTTAAGCCATTTTAATCAGACATAGCAATAAATAAATTAAAAAATAAAATAGACGCGCGGCCGAATCCACAGGCGAGTCCGCAGCCGCACATCGGAGAACAACAAAGAGCATGACAGCTACTTTACTGACTTTACAGCTTATTTTAAGCCATTTTAATCAGACACAGCAATAAATAAATAAATTGTTCTCCGATGTGCGGGCATCCATGCGGACTCACGCACGGACTCGCGCGCGGAGCAACACAGAGCATGACAGCTACTTTGTGTCTTATATTGTGTCATTTTAGTCAGACACAGCCATGAAACTCTGGATTTCTCCATAATGAAGGCTGTCAGCGTCGTTTACCCATGTGCTTGTGCTCGTGCATGAAGTGTACCGTGAAGAAGTGAAGCACACCTCTCCGAAGTGTGCCAAAGCCAAGGAAGTGTACCGTGCCTGAGCACGATCCGGAGCAGTCACACTGGTCAAACGAACTGGACTTTAGGGTTGAAGCGTGCTTGGGCACAGTACGGATGGCCAGTGTGACCGTGCCCTAAATGTAACTGTAATGTAAGATGATGTTCTCATTTACTGTTGGCTGTTTAGCATCAGAGGTCTAAGGTATGCAGACCAGATACAGCCCGTCTGGGTTTTTGTATGAGGATCCCTTTATTTCTGCCTTTATTTAACTGATGTACATATGTTTGATTTTGATTTTTAATAATTCTATTCCTTTTTCCTGTTTTCTTGAGCTGCTGTGATGAAAAAATTCCCCCCATGGGGGATCAATAAAGTTTATCTTTATATTTATCTTTATTAGATCAAATTGTTTTTGTGTTAATGTTGTTGAGTTTTTTTGTTTCTATGTGTCAGATTTTTCTGGTGGTGGCGAACTCCAAGGAGGCAGAGCCTGAGCTGTCTGTCATCTATCGGTGGAATCAGCGTCGGCGGCGTTTTCTCCGTCATCAAACACTGGAGACTCACTCGGCTTTGGACTGGGAGGCCTTTCAAATCCACAACGACAGCTTCCTGGTGGTGGCCAATCACAGACGAGGTAAACAGGAAGTAGAATGGACTTATGATGCAACTTTTTCACAAAAAAAAAAATTCAGTCCCGACAAAACTTATCAGAAGATTTCTGTAAACCAAAGAGATTTTTAGTTCAACAACCTTAACACACCACTGCTGCTGATGGTTTAAATCTCTGACAAACCAGGTCGGACAAAAACGAACCTCGAAGCTTTTTAAAAAAACAGTTTGAACCATTTCAGGGAAACTAGAGTTTTAAGATTTTGTCTCGCCCACAACTTCTCAGAAAAACAGGACAGCTTTTCAGATTGAATGTACCCCAGGTGTCTGCAGTTCTTTTTTTAATGCTTTATAACAAACACAAAAGTAATCACAATGAAAGTTCATGACAAAGAAAATGTACCTTTTAAAGCTGTTTACTTTTTAAAAGAACATTTTTATGGTCTATAGCAGTTTTCAGCAAGGGTTCATGGACGATAAAATATGTTAGCCCTAAACTTAGTTCATATGTGTTCCAGTGAAGAGTCTCACCCTTTGATATCCCTGAGACTGCTCTTATTAATGACTGACCATCAGGTAGACACGGATGAGTTTCCTTCCTGGTTTAAAAAAATGTTTTGTGCGATCCTGCAATCGTGGGGATTTCTTTAGTTTGATTGGAAATTAAACATCTGAAGCAATAAAAATGTGGAGGAGTTCCCCCCGTTCCCTCCTTGGGCCTCTTCAGTTTAAAATTTACATCTTGCTGCTGCTACAGTTAAAGAAAACACAAGAGCATTTCACTGTATGCAGATGACTCACTGATTTATAGATCAATATCAGCAAAGAACAAGCATTCAGGGGTGTAATAGATGGATCACTGACTTAAATGGGCAACATGTCGTCAGGTAAACATAAAAACAGTCAGTTAACCTGTAGTCCAATGAAAACGGTTCATAAATGTGACTCCTGGTGAATCTTTATAGTTTAGAGAAACCTTGTGAGGAGGTTAAAAGGTTTGAGGTGCAGGATCAGGTCAGAGAGTTCAGAGCTCGACTCTCTGGGTTTTATTGAAACACTCACATCAAACACACCTCCTTCTGCTCAGTGTGTGTGTGTGTGCGTGTGTGTGCGTGCGTGTGTGTGTGTGTGAAGATTAAACTCAGCTTCTGAAAGAAAAACAGTGAAAGAAAAAGAGAAAGAAAGAGAAGGATGTAAAAAAAGAGGCAGCTGATGCAGGTGTACTGTGGTTAGATCACACACATGTGTTTGTGTTATGTTCTTTTCATGTCAGATTTTTTCCAGAGATTGAACAAGTACTCTCATCTTTGACTTTAGTCAAAGATGTAAAACCCTAGAGGAAAAATACTCTGTTAGGTAACCTTTATTCAAAAACCTTATAACCTTTTAACGATATTACACGTGTTCAATACAGAAGACACACACACGCCCCGTCCCCTCCTCTCTAGAGTTGATGCTCATGCAGGTTGCCATGTGGTGGACACTGAAGCTTCAGTGTTTAGTCAGCTTTGCATCGGTCTGTAAACCTTTCTGTGTTCTAAGCATCTCCAATATTGATCCTAGTTTGAGCACGTTTCTGCTCATGGAGCTTATTAGAAACATTTAGAGGCTTTATAGGTCGGGTACAATCACTTCTATCTGAACCAGTTCTCTCGCCCACTTCCATCGCTGCAACACCTGTTGGTTTGACCTGATGACTGGTCTCATATCTGGCAAACCGAGGGGCGTCCAAAATAACTGTGTGGGGGTGCCTTAAAACCGCCTACCTTCTCTGGTCCAAACAAATCCAGAGCATTCAGGACCAGAATCAAAAGTTAGAAGGAGGACATACTGGCTGCTGCATTGTTGTCAGAGAAGCCAGCACTTCAACATAGCATGTTTCCTTAATGTCTGATCATATAGTAAGGTCACTTATTCATTTCACTCACTACACATCTTACTGATTATAGTAATAATTTATAAGATTTCATTCATGAAACTTTTCATTCAGAGGACGTTTATTAAAGTTTAAAGAAATTAAAAAATGTCTCCATGTGTCCTCAGCCAGAGACTCCAACCACAACATCCACAGTGTGATCTACAGGTGGAGCCCAAACACAAAGGTAACACGTCCAAAATCTGCTTCACCTGTCCAACCCAGTGGGGTTGGGGGTTTGTCCACGTCTCTGTCAGGTCCTCCCTGTCCCATCATCATCTCTGGTGTTTCTGGGTCCTCTCTTACTTTGTCCTCTGTCGTCACTTCTCCTTCTCTTCTGGATGTTTTTGTAACTCGTCCTCCATCCTCTCCCCCGTCTCAACCTCAGCTGTTCGAAGTGAACCAGACTCTGTCCACGTCCGGAGCGTACGACTGGGAGTTCTTTTCCGTCGGGCCGTACCACTTCCTGGTGGTTGCCAACACCTTCGACGGTCAGACCACCACCATCAGCTCCACGGTCTATGTGTGGCTGAACGGCTGCTTCCAGACGTTTCAGAGCATCCCGGTCAGTCCAGTTTTCTTCGAGATCATTAAAGTAGGAGGATCTCTTTTTTGTCACCTGTTGCCATGGTGAATCGTAGAATCGGGGCTCCATTCATGTTGGCTTTTTATCATCGTGGTGCACGCACTGAACACCGGGTGGACCTACTCAGAGTTGTTTTAACAAATTGAAATCTGCTGATCTGGAACCGAAAACTCAGAGTTTCCCATCTGAGAGTACATCAACTCAGAGCTCAGGGTTAGACTGAGGGTTCGTTGAACCTTCTTTCAGAAACGGGCCCCAGGTCTGGTTCCAGGTCTGGCTCCAGGTCTGGTTCCAGGTCTGGTTACAAGTCTGTGATCCTGTGTCTTTGAATGTGGCACATTAACTAAAAAGAAGCAAAAGAAAAAAGTCCAGTGCAATCTTTCTCCGGGTATTGGATCTGCAGCTGTTTGATGATCTAAATGTTTGAAGGTGACCGGCAGCCTGCGAGTGTTTCCTGCTCCTGTAATTAACCTGCAGCAGGACGTCCTGCAGCTGAAGGTCAAACCGTCATCAAACATCAATGTGATGACAGACGTCGACATGAAAGAAGCTCCATCAAATCTCATTTATGACAAAATATGTTTCTCTGATTAAACAGGAAACCGAGCCCTCCAATTAAAACGCAGGAAACCAGAGCAGTGTAATTAATGAAGTGTGTGCGTGTTTGTGTGTGTGTGTGTGTGTGTGTGTGTGTGTGTGTCTGTGCATCTGTGCATCTGTGTGTCTGTGCGTCTGTGTGTGTGTGCGTGTGTGTTTGCGTGTGAGGGGGTTTCCATCAGCAGTTGAAACTCATCCTTCAGGGCGGATCAGCTGTTTGAAGACTTTTATTGGATTTTTAAAACCACAAAAAAACGTTTTTAAGCTTCTTGAACCTTTAATTCACCTTCTGACAGAAACATCAACGCACCGCTAACAACACCTGTAATAGATCTACAAATAGATCTCTGTTCACAGGTGGAGGCTGTGACATAAAAACCCTGCTGCTGCCCTCTACAGGCTGCATGAGGCATTACATCAAGCATGAAAAACAACAGGTTTCAATGACCTTCATTGACAATCTTTGGTTTTTGCAGAAGAGTCTGACACTTTCTGCCAATAGTCAGTGCGAGCTGCATTTGGTCAGCACCGCGCAATACGGCGCTGTTCGCTGCCACTCTAGTGAATGCTCCTGTTTCCACAGCTAGCGCCGCGGCCCGTCTCTGGAGAGTGCCAGCAGTGCCCCGCGTTCTCCTCTGTTTTAAATAAGCTCCAAGTCCATTTTTGAAGGAGCCTGACAGAAAGTCAGACAAGGACACGCACAGAGCATCCGGTCAACTTCAAAATAAAACACAACATACAGACTCCTGATTGTATGTACCATCACTTTATCAACATGACGTCAAAACCGAATGAACAACAAATCATCCTCAGAAAGACAAAGAGACATGTTGTTTACACGTGGTTCTCTTTATTCCTGCGTGATCTTGTAGTTCTCCTGTGATCTTGTAGTTCTCGTGATCTTGTAGTTCAGTTTTAAGCCACTGCTTTGGTTTAAAGACTACAGGCCTTGAGGCCCCCTGCTGCTGGTTTCCAGTTTGGTCCACTCTCTAAATCTTGACGGGTTTTTCCTGCAGACGATCGGAGCGACAGACTGGGAGACGTTTCAGATAGACGGCAGGTTTTTTCTGGCTGTCGCTAACAGTCAGATGATTTCAGGCCGCGGCCCGAGTCTCTACAGCATCAACTCCACAGTGTATGAACTCAACACACTCACTCAGACCTTCATCCGCTTCCAGGACATCCTCACACACAGGTAAGCACCTCGTCCTCCAAACCTGTGGGAGTCCGACTGCAGATTGACCCTCTCCCTCTGTTTCATCATCAAGAGTCAGTTTGCTTTAGATTCAGATGAGTTGCAGATATTCATTTTCATTTTTTTCTTCATTTAGCTGCAGTGGAGATTGATTCTAACAGACTGTGTTGTTGTTGTTGTTGTTGTTGTTGTTGTCATTGTCGTGTTCAGCGCGGTGGACTGGGAGTTCTTCACCATCGGAGACGACAAGTTTCTGGTCGTAGCAAACAGTCACGACGGCAGCTCGTACTCTCTGAACAGTGTTGTCTACAGGTGAGTAGTCTGCTGTCAGATGTTCTATACTTGGAGGTGTTGTTTTATTTTCATCAATGGCTTGTGTTTCCAGGTGGCAGGGTTACGAGGGCTTCGTTGCCGTCCATAGTCTGCCCACGTTCGGCTGCAGAGACTGGGAACACTTCAGCACCGAGGAGGGCTCCTTCCTTGTCTACTCCAGCGCCACCTCCAGGCTCAGCAAGGTCTTTAGACTCAGGACGTACTGAAGGAAACCCCAATAAAAGAAACCTCTAACTTCAGAGAGTTTCACCTTTAAACCTTCAGACTTCTGCAGTCGTCACCTTTGGGCTCAGCAGGGTCTTCAGGGACAGGAACAGACCGACTGAACCTGCATCCCACAGAGTTTGAGTTTTAAAACTAGAACCTTCTGCAGGACTCGACAGTCATCAAGTTCGAGCTCTTCGAGGTCTTCAAACAGCAGGAACAATCCTTTCAACATTTCCATCAAAGAGAAGAAACTGAGATTTCACACCTGCAGAGAAACTGTCTGAGTTTGTTTCTTCTCTGGTCCTTCAAAGACGATATGAAGAACTTTTCCTTGTCGTATTTAAAAATATAAGTTCAGTCATTTTAAGCTTGTGCAGTGGTTAGCTGTGTTCTCTCACAGCAAGGAGGTTCCTGGTTTGAATCCCCGTCTGACAGGAGCCTCTCCTCCCACAGTCCAAAGACATGCTCGTTAGGTTCCAAGGAAGGGGAAAGCGGTATAGATAACGGATGGATGGATGTAATGTTTGCCTGGCGAGGACGACGCCCTCTAGTGGGCTCAAAAAGAAGCTGTTTTTAACGGCCGCCTGATACGGGTTGCTAAATCCCTTTCAGGTTCCATCGTCTCTATGTTTGTTTTTAGTTTATGTGTGAAGTGAAGTTGAGGGTTTGAATTTTAAAGTTTTAACATGAAATTAGAAGTAGTGCTCACTTATATTACCATAGGTTCTGACGAGAAGATAAGAACAGTCACATGAAACAAGAGAATTCAAAGCTTCTTTTCTCTGCTCATACCTCGGAGGTGTTTGTCAAAGGTGCAATCAGTCAGATAAGAAATTATAACTATAATAAAGAATAAGCTTCTCAGAAACACACAGCTTTAGAGCTGATGTTTAATACAAGTCATATTATGGGATGTTGCTGCGTTTTCTGTAAAACAACACTTCACTTTGACTGATTCTTGTTTAAACTGTAAAACGGTTTTACTGAGCTGTTTGTTGTGACGTAATGTTCATATAAATATCCTTTATTAAAACATCTCTAACTAACGTCTTTATTAACACAATTTATATCCAAACTGTAATTTATTATTTTTCATAAATAATGAAATTTTTTGTGAATAAATATTGTTTCTGAGTGTTGTCGTCTGTAACAGAACATAAAACACTGGATGTGAATGATTTTATTCAGACAAAATGAACATTTCTTTTGACTCATCAATTAAAAACACTATAAGTATAACGTTTTATATCTCTTAATGAAGTCATCACTTTATAACATCCCTGAATAAACATGTTTATTATTATTATTATTATTATTCTGATCGAGATATGAGCTAATCAGACCTATTTGTTTTTTTGAACCAGGCTGTAAACATGTTAATCTCTGCTGTAAAAATAGGCTTTTTAGAATGGGTGTGTATGTGACTTCCTGTGCTTCTGCAGCCAGCCTCTAGTGGTCACTCAAGGAACTGCAGGAGTTTACACTTCAGGATCAGCTTCATTCTTCAACACCAGAGGTTGCTGCAATGGCATCACGTGACGCTGAAATACCAGGTTTGGCCACCATGTAGAAAACTGTCGGCGCACTACCTGCAATCCCCCTGCAGTAACACAAGGGTAACGTCATTCAGGCTTCATTCACTGTTATTCACAGTCTATGGTTCTACAAAGTTTAATATTATTTTTTTTTTTTTAACAATTAATATTTTATATGAATTAATCGTTAATAAATAATAAAGTCTCTGTGTTTTCACTGATTATTATTTCAAAGTTTAAATGTCAAACTGTCTCTTTCTCTGAGTCATTTGCAGTGCGGAGTTCCGCTCTAAACCCGCCAAAAAAATATCACATAGAAGACACGCCTCCTCAGTGACGTCACTCCATGTTTTGGTCAGTGTAACGGCCAATGGACGTTTCTGTTATCAAAGCAGCCGAGGGATCGTCATGGCGGACACAGTGTGTGACGTCAACAGTTAGCTTCGACGTGAACAGGACAGGTGACTAAAGTTCTGGCTCAAACATGGAGGAGGAGGAGGAGTTACAGGTCTGTGTTTGCTACCTGAGTGTGAAACGATGGTTTCCACTCCTGTAGGAGACACAAGTTAGTCTGATATCAACCTTGTTTTAAGAACAACACAGTTTATTCAGGACATCGGGGCTTGACGTATGCTTGCAGGAGGCGTACTGTAAGAGACAGTTGAGTGGTGCTTCTGATTCGTCTTTTTCGTCAGGTAAAACGTCTCCATCCTGATGCTGACATCTGATTGGTTCTGCTTCAAACAATGTTCAAGCTAAAAATAAATACATCTGCTTATCAGTCAGACCTAACACTTCCTGCTAGTTTCAAAGTAAAAGCCTACCCGTTAAGAAATAAGTTTTCTTCTTGAAGTCTCAGAACCATCAGCTCATCTGGCATCATTTATCGTCCGAGAGCGCAGCTCACCGTTTTTTTGTACAAAAGTTATTTCAGAGGATTCACGCTGTCAGTGTGCGTCAGATCTTCAAGTGGACTAGGGACACATATTAGTGTGTAATTGGATAAGATCAGGTAAACCAGTTCCTGGTGTGAATCTTGATCAGACCTCCAGTTTGTTTTGTTTAATTTAAAGGTTGCGCATTCTCTAAAATCCTCTTCCCCAGGTGGGTGACACTCCCACAGCTAGGTGTTTGTTCTGCCCTCTGAGTCTGCCTTCTCACCATAAACAATAGGGCATGGAGCGAGAAAGCGCGAGACACCCAAGCCCTTCCAGAGAGGGGGCGTGGTCAGACAGAGCTCATTTACATTTAAAGCTACAGACACAGAAACAGCCTGTTCTGAGCAGGGCTGAAACAGAGGGGTTTATAGGCATGATCAAAAACAGGATCAGAGTAGATTTAGAACAAGAAACTTCACATACATGTTTTGAGGCGCTCTAAGCCTTATTTACACTGGTTGATGAGGAGGAGAATATGTGACCTTTAAAGATAACGCAGTAGAGGCCTTATTCAGTCCGGACTACAGGGACAGAATGAAAGTAAACGATAAAATTGGTCAAATGAGAGAACATTTCTACTGTGTAGTTGTTGTTTTAAGTTCTTTTTAAAACATATTTTGCAGCAGAATGATGTTTGTTTCAGTGATAAAATGAAAAAGTTACAAATTAGAGAAAGATTTTGTCCTACGTAAATATTTTACATCTTTATCAAACATTAAATATTTAATTTAAAGCAGCTGTGAGGATCACTGTTTGTCTGGAGTTTGGCGCCCCCATGTGGACAAAGTAAGAAGTGTCAAGTCCCTGTAAAGCTGAGTTTGTTGATCCTTAAGAGTATCTGGATCAAGATGATCATATCCAGTTTGTATTTTAACAACTGGGATGAAAGTGATCTGGATTATTGGATCCTGGGCAGAAATAAAGTGGATAATTTTTATCAGGATTAAAACCTTTGGGACAATCGAGCCCAGACGCTCGTTTCACTCTGCTGCTTTTCTTTCAGGGCGTTCACCCCGGCACTGTACGCTTCCTGTTTAATGGAGTACATGTCCTGGACGAATAAACACCCAAACAGGTAAGACACAGACACACAGACACACACACACACACACACACACACTTTATTTACCACTGTGTTAAATATATCAGTATAAAATGTTGACACATGTCGTCATTAGCCCTCACCACCACACGTTGCACACCACCTAAACTGTTTGAAACTTTACCTCTATTCATTGTGTATTGAAAGCTGTTCTGGAAAACATGGCGACACAGACCTGGATGACAGCGCCACTTTTGACCATCCTTTCTCTTTCATAAGGTCATCATGGTGTTTTTAAAGCAAACGGTGGTTTACTGTTCAGTACATAAAGCGTGTGGAGCGTTGCACTGATTAAAAGGGTCCTCCATTAAAGTTAATTAGGGAGCAGAGGAGGCGGGCAGCGTGACACTTGGGATGTACGCCCCACGATCTTTACCGAACTATCGTACTGTAGCTAGTAGGAGAGCAAACGCCACATAATTAAAACAGACGGTACTAAAAGAGTGACACAAACTCACCGTTGTAGCCTTGCTGAGCGCAGTGGAGATCATCACGCAGGACGACAGTTTAAACCTGAGAGACCTTCAAACACAGACTGAGACTTTTACTCTGGATTTTACGGTAAATTGATGTCGTCATCATAATTTCATCCATTTCTGTCTGTAGATGGAGATAGAGGATGAGGAGACACGATTGAGGTTCTCTTTGAACAAACCGGAGGTCAGCGAACACATCATAAATATGGATAACTTCCTGTTCAGCTGCTTCGTCGTTATGTTTACGGTTTGTTACATTTGTTTTTATTCCCGTACGAGTGAAGTGCTGCTGAGCGGCTCGTGATATTATCTGTTTCATTTGAGGTTCATATTTAAAGTTCTCTGACATTTTTTAGTCTTTGTGTGGTTATGAATGTCACTCACCGTCTCCGGGAAACACATCAATCATTGAGGGAACCTTTTCCTCCGTCAGCGTTAAATATTCAAAGACGGTTAATTCTGAGATTTAATCTTTGAACTTTCACTTCTTTTTTTGTTTTTTGTTTTTTTGTGTGTAATTCTCAAAAAGTGTTTTTAATGGTCTTGAGTCCGAGACGACTGGTTCTGTAAATGTGTTGCTGAAATTCAACAAATAAATGATTCACTTTGGGATGAATGTTTATCTGCACTGTGTGTCCGTGAGAGGAAACTTTATCTTCAAACTGTCAAACCCAGCGGGCTTCAACAGGAGCAAGGCTGAAGACATTAAAATATATTTATTTGTACCACTATCCTCGTTAACACCCTGCTTACATCCCGCATTGATTACTGCAGCTCCCTTCTCTTTGGTCTCCCTCTCAAGTCAATCCACAAACTTCCACTGGTCCAGAACTCTGCTGCTCGCATCATCTCCAGAACCCCCTCCCCTCAGAATCCCCCTGACATCCCACCTGTCCGTCAGCAGCTTCATCGGTTAAATATCGACTTTAAGTTCCTGCTCGTCACCTCTGAGGCCGTTCATAACCTCACTCCTCTGTACCTCTCTGAGCTCCTGTATATCAGCACACCAACCCGCACTCTCAGGTCTTCTATTCAACTCACTGGTTGAACTTGAACCCGGGCTGCTCGCTTGGAAGACTGCAGCTTCCATAAATGGGGCGAGGGCACTAACCACTGCCCCACCAGCGCCCCTTTAATTTGAGTTTAATATAATATTTTGTGGTCAAAAGATCAAAATCAGTCATGAAGGTATGACCAAAACAGGTGTGTAATGATTTTATATATATTATATTTATGGTGTCAATATTTGGCCTCTATTCTACATTAACTGGAGAAACCCCGCTCTAAGTAACACTCTAAGGAAAAAGGTTGGGAAGCACTGCCTTAAGGTTCCCTCTGAATTATACATTTATTATTATTATTATTGAACTCCCTACGTACAATTCATCAACGAACACTAACAGACTCATTTAGTTGTTTCTATTCATTAGTTAAATAAAACCCCTTCAGGACTTTGAAGCAGGAAATGACAGAAAACAAAGACGTTGTAAAATACAAGGTTTTAGAGAGAAGCCTGCAGATTAAAGTGAGCAGTGTGTAACTCTGACTCCTAGTGTTTAAAATGGGTACTGCAGTCATGATTCTAAATATCATAGAGGACTGTTTCCCCCCACCCCCTCCTCTCTAGAGTCAATGCTCACGCAAGTTGCCATGTGGTGGACACTGAAGCTTCAGTGTTTATCCAGCTCTGCATCGGTCTGTAAACCTTTCTGCATTCTAACCTCTCTCCATTTTTCAAAAGCATCTCCAATATTGATCCTAGTTTGAGCACGTTTCTGCTCGTGGAGCTTATTAGAAACATGCAGAGGCTTTTTAGGTTGGGTACAATCACTTCTATCTGAACCAGTTCTCTTGCCCGCTTCCATCGCTGCAACACCTGTTGGTTTGATCTGATAACTTGTCTCATATCTGGCAAACCGAGGGGCGTCCAAAACGGCCATGTGGGGGTGTCTGAAAATCAACTACCTTCCCTGGTCCAAACAAATCCAGAGCATTCAGGACCAGAATCTAAAGTTAGAAGGAGGACATACTGGCTGCTGCATTGTTGTCAGAGAAGCCAGCACTTCAACATAGCATGTTTCCTTAATGTCTGATCATATAGTAAGGTCACTTTAACATTTCACTCACTACACATCTTACTGATTGGAACTTTTAGTAATGTGCCAACACTTATCAGAGATGATTTCATATATGTGTTAATTAGATGTCCATTTAAAGTTAAAACTGAAGTGTGTGACCATATTCTGAAAAATCATCAGTGTGTTCTACCTGACTGTTCTTGTTTTAAATAATTGCATATTTTCTTGTAAAGGTTGCGCTGCTTTATACACAGTAGCCTACTGCTGTTTTTATCCCTGTTTTAAAGTATTTAGTGGATGACATCAAACCTGTCCAGGTACTGCAGTTAGAAACGCCAAAATAACAGAGCTTGCACATTTATGACAATGTCTCTTAAGGTGTTGAGCAGACTCATGTTTCATGAGCTATTTTTTTAATCTACTTTTGAATAAATAGATTAACCCTCACATGTTGATTACAAACCATTAATACCTACAGTATGTGGGTGCTTTTATCTGTAGTTCAGAAACTGGTTTAGTTTTTGACATTGTGTTGAAGTCTAAAAACTCCTCAAAAGTTGCTTTATGCAAACTGAGACAAATGTAGTGAAGTACTACGTGTAAAAACTCCTAAAGCAGCATACACAGAAAGAATCATTTACAGTGCTTCAACATTTCCCGTTGATCTTGTTTCTATTATCCATCACTATGAGAGTAGTTAATACAGCGGACACAATAAACAGCAGAGAAGGCATGTGTAGTGCTGAAATCATGCTTTATTAAATCAGAAATGCATAAAACTCAAGGAGGACAACTTATAGTTCTACATCAACAGATCAATTAAATAAAAGTGCAGGGCACCATGTGTCTGCTATTCTTTCTTCTCACAGGAACTAGAGTCTCTGTGGTGAGGCAGAAGAAGACGACCTGACTACTGACAAGGTGAAATGACTAAAAGCTACAAACACTCACACTCAAACACAAAAACACGTTAGTTATCTATCCTCCAAGAGACAGCGCTGCTTCTGCACAGCAGAGCCGGCTTTGACTTTGTGTTTCTTTATGGCCAGGAGATGTAACATTTAGAAAAGCCAATCCGGCGATTCTGTGCCAGAAGCAGCGCTCTTAAATAAAAAGATCTAAATGCTGAGAGTGCATGCCGCTTGCACTCTGAGCTGCTCATCAAATCGTGGTGGTATGACACAGTCAGTCTGAGCACAAGACCAGTTCATGCTGCTTACATGAGGGTAATGCAAACAGCACTCAGGGTCTTACGCTCATGGTACAACTCATAGGAAACTGTAATATAACACGCACAGACGCGTCTTCAAAACAATAACTTTGTCTTTCTGTTTGTGGTTCATAACATCAACAGGGAGCCTCTCTACCTGTTGAGGCAATCTTAAGACTTCAACGTATCGTTGAGGCACATTGTTTAGTTTCTTGGTTTGACAGGGTATTCGTTCTAGGTGAAACTTTCTCCTGTTAAAACATTTGTTCTTTTGTTTCAGTTAATATTATTGTCATAAATAACAATGCATACATTTCCCATAACCGTTCAATTCGGCTATATACATTATGTACATGTCACAGAAAAGTGGTTAAAAAATCCTAAGTCATACTTGTCCAATATGGCACATTTCATAACAACTTTAGACTTGAGTCTAGTTTGGCATAAATTAATGTCAAGTTTGGTACAAAAATAGTTTATATTTACAAGAACAGAAATCCAGATCTTTATCAAGTATTATTTTAGCTAATTCACTAAATAAAAGGTTCTGGATGAAGAAAAACGGGGGGTATAAATTAGCTTTTTTTCATGGACCAAATGTCAAAGTTGACAGTTGCTGAGCTGGAGTCTCAGTTGAAATCTCCGCCAGTCTGCAGTGACTTTGTAGAAGAAGTCACTCATTCCTTCTCAGATGGAGTAGGGGACTTTGGTGTTGGGGACTTTGGTGTAGGGGACTTTGGTGAGACTGGAGACTTCACTCTCTGAGGTGACTTGATTGGCTCAGGGGACTTGACTCTCTGAGGTGATTTCACTGGTTCAGGGGACTTGGCGAGAGGAGACTTGGCTTCTGGAGAGGTGACTCTGGGAGAGGCAACTTTCTCCATGGACTTGTTGATGGTCAGAGTGAATCGAGCCTCTTGTTTGCCTCCAGCGTTTTCCACAAGCACACTGTAGCTGCCTTCATCTGACATCTCAGCAGCACAGATCTCAAAGGTGGAGTTATTCTGAGAAGAGATGACGTGGTGACGGGCAGTGGAACCAACAACTGTTCCTTTGTGCAGCCAAGTGATAGACGGTGCTGGTTCACCTTCCACATCACAGTCAAACCTGACAAAGTCTCCCTCCTGTACAGTCAGGGAATTCGGCTTTGTTAGGAACCTTGCAGATAAGCTGGGCTTCTCTCTTTGCTTCTCAACAACAGTGACTGACTCTGTTGTAGTTTTAGTTTCCTTCACTGTTGTTTTAGAGGAAGAGACATGATACATCTCTGTTCTGGTCATCTCAGGGAGATGAGAGGATGGAGGCTCCTCATCCTTGCGGAGTGAAGAGAAGGCAGCGTATTCAGCTCCTGCAACATCCAGGGTGGCATAGTCAGAAGTCTCTCCTTTGGCATTCCTGCAGACAACACGATAAGTTCCAGCATCTTCAGTGATGCAGTTGATGATCTGGAGAGTAAGAACCCCACTAAGGTTGGTCATGTGGTATTTGCTACTCTGGTTAATCTCCTTTCCATTGTGGAACCACTTGACCTCTTGTTCTGGTTTGGCCTGGACATTCAGGGTGAACTTTGTGCTTGAGCCGTAGGGCACACGATGAGAACGCATCCTGATGGTAATACGTGGGGCATGGTCAAGGCTGAAGGGAGCCTGTGTCACCACCTCAACCTTCCTTTCCACTGATCTTCTTTCTGATCTTAGAGCCTGCTTTCTCTCCTCATACCTGGAAGCAAAATCAACTCTTGGAAGGGTCACGTCTGTCTTGGCAGCCTTTCCTGGTGTAGGAGATCTCCTTCTCTCAGGCTCAGGCATGGGGATCTTCTTGATTGGTTTAGGAATATATTCTGAGGTAAAGGATGTCAGGTGCTCAGATTCAATACCCTCAGAGTATGCAACAGTGACAGTTGTTTCCTTTTTCACGGTCCTAGTCTTCTCCTCAAACTCCATGCGTTTGAGTTCACTCTTGTAGGAGGAGATCCTCTGAGCAGTTGTGTGTGGGCGGAGCAGCTCTTGATCTTCTCTCTCTTCATACACTCTCTGCTTCTGTCTTGGAGGTTTGTATGTTGTTTTGTCATGACGCTGGCGAAGGTCAACAAAACTTGGGCCTGCCTCATATTTAGATGGGATTCGGTAAGAGTCATATCTGCGAATTTCTTCTCCCTCTTCGTCATCACTGTAGGCTCTTCTAGGAGATGAGGGACGCAAGGCTGACAGCTCGAAACGAACCGGGCTGAGACTAGGTGGAGAAGCAGAGTAGCCAAGCTCCAACTCTTCCTCCAGACGAAGCCTATCCTCCTCTGTTCTCTTCATTGACAAATACTCATCAACAGGCAAAAGCAGCTCCTCATCTGAAAGGTCACCCAGGGACCTCCTCCTGATCCTGTGGTAGACATCTATCTCAGGGGAAGGAGTGCGGTGCCTTGCAGGCCTCACAGTTTCCAAATCATCCTGAGTTAAGGATGAGATGCGCCACTTAGGCTTGTACTGGTCCTTGATTCTGATCGGCACCTCATAGAACTGCTCCCACCGTGAAAGGCGAATGCGCTTCATTCTCTTCTGTGTGATTTTTTCCATAGGTTCAGGGAACTCATACTGATCCCGAAGCTTCTTATACCACTTCATGTCAGAAAGTGGCTGGAAGTGCTTTATTTCCACATCTTCTTCAAGGGCAGCTGGATTAACAACTCGGGGAGTAGGGACAACATAGGGCATACGCAGCCTCTTCTCATCTGCCCGCTTCTTCCTCTCCTCTTTTTCTTTCTGTATCTCAGCCTCAGTCTTTTCACCCTTCTTTGTTGTCACAGCAGGTTTGAACATGGTGGCTGCTTCCCTGACAGCTTGTACTGCTGCAGGTGGTAAAGGTATAATAACAGTGCCGGTCAAAATCTGAGAGAGCCTGACTTTTTTCTCAAGGGCCTCTTTTCCAGCTGCAGCTTGCTTCTCCTTTGCAGTCATCTCATATTCCTTCTTTACATGGGCAACACGTTCCACTTTGAGAGTGGCCTGGCAACTGGCTGACCCAGCAGAGTTGGTTGCAGTAACTCTGTACACACCAGAGTCTTCTGGAAGAGTGTCTCTTACATGAAGGATAAAGTAATCCAGACCCTCATGAACAACTTCAATTGATGGTCCAAAGGCTAAAGGTGTGCCATCCTTTTCCCACTTCAGTGCAGGATGGCCTGATACTCTGATCTCAAAGCGCACATTCTGGCCCTCTCTGCACTCAACATTGGCAAGCAGGCGTTTAAACATGGGTCTCAAGGTAAGATCAGCTGGCTTAGGTCGAGGAACCACAGTAAGGTGAGCCTTGCAGCTGTCGTCACCGTACCTGTTACGGGCAACAACACTGTACTCAGCATCATCATCAACTTCAAGTTTGTGGATAATCAGCTGGTACAGGCCCTTGTCGTTGACAAAGGTGTATTTCTTGTCATCATTTCCAGGTATAAGCTTCTGTCCACATTTGTGCCAGATGACACGAGGCTCAGGGTGAACAGTGATTGTGACACCAAAACGCACATCTTCACCAATGTAGGCTGTATGATTGACCAGAGGAAGTGTGAACTCTGGTGGCTTCTGAAGCATTCTGGCAGTGTCAACTCTGCGCTTTGTTCTCTTGACCACACGGCTGATGAAGAAGTCACGGTAAGATCTAACGCCATTGATGAATAGCTCTGCATAGCCACTGTCCTCACCATACTCATTCACAATCTTGCATCTGTAAGTACCATCATCTGCTCTTGTGATCTTGTTGATAGTGATAACAGCTAGTCCATCCTCATATTCGATTTCATATTTGTCACCAGCTTCAAGTTGCCTGACACCACAATACCATGTCACTTCAGTGGTGCTATCATAGTTTTCAATGTTGCAGATGAACTTCACACTGTTGCCCTCATTTACCACAGCGTGGCTAATCTGGCCAGCTACAGGACCATTTTCAAATGGCGCAATCTTCACCTTTGCTACAAAAACACCGCGCTGGGACCTGATGGACCCACCGCTGGCAACACGGGCTGCTGAGACGACAGTGCTCCACTCCTTCCTCACCATTGTCTGGTAGTATCGCTTATGTCTGCTAGTTGTGATCGCTCTGGTGCTGATGTCCTCAGCAGGTTTAGTCAACCAAGGATGTGCCAGAGCTTCTGCTGCATTCATACGATGCTTACGTTCCTTTGTCATTAAGCGGTCTGTGAAGTCTAATGCATCGACACTGACTTGCTTGAAGGACTCGTCATCATAGCTGTAGGCTGCATTGGAGATATTGTCAATCATCTGTTGATTGGTTTCCGCAATGAAAGGATTAAGTCCACTGAGAAGCACATAGGCAAGGACACCAACTGACCACATATCAGTGACACTGCTAACCATATCACACTGGTGGATCTCAGGCGCAGCATACTCTGCAGTGGTATACTGAATCTTGATTTGCTCTCCAGGGGTCAGGTGTCTGGACTGGCCCAACTCAATAATCTTCACATTAGAGCTAGTTCTAGTAGTGTACACAATATTCTCGGGTCTAATATCAAAGTGTCCATAGCTCTCTGCATGTAGGAATTCAAGAGCTGAGCAGATCTGTCTGATGTAGTTGACAATCTCACGTTCATTGAGCTCAAACTCTGCTATGTTGATGCGTTCAAATATGTCAGCACCTGAGATAAAGTCATATATCATCACCAGCTCCTCCGGGCTGTCAAAAGACTCATGGAGGAGAAGGAAGTTAGTGTGTTTAGCCAAATTCAGTGTTGCAATTTCCTTCTTGACAATTGCTTGATCAGCGCCTCTTACTTTGACAAATTTAGCCATGTAGGTCTTCTCAGAGCTAGTGCTTACACAGCGATGAACAATACCAAACTGACCTCTGCTCAGTTCTTCTGCAATGGCATATTTGTTGTGCAAATTCTTGGCTTCGGAATGTGGAGCCTTTCCTTTGGGCACACGTTCAGTATCCTCAACCTCTCTGTCGTATAGCAGAACTCTAGATTTGTCCTCCTTGGTCATGACCGGTCCAGTGGTCTCTGATGGAGCACTCTGTCCAAATTTATTCTCCGCAATGACTCTGAATTGATAACTGGTTCCGCCGAACAGATTGGTAACGGTGTAACGGGTGTCACGGGACTGGGCTACACGCTGCCACCTCTCAGCAGTTGTTGGGCACTTCTCAATGATGTAGCTGACAACCTTGCTGCCACCATCATTTGCTGGGGCTACCCAGTTCAGTGAGACTGAATCTCTAGAGACGTCACTAGCTGTGACACCACGTGGAGGATCAGGTACGTCAGCCACATCCAGCTCGACTGTCTGCTGATCAATGCCAAATCTGTTCTTGGCACATACAATGTAGAAACCAGCATCCTTTTTCTCCACTCCATTGGGGAACACCAAAGAAGTGAATGATCTTGTGACAATAACTTGGTAGTGACCGTTGCTGTCAATGAGATCTTGTCCCTTCTGCCATGTGATGACAGGATCTGGTTTGCCACCAAAAGGAATCTTGATATTGACAACTTCTCCACGCAGGGCAGGGATAGCTTCCTTGTCCTTCAGATTCTTTGGCAGGTTGATCTTGGCAGGAACTAAAAAGAAAAGGAGTAAGATGTCATGTTATTTTTTAAATAAAAAAACGTAGGATTTTTACAAGTTGGAGCTAAAAAACATTGGACTATTTGGTAAATATCTGTGAGTATCTATGAGCTTACCTTCAACATCCAAAGAGACAGTTGCACAGATGGAGCCACCCTGGTTGGTTGCCCTTATCTGGTACACAGTAGAATCTTCCTCATCAGCTTCAGTGATGACCAGCTGGTGGTAACCTCCCTTAAACTCCTGGATCTTAATCTTCTTTCCATCGGAGTGGATCTCTTTTCCTCGCCTGAACCATTTAATCACAGGCTTAGGCTGTCCTGTAATCTTGCAGACAAGTGTAGCATTGCTCTTGTGCTTGACACTCATGTTCCTCAGCTCTTCCTTGAAGGCAGGAGCACGAACCTCTACAGCTGTGGCTGGAATGATGGGAGCAGTCTCTTCACTGTAGTCACTTTGTCCTCCGACATTCTCACACTTTACACGGAAAATGCACTCAAGTCCTTCGGTCAGACGCTTGACAGAGAACACTGTTTGTTTGATTTCATCCGTGGTCACTGGGGTCCAATCATTCCATTCTTTCTTGTCCTTCTTTTGCTTCTTCTCAAGGCAATAGCTCTTGATTTTGGAGCCTCCATCACTGAGTGGTGGCTTCCAGGAAACCACACAAGAGTCCTTAGTGATACCAGAAACAACTGGTGAAAGAGGTGGGGATGGTTTCTCTGTGGACAGAAATATAATCATCTTTGTCAGTAAATTTGGACAGCATACCTGGCTGTCTCTGTCTGAAATGTTATGGTGTATTACAGTTTTAAGGTAACCTTATTTGAGATACATAGATGAACCAGTGGAAAATGTACGAATATTGGAGTAAACATACCCAGTTGGCTCTTGATAAGTATAGGTGAAGTGAGCTCCAGTGGTTCACTGTTGCCGTAGCGATTCTGGGCATACACACGGAAGAAGTATCCGGCACTGTCAATGAGGTTAGGTACACGGCAAGATGTGCCATTGATGGATGATGATACCAGTTCCCACTCAGTGCCCTCTTTGTCCTCACGCTTCTCAACAATGTAATTGGTGATCATGCAGCCTCCGTCGTCTGTAGGAGGCTTCCAGCTGATGATGACAGAGTTCTTCAGGAGGGCAACCAGCACAATGGGACCCTGAGGCCTGTCAGGTTTGTCTACAAACAGATAACCATATATTAATATATAAATCCAATAATATCGTTCTCAAAAAACACGATTTGCTGCACTAACGAAAGACAATTTACACAAACTCACCATAAATTTCAACATTGAATGCGGTGTCAGCCCTGCCGAAGTGGTTGTGCAGTCTGATCCTGTATTTGCCTCCATGGAGTCTGCGCTGTACGTTCTTGATGACCAGGTGTGTATAGTGCTCTGTGGTCTCAATGGTTGTGTCCTCTGTGTTCTCCAGGGTCTTTGATCCTTGAAGCCACATGATCTTTGGCTCTGGACGGCCAATGTAGACAGCGTGGACGCGCAGAGTGGATCCCAGGCCAGCGTAGTAGGTCTCCTTCAGAGGGTAGTCGGGGTGGAAGGATGAAGCAGCTTCCAACACCAACATGCCTGTGGTCTCAGCTTCTCCAGCATCATTGATGCCCTTGCATGTATACTGTCCTTCATCCTCCTGTTGGTCGGTCATGATGGATAGAGAGTTGTTGCGGCCATCAGAGCTCATCTCGTACTTGCGTGACTCAACAATCTCCTTGCCAGCATGATACCACTTGATGTCAGGGACAGGTCTACCAATAATCTGGCACTTCATGACAGCAGGCTGGCCAAGCTTGGTCGTTACTTCATCCATTTCCTTTCTTAGACTTGGTTTAGTTTCAACTGTATGTACAAAATAGAAGTTTATTTTAGGAAACACAGATAGAAGTTACTTTTTGAAAGCAATGTTTGGTCAACACCGACAAATAATCTTTAACACAGAATATTTAAATGTACTCACCACTCAGTTTGGTCTTGATGCATGTGGCAGTCCTACGGGGTCTACTCATTCCTGTCTCATTCTCAGCAAATACTCTGAACTCATAATCTGTGGCCTCAGCCAATCCAGGCATGATGAACTCCTTTTCTTTCAGCCTCTGTTTGTTGCACTTCTTCCATGTGCTCTCAATGGACTTTCTGTACTCTACCCAGTAGCCTAGGACCTCCTTTCCACCATCACACTCTGGAGCTTGCCAGCGGATGTTAATGCAGTTGTTTGAAACCTTCACTGTGTCAATCTCTCCTGGCTGGCTTGGTTTGTCTAGGAAGAAAAGAAGGTTGTTTTTACCAATCGATTGAAGGGATTTCATTAGGGTTTGTATTGACATGTATTGACACATATGATTTGTACCATGTTCTTAAAATGTAGGCTTAACAATGATATTTTAAACAAGGTGTTAAGACCACAAACTCACCGAAAGGATCCTTGCACGTGACAGGGTCTGACAAAGGACCAGCTTCGCTCTCACCAATGCCGTTGACAGCAACAATGCGGAAGTGGTAGTCTGAATCAGGGGTGAGTCCAGGTAGAGTAAACATAGTAGAGGTGATCTTGCTCTGGTGTCGGGACCATGACTCAGCAGACACCAGTTTGTACTCCACAAAGTACCCAATGATGGCAGTACCGCCGTCGTCCTTTGGTCTGGACCATGCCAATGCCACAGAGCTCTTTGTCACATCCATAATTTCTGGTGGGGTGGCTGAAGGCTCAGGGGGACCTGGTTTGAAAATACAGAGTATCATAAATAACCTAATTTTTTCCAAAGATACTTATGACTGAATAAAATTAATACTTACAGAGAGGAGTCTTTGGCACCAGTGGCCGCTCCGACTTCAGAGAGGAGCTGATTCCAAAGGAATTTTCAGCTGTTACCTTGAAGTGGTACTCTGTTCCCTCCTTTAAGCCCTTGACAACCAGCTGAGTGTCAGTTACCCTTGAGTCCACAGTGTACCAAGCGTTTCTGGCTGCCTCACGTCTTTCTACGATATAACCCAGGATCTCTGAGCCACCATCATCTGTTGGCACCTTCCAAGACACCTTGACAGAGTTGGCCTGGATCTCCTCAAAGAGCATTGGTCCCTCTGGAGCAGTTGGGCGGCCAATGACCTTTACCTTTATTTGAGCCTTCTTCTTGCCAACCCTATTCTCTAGCAGGAGGTCGTATACTCCAGAGTCGCCCCTCTCCGCTCCTTTGATCACTAGCTCACTGGCATCCTCAGTGGAAGCAATCATGGCCATGGTAGAGTATGCACCGCCATCCTTGGACCACTTGCAGGTTGGTTGAGGTTTACCCTTGATTGGCACAGAAAGTCTAACCACTCCTCCCTGGCGGACCACGTACAAATCTTTATATTTGAGCTCCAGTTCAAAGTCTGGGGATTCTGGAGGTGTATAAAAAATGACAAAGGTTATTTTTCCCATATTACTATATTTCAACATATTAGGCCCAATGCGGCTTTGGTTATTTTAACTTATAAGTTCTTACCAAGCATCTCTGTCACAGTGACAGTTCCAGGCACCTCAGCTGGCTCTCCAGAACCGCCAGCATTGCAGGCCATTACACGGAATTTGAACTCCTCTGCTTGTGGCATGTTTGTCAGTGTGTACTCGCAGATTAGAGATGGTGTGGTGTTGCACTTGATCCAGGCCATTGTGCCCACCTTCTGCATCTCAATCAAGTAACCGTCAACTCTTGCATCTCCCTCATCATCAGGAGGACTCCAAGCTAGCGATACAGAGGACTTGGTGGTATCAGTGATCCTTGGGTTTTGAGGACAGCCAGGCGGATCTGAGCAAGAAAGAAATATAGGATAATTTTAGCTGCCATTTATAAAGATTGATTTAAAAAGATACCCACTATAACAATGAATTCTTAGTTTCTTTAAAATAATTGTATTATACTCAGATTATTATAATAGAGCCTTTGTTCAGACTGTTGGTTTACCAATGGGATCTGTTGCCACTGCTGGTTTAGATGGCAGACTTGGCTTGCTCAGTCCTCTTGCATTGATGGCAGTGATTCTGTGTTCATACTCAAGGCCCTCAATCAGCTCTGTTGACCTATATCTGGTCATGGTGATAGGGTTCTTGTTGGCCCGTACCCATCTGTCAGACCTGACTTCTTTGCGCTCAATAATGTATCCAGAAACCTCAAGACCACCATCTTCATCTGGTGGGTTCCAGGCCACAGTCATGCCATCACGGGACACATCAAAGATGGTTGGACGGCCAGGAGGTCCAGACACATCTGTAGAGGAGGGGTGATAGGTCACATTACTACTGTTAAAAAAACACTGTATAGCAGATAAAATGAAATGGATTTTCTTTCAAATGCCATAAGTCTTACTCTTTAGGCTCCTGCAGGTTACAATCTCAGACTGCTGGAACTCTCCGGTGCCATAACGATTAATGGCAGCTGTGCGGAAGACATACTCATCTCCCTCAATCAAGTTCTCAAACTTGAATGTTGGTCGGCTCACAGAGTCGCACACTGGCACCCAGCCAGGTCTGTGAGCTTCACGTTGCTCAACCACATAGCCACTAATGGGAGCTCCGCCATCTCTGACTGGGGGATCCCAGCTGCAGGTGACGGTGGTGGCATCAATCTCATCAAACCTAATGGGTCCCTTTGGTTCATCCGGTTTGGCTGGTAATAGGGAATTAAATAATTAATAGTACAAAGTTAAACATTTATGAAATATTTTGTACAAACGTCTTTGACTGACTAGAAATAACTCATCTTAACTTTGTTGTATCTTGCTCTTGAAGAGCACTAGAAATAATTAAACAAATATAACAACTGAGGGATGGTCTCTTACAGAGGATGATGACCTTGATGACCTCGTTGATAACACCAACTGCATTCTTCACCTCCAGGGTATAGTCGCCAGTGTCATCAATGGTGGTGTCAGACATGGTCAGTTTGGTAAACTTGCCAGTGCTCTTGACCTTAATGCGGTCTGTGACTTTTATCTTGTTATCACTGAAGTACCAGGAACAAACAGGAGGAGGCCTGCCAATGATGGGCAGGTCTAGATCGAGAGTCTTGCCAGCCAGGACATTGACAACCTTCTGTGGAATACTGGAGAAGTCTACCAAAGGCATTACTGCAAAGAAAAAAAGAGATATAAACATTTAGCATCAACATTTTGGAAAGATTGTGAACTGATTTGTGATGTCATACTAAATGTTACTGCTGGACAACATTTTCAACAAGCAGTGATTTGAGGCATAAAGAACTGCAACATTGTGGTTTCCTTTGAAACAACTATTTCTGAACTTAGCCAAAACAATATTTTTTTCAAATTAACATGACTTCTATATTTTCTACAAACATGACAAGTTGGACTGCAGGTAAAACATTTTTTGTGGCTGTTACCTCTCTGTTCCTGTACTGTGACAGCTGTGACAAGCTCTTTGGGCTCACTGGCTCCTCGGCTGTTGATTGCCCTGATTCTTATCAAGTACTGCTCTTTCTCATTAAGCTTCTCGATGGTGTGCTCAAGGTCTGTGGTCTTCAGTGTAGCAACCTTCATCCATTTATCGGTGCCGAACTTGCATGCTTCAATGAGATAGCCTGTCAGTCTGCTGCCACCATCATGCTCTGGCTTCTCCCAGCCCAGGGTGACAGTGCTTTTAGTGACATCAATCACCTCCAGCTTTTGTGGCGGCAGAGGAACCTCACACACCAGGATGACATCTGGAGTCTCACAGGGTTCACCGATACCATAAATGTTCTCGGGGAGGACCCTGAAGTAGTACAGCATACCCTCCATCAAGCCGTCAATCTTGTATGATGTCTTAGTACACTTTGAGGTGACGGTCTTGTAGGCTCTCATGGATGCCTCACGCCTCTCAATGATGTAGTTGTTGACAGGAGCACCACCATCCACAGTTGGGGCTTCCCAAGAGATAGTAGCAGACTCCTTAGTCAACTCTTTAATCTTGATTGGTCCAGTTGGTCCAGGAGTATCTAAAAATAAAGGAACATTTTGTTAAAATGTTACATATTTGAAATGATTGGGTATGGTGTAAATATTGCAGTATAAGTCAAATTAAAAATAAGTATAATTCTCATAATGTATTATATTTCATTTTAAATTACATTTCATCTACTTACCGTAGACCTTGACAAGAATGTTGACCTCCTGCTTTCCAGCTGAGTTCTCAGCAACCAGTGTGTACTTGCCAGCATCGTAGCGGTGGACCTTGTCAATGATGAGTGTGGTGGACGTATTTGTAACCTCAATGAAACCTCTGTTTTGAAGGTCAACATCATGTTTGCTCCAAGTGATGGCAGGAGCAGGACGACCAGTGACTTTAACAAACATTCGTAGCGAGCCTCCAGCACGCAAGCAGATGGTCTTCTTTAAGTCATCATGGAGCTCAAAGTCAGGGGTTTCTGTGTAAGAGAAGGTAGTGATTAATATACAGCACATAACAGTTTATAAAGTCAGGAATTTAAATGTTAGCATATCATGGAAAACCAAACTCTTCTGTGGTTCACACATTGATTTTGTTTTTAAATCATTTTAGTTATGTCATCTTCATTTTCAAATCCTATAAAACTTATTTGCTGTCATGAAATATAAAGGACTATCACACTAATATCTCATCTAACTCTCGAATAAATACAAATTCAAACTCTCTTGCTCTATTGGCAATATTTTTATTGATTGCTTACCAATTCTCTCCACGGGTTCAGTCTCAGTACAAGGCTCACTGAAGTCTCCTGTACCGTTAATGTTGATGCCAGCAACTCTAAAGCAGTACTTCTTGCCAGCAGACAGTCCGGTCACAACATGCTCAGTTGCACGAAGGGTCTTTTCATGGGCCTTACTCCATTCCTCTGCCCCAGCTTCCCGCATCTCCAGGATGTAGCCCATCACATCAGCTCCTCCGTCCTCCACAGGGCGGGACCAGGCCAGGCTGATGCTGTCGGCATGGGTGTCAGTAATACGAGGAATAGAGGGAGGAGCAGGGGTACCTGAGAGAAAAGGATGCAGGAATCGCTAATGAGATTAATTTTTGTGATATGGAAAGGGATTTTCTGATGTTTGTGTGCACGAGAGTACCCTTATTGATGTCATAAAAGACTGAACCAAAAATATCAGATCTATTTGATATAGATCATCAGTCAGATCTTCATTTACATTTAATGTTTGGCACTCAGATCTGATCAAAGTGAACTTACATGTTGGCACTCTGCAGACAACATACAGAGAAACCTCGCTGGTTTCACTCTCTCCAGCTTTGTTGATGGCAGTCACTCTGAACTGGTAGATGTTGCTTTCAATCAAACCAGACACCTTCAATGTGGTGTCCAGGTGGGCTCCATCCCTGTTCACCTTCACCCAGCGGGCACTCTTCCTCTCGCGCCTCTCTACAAGGTAGTGGATCAGTGGGCTACCACCATCACTTTCTGGCTTCAGCCACTCAATGGTCGCAAAGTCCTTTCCTGACACGAGTATTTCTGGAGCACCAGGAGGAGTTGGCACAGCTGTAGGAAAGAAAAGTAAATTAAGCTTTAGAATTTTTGAAGATTTTATCTTTTTCTTTCACTTTGAAATGTCATCGTGTGAAAGTGAACACTAAACACTAGAAGCTATATGCCACATATGCAGGTCCTGAAATGCATGTCTTGAATTAGGGGGGGCATACTTTGGTAAGTTCAAGATAAATCAAGATAAATATTAATTATTTCTGTATTTGTATTTTAAAGGGGCTATATGTAACTTTTTTATTTTTTTTTTATCGCCCATTAATAAGCGAAAGGTTAACTGATGTGAAAAAGTAGATGTTCACTGTCTATCTGTGTTGCCAGTATAAAAAGTTTCAACGGGTCGTATTTTCCGCGAAAGCTCCAGGAAGTGACTTTTTATGCATGTTCTCAACGTCTTACTCACTCCGCTCCGCTTAGAGAGATCAACAGTACACTACACACTCCTGGTTTTCACCTCCACAGCCAGAGGCCGTCTTCCACACGCTTCTATCCGCCCTAGGAGCTCTCAAAGGCGGACAAACTCATCACACACTCCTGCTCTCAGCGAAGTTCATTCACTGTTAAGACTTTAGTTCAGCATTGCTCTTCAGGTGCCTGTCGTTTGTAGGATGGAGAATGAATACAGACACAGACTCCTTCACAGACTTTCACATGTGTATGACCACTTACCTCCTCTGTAAACATGAGGTAAATATCCAGTGTTTCGCGGCCGATGATGATGCTCATTTGTTTGCGTACGAGCACGTATGACAAGCACGCGAGGGAGAGTGAGCAACAGGTTACTGGTGCAGTTCGCCTAACGACCATGTGGTAGCGCTACAAACGCAGTATTTTTGAAAGTTATATATAGCCCCTTTAATGCTGGTCACAACTAGATCAATGTCAAACAAAGATTTTATCACACACAGACCTCCCATTTAAGTGTTTGATTACAATTTCCACAAAAAGATATAGATGAGCAATATTGATAATAGAAGTCAGCAGGATGTTTTTCTTGGCATCAAATATTCTCCATGCTGTACGCAATGTAACGGTCATTTATGAATCAATCAACCTGATTCTGTCTTTTATTATTCTTCACCTCAGAAATGTTTCTAATGTCTGATTGAAATGACTGGCATTGCATATAATAGTATTGTATTTTAATGTATTATTTATCAATATTAAATATGAAGTTTACCATTTATATTATTATAAAACCCTTTCCTTATAAAAACAACATCGCTGTTCACCAAATCATATAGAATGGGAACAATCATATAAGAAATAGGTTACAATAATCTATTTATAATAGTTAATATTATGTATTTTAACTATTCTTTAATCTGCAACTTATTGGGAATATTAGGAAAACACTGTGCACAAACGCATGTGTATTTACGCTTGTGTTGAGGAAAGGGAGAAAAAGTGAGCCAGTTTGTAAGTATTGCAGACTCATTCTGATGTGCTGTTTCCGACCAGTTTATCCTGTTCTCAACCATGCGAATGTTTGTGTGACATACAGAGGAATTTTATAGCCAACATAATTTTAAATATTTAATTTTAAACACATATGAGAGCCAGACTTGCAGTAATTGATTATTTTGTGCAAGGTTCCCGTAATCCCAAAACGAAAATGCATGACCTGCTCATGTCTCGCTTTCATAATACTGACGTCCTTGTTTAAACAAAAGTGTAGAACCTTCTGTTCTTTGAGGTGTTTTTTGAACTTACTGAAAGTGTTTCTTGCAAATATTGGTTCTGACTGGAGGTAGACTCCAGCTCCATACTTGTTGACTCCCCGGACTCTGAACAGGTATTCAGTATTCTTGAAGAGCCTAGTGATGTCGCAAGTGAGTTCTTTGCACTCAGCATGCATGATGACCCAGTTCAGTCTGTTGGTGTCACGCCTCTCCACTATGTAGTGGGAGATCTCATCGCCCCCATCCTCAAGAGGAGGCTTCCAGCTTAGTGTGCATGACTCCTCTGTGATTTTGCTGACCTTAATGCTGCCTTCACAAACTCCAGGGGTGTCTGAAGAAAAAAAATTGTGCTCACTTTAATTCACTTTGAATACTCATGACAGATTATCACATTGTAATTCATACTACATATAGTTTTTAATATTTGAACAATATCTCTTACCTAGCACTTTGACGTTGACCTCTGCAGTCTTGGTTCCACTTACATTCCTGACAGTGAGTATGTACTTTCCAGTATCATCTCTGTCACAGAACTTGATGATGGCCATGGCCTTGGTGGGGGTGTACTGAAGGTGATACTTTTCACACAATTCCAGATCCCTGTTGCCCTTGGACCAAGAGGCTTTAGGGTCAGGTCTGCCTCCAACTGCAGCGTCCAGAACCAGGTCGGAACCAGCTCTGACCGTCACAGTTTCAGACAGGAGTTTACTATCCAGCTGAGCTTTTGGAGGTTCTGTGGGTGGGGAAAATGAGCATGTATATAAAACAATAAATATATAGGATAGCACTGCTTTGCTGGAACCTCCTTAAATGCAAACCCAATTAAATATTTAAGCCCTAAAGTGTTGCTCACACTGAGCAGAAACACAAGACCGTTTCATAAATTACTTAAGAACCGTTGAGGTCAGAAGTGTAAGAGTATGTTGTATCATATGGTCATTGGTTATAGTGTACCAGTAAGATGCACTTACCGAAGTCTGTCTTGCATTGCACAGACCCAGTGGACTCAGATGGTATGCTGTAGACCTGGTTGGCATTCTTGGCGATGACCCTGAACTCATAGGGCTCGCCCTCTCCCAGGGCAGTTACAGTGTAGAAAGTGTCTGTCACATTGGTGTAGTTGCACTTAAGCCAGCGGCCTTCACCAGTCAAAGTGTATGGCTTGCGCTCGACAATGTAGCCAACAATGGGACTGCCCCCATCATTCAGTGGAGCTGACCATTTGAGGGAAACGGTGGTTCTAGTAACATTTGTGACTTCTGGCTTACTTGGAGAATCTGAAATAAATATGAAAGAAATTTGTCAGACATGTTTCAGCAACCTAATACTGGATTTGGTGATTGTTAACTGGATAAAAACTCACCAACTGGGTTTTGAGCAACTGCTCCCTTGGAGGCTTCACTGGCTTTGCTTAGCCCAGCACTGTTCATGGCATAAACTCTGAATTGGTACTCCAGGCCTTCAACCAGACCCTCTACCTTGTAGTAACACTCAAAGCAAGGGATCTTGTTCTCCCTCACCCACAGGATATTGTTCCTTTCCTTCTTCTCGATCCAGTAACCTGTAACCTTGCTGCCACCATCATGGTATGGCTCCTCCCATTTCATGGTCATTGTGTTGGCAGAAACATTAAAGATTGAGGGTTTTGTTGGTGGGCCAGGAGGAGCTGTGAACAAAATTGACATTTTGGGTTCTTAGCAAAGAAGGCCTGATTCAATTGAAAATATTAATTTTAAATAAATTAACAGTCTTAGATATCCTTTATAAGTCATACAATGAAAATGCATTTCCTTAAATATAATGTTTAAAAAAGTAATACTTACTGAAAGGATGCTCTGCAACAATTGTCTCAGACTCAGTAGTTTTGCTGACACCAAATCTATTCTCAGCAGACACTCTGAACGTGTACTGCATGTACTTGGTAAGGTGACTGACATGGAGAGATGTGCGCTTTACACTGGAGTTGATCAGCTGCCAGGCAGTGGAGCCAGACTCACGTTTCTCCACAATGTAGTTAGTGATGTCAGTGCCACCATCATCCTCTGGAGGTTGCCAGTTTACAATGCAAGACTCAGAGGTGATTGATGAAATTTCAATGGGTCCAGTTGGTGGACTGGGTCTACCAGTTACATTAACTTTGATGGTAAAGGTCCTGGTTCCAGCTACATTCTCCAGAGTTAGGAAATATTTACCACCATCTCCTCTCATGGCTTCCTTTACTGAGATGCTGGCTCTCTCCTTGGTTACTTTGATGGAGACTCTGTCTGAGCTCTTCAGCCTCATCTCTTCCAGCTTCCAGCTGACTTTAGGAGCAGGTCTACCACTGATGGGAACATCGATGATGAAGGTACTGCCAGACCTACATGTAATTAGTTGGTTGGCAATGTCACTGAGGTCAGCAGCTGGTTCAATGTGTGGCTCTTTGACCAGTGCAGAAGTAAGAGTTTCCCTGGGTTGACTGTAGCCAGACTCATTCTTTGCCTTCACACGGAAGTCATACTCATCTCCCTTGTTAAGCTTTTCAACCATATAAGTGAGATTCTTGGTGTTTCCAACCACTACCCATTTGTCTGTACCCTTTGGCTTAGCCTCAATGACGTAGCACTGGATGCGGCTACCTCCATCATGCTCTGGTTTCAACCAGCCCAGTAAAACAGAGTTGTCTGTGGTGTCCAGGATATCCATTCTCTTTGGACTTGCGGGCTCTGCAGTGGCAATGACAGGCTCAGTAAGCTCAAATGCCTCACCAACACCATGTTGGTTTTCGGCTGAGACTCTGAAGAAGTATGGCACTCCCTCAAGCAGGTCCTGGATCTTAAGGATAAGCTGTGTACATTTGCCACCAGACTGTTGCCAAGTGCGACGGCTAGCCTCACGCCTCTCAACAATGAAGTGATGGATTCGGGCTCCACCATCAAGTAGAGGAGGTTCCCAGACAAGTGTGACAGAGCCTCTGGACACCTCTTTGAAGGCTACAGCCTGTGGAGCTCCAGGAGTGTCCATTACCTTAAGAGTGAATGTAATGGACTTGCTGCCACTTGCGTTTTCCAGGTTAACAGTGTATTTACCTGTATCATTTCTTGAGCAGCTTTCAATACTTAGAGAAGTGTAGCCTTCTGTAGTTGTGATCTCTGACATGACACCTAGTTCTCCTTCTTCCTTGACCCAGGTGGCTGTCGGAATAGGCTTTCCTCTGAAGTGGATGCCCAGGCACGCAGAACCTCCAGCCTTGACAATGTGTGTCTGCTTGAATGTTGCATCAATATCCACCTGTGGTGGCATTAGCCTATCTACAGCCTGAGCAGGCTCTGGAATTTCCTTGTCTTCACCTCTACCAACGTGATTGACAGCTGCCACACGGAACTTGTACTCAGCCCCTGTCTGTAGACCAGTCACAATGTAATTTGTTTCTGGGACCAACTCCTCATTGACTCTCTTCCATTCTTCATCTTCTCCCTTTACCATCTCAACAATGTAACCCGTGATCTCCATGCCTCCATCATCCGCAGGCCTGGTCCATTCGAGGCTGATGGATGTGTTAGTGGAGTCGGACACACAGATTACAGATGGAGCACAAGGAATATCCTTTGGCTCTGTGGCTTTGATAGGCAGAGAGATGTTGCTAGGAGCTCCAACACCAGCATCATTTAATGCCATTACACGGAACTCGTATTCCATATCCTCTGTTAGGTGGAGCACCTTGTTGGCACATTCAACAATGGGCTTCTTGGTTATAACCTTGTAAAACCGGACAGTTTTCTTTTCTCGTTTCTCCAGGAGGTAATACTGAATGGGGTTTCCTCCATCAGATGTTGGAGGACTCCAGGACAGAGTGATGCTCTCTCCTGTAACCTCAGTAGCGTCAGGAGTTCCTGGAGCATCAGGAGTAGCTGAGGGAAATTAGGTAAATAGATGAGTGCAGTCACGTTTTTTTTCCAAAGTATTTTGCATTACAAAATTTTTTTGTCTGAAATATCAAATGAAAAAAGCTTTTCCTTTTTCACACTTACTGTATTGCAGCTGAGCAATGATGGGGCTGGATTCCAAAGATCTTCCAACTCCAAACTTGTTTACAGCGGAGACCCTGAACTGGTACTCATTTGTCTTGATGAGCTTGGTTGCATTGAATGTGCACTCCATGCATTCATCAGACACCAAGGCCCAAGAGATCTTGGCGGTCTCACGCTTCTCAACAATGTAATGTGAAATCTCGGCGCAGCCGTCATTCTCTGGTGGGTTCCAAGACAGAGTGCACTTGCCTTCTGAGATATTACTGAACGTCATTGGTCCTACAGGTTCCCCAGGAGTATCTGCAGTACATTGATATGCACAATGTAAGTTGGAACATGAATAAATACAGTCACAAATGTTATTGACAGCATTGGAATGCACAAACAAACTGCAGACCTTGGACTTGAACAAGGATATTCTCCTTCTTGCTTCCAGATCCATTTGTAGCCTCCACAGTGTAGAGGCCACGGTGGGTACGATCAGCATCCCTCACAAACAAGGTGCTGGATCCAGCGACATTGACAATGTCCATCATCTTTTTGGTAATCTCAACACCATCTCTGTACCAGACCACCTTGGGAACAGGCCGCCCTGTGATTGTCACTTTCAGCCTGATGTTGTCTCCTGCCTTGACTGTCAAACCTTCAAAGTACTCTGGGCCAAACTCAATATTTGGACAAGCTGGTTTTGAGAAAGAGAGATAGCATTAGCTCACAGGGTGTAGCTTAACTAAGCTTTAAATATTTTACTTTCACAATAGAGGATTTAAGAGGAATGCTTTATGCTGTGTTTTTCTTTAAGCCAGTTACTAAAAGGCAATATGATGCCGTGCTCTTTAATTTGATTTTATTGTTCAGGCGTTAAGTTTAGTATTAAAACCCTAGAATTACTCACCGTTTTCACTTCTAACTACAATCATGCCAGAGGAGTTGGAGGGAGGACTGACAACACCAATTGCATTTCTTGCAATCACTCTGAACTCATAGCGTTCATTTGTTGCCAACCCTGTGACAGTGTACTGGCAGTCATGTACATCAGTCAAGTTGGCCTTGAACCAGCGGCCATGTCCTTGACGCTTCTCAATATTGTAGCCGGCAATCTTGCTACCACCATCACGCTTTGGTGCATCCCATTTCAGGGTCACTGTGTCACTAGTCACATCAATGTAATCAGGCTGGCCAGGAGGATCTGAAAGACATATGTAGATATTTGAACTTCTTATCATTTAACCAAACCAATTAAAAATTGTATTCTAACTACCATTGTAAGACTAGAAAAATCATTTTTAAAAACGTATTATAGTTTCAGTATGATTTGTACAGAAGAATAATGAGTAATGTAAATCGGCACTCACCAACAGGACTGACAGCCATGGTTGACTTGCTCTCATCACTCATTCGACTGAAGCCAGCATCATTCTGGGCGTAGACTCTGAAGGAATACCCAAGGCCTTCAATGAGTCCCAAGATCCTGTAGTCTGTTTCTGTGATCAACACAGTGTTCACCTTTTGCCACATAATGCTGTTCTTTTCCTTCTTCTCCACATGATAGCCCTGGATGGGGGTACCACCATCATAGATTGGCTGCTCCCATTGGATTGTCATACCATCAGTGGTCACATTATACACAATGGGCATGCCTGGTGGGCCTGGAGGTCTGAACTGGTGCTTGGCAATGACCATCTGTGAGACTAAAGCCTCACTGACACCATATCTGTTTTCAGCACACACCCTGAACTGGTATTGGACACCCTTGATAAGGTTGGGGACCTTGAACTGATTACCCTGTACACCGGAGCAGGCCATCTTCCAGTCGGATTGGGAGGTGTCACGCTTCTCCACAGTGTAGCAGGTAATGTCTCCACCACCATCGTCGTTAGGTTCTTCCCAGGATATCATGATGCTCTCAGCTCTGACTTCATCCAGGAGGATGGGTCCAATAGGCTTGGATGGTGGTCCAAGTGTGATGACATGGATATGGGAGGATCTCCTATTGACCTTGTTATCAAGAGTCAAGGTGTATTTGCCCCCATTCTCCTTTGTCACATTCTTAATCATTAGAGTGGCTTTGTTTTCCGTCTTCTTGAAGCGAACTTGGTCACTCTCCTTCAGTGGCAGGTTGTCCTTCAGCCACAGAACAGAAGGTCTTGGTTTTCCTTTGTATGGCAGCTCAATGTGCACATTGTGACCCAGGCGGACACTTATCCTGCCATCTGGGTACTCAGCAAGGCTTGCCTCGGGTGTGATGATGTAATCGATTACTTTAATAGGTCCAATCTCAAAAAAGTCACCCTGTCCTTTCTCATTTCTTGCAGCAACTCTGAAGAACACATCCGAGTGCTCCTTGAGTTTCTTAACTTCAAACTCACACTGTCTGCTGGTTCCTCCCAATGACCATTCCTCATCCTTGAGCTTCTTCTCAATGATGTAGTCAGAGATAATGCTGCCACCATCATAATCAGGCTTCAGCCACTGCAGGGTTACAGAGGTCTTTGATGAATCCTTCATAGAAACCTCCTTAACTGGTCCTGGGGTCTCTGTAGCTTTCACAGGCTCAAGAGTTTCACATGGATCACCAACACCGTTCTCATTTTCTGCTAACACACGGAAGAAGAAGGATGTCTTCTCTGAGAGATCTTCAATAGTGTATGTTGTGTCTGTGCATTTGCTTGTCACTGCAGAGTAAGATCTCTTGGAGGAGTCTCTCTTCTCAACTATGTAGTTTGTGATCTCAGCACCACCATCAAGAAGTGGAGGCTCCCAGCAGAGAGTGACCTTTCCACGGGTCACCTCCTTCAGCACAAGATTCTTGCACTGAGCTGGAGTATCCTGGACCTTCACAGACAGGGTCAGTTTCTTTGGCTCTCCAACACCATTTTCAATCTTTACTGTGTACTTTCCAGTATCAAGCCTGGTCACCTCACGCATAACAAGGACTGTAGTGGTGTCTGTGTGATGGAACTCATATTTGGGATTGTGATCAATGCATTCGTCTCCCTTGCACCAGGAAGCTGTTGGAGAAGGTCTGCCCTTTAGAGGTACAGTCAGCTCCACATCCTTGCCTGCCTTCACAATGTAGTGTGTTCTCATGGCCACATCTGAATCAACCTGGGCCTCCTCTGTGAAAATTGTAGAAAATATTTAAGGTCAAACATACTACATTATCTAAGAAAAGTAAGAATAAAACATAGGTTAAAAACTGAATACACTTAAATATAAATGATTATTTACCAAGGATATCCTTAGCCTGCACAGGCTCAGTCATCTCCAGCGGCTCCCCTCGGCCAGTACAGTTGATAGCAGAGACTCTGAAGAAGTAGTTGACATCTGGTTTTAAGTCATGGACTGTGTATTCTGTAGTCTTTACCTCTCCCTTGGAGGTTATCATTGCCCACTCTTGCTCTCCTTCAATAAGCTTCTCCACCATGTAGTTTGTGACTTCACTGCCTCCATCCCATTCTGGCTTGGACCAGCCTAAAGTAATGGATGTCCTCGTTGAGTCCACTACCTTCAGCTTGCATGGCTCATCAGGGGGATCTGAGAAAAATGGATGAGATATGAAGAGTAATGCATTTGATAATTTTTTGTTGGAATATGTATTAATGGTAGAACACCTACCAACTGGGTCAGCCGCCTTGTAGTAGTCTGATGCATCAGAGAACGGTCCCTCCCCAGCTTTGTTAATGGCACAGATGCGGTACTGGTACTCATTTCCTTCTGTCAAATGGTAGACAGTCTGTTTGATGTCAGTGATAGGGTCTTTATAAACTCTTATCCAGCGCAAGCTCTTCTTGTCACGTCGCTCCAGGTAGTAGCCTGTTACAGTGCTACCTCCGTCTACACCTGGTTTGTCCCATTCTACCACCATTGTGGACTTGGTGATGGTAGTCACCTCAGGAGTATGTGGCTGCCCAGGAGTTACTGTGGATATTAAATACAAATGTAAATTATAAGTATTTTTTCTCAATAAATAGGCAAAAGAAAAAGCAGAAAAGTGAAACATTGGGAGCTAAGTCATTAAATGGTGACTAGTTTCTATTAAAGTCATATTTGCAGCCCTCTTTAGCCCAAACGTACCAAAGGCGTTCTTAGCAATGACAGGCTCTGACTCCAGTGTCTCTCCAACTCCATACTTATTGACACCCATTACTCGGAACACATATTCATTTCCACGCAAAAGCTGGCCGACAGTGACGTGTGTCTCCTCATGCCTGTCTGAAACTGTTGACCAGACAACTCTACTGGTTTCGCGCCGCTCAACAATGTAGTGGGTGACCTTTGAACCACCCTGGTCTGACTCAGGCACAGGCTCCCAGCTGAAGATAATTTTGTCTGCTGTGATGGAGTTGAAGTTAATCATGCCGGCTGGGGGTCCAGGTTTGTCTAAAGGGTAATAAAAAGGGGAAAAGGATGATTAAACATAATACGAATTATGAATTTTAGGAATATGAAAAAGTGAAGCAAAAACAAAACATGAAATACCTAGGATTTCAATCCTAATGGTTGCAGATGCTGAACCGAGAACATTCTTGATCTTTATCTCATATGAGCCTGTGTGAAGGCGAGCTGCATCTTTGATCAGAACAGCAGAAGAGTCAGTTGTGCTCTCAACAGATATTGTAGAAGTTGCTACCAGCTCCTTTCCATCCTTGAGCCACTCAATTGTTGGCAGAGGCTTGGCAATGATGCCAACTCTTAGCTTAACTGAAGTTCCAGCCTTGTACTGAACCACATCCAGATACTCTGGAGGAAGATCAATAGCTGGGGCACCACATGCATCAACACATGTGACTGGGCCAGCAATGAGAGATGGGTTGCTGACAGACCCAATTGCATTCTTGGCATACACTCTGAACTCATAAGACTCATCCTGGTTCAGTCCAGAAACTGTGAAGCCCATCTCAATAATGTTTGTGAAGTTGGCCTTCACCCATCTGCCATTTGGAGCATCCCTCCTCTCCACACTGTAGCCTGTAATTTTGCTGCCACCGTCATATGGAGGCCTCTGCCATGCCAGGCTGACTGAGTTCTTGGTGACTTCTGTGATGCGAACATTTGCTGGGGGCTCTGTGACATTGAATTAAGAGAGGGTCTTGTAATCAAAACAATGATCAAGATTGCAAGCTCTTTTAGAATTATATATTTAATTTAAACACTTACCACAGGCATCAATTGCAAGCACTTCTTCAGAGGTCTTGCTCATCTTTCCAATACCTGCAGCATTTTCAGCTGCTACCTTAAATTCATAGATGAGGCCAGGGCAGATGTTGGAGACTCGCCACTGATTTCCTGGGATTGCTGTCTTATTGACCTTCTGCCAGAGGATACTGCTCCTCTCTTTCATCTGGAGATGATATCCAATCACAGGGTTTCCACCATCATTGACAGGCTCATTCCAGCAGACTGTCAGACTCTCCCTAGATACAAAGCTGAGCCATGGTGTAGATGGGGGTCCAGGGATGACTGTAATGGAGAAGCATTCGTGTTAGTGTTCAGAAGAATTCATAACACAAAAAAGTCACAGAAAGATAATTTTTTCTCAGTCAGAGTTATTTTAATAAATAAAAAGGAGATAAAGTCGTCAAATTTAGATTAGTTCTTGCCATCTTCTTTTAAATGTATTTACTTACTGTATGGAAGTTTTATCATGACTGGCTGGCTGTCAATGTGGTCGCTGACACCGAAGCGATTTTGAGCCTTAATCCTGAACTGGTACCCTTCTCCCTTTGTCAGCTTATTCACCTTGATTGCACTTCTGGCAATGCTAGTTGACACCTCTGCCCAGGTGGGAGTGCTAGTTTCCCGTTTCAGAACAATGTAGTTGGTGACAGGACTGCCGCCATCATATTCTGGAGGTGCCCATTTCAGACATACAGTTGTTTCTCCGACCTCTCCGATCTCGACCGGACCAGCTGGTGGCCCAGGTTTATCCAGGACAACGAAGATAATCAAGATCTTGGTAGTGCCTCCAGAATTTGAGGCAGTCACTTCATATTTTCCAGCATCAGTTGATATGCTTTCTAATAGAGTGATGATTAAACTGTCTGGAGTCACTTCTGTAAGCAACCTCTTAGATCCCTTGATGACAACATTATTCTTGGACATAGTCACCTTTGGCGTGGGCCTACCAGTAAGAGGGATCTCAAAGGTCAGATCTGATCCTGCTTTTACATAAACTGTACTCTTGGGATAGTTCTTCATGTCAAATTCAGGGGCCTCTGTAATAAGAGAGGAGTAAAAACAGGTTACGCATGTCAACTTAAAAATAGTAAGCAGACCAAACTGTATTTCTCGTCAAATTCCAAAGGTTTCAAAATGTCTCTTTAATTACACAACTTCAAAACTAAGAAATTCATTTTAAGTTAATATCTGTTTTCTAGGAACATTAAAAAGTATAAAACACAGTCAGTAAAACTAATCAACAGAGATAATAATAGAGATAATACCATGTATTTCTTTGACAATTACGGGTACAATCATCTCCTTTGGTTCACTGAGTCCAGCATGGTTTTCAGCACGAACTCTGAAAAAGTACTCAGCACCCTCCCTCAGGTTCTTAATAACATGGGTCATGGTCCTCACAGTGGCACACTTCACCCACTTGGTCTGTCCCTTCTCCAGGGCATCAATAAGATAACCAGTGACTCTGCTACCACCATCATATTCTGGTCTTGTCCAGGCAATTGTCACACTGTCCTTTGTAACATTTGCAACTCCAAGTTTCATAGGCAGACTTGGAACCTCTGTAAAAGACAAGCGAATGTCAGGAACATTGACCAACAGATAAACTTTACAGCTACAACATTTCAAAAACTGCCATTTCATAAATCACCTGTAATCTTTGTTCCAGCCTTGGCCTCCTGAGGAACACCAACTCCATATTCATTTTCTCCAATAATTCTGAAGTAATACATGGCTCCCTCCTGCAGGTCTTCCACTTTGTAAGAAAGTGTGTGGCAGTTGCTGGTCACAGACACCCAAGCCTTCTTACTGGCCTCACGTTTTTCAACATGATAGGCCTTCACAGCATCACCTCCATCATTCTCTGGAGCTTCCCAAGCGAGGGTTGCTGTATCCCTTGTCACTGCTGATACTTTAACATTGACAGGGGGTCCAGGAGAGTCAAGCACCTTGACAACCATTGGCAATGTTGCTTTTCCCAATGGGGATTCAATAGTAACACTGTATTCTCCAGAGTCATTTCTAGTTGACTTCTCAAGGGTCAGTGAAGTGTTAGATTTTGTTGATTCAATGGTTCCTCTGACCTTAAGATCAACACCTTCCTTGACCCATGTCACTGACGGTACAGGTTTTCCCTTGAATGGTACATTGAGAGTAAATGCTGTGCCATGCTTAACGATAAGCACTTTGTGCATCTCAATGTCAACATCAAATGATGGCTCTGCTGTTCTGTCCATTGCTGCAGCTGCATCTGAAAATAGGCTACGCACACTGCTGCCAACTTTGTTTATTGCCTTGACAGAGAATTCGTATTCTGCATCTGTCTTTAGTCCAGTAACGGTGAACTCCAAGCTCTTCGTCAGAGGGATAGCCTCAACCCATCTTGCAAGTTCTTCAGGTGATTCAGGTACCTCCTCTTCCTCTTCCTCTTCATATTCTTCCTCTTCGTCCTCAACCTCCGGCTCTGGTTTGCGAATGTAGTCTCTGTATTCTACACTGTATCCAAGGATGGGAGCACCACCATCATTTGTTGGTGGTTTCCAGACAATTGTTATGCTGTCCTTAGTTGAATTTACAATCTTTGGCTTTGTCGGGCGAGAGGAAACAACCAGAGGATCTAATGCTCTAAATGTTGCAGATCGTTCACTTGGAGGGCTCAAACCAGCAGCATTTTCAGCATAGACTCTGTAGTCATACTCACAACCCTTGCGCAGCTTTGTTGCCACAGTTGTACACTCAACAACAAGATCCCTGTTCACACGGATCCACCGCATGCCTGTCTTCTCACGGCGTTCAATCACATATCCAATGATGGGACTGCCTCCATCACTGACTGACTTACACCAGGTGAGTGTCATTGAATCTCCAGTTATGACTGTGACATCAACACTAGTTGGTGCAGTGGCAAATGTATACGGATCTGTAATTTTTACAGCATCACTTTCCAGAGACTCACCAGGACCATGCTTGTTAACAGCCAAAACTCTAAATATATATTCATTGCCCTTTAGCAGTCCAGTGACTTTGAAATATGTTTTTGTGAGATCTCCCTTTACCACTGTCCATGCCAAGCGGCTGGTCTCACGCTTCTCAACAACATAATGTGTGATGTCAGCACCACCAATTTCCTGAGGAGGACCCCATGACAGAGTGCATTCCTCAGCAGTGAGACCTGTGATCTGTAGCGGTCCTGCTGGAGGTCCTGGCTTATCTAAAATCACACAGTTTATTGGCATGGTAACTGTTCCACCAATATTCTGTAGAGTCAGGGCATACTGTCCAGAATCTCTTCTGATGCAATCCTTTACAACTACAGAAGTGCTTGTGTCAGTTGAAACAATCTGGATTCTGGCTCTCAGCTCAATCTCTTTGCCATCCTTGGTCCAGGAAATGACAGGGGCAGGACGACCAGCAAGATCAGCATTTATCTTCAGAGATTCTCCTGCTTTTACAAGCACTGTTTCTCTGAACTTGACATCCATCATGATGCGTGGTGGATCTACATCAGCCTTGACAGTAATGGGGCCAGTGTTGTAAGATGGTTCACTGAATAATCCAGCTGCATTCTTTGCAATGACACGGAAGTCATACTGGCTGCTCTCTGTAAGGCCTGTCACATCATAGTGGGTCTCGGGCACATTAGTGAAGTTGCATCTTGTCCAGCGTCCTTCAGGAAGGTCTCTGCGTTCAATGGTGTAGCCAGAAACCTTGGCTCCACCATCATACTCTGGTTTATCCCAAGACAATGAGACGGATGTTCTGGTAATTGCAGTGATCACAGGTGTTCCTGGAGGATCACATGGATCTCTGGCAGCTACACCTTCACAGGCCTTGCTGCATTTACCAATACCTGCAATATTTTCAGCATATACACGGTATTCATAAACCATTCCTTCCTCAATTGCGTTGACTTTGTATTCTGTATCTTTGATCATCCCTCTGTTCATCTTTGTCCAAAGAATGCTAGTACGCTCTTTCATTTCAAGATGGTAGCCCAGAACAGGGCTACCACCGTCATTGACTGGCTCATTCCAAGTTACCAGCATGTAAGACTTGGTAGCCAACTTCACTATAGGGGTGGAAGGAGGTCCAGGTTGTTTGAAGTTGTACATTGCAGTGATACCAGATGAATCCAGATTTGCACTCTTTCCATAACGATTTACTGCATAGATACGGAATTGGTATTCTGCGCCATGTGTCAGGCGGCCAGCCTTGAAAGATGTTCTGGCAACATTACTTGCTATCATCTGCCATTCTTGTGTGTTTGTGTCCCTCTTCTCAACAATATAGTTACTGATGGAGCAGCCACCATCGTAATCTGGTGGGGACCAGGACAGTGTGATGCTGTCTGAAGTCACAGCATCCACCTTAATGCCTTTAGGTGGACCTGGTTTGTCAAGGACAACAACTCCAATATCCGCATTGGCAGTTCCTGCTGTGTTGGCCAAGGTTATCTCGTACTTTCCAACATGTTCTCTGGTAGCCTCTTTGATAATGATTTTGGAAGCGGTTGCTGTGTTCAGGATGGTCACTGATGATGTTTGCTTTAACGGAAGTCCATCCTTTTTCCAGGATACGACAGGCTTGGGCCTGCCTCTTACTGGTACCTCCAAGGTAAGGTCTTTGCCAGACTTCACACTGTATGTGTTAAACAGCAAATTGATAGATGGTTCAATTGCAACATCCTTTGCAACCACAGGCAAGCCAAGCTCCTTTGGCTCACTCTTTCCCTTCTCATTTATTGCAATAACTCTAAACAAATAGGCTTCATTAGGAGTAAGATTTGGAATAGTTGCTTCAGGCACTTTGACTGTGCATGCTGTGCCCCATTTATCTCCACTCTTAGGCTTGAATTCTACATTGTAACACATAACTTTGCTTCCACCATCATGAGCAGGTTTGGCCCATGCTAGTGACACGCTGGTCTTTGTCAAATCTACAAGGGTAACCTTGCTTGGTGGCAGGGGTACTTCAGACACTTTGACTTCTTTGGTTTCAACCATCTGTCCTTGGCCATATTCATTAACAGCACAGACTCTGAAGTAGAAAATTCCACCCTCAGGTAACTCTTCAATCTTGAATGAGTTGGCTGTGCAGTTGCTGGTGACAGTAGTATAGGCCTTCCTAACAGACTCTCTCTTTTCTACAATGTAGTTTGTGATTTTTGAACCCCCATCAGTAAGTGGAGAATCCCAGGCAAGAGTTACTGAATCCTTCTTAAGCTCCTTCACGGCAAAGTTTTGTGGTGCACTTGGTGTATCTAAAATTCTTACTGCAACGATAGCAGATTTTTTGCCACTGCTATTCTCCAGTGTAAGTGAGTATTTCCCACTATCAAAGCGGTTAACATTGTCAATAACAATCATAGTGTATGAACTAGTTGTGTCAATAGAAGCCCGGTCTGTGAGAGTACCCTCAACCTTTTCCCATTTCACAGCAGGTTGAGGTCTTCCTCTGATGGTGACAAACAGACGAAGCGTTCCACCAGCACGGACAGAGACCACTTTTCTGAGATCGGCATCAAGCTCAATCTCTGGTGCTTCTGCCCTGTCAGAAGTTACGACAGTGCCATGGATATCAGCAGCCTCTCCCACTCCCTCAGAGTTAATAGCGCAGACACGGAATTGGTACTCTCCACCCTCCTTCAGGTCTGGGATAGTAAGTTTTGTGGCTTGAGTGCCTGTGGGTGGAGTGCACATGTTCCATTCTTTTTCTACTGGTGCCTCTACTGCTGGTGCTACTTCTGCCTCCTCTGTTGATTCAGGTACTGGAGTATACTCTCTCATTTCAACAATGTAGCCTTTAATATAGGCACCACCATCAAATTCAGGTTTTCCCCAGGACAGAGACACAGAAGATTTTGTGTAATCTGTAACCTTGGGATGGTGTGGAGGACCAGGTGGTGTTGTGGCATCACAAGCTCTGTTCATTAGAGACAGTTCACTGAGGTCTCCCATTCCAGCCTCATTCTCAGCTGCAACACGGAACTCATAGAAGTGATCTGTCAACAAACCTGTGACCTTGAAGTGGGTGTCAGTCAGCTTTTGTCTGTTGCATTTTGTCCACCTCACACTATCTTTGTCACGTTTTTCAAGGTGGTAGCCTTCAATGTCCGCACCACCAGTCTGTTCTGGAGGGGTCCATGACAGAATCATTGAGTCTTTTGTGATCTGACTTGCCTCTGGAGTTCCAGGAGCAGTAGGTGGCTTGTAAGGATTTTGTGCAATGATGGGTTCACTCTCAAGATTATCACCAACACCATACTTGTTGACCGCCCTGACTCTGAAAATGTATTCATTTCCAGAGAGCAAATTTGTCAGTTTATAATACAATGTCTTTACATTTGCTGCCGCCACTGTCCATGACAGCCTGCTTGTCTCTCTCTTCTCCAAGATATAGTGAGAGATGCTAGCCCCACCATCCAGGGATGGCTCAGACCAGGAAAGGGTGCACCTGTCAGACATGACTCCTGTTATATTCATGGGTCCAGTGGGTGGACCTGGTTTATCAAGGACTCTGACAGTAATAGGGAAGGTCTTTGTACCCCCTAGATTTTTTAGGACAAGGTCATAGTGGCCAGCATCAAGTTTGGTAACATCCTTAATGGTTAAGGTTGCACGTTTCTGTGTAGTTCTCACTTCAATACGTAGGGCTTTGTCCATTTCCTGGCCGTCTTTAAGCCAGACAACATCAGGAATTGGTTTTCCATAAATGTCTGCATCAAGAAGCAAATGTTCTCCAGCATTGACAACTATGACATCCTTGTATTTTGGGTCCATTGAAGCCCTTGGTGGTTCAATTTCATCAGTAGCCGTAATAGGTCCGGAGCTGTCGGATGGCTCACTGAACACTCCAGCTGCATTTCTTGCAATTACTCTGAATTCATATTGCTCATTCTCGGTAAGACCAGTGACAGTATACTCAGTCTCAATTATATTAGTGAAGTTAGCTCTTACCCAACGCCCATCAGGGGAGGAAAGATCTTTCCTTTCCACTATATATCCATTAACTTTGCTGCCACCATCATACTCAGGCTTGGTCCACTGAATCTTGATAAGGTTCTTAGAAATAGATACAGCTTCGGGAGCACCAGGGGGATCACATGGGTCACGAGCAACAAATGACTCAGAGACTTTACTGCATCTTCCGATTCCAACAATATTCTCCCCACAGACTCTGAATTCATATCCAATACCCTCCTCAAGATTGCAGATCTTGAACTGAGTATCAGTGATAAGAGTTTTGTTCAGTTTGTTCCACAGTATACTGCTTCTCTCCTTGCTTTCCAGATGGTAACCAATAACTGCACTTCCGCCATCAATGACTGGCTCATTCCATTCAATGATCATCATTTCCTTTGTTGCCGATTTGACACGTGGTGTTCCTGGAGGCCCTGGGGGTTTGTATGGATATTGCACAACAATGGCTTTGGAGTCCAGTGATGCACCCTTTCCATATCTGTTCTCAGCTATGATTCTGAACTGGTACTCTGCACCAGTCTTAAGTTTTGTGACCTTGAAAGCTGTTCTAGCAAGCTGTGTTGTAACAGACTGCCATGTTGTAGTGGTGGTGTCTCTTTTCTCAACTATATAGTTCTTTACCTGGCATCCACCTGTGTACTCAGGTGGATCCCATGAAAGATGAACAAAGGTGTTGCTCACTTCAACAACCTTGACTGGACCCGTTGGTGGACCAGGCTTGTCAAGGATAATGACAGTTACATCCTCTGTGATTGTGCCCACAGTATTGGTTGCTGAAATAGAGTATTTTCCAAAGTCCTCCTTGCACGCTTCAGTAATTTGAATTCCAGTTGTGGATGGAGTGCTCACTACATTTACCCTTGATGTTACTTTCAGAGACTGACCATCTTTTGCCCAGATGACTCTAGGTTTTGGTCTACCAATGACAGGGAACTCCAATTTAAGATCTTTTCCAGCTAATACACTGTAAGTTTTGAATTGCATCTTAATGCTTGGTTCCATTGTCATGTCACTGGCAACAACTGGTGCAGCAAGGGCCTTTGGTTCACTCTTACCCTTCTCATTGTAAGCAATGATTCGGAATAGGTATTCTGTTCCAGATGTGAGGCCTGTGACAGTGCCGTCACATGTCTTTGTATTTGTTGCAACTCCCCACTTATCTGTACCCTTTGGCTGCATCTCTATTAGGTAACCACCAATTCTACTGCCTCCATCATGCTCAGGTTTCTGCCAAGCCAATGAGACACTGGCCTTGGTAACATCAGTGAGGTAGACATTCCCGACAGGCATTGGTACCTCAGAAGCCTTGGAAGCTGTCTTTGTTTCAACAGCCTGGCCAATTCCATAATCATTCTCAGCCATGACTCTGAAATAATACATGGCACCTTCAACCAAGTTCTCAACTTTGAATGTTGTTTTACTGCATTTAGTGGACACATTTGCATATGCCTTTCTGGTTGATTCCCGTTTGTCAATGACATAGTTCTTTATTTTAGAACCTCCATCAATTAGTGGGGCATCCCACACCAGAGTGACACAGTCCCTTTTGATTTCTTTAACCACAAGGTTCTGTGGGGCCCCGGGTGTATCCAGGACTTTAACAGCAACAACCTCAGACACAGAGCCACTGCTGTTTGTAAGGCTTAGGGTGTATTTCCCTGAATCACCCCTGTCACACGAGTCAATAGACAGCTGTGTGAAATTGAGAGCTTTCTCAACCACCACCTTTTCAGTCATGTCTCCCTCATCCTTAGTCCACTTAATCTCAGGTGTTGGCCTGCCTTTGAATGGAATATTGATTCTAGCTGATCCACCAGCTTTAACAATTATGCCCTTCCTCAGCTCAGAGTCAAGCTGGATCTGTGGCGGGTCCACCCTTTCTTCTGGCTTAGCTGTTCCAGAAGGAGCTGCTGGTTCACCAACACCCAGTTTGTTCAGAGCACAAACCTGGATCTTGTACTCCTGACCTTCAGTAAGTTTTGTAATCTCATATTTGTTGACACGCAGGCCAGTTGGGGGGGTTGCCATGGTCCATTCCTCCTCCTCAGCCTTGCAGACTTCAACAATGTAACCTTGAATGGCACTGCCACCATCAAACAGAGGCTTACCCCATGACACTGTAATAGAACTCTTTGTGGAGTCAATCACATTTACATATGCTGGGGCACCAGGTTTGTACTTGGGATCACAGGCCTTGAAGTATGAACTTGGAAGGCTTGGCTCCCCCGCTCCAACTACATTCTCAGCAATCACTCTGAACTCATATTCATGGTCCTTGGTAAGACTTGTAGCTCTAAAGGAGAGATCTGTTACTTTTTGCCTGTTGCATCTGGTCCATTTGATTCCACTTCTATCCTTCTTCTCAATTATGTAATTGGTAATCTCACAGCCGCCATCATTCTCAGGGCCAGACCAAGTGATGGTCATGCCATCATGGGCAATATTGGATACATCTTCAATGTGAGGTTGACCAGGGGGAACAAATGGAGTCTTCATAATCACTCCACCAGACTCCAGTGGCTCACTGATACCGTAACTGTTCACTGCCATGACACGGAACATGTACTCATTGCCTTCCAGTAATTTTGTGACTTTGTAGCATGTGTTGTCACAGCTGTTGGAAACAACAGTCCAAGCTAGACGGCTAGTCTCTCTTCTTTCAATGATATAATGAGTAATAGGACTACCTCCATCATGCAGAGGAGCACGCCATACCAGTGTGCATCTGTCTTCAGCCACTCCTGCAATACAGAGGGGTCCTTCACATGGGCTAGGCCTGTCCAGAACCAAGACCTTGAATGGAACAGATTCAATACCAGCCTCATTTGTTAGCTGCAAAGTATATGTTCCACCATCAATTCTTACACAGTCCTTGATGACAATCATTGCATGGTTTTCTGTGTTTTTGATCTCTAGTCTGAGTGTATTCTCAATTGGTTTTTCATCTTTGAACCACTGGATCATGGGCAGTGGCTTGCCTCTGACATCAGCATCTAGCTTAAATGTTTCTCTGGCATTTATGATAATGGTCTTTGTGAAAGCAGGGTCAATGGAGAATTTGGGTGCTTCCAACTCATCACTTGCAGTTATTGGTCCACTGTTGTAAGATGGCTTACTTACAGTTCCAACAGCATTTTTAGCAATGACTCTGAAGTCATACTGGGCATTTTCAGTCAGACCAGTGACAGTGAACTGTGTTTCAATGACATTTGTGAAGTTTGCCCTTACCCACCTGCCCTCTGGCAGATCACGCTTCTCCACAGTATAGCCAGTTATATTACTGCCACCATCATACTCTGGTTTAGTCCATTGAATGACAATGGTGTCTTTGGTCACATGGATGGCTTCTGGTGTACCAGGAGAGTCACATGGGTCACGGGCAAAGCAGCCCTCAGAGACCTTACTGCACCTGCCTATACCAACAATGTTTTCAGCATAGACCCTATATTCATACTCTATACCCTCCTCCAAGGGATGACTCTTGAAACTATTCCCATGAATAAGTGTCTTGTTGATCTTGACCCAGAGAATACTATTCCTCTCTTTCCTTTCAAGATGGTAGCCGAGAACAGGGCTGCCTCCATCTGCGACAGGCTCATGCCACTCCACTATCTGGTGGTCCCTAGAGAGCGAAGAAATGAAAGGAGTGCCTGGTGGGCCTGGCTCTCTGTATGGGTACTGAGCAACTACAACAGATGAATCCAGACCATGACTCTTTCCATAACGGTTCTGGGCAATTATCCTGAACTGGTACTCAGCTCCAGTCTTAAGTCTAGGCACTTTAATGGTAGTTCTAGCACAGTTGATGCTTACATTTTCCCATGTTGACGTAGTAGTATCTCTCTTTTGTACAATATAGTTTGAAATCTGGCAGCCCCCATTATGCTTTGGTGGATCCCATGAAATAGTGACACTCTGTGTTGTGATTTCATCGAACCTTACAGGCCCTGAAGGAGGGCCAGGCTTGTCAAGTACAATGATCTCTACAGTTGTGTCCTTCTTTCCTGCTGAGTTTGCAGCATTTATACTGTACATTCCACCATCATCCCCTGCTGCCTCTTTAATGCTCAGTGTTGTATGTGTTGGTGTGTTGACAATGTTGACTCTGGTCGTGAACTTAAGTGAAGCACCATCTTTAGACCATGTGACAGTCGGTTTAGGGCGTCCAAAGATAGGAATATCAACATTTAGGTCTTTACCCACATGGACACTGTAGCTGCTAAAACCTGGTCGAACTTCCGGCTCAAAGACTAAGTCCTTGGTCATGACTGGACCAGCAAGGACTTTGGGGTCACTCTTGCCCTTATCATTGATTGCAGTAACTCTAAACAGATACTCCTCTCCTGGGTTCAGATTGGAAACAGTGGCCTCCATTGTCTTAAATGTGTTCACACCAGACCACTTTTCAGTACCCTTAAGCTGCACCTCGAGCAGGTACTGCATTACTCTGCTACCACCATCATACTCTGGCCTCTCCCAAGCCAATGAGATACTTGTTTTGGTTTGGTCTTTAACAATCAAGCTCCTTGGCGACTGGGGCACCTCTGAGACCTTTAGAGGATCAATAGTTGACACAGGCAGGCCAACACCATGAGCATTCTCAGCAAGGACACGGAAGTAGTAACTGCAACCCTCCTGGAGTGGCTCTATTTTCCATGATAGAGCATGACAATTTGTGACAACTGCTGCATATGTTTTGCGCGTGCTCTCTCGCTTTTCAACAATGTAGTTCTTGATCTTGGACCCACCATCCAAAAGAGATGGTTCCCATGCCAGAGTCACGGACTGGTTAGTAATTTCTTTTACTTTCAGGTTAACAGGGGCACTAGGTGTGTCGAGGACACGGACAACAACAAATGCAGATTTGGTTCCACTGGAGTTCTCTATAGTGAGATTATATTTTCCACTGTCATTCCTGCTCACTTTGTCAATTACAAGGGATGTGTAACTGCTGGTCGACTCAACCTGAGCAGTCTCTTTTAGTGCAGCTTCATCTTTGTCCCATTTGACAGTAGGAATGGGCCTTCCTTTGATTGGAATGAAAAGTCTAAGAGAAGCACCAGATTTAATGGTCACAATTTTCCTCAGTTCTGGGTCAATGTCAAGGTCTGGCTCTTCTGCCCTGTCTTGTACGATAACAGCTCCAGAGACATCAGCATGCTCACCAACTCCAACTTTGTTGATAGCAAATATTCTGAACTTGTATGCCTGGTTTTCCTTCAGGTTTGCAACCTCAAACTTGGTCTTCTTAACACCTGTTGGTGGTGTGCACATCATCCACTCCTCAGCAGGTGCCCCTGTGGCAGCTGCTTCTGCAGCTGGGGCTCCAGCGGGGATCTCAGCTGGCTCTGCTGCCTCAGTAGTAATGCAACACTCAACAATATATCCTTGAATCTCACAGCCTCCATCACAGACAGGCCTGCCCCATGATAGATACACTGATGTTTTTGTTGTATCAGTAACCCGTGGATTATGTGGTGGGCCAGGACTGAAGATGGGATCAAGAGCTTTAAAGAATACAGTTGGGGAGCTTGGCTCACCAACACCGACAGCATTTTCAGCTGCAACTCTGAACTCATAACTATGGTTTTCCAGGAGTCCGGTCACCTTAAAAGACAAGTCAGTGACTGTTTTCCTGTTGCACCTGGTCCATCTTACACCTTCTTTGTCATGTTTCTCAATTATGTATCCAGTTATAAGACTGCCTCCATCTTCTGAGGGAGCATCCCAGGTAAGCATCATTGAATCCTTTTTAATTTCTGAAACTTCCAAACTTTTCGGTGTGCCAGGAGGCATATATGGATCTTTGATTGTGACTGCAGTAGACTCAAGGGGTGCGCCCACTCCAAAGTGGTTGACAGCTCGCACTCTAAAGATGTACTCATTTCCTTCCAGGAGCTTTGTGACCTTTAAGCAAATATTTTTCACTTTCGAATCAACAACAGTCCAGACTAGTCTGCTTGTCTCTCTCCTCTCCACAATGTAGTGAGATATCTTGCTGCCACCATCTTGAAGTGGTGGTTTCCACGCAAGACAGCAACGGTCTAAATTTATTCCTGTCACATCAAGAGGTCCCTGTGGTTCTCCAGGTTTATCTAGAACAACCACGTTGACTTGTACAGCCTTTTCTCCTCCTGGATTTTTTAATAGCAGGGTGTATTGGCCTCCATCAGACAGTTTAGCTTCCTTGACAGATATATAAGCTCTGGTGGGTGTATTCTTAATCTCTCTATGAATAGTGTTGCCTAGTTCCTGCTCTCCCTTCATCCAGTGGATAGAGGGCAATGGTTTGCCATGGACATCTGCATCAATCTTGAAGTTGTCTCCAGCATTAACTACAATGTTTTGTGTGTATTCTGGGTCAATGCTGAGACGTGGTGGTTCAATCTCATCCCTGGCAGTGATAGGACCTGTGCTGTAAGAGGGGATACTGAAAACACCAGCAGCATTTCTGGCGATTACACGGAACTCATATTGATTGTCCTGTACAAGTCCTGTTGCAACATATTCTGTCTCAATGACGTTAGTAAAGTTAGCCTTTAGCCAACGACCTTCAGGAAGCTCTTTCTTTTCCACAATATAGCCTGTTACCTTTGCACCACCATCATACTCAGGCTTGGTCCAAACAATGGTCACAGAATCTTTAGCGATCTTAGTTGCTTCCGGGGTGCCGGGAGGATCACAAGGATCTCTCGCAATAGTTCCCTCTGACACTTTGCTCACTTTGCCTACTCCAACAATGTTTTCAGCATAAACTCTGTATTCATACTCCATTCCTGGCTCAAGACCAGTGGTCTTGAAGGTTTGTTCAGTAATTAGAGATTTGTTAAGTTTAACCCACATTATACTGTTTCTCTCCTTGCGTTCAAGATGATAGCCACAAATTGTGCTTCCACCATCAATCACAGGTTCATTCCAAACAATCACCATGCTGTCCTTGGCACAGGCTGCAATGGAGGGTGTACCCGGGGGTCCTGGCAGCTTGTAAGGGTATTGAGCTGTAATACACTCTGAAAGAAGAGCTGGACCTTTTCCATATCTGTTTTCTGCAGTGATTCTAAACTGATACTCAGAGCCAGTCTTCAATCTGCCTGCCTTGATTTTGGTCCTAGCAAGGTTGGCAGACACAATCATCCAAGTAGTTGTGGATGTGTCTCTCTTTTCCACAATGTAATTTTTAATGGTACAACCACCATCATATTCTGGTGGGTTCCAGGAGATAGTGACACTGTCAGAAGTGACCTCTTCAACTTTAATTGGGCCACCTGGCTGACCAGGTTTGTCAAGAACAACAATGCCAATGTCTGCTGTTGTCTCTCCTGCTGTGTTGGTAAGAGTAATATGGTACTTTCCAACATCATCTTTAGTGGCCTCTTTTATTTTGAGGTTCAGCATTGTGTCAGTTGCACTAAAGTTTACTCTGGTAGTTCTCTTCAGAGGCTGGCCATCTTTTATCCAGGAGACAGCTGCTTTTGGGCGTGCCACATATGGAACGTCCACTGTCAGATCTTCTCCTGCCAACACACTGAATGTGTTAAACAACATTTTTGCAACAGGTGCAATCACAAGATCTTTTACAATCACTGGCACACCAATTTGACGTGGGTCACTTGTTCCCTTTTCATTTCTTGCTGCTACACGGAACATGTATTCTTCCCCTGCATTGAGTCCACTTATAGTAGCTTCTGTTTCTTTTACAATCACTGCTTGGGTCCACTTATCAACTCCCTTTGGCTGGATCTCAACAACATAACAGCCTACTCTGCTGCCACCATCATGCACTGGCTTCTCCCAGCAGAGAGTGACACTGTTTTTGGTAACGTCCTTGAGAGTGATTTTGCCAGGTGGCTGTGGTTTCTCTGACACTTTAACTGACTCACCAGTTTCAATGGGCAATCCAATGCCATATTCATTCTCAGCTAGAACTCTGAAGTAATAATTGCATCCTTCCAGGAGCTGGTCAACTGTGAAGGTGGTATGATGGCACATAGCACTGACTGTGGCATAAGCTTTTCTTGTAGACTCACGTTTTTCAACTAAAAAGTTTTTAATCTTTACTCCTCCATCATTCACTGGTGGATCCCAAGTCAGTGTCACAGCTTCATTAGTTACAGCAGTTATCTTCAGATTTTGTGGGGCACTTGGTGTATCAAGCACCCTGACTTGGACTGTAACTGTCTTGGAGCCGGAGCTATTTTCCACTGTAAGATTATACTTTCCACTGTCAAATCTGTTTACATTCTCAATTACAAGTGATGTGTAAGAAGTTGTGCTGTCAATGGTTGCCCTTTCAATAGACTGCCCTTCTCCTTTGGTCCATTTAGCCTGAGGAGCCGGTCTGCCTCTGATAGGCACAAACAGTCTTAGAGAGCAGCATGCTCTAAGATTGATTAACTTGCGGAGCTCAGCGTCCAAATCAATCTCTGGGGGGAGAAGCCTGTCCTCTGCTTTAGGATTACCAGGTACAGATGCTACATCTCCAACTCCTTCACTGTTGACAGCAGAGATGTTAATCTTGTACTCCTGATTTTCCTTCAGATTAATAATAGTGAATGACGTGGCAAGGAGGCCTTCTTTGGGTGTTGCTATGGTCCATTCCTCCTCTTCCTCCTTTTCAGATGGAGTACAGGTCTCCACAATGTAGCCTGTGATGTCAGAGCCACCGTCATATACAGGTTTGTTCCAGGCAACAGTAATCGAGGATTTGGTTGTGTCCAAGATGCGGGGGTTGCATGGAACCCCAGGCTTGTATAATGCATCGCTGGCCTTGTAGAATGAACTCGAGGCACTGTGTGCACTCACTCCGGCAGCATTCTCTGCAATTATTCTGAATTTATATTCATGTGAAACAACAAGACCTGTTGCCTTGAATTGTAGATCTTTGACTTTCCTTTTGTTGCATTTTACCCAGCTGAGGCCAATTCGGTCTTTTCTTTGAATATTGTAGTTGATGATGGGTGTTCCACCATCACTCTTAGGTGCTTGCCACATAACAACCATTGAGTCTTTAGTGATAGCTGTCACCTCAGGATTCTCAGGTGGATCTGGGACTGTGTATGGGTTGTCTGCAATAGTTGGGTCTGAATCAAGAGATTCACCAATTCCATACTTGTTTACTGCCATAACTCTGAAAATGTATTCGTTTCCCTTAAGCAGCTGGGTCACCTTATGCTGTGTAACCTGCAGGTCTGAAACCACATTTGTCCAAACCAATCTGCTTGACTCCCGCTTTTCAATTACATATCCTTCAATCTTGGCACCTCCATCATCTGCAGGTGGAGCCCAGGTTAGCATGCAATTATCAGCTGTAACATGAGAAACCTGAAGAGGGCCAACTGGTGGTCCAGGCCTGTCTAGCACTTTAACATTGAAGATGTGCTTAGCAAATCCACCAACATTAGTGGCAGTCAAAACAAATTCTCCTCCATCTGATCTGACAGAGTCCTTGTTGGTCAGGATGGTTGTCAGTTCTGTGAACCTAACTTCCAGTTTCAGTGTGTTCTCAATTTCCTTTCCATTCTTGGTCCAAACCATAGATGGAGTTGGTTGTCCAGCAATGTCAGCATCAAGTTTAAATGACTCTCCTGCCTTCAGTAAAACAACATCCTTGAAGATTGCATCTACCATTATGCGTGGCTCAATAATGTCATCTTTGCAGGTAATTGGGTCTGAGGGATCTGAGGGCACACTAACTGCACCTGCTGAGTTCCTGGCTATGACACGGAACTCATAAGCAGCATCTTGAGTCAGTCCACTTACAGTGAATGTTGTGTCAATGATGTTGGTGAAGTTGGCTCTCATCCAGCGCCCAGTAGGTAATTCTTTCTTCTCCACTGTGTAGCCAGTGATTTTGAAGCCACCATCATACTCGGGCTTTGTCCACTGAATAGTAATTACATTCTTGTTGACAAATATTGGCACTGGTTGACCTGGTGGGTCAACAGGGTCCAAGGCCAGTATTGCTTCTGAGGACTTGCTGGGCTTGCCAACTCCAGCCATGTTTTCAGCCATGACACGGAACTCATAGGCCACTCCATCTTCAAGACCTGTGGATTTAAAGAGGTTTCCTTTCACAAGACCCTTGCTGATTTTATTCCACATGATGCTGCTTCTTTCTTTCCTTTCAACATGATAACCAATGACTTCATTTCCACCATCAGCGACAGGTTCATTCCAGCCAACTGTTATTGAATCCTTGGTAAAGGCAACAACACCAGGGGTACCAGGAGGCCCAGGGACCTTAAATGGATAGGCAGCCACCACTGCCTCTGAGGTTATGGCTGGTCCAACGCCATATCTGTTCTTAGCCTTTACTCTGAACTGGTATTCTGATCCTGTGGTTAAACGGATAGCTTTGAACATGGTACGAATGACGGTTGAAGACAGCTCTATCCATGTTTGGGAAGTTGTGTCTCTGATTTCAACCACATAATTGTTTATTGGAACTCCTCCATCATTATCGGGAGTGTCCCATGCAAAGATGCAATATGTTCGAGATATCTCCACAATCTTAACTGGTCCTTTTGGTGGCCCAGGTACATCATGTACTTTGACAATGATGTTGTCAGACACTGAACCAACAATGTTCTTCCCTGTCATGGTGTAAACACCACCATCTGCTCTGGTGCATTCATTTATGCTGAGCGTAACAGTAGCAGCAGTAGTTTCCACATTGGTTCTCTGAGTGAGTTTTAAGGCTGCGCCGTCCTTCTGCCAGGAGACAGATGGTCTAGGACGTCCCATAACTGGAATTTCAACCTTGATGTCATCTCCAGCCTTGGCAATAACAGTTTTCTGACACACACCACGAAGATCAAACTCAGGCAGGGAAGTACAGTCCTTGACAGCGATTAGTTTGCTGTCACGTGGGGCACTTCTACCGGAGTGATTTACAGCCATTACACGGAAAATGTACTCCTCATTCTCATTCAGATTCTTCACTGTGAAATCCATGGTCTTAACTGTTGTTACGTGTGCCCACTGATCAGTTCCTTTCTTCTGTGCTTCAAGGACATATCCAGTAATCCTGCTTCCACCATCATGCTTGGGTTTAGTCCAAGCCAAGCTCACAGAATTCTTTGTGATATCAGTGGGAATTATACTCTCTGGAGGAGTTGGGGCCTGGGATGCACGAATGGGGTCAGCAGTTTCAACCGCCTCACCAATGCCATACTCATTCTCAGCAGACACTCTGAAGTAGTATTCACAGCCTTCACCAAGCTCTGCAATCCTGACTGAAGTGGTGGGGCAATTTGTAATGGCAGTGACAAAAGCTTTGCGTGTTGATTCTCTCTTCTGAATGATATAGTTTGTGATCTTGGCTCCACCATCAATGAGCGGCATCTCCCACTGAAGAATGATGCTATCCTTGTCAATCTTGACTGGTTTAAGGTTAAGTGGAGGTCCAGGTGAATCTAGAACTCTCACATGTATATCAGCACTCTTCTTTCCAGCAGTGTTTTCAAGGGTAAGCTCATATTTGCCTGCATCAATTCTTGAACTCTCTGGGATAATCAGCATTGTAAAAGACTCAGTACTGTCAATGACAGCACGTGGGACAGGGCCACCTTCTTTGGTCCAGCTGACTGTTGGTGCAGGACGTCCCTTGATAGGGACAAAGAGGCGAATGGAGCAGCCAGCCCTTACAACAAGGGTTCTTCTCAGCTCAATATCTAGCTCCAAATCAGGTTCTGCTGCACGCTCAACAATCTCAACCAGCTCCTGAGTTTCAGCAGGTTCACCTGCCCCCTTAGCATTCACAGCACTAATTCTGAAGTAGTATTTTGCCCCATTTTCTAGATTGGGAACTACAAACTCTGTGATTCTTAGTGGTGATGAAGGAGTGTCCTTCACCCATTCTTCTGTTCCTTCTTTCTTGTGCTCAATCACATACCCAGTGACTTCAAGCCCACCATTGTCAAGAGGCTTTCCCCAGTTCAGAGTGGCAGTGGTTTTGGTTGTGTCTGTGGCTCTTGGATTGACTGGAGGCCCAGGTACATCTGTCAGACATATACAAGTGGTTAGCTCTTTGGTAAATATACATTCTGATCAAAAATAGAATTTAATTTCAAGCAATATAACATCAAATTAATACATTTTGGATATTTCCCTACTGTGGCTTTGAACAAGTAAAAAACATATTTTTTACTTACAGGCAACAACTACTGTTCTGACAGGCATAGATGGTTCACTTGGCTCTCCAAAGCCAGCTTTGTTCTCTGCAAGAACACGGAACTCATATTCCATGCCCTCAGTGAGACCTGTGACTTCATAGCTGAGCTCAGCGATGGATTTCTTTGATGCCCTAAGCCATCTCATAGCCTTTTTCTCCTTTTTCTCAACACAGTAACCTATGATGTCACTTCCCCCATCCTCGACAGGTCTTCTCCAAGTGACAGTTGCTGAGTGTCCATCAACTTTCTCTACTTCTGGTTTAGATGGTGGACCAGGTGGACCTATACACAGTGATAGCGGGAAAAAAAACATTTATGAAACTCCATATTACATAGGATAGGAGATCTATTAAATAACAAAAATTAACTGCTCTTACCAAATCTATCAACCAACTTGACTGCTTCAGAGTGAGATGGCTCACTGCCACCATACTGGTTAACAGCAGAGACTCTGAAGAAATACTCATTGCCCTGGATGAGCTTGTTGGCAACATAGTGAGAGTCAATGACCTTCTTCTCCAGGATTGTCCAAAGCAGGCGACTGGTCTCTCTCTTTTCTAGAGTGTAATACTTAATAGGAGAGCCTCCATCCTCAGTAGGAGCTGTCCAGGTAAGAGTAACTTTTTCAGAGGAAACACCACTACTTTCAATGGGTCCAGGAGCTCCAGGAACATCCAGGACTGTGACCTTGACTGTTTCTTCATTTACACCGAAGGGGTTGCTAGCAGTGATAATATACTCTCCAGAGTCCTTCCTGCCAGCATACTTGATAGAGAGCGTGGAGGAAGTTGCAGTGGTCTCAATATGAACAAGATCAGAAGGTTTGAAATATTTTCCTCCCTTTGACCAGCAAGAGGTTGGTGCAGGCTTGCCTAAAATACTTGTGGCAGTAATGACAATAGTATCCCCAGCTCTGACAGTCAGACCCTCCTTCACCTGCGCATCTATTATAATGGTTGGTGCCGCTGTTGAATAAAAAGGAACAATACATGAATTATGCTTTTTGCCAGGATAATTGAAAGGTAACTGCCAAAAAGAGAAGGAAATATGTGTATACTTCATACCATATTCATCTCTGCAGATAATGGTATCTGTCTGCTCAGAGGGTGGACTGAGAGCGCCGGCAGCATTCTTTGCTCTGATTCTGAACTCATATTTGCATCCCTCCTGTAGATCTGTCACAGTGAATGCAGGCTCCACAACATTCACATTGTTGGCCTTCACCCATATCTTGGATGGCAAGTCACGCCTCTCAACGATGTAGCCAGTCAGTCTGTGCCCACCATCAAATTGGGGCTCTGTCCACTGCATGGTCACAGTACTTATGGTGATGCTGATCACATCAGGTTTACCAGGGGCATCTAATGATAAAGATATAAAAATGTGAATGTATGTTGCATATTTTATATAAATAATAGATTTCTGTACTTGTTGCTGCCCTTGTACTTTTTGCACTTACCAATGGGATCTAAGGCCACCTGTGGATCGGTGGGAGCACTTGGTCTTCCGATACCAGCCAGGTTGTTAGCCATGACTCTGAACTCGTACTCCAGTCCTTCAGTCAGCCCTGTTACCTTGTGTTCCTTCATCCTCAAGGCTGTCGGGCTTGCCCTTTTCCACAACATACTGTTTCTTTCCTTGAACTCAACATGGTAGCCTGAACAAAATCAAATTGAATAATGCGTTAAATAAACATGATTCAATAAATTAGATGTTTGAAGGTAGCTGAGGTCGAGTGGTCATGCTGATTGCACCTGTTATCGGTGATCCACCAGTTTTCCTAGGATCAAACCAGGTCAGGTAAGCGGAGTCATGGCGCATACTCATGATTTGAGGTGGAAGAGGAGCATCCGGAACATCTGCAGAAGAATGTTTGATGTTTTACTGTCAGCAAAAACTTAATTCTCAACTTTAACACTTGAACATACAACCTTAAAATAGAATAACAAACACTCACTGAATGGATGTTTAGCTACAACTGGTTCAGACTTGAGTCCTTCTCCAACTCCGTACTTGTTTTCAGCACAGACTCTGAAAATGTACTCTGTGCCCTCATGGAGGCCGGTCACCCTCATGGTGTTGGTCTCCACAGTGGAGGATATATTAACCCACATGTTGGTGACGGAGTCCCTCTTTTCCAGGATGTAGTTTGTGATCTCTGAACCACCATCATCCTTGGGAGCACCCCACTTCAGTGTAGCACCATCTGCAGTCACATCTTTAAACTTCACTGGTCCGATAGGGATACCAGGTTTTCCCACCACCCTGGAAGGAGACAATTATGTAAAATAATTGTATCTTTGTATAAATGTATACTTTTAACTAGTAACATGCAATCCAGTTTTAAGGAAATACTTATAATGTTTTACATTGTGTGAAATTACATGCATTGGAACCGCTTAATTCCTACCTGATAAAAATGGTGGACTCCTTGCTTCCAGCACTGTTTCTTAGAGTGATGGTGTACTTTGAAGCATCACTCCTTTGGCAGTCCCTAATCAGGAGGGTTGTGTTAACTGAAGAGGACTCTGCGCACACTCTGCCTGTGTCTGTCAGGTCTTCATCATCTCCCTTCTTCCACGAGACCTTGGGGGTAGGTTTTCCGATGATTGGGATCTTCAGACGAACGGTGCTGCCCTCCTTGGCAATGTAGCACATGTTAGGCAAGTCCCTTAAGTCACAGCTGGGAAGAACTGTGGAGGGAAGCAATGAGTACAAAAAACTCAAAAGTCTGTCAATTCCATTACAAATTTTCTTCTGTAGTTTTAATACTAATTAACTAATATATATTTTTGGATAGACACTTACTGATCTGGTCTTTGGCAACCACTTTCAGTTCTTTGGCAGAGCTCTCTCCTGAGTCATTCACAGCCTTAACTCTGTAGTTATACTCTCTGTCCTCCACCAGGTCCTTGGCACTATACTGCATGTTTTTGGACCTCATTAGCTCCTTGTATTTGTCGTCCCCATTGAGAACCTCAAGAACATAGCAGATAATGCGGCTGCCACCATCTGTGAGGGGTTTCTTCCAGCTTAAAGTGCAAGAGTCCTTGGTAACCAACAGGGTCTTGAAGTCCATGACCGGACCAGGCTCCTCTGTAAAGGTAATATGAGTGCATTTAGTGTGATTTATGTTGAAAGAAAAACAAAAGAATTTCAAGCACAAACTCTGTTCTCATCGAACTCACCAGATGCCTTTACTGCATCGGCGGTCTCACAACACTCTCCGGCACCAAGCTTATTAACTGCAGACACTCTGAAGCAGTAAGACCGTCCAGCATCCAGGTCTGGCACTTTGAATGATGTCTTGTCGCAGTTGTTTGAGACAATGGACCAGGCCTTCCTCTCTGTGTCACGCTTCTCCACTATGTAGTGGGTGACTTCATGGCCACCATTGATCAGAGGAGCATCCCAATAGATGGATGCACTGTCCTTACTTGACTCCTTCACAATTAAGTTGACTGGAGGTCCAGGAGTATCTGGAGAGACCAAACAAAACTTTCTAGCAGTGTATCTTAAGTCATTAGTTTCTGACACCAGCCAATAGTCCCTCTTTACTTAGAGTACAATCAACGAAAACAAAAAGAAATCAAATGAAAATAGTTTCATGTACAAAAAGACCTGTACTTACCAAAGATCTTGACAACAATGGTGTACATCTTCATGCCAGCCAAGCTATCCAGGCTCAGAATATATTTGCCAGCATCATATCTGTTTACATTTTCCACCATCACCAAGGTGTCAGTGTTAGTTGATTTTATGATAATGCCCTGGCGGTTCTTGATATTAGTGTTCATCTTTGCCCAGGTGACCTTGGGAACAGGATGGCCCTTGATGATTGCTTGCAACCTCATAATGGCACCAGCATTCAGCTCCAGGCCCTCCTTCATTTCTGCACTCAGCTCTGCCTCCGGTGGAACTAAACACAGGGAAAAGAGTGACAATGTGAGGAAATATTCCTATTGTGTTATCAATAAAGTCCTAATGTTGTACATACATATAGGGCAATAAACTATTAATTTTGTGCTCTCTTGTGATATAAAAAACAACATTAAAGGATAATTCTTTGTTGAATAATATAGGTACTATGATTAAGTAATTATTGTTCATTCAGTCTAGCTTTTTAAGGCAAATGAAAAAGCATCAGGACCTTTTCTTTGTCCACAACCTGAATTGAGCCTGGCTAACAAGACACATCTGAAATAAAATGAATACAGTTCAGAAAATAAAAATCATACATACCAATGATGTCTTTGGCAACATGCTTGCCAGGTACTTCAACTGGCTCACCGAATCCAACTTTGTTGACAGCAGTGATGCGGCACTGGTACTCAGCTTTGTCAATAAGATTCTGGATAACATAGTTGGTTTCCTGCAGGTTCCTTGGGACATTGCATCTGATCCAGTCTGTGGTGTCTGCCCTCTTGCACTCCACCAAGTATCCAATGATGGGACTTCCTCCATTATTGGCTGGGGTGGTCCAGGTGAGGCTAATGGTACTGCGAGTTGTGTCCGCTACACTTGGGTTCACAACTGGGCCAGGAGGAGCTGGGGGATTGCACATTGACTCATCTTAGATTACATACAAAGTGTAATAGAGCATGTTTGATTTTACCAGGAAGACCTATGCAAGGTTTTCAGGGGTCATGGGACTTACTGATGGGATTCTGTGCAGTGGTTCCAGCAGAGGGCTCGCTGGGTTTGCCAAGCCCTGCCACATTGACAGCAGTGACTCTGAACTCATACTCTGCTCCCTCTGTGAGACCTGTAACATCTAGGCTCCTCTCTGTCATGGGCTTCCTGTTCAGCTTGGTCCAGTTAATCTCCTTGCTCTCTTTCTTTTCAAGCATGTAACCCAAGATAGTGGATTTTCCATCATCAGCAGGCTCTTTCCAGCTCACAGTCATACGATCCTTGGTCACATTTGTGATCACTGGGGCCTCGCAAGAGCCAGGTACAGCTGAAAGTGACACAATTTAAGTTTTTGATTTATGCTTAGGTTGACAGAATATACCACGTGAAAGTATGCTGGTTTATTGTAGAAAACTGATGGTGGTTACTTACTAAATGGGTTCTTTGCAATTGCAGGGTTGGTGATAAAGGGGTCTCCAACTCCCCACATGTTCTCAGCACGGATTCTGAACTGGTATTCACGACCTTCAATCAGCTTCTCCACATTCAGCTCAAGGATTTCCCCCTTATGTTTTGCAATGACCTGGGCCCAGTTGGCTCTGCTGGTCTCACGCTTGTCTATGATGTAGTTGCTGATGGCAGCACCTCCATCCTTCAGAGGAGGCTCCCAAGACAGCTTTATACTGGTGGCGAACACCTCTACACACTTGGCACTTGCAGGGGGACCAGGCACATCTGAGTACAATTAAAAATATGTATTAGCCAAGTGATAAAAGCATATTGATTGGTGCAGATGTGAGCAAATTGTGCAGAACTTATTGTGACCTCAGAGATGGTAAAAATGACTGTAAAACCTTCAAACTTGTGTCGTTGTAGAGTTTGACAGGAATCGCTAAGAAATAAGAAGAGAAGTACTCACCCAGGACATTGACCTGGATTTCCGCAGCCTTCGAACCACTGGCGTTATCGGCCTGGATGGTGTAGGTTCCTGTGTGGTCTTTGCTGACTTCTGTCATCTCTAGCTGGAAGTGATGCCTCTGCTGGGTGATGACCTGGCCTTCACCTGACTTCAGGCTATCATCTCCTCTCTTCCAGGTAACTCTGGGCATAGGCTTACCAAACACCTCAGCCTCCAGAAGAATTGTGGTTCCGGCCTTTACCTTAAGACCTTTCTGCATCCTGGCATTAAGTTCGACCCTTGGAGGAACTATGTTTGTTGAGATGAAATAAAGCAGTGTCATAACTCAGATCAAGTTCAGGTAGTCAAAACAGAATGTTGGTCATGCTTTGACTGGTTTTGTCAGTTTGTAATAGTGTTACATCTAAATTTCTCACCATTCTCAGCACAAACAAGGACAGGATCTGTGGGCTCAGAGGGTTTGCTTATGTTGACAGCAGTTTTGGCTATAACTCTGAACTGGTACTGAAGGTCCCTCTCCAGGCCAGTCACTGTATACTCCTCCCTTGGGACATTCTGGCTGCTGGTGTTGCAACGTATCCAGATGTCTCCTGGCACCCGCATGGCCTCAACATAGTAGCCAATGATCTTACTGCCACCATCATTCTTGGGACGAGTCCAAACCAGAGTGACAGAGTTCTTGGTTACATCTAGGACCTCAGGTTTACCTGGAGTGTCTGTGACACAAAAAGACAAATGAGCAATGGAAAAGAAACACAATTGTAAAACTAAAATAGAGTTTGTTGCATCGATTATTTTGCAAACCTACCAATAGGGGTTCTAGCAGTGACAAAGTCAGTCTTCTTGCTTGGTTTGCCCTGGCCAGCACGGTTGATGGCAGACACTCTGAATGTGTATTCAAGGCCTTCAATGAGGCCAGCACATGGGTACTCAGTGGTGCGTACAACGGTGTCATTGGCTTTCACCCACAGCAGGCTGTTCCTCTCCTTGCGTTCTATGTAGTAACCTGTGATAGGACTGCCACCGTCATTCTCTGGCTTATCCCAGGCCACAAACATACAGTCCTTGTTGGTCTTGTTGATGCGGCAGTTTAGGGGTTCACTAGGAACATCTAGAAACAAACAAAAGTATATATTTGAATATATTTAAATGTGTACAACCTGTTCACTTTAGCAAGTAACCTACACATAGACATAAGCTCAAATTAGTCTGTAATGTTTTTGCAGATTTTATATTTTATATTTGTTAAATTGCTCTGGTAAATGTAGCTCATGCAACACATATTTCTATGTGAACATAGAAATATCTCATTAAAAATAAATCAAGGACTGCACTGCAGAAACATACCGAAGGGGAACTTGGCAACCATCCTGTCAGACTGAATGGGGTCTGACACACCATAACGGTTCTCAGCACGTATACGGAACGCATATTCTTTTCCAGGGACGAGCTTTCCAAGCCTGCAACTGGTCTTCAGGCCAGAAGAGACAGCTGTTACCCAGTCACCTCTAGTCACGTCACATTTTTCCACCACATAGTTGGTGATATTGCTGCCACCGTCTTCCAGTGGTTTGTTCCAGGACAGCGAGCAGGCATCAGAATCGATGTCGCTGATTTCCACAGGGCCCTCAGGAGGACCAGGGATGTCTGAAACAAATACTTACTTTAAACATGGAAAACCTCTATCCTGCTGAAAGACATTTTTTAACCAAAATCACGTAATTTATCACATTTTGTTATGTATCGTAGTTAACACTGACCTCTGATAACAATCTTCAGGGACTGGGTCACCTTTGCGGAGGTGTTCTCAGCCACAAGACTGTACTCTCCGCTGTCAGTCCTTGACACGTCTTTGATGATCAAGACACAAAGGTTTCCTGACTGGTGCACGGCCAGACGGCTTGAGGGGACGACTGCATCCTCACCACGCATCCACTTGCAGGTTGGGGCAGGTTTTCCGGAAACCAGTGCCTCCACTCTCAGCTTAGCTCCAGCTCTGGCGCTTGCTGTGTCTGTCATGACAATCTTTGGTTCCACTGTCGATAAAAAGTAAGAATTCAATTATTATATTAAAAGAGATAACGGGAGAAGGACCCAGAAGAGTCTTAAGATAAGATGTAGTTCCAAGTGATATTCCAGGATCTTGCAATACATGTTGCCATTATTTTGAATTTTATGAGATAATTGATTGTAAAAAAGATAAATATTTGCACACCATAGGCTAATTACTGAAAGTATTTTTTAAAATAATTTCTTCTTTATCCGACATAACAACTTACACATCTGTTCCTTGATCTCCACTGGCTGCCTGGTCTCGGTAAACGAGCTCATGCCCATAATGTTCTTGGCAGCCACTTTGAACTTGTACCTCTTTCCCTCCTTCAGGCCGCTTATGCTGATTGTCAAACCTTTCACTGTAGTGTAGGCATTCCATACTTCCTTTTCAGGTTCTGCCTCCTCTTCCTCCTCTACCACTGGAGGTGGAGGAGGAGGTGGAGGAGCTTCCTCACCTTCCGGAACCTGTGGCAAATTTAGTTTTGTATATAAATCATTCATATTTTTCAAATTTACTAAATATTAAAAGAGCTATAATTAAAGAAAATCTGCATACATTTGAAAATGGCTGTTATTCTTTTCTTAAACCCTTGTTTATTTTGAAGTACAAAAAAACACAGGAAGAGATTTTGAAATGTAAATAAATTATTTGAAGCAGTCAAAGGATCAATTTGATCTCAAGACAAACCTCCACTGGTGCTGGAATCTCTGGAGGAGGTTTGACCTCTATGTATTCTATAACGTAGCCATCAATCTTGGCACCACCATCCCTTGCAGGTCTAACCCAGCCAATGGTGGCACTGTTCTTGGTTATCTCCAGAACTTCAATCTTTTCACATGGATCAGGCTTGCCTAAGAAAGGAAATCAGATAGGAGTGTTCTCAGGATTGATGGAAAAAAGAAAAGGGATGCACTATGGTGTTGGCAATCGTTAGCTGTGTTTGAGCTCTTAGTTCTGATGTCATATTCTCTGAAAACAAGTCTTTACGTACTGACAGGATCAGAAGCCAGGTAGGAAGTAGGTGACACCTTTGGAACTCCAGGACCATACTCATTGACAGCCATGACTCTGAAGTAGTACTCAGTGCCTGGTGTCAGGCCACTGACTTTGAAGGGAATCTTATCCTTCTCAACTTCGCCTTTGACAGTTGCCCAAGTCTTGCGGTCGATTTCACGTTTCTCGACAATGTAGTGGGTAACCTCACTGCCACCGTCAGTCTCTGGGGGACCCCAGGAGAGCATGGCTGATGTCTGTTTGATGTCAGTAGCTTCCAGATTTGTCACAGGTCCAGGAGTGTCTGTCAGATGAAATAGGTGACATTGGGTTATTATTATTTCTTATAAAGCAACACTGACTGTTTCCTGCAAAGAAGAAACACTATTGTGCATTAATTAAAGAAAACAGTGACGTACCAAGGACTTTAACATTGACAAACACAGCTTTCTCTCCTGCAGTACTCCGCAGAGTCAGGCAGTATTTTCCAGAATCATAGCGAGTGCTGTCAGGGATGACCAAGAAGGTCATGGTGTCAATAATGTCAACTTTTCCCTTCCTAACCACATTATCAATACCCATCCTCCTCCAAGTGACTTTTGGAGCTGGTCGACCTCTGATAGTGGCACATAGTCTAATAGGACAGCCAGCTCTAACTGTCAGTCCCTGCTTCAGGTTGGCATCCAAATCGACCTCTGGAGCCTCTGTTGGAAGAAAGAGTGCAATGTCAGTGTCTTAAAATAAACTGCAGTTCATCCCCCAGCTTTATACATGTAAATAAATGATAATTTAGTCGGCAATAAAGCAGCTACAATTTGACAGTCTGTAAGAAGATCTCACCTAGAATCTCCTTTGGTATCACAGCACCCTCAAGGTCACAAGGCAGGCTCATGCCCACCTGGTTCTGAGCTGAAACTCTAAATTCATACGTAAGGTTCTCATCCAGACTTGTGACTGTGAACTCGCACACAATCAGCTGTGCTGCCGAGTTGCACCTCTTCCAACCATCATCTCCTTTCTTTGCACTTCCCTGCGCTCTCGTTTCCACAACATAGCCAATAAGGGGTGCTCCACCATCTGAAATGGGCTTGGTCCAACCCAGGGTGATGGTTGATTTGGTACTGTCAAGGACCTTCAAGTTGGTGGGAGGTGCAGGAGGCTCTGTAAAAAGACATAGGGGTGTGTGAAGATAAAACCCTTGATATTGTCTATAGTCATTCCAGCATGAGAGACACTATTTAACAAATAAATATTAGAAACTATGAAAATGGTATTTTTCAGTACACACCAACTGTATCTTTGGCAGTGATGGTACGTGAAGGCTTGCTTGGGCTGCCGATGCCAATTTCATTGACAGCCTTTACTCTGTACTGGTAGTCATGGAGGGGCAGGAGTCCAGTCACTGTAAAACGAGTTGATGGAATTGGATCCTTGTTGATAGGAGACCACCTAACTGCATGCTCCTCCCTCTTCTCCAACAGATAACCAGTGATTGGCTTTCCACCATCTTTCTCTGGCTCTGACCACTGCACAGTCATCTCCTCCTTTGCAATCTTGGTGACTTCAGGTGCCTCTGGAGCATCAGGAACACTGAATTGGGTGCCGGCGACAATGGCTTCACTCTGCACTGCAGGGCCAGGACCCATCTTGTTCTCAGCACGAACCCTGAAGATGTACTCATTACCCTCAATAAGACGGGTGACTTTAGCTTTATTGGTGATGATAGCATTGGTGTGAACTGACCAGACTCCTCTTTTGGTCTCACATTTCTCAATAATGTAGTTGTAAATATCGCAGCCGCCATCATCCTCTGGGATCTCCCAGTCGAGATTACACCTGTCGATGGTGACACCAGACACCTTAAGATCCCTGATGGGGCCGGGTCTATCCAGTACATTGACCTTGGCATGAGCCGAGCAGGTTCCTGAACTATTTGAGGCAGTAACAACATATTTGCCACTGTCAGTCCGCCTGGCACCAGTAACTAGCAACTTTGAGAAGTCAGCACCACTTTCGAACTGAAGCCTGGGGCTCTTCTTTATCTCCTCTGTGCTTTCATCTTTAGTCCACCTGATATCGGGCTGTGGTTTGCCCTTCACTGTTGCCTCAATAGGAATAGAGTCCCCTGCCTTGACCACAAGTATTCCATCTAGTTTAATCTTGATTTCAGGCTCCACAATCTGTTCCTTCACAAGAACTTCAGCTGTGGTCACCCAGTTGCTTTCACCTCCCTCATTCTTAGTCTGAACTCTAAACTGGTAGATCTGGTTTTCAATACACCGGTCAGCCATGAAGTAGGTCTCCTTTATGGCACCCTTGTGAAGCCTCTCCCATTCTTCAGCCTCCTTAGGCTTCTTCTCAACATGATAAGCCAAGTTACGGCTACCTCCATCATAGTCTGGTTTCTTCCATTTAAGGAAGCAGAAAGTCTTGCCAATCTCAGAGATTTGGAAGTCAATTGGTTCACCAGGCTTCTCAATCGGATCAACAGCAAGCACAGGTGTCTTGCTCTCAATGGTTGGACCAGCGCCAATCTTATTCTCTGCACTAACACGGAAAAAGTACTCACAGCCTTCAGTAAGAGGGGCCTTTATGAGGCGCTTGGTGCAGTCATTGGACACCACCGTCCACCCCCTCTGGCTTGGCTGACGACACTCAATAATGTATTGAGTAATTTCAGTGCCTCCATTGTCCTCTGGGTTCTCCCAGGACACCATGCAGGAGTTCTTGGTCGCATAGGCTACTTTTAGGTTCTGGCAAGCTCCTGGTGTGTCCAGGACATTAACAATAATTGTGGCCTGTGCCTGTCCACTACTGTTCTTGGCGACAATTGCATATTTACCGTAGTCTGACCTGACTGCATCATTGATTACAAACTCACACAGAGGATAGTTATTGTTCATCTCTGTGCGCTTGTCCCGGGACAAGGCTCTGGCATCCTTGGTCCATGTAATCTCTGGATCTGGTCTGCCCTTTACCCTTGTGATCAAACTTATGATCTGACCTGCTCTGACTGTCAAAGAGTCCCGGCATGACACATCAACAGTAAGCTCAGGGGGCACAAGGATGTCCTTTGCTAAGACAGTTTCACTCAACTCCCTAGGTTCACTGTCTCCAACCTTGTTGGTAGCCCTAATGCGGAATCTATACTCCATTCCTTCAATAAGACCGGGTACTCTGTGGGCACACATCTTGATGAGATCTTTGTTGATTCTATCCCACTGGGCAGTTCCTGACTTCTGAATCTCAACCACATAACCCAGGATAGGACTTCCTCCATCTCTTGTAGGCTTGGTCCAGCAGATGTCAGCATAAGACTTGCTCCAGTCCTTCAGTTTAGGATTTCCAGGTGGTCCTGGTTTGGTTATTGCGCGAGTAGCCTTGATGGGATCAGAGGTGGGAGAAGGCTCACTGATACCAGCAATGTTCTCAGAAAACACTCTGAACTCATAGCTGTTGCCTTCAAACAGACCTGAGACTCTGTATCTGAGGTCCAGCACAGGTGTTTTGTTGACACGGATCCACTTTCCTGTCATTTCTCTGCGTTCAATCACATAGCCACTAATGGGGCTGCCTCCATCATAGTCAGGAAGAGTCCATTCTACTGTCACAGCATTCTCTGTGATATCAGAGCACTCTGGCAAGCCTGGTGGACCAGGAGGGTTAAACATGTGCTTGGCAATAGTGGGAGGACTCTCAAGCCCGGCACCAATGCCAATCTTATTCTCTGCACGGACACGGACAATGTATTCACGGCCCTTTTCCAGCCGCGATACCTTGGCCTTGGTGCTTGTGCCACTGGAGCTAACAACAGACCAGGGCTCCCATGGCTTCTTCACATCCTTCTTTTCCACCACATAGTTGGTAATAGGCGTTCCACCGTCATCCTTGGGTGCCCTCCATTGGATCATCATATGATCTGGGGTGACTTCCAAGATGTTTATAGGTCCAATGGGTGGACCTGGAAGATCCAGCACAGTAACATGCAGGGCAACAGTCTTACTGCCTGCAGGATTGGCCACAGTGAGGATGTACTCTCCAGTGTCTCCTCTCTGGGACTCAGGGATACTCAGGATAGTAGAGGATCCAGCAGACTCAATCTTATAGCGGCCTTCAGAAATGATCTCCTTGTCATCTGTCATCCATTTGGCAGTGGGAGTGGGGATGCCTGTCATCTTGGCTGGAAGGCTAATAGGACTGCCAGCTTTGACAATAAGACCTTCAATAAGTTTCACATCAACCTCTATAGTTGGTGGCACTGAAAATGAATAAAACAACAATTACAGGATATGTGTGGGCTTTATAAAATCATAATAAATAACTTGCATTAAAAAACATCTCCATAAAAATAAAGTTTCTTACATGTCTTCTCTTGGCAGGTGACAGGTACACTGGTGTCAGGACGGCTCACACCAATGGCATTCTGAGACTTAACCCTGAAGCGATAAGTCTTGCCCTCCTCAAGACCAGTAACATGAGCATGGTTGTTGCTGACTGTCTTGAATGTTACCCAGTCAGTCTGGCCCTCTTCCTGGTGCTCAACAATGAAGCCAGTAATTTCACTTCCCCCAGTGCGGTCAGGCCACTCCCATGCCAACCACACTTCTGTCTTGTCTGCATCAGTGTGATGCAGATTCTTGGGCGGGCCAGGAGGATCTGAAAGTATCCAGGAAATAACATTTAAATGCTTATTATTAATGAGATTGATATTGAGATCAGATATTAGTGCTAAGATATATAATGACCTGAAGACTAACTTTTAACTGCTGTCTAATTGCGACTGTTACTCACAGAGAGGATCGATCGCTTTTATTGGTGTTCTGGTGACCACATAGTCGCTCCTGCCAAACTGGTTCTCAGCAGCAACCCTAAACAGGTACTGGATACCCTCCATTAGATACATGGCCATCAGACTCGGCTTCTTATTGGCGGCAGAGACGGGGACCCAGAGCTCTGCAGCAACATCCTTCTTCTCCACAACGTAATGGGAGATGACGGCACCACCATTGTCTTCGGGTGCCTTCCATGTCAGGTAGGCAGACTCGCTGGTTATCTCTGATATCACCAAGTCTCTTGGAGGAGTAGGCTTGTCTGGTGGAAACAAAAAATGGGTTTGTAAAACTGACAAATATTCCATTACCAATTATAGTTTCCCTCATGTTATGTTTAGAATCCTGTGTCAATGTAAAGGCAGATTTAAAAATAAAACTAACAAATCTTTAACACTTTGTTTGATCTACACAAATCAAAGCCCATATTTGTGTTACTGGATTTTCACTTACTCAGCACAAGCACAGCAACAGTAGCTGATTTCTTTCCAGCAGTGTTCTCAACAGTGATGGTGTAGTTGCCAGAATCTGGGCGCACACACTTGGGGATAAAAACTTTGCTGCTGTTGTCAGTGACAGCAACCATGATGTGAGCAGGAACATCACCGTCATTCTTCTTCCAGCTGACAGTTGGCGTCGGTACACCTTTAATGGTTGCACTCAGGGTGATGTCAGTTCCCAGCATTGCCAGGTGGTCACGTGCCATGTTGGCATCTAGAAGTAACTCTGGCGCCTCTGTGGAGGGAAGCAGGAAAACATTGAGAAAATGTACTGTATAAGTTAATGGTGTAGTGATAATGAAAATAAAAAACTGTAAAACTAAAACAGTACAAGTTGTTTTGGAATATACTGTCAAAGGTCTGATAATTTGCAAGATCACTGAACACAATCATTCGTTAGCAACCAGATTTCTAATTAACTACACAATACCAAACCATTTAAAAGAGATGGATATCTGCACCAACATCGAATGTTACTATTGTTTCAAATTTAGCAATAAAATGGAATGAAACTCTTTAATTGATTGTTTTTGTTATATCAGTTGTGTTTGTTATTGGATACATTTTCCTGAAGCCATGACTGAATTAATAATCAAATCAAGCAAAATAACCTTTATGGTATTCAAGACACAAATGAATTACTCAATGAATTCCATTAAGTTAAATATCGAGAACAAGTGACATTTCCCCACCCAATTCCAGCATAATAAACTATACCTAAAACTTGATTTTGTTGAAAAATGACGCCACAAGTAGATACAAATGTAAGATATGAACCCCCTACCAAGTCTGTCATGGACTTTGATGGTTTGCTTGACGTAGGCAGGGTCAGATTTCCCTGCAGCATTGACTGTGAAGATCCTGAAGGCGTACTCCTGTCCGTCTGTCAGACCTGTCGCAATATAGTGGAGATCGGGGCACTGCTCTGGGGTCTCATTGGCCTGAATCCACTCAACAGCACCAGGCTTCTGGTACTCCACAATATATCCAAAGATTCTGCCCTTTCCATCATGGCGTGGCATCTTCCACCTCAGGCTGACAGAGTCCTTGGTCTTATCGTAGGCCTCAGGGGTCACTGGTGGGCTTGGACGCACTGTGGAAGAAAATATGCAAGAAGTGCAAGTTAGTTCAGAATTATATAGTGAAATCATGAACTGTATTTTTTATGTACTAAAAATTAAAAACTGAGAAGCATACTTGAACATTTAACTTCATGTATTAAACAAAATAAGCATCAATACTTAGAAGAACTAAATTACAATTATTAAAAAATATTTAAAATGCTAAAAATCTTCACTGAACAGTAAACATTTTATTGTTCATGATAACCTAAGTATTATCCCTGATTTTTATGTTGCACTGACCAATGGGATCCTTGGCAAGGATGGGTTGGGACGGGGCACTAGGATCTCCGGTTCCCAGTTCGTTCTCAGCCATCACCCTGAACTCGTACTCACAGCCCTCCACCAGGTCCTGGACTCTGTACTGAGTGCTAGGGTAAAGCGGGTCTCTGGTGGCTCTGGACCACCTCTTGGCTTTTGTCTCCTTCTTCTCAAGAATATAGTTAGTGATGGGCTTTCCGCCATCCCGAGGTCGGGTCCAAAGAACCAGGGCGTTGGTGCCATACACCTCCCTAACTGTTGGCATCTCAGGGGCCTCAGGGACTCCTGCAGAGGGATAGGAGAAAGCCTGGGTAAACACTGCTGTTTCTGAGAGATGTCGTTTTTTTTACTGTGCAGACATTTTAAAGAAAGATCTTTTAATGCTTAAAACTAAGTGAGATTAGAGACCAAATTGTTGAAATTTTTAATGTGACTCAGCATGGTGTGTGCAGAACATACTGAAGAGATCTTTGGCTCTCATTTCCTCGGACTCCAGAGGGTCGCTGATGCCGTACATGTTCTCAGCAGAGATCCTCATGATGTATTCCCTGCCCTCTGTAAGCTTGGGGATCTAAGGCCAGAAAAACAACATATAAATATCCCTGACCTTCAGCTCATCTGCTTAATGGGAAACAACTTGCACATTTGAGTTTTACTTAAAAGAAAAAAAACAGCTGACTGAAATTTGGTAGACAAACAATCAGGACCCACCTTGCATGTGGTCTTGGTGTTGGCAGATGTCACAGTGGTCCAGATATCTCTGTTGGTGTCTCTCTTCTCAATGATGTAGTTGGAGACATCAACGCCACCGCTGTCAAGAGGAGGTTTCCAGGAGATGACCATGAACTCCCTATGCACCTCTTCAAACACCACAGGGCCAACAGGAGGGGTGGGACGGTCTGCGAGGAAGAAAGGTTTCAAAATAAGGAATCTGTGAGGCTTGGGTAAAGGAATACCTGCTTTATCCAGAAGAGCTAATAGTTAACCAGCTATTTTTTGGGATTCTTTTGTCTGCTTCTGCCATTCATGGTTACTTATGAAGTCCCTCAGGTTTTTATTCACAGACCCTTCTATAGCTTATCTAAAAACAGTAACCAGTAACCAGTAAGTATCATATTGGCACAGACACTAACATGTAACATATCAACACTGGTATCCTAACATTTGAAACATTTGCCTATCTGTATCCATCATCACAGCCTGGCCAGAAAGAAAGGTTGACTTAGATGGTGCTGCAGTTTTGACATATAGTTTTAATTTGATTCAGCCACAAGCACTATGTAATAGTGAAAGGATGTTACAGTGACACGTGTTGTCTTGACTTTTGCCTACTCACCAACAACAATGATGTTGCTGACTCCCTTCCTGGAACCAGTACTGTTCTCTACCTGCACCACATATCTGCCGCTGTGCTCACGCTGTGCCTTCATCAGGCCGAGCGACATGGTGGTCAGGGTATTCTTGAACATGATATGTTTGTCGGCCTTCAGCTCCTCATCATCTCTGTACCATGCTATGGATGGGGAAGGTTTTCCGGTATAACGGCCCTGCAGCAGGCAGCTCTCTCCCACACGGACAATGATCTTATCACGGAAATCCAGCTCAATGGTTGGTGGCTCTATAAAAACAGAAAGTGAAGACAGAGTTTGATCATGTGACATATCCAGAACATTCTTGGTGTTTTTCAGTTCTGATTTTTGTCAAGCACAGGGAGTCTCTTCCTCTTGTCTTCTTGAATATAAAGGTGTAATAATTTTTAATTCTACATAAAATATTAAATTGATGAATCTGGCTTTCAACAATGATGAAAATGCGTTTAAAACATTTATGGACTTTGGAGTGTTTATTACATAAACACATTATGTCTTAAATGGATTGACATTAAATTGTCTCTCTGATTGAAAGAACAATTGGAAACAGTTTATAAATATGTTTGGAGGCAGACACCAGTCATCTGCCACAGGGATGACTTCACTGATCTGTTTGCTGCAGTTAGATGTTTTGGCTTGTTTGTTGCTGATTTTACAAGTTATCTACTCTCCACTTGAAAAAATCTACACAGTTTCTGAGGCAAAACCAGGACACCAAATTAAACTGCACTATTTTAGGTCTCTGAAATGTACATGGATATTTTGTTAGAAACTGACAGAAAAAATCTAAAAATGATTCAAGCATACAAAACATCTGGTGACGTTAATTCTCACCGAGTTCATCCTTGCAGGTGATTGGTTTGGTGCAGAAAGATGGCTTGCTGGGTCCAACTTCATTGACGGCGATGACTCTGAACTCGTAGGTGTCCCCCTCCCTAAGGCCATCGTAGGTGAACTTCCTGTCCATCAGCTTCTCCTTTGTCAGTCGTGTGTACTTGTCTTTGCCGATCATACGAGCTTCCAGGATGTACATGGTGATCTCTGAACCACCATCGTTTTTGGGTGCCTTCCATGTGACGCTGATCAAATCTTTGGTGACCTTGGTGACCTCCAGTTCCTCAGGGCGGTCAGGTACACCTGGGGGAAGCACAAACACAAGTTATTCTTTATACCTGAGGATGGGAAATGATATACTAATTTAAATGATTTAATTTGCAGTTTTATTCTGTTGTCTGCAAAATTCAGCTGTTGAAGAATGTAGAAACTTTTATAACAGACAATATTACAGAAAATTATTATAGTGACAGTTCTTTCATCATCTCTAAATCCTCACGTCTCTGCAGCAGGAATATTCCAATTGCCAGAGATTGTTTGATGTAACTCACTCATTGGTTCCTTGACGATCATCTCGGCTGCGGTCGTGGTGAAGGGTCCAACACCAATGGCGTTCTCAGCAGCAACCCTGAAGAAGTAAGACTTTCCAGTGGTGAGGCCATGACATATAGCGTTCTGTCTGCTGGCGGTGAAGGACAGTGAGGTCCAGGCTTTGCGCTCAGCTTCACGTTTCTCAATGATGTAGTTACTGATTGGAGAACCACCGTCATTCTCAGGGAAGAACCAGTTGAGTTTGCAGGAGTCGGTGCTCAGGTTCTCTGCAACTAAAGGAATGCCAACGGGCCCAGGGACGTCTGAGGTAAGACAAGAACAGGTTTTAATAAATACGATCACTTATTAGGTTTCGGATGCTGTGACTTTTCAAATAAAACAGTATTTTACCCAGAACTTCCACGGTGACCTTCTTGGACTTCTCCCCTCCAGCATTCTTGGCTGTCAGTGTGTAGACGCCGAGGTGCCTCCTGATGCAGGGTTTGATAACCAGAGAAGAACTGATGGCTGTCGTTTCCACTTTGGCCTCAGGAGGCAGCGCAGCTCCGTCTCTGCCCCAGGTCACCTCAGGGGTTGGCTGGCCAGAAACGTAAGCGATGATACGGATCACTCCACCGGCATGGACCACCATTCTCTCCTTCACTGAGGCGTCCAGGTCGACCTCAGGAGCAACTGTAGGGAAGACAGTCAACTTTAAAGTCTGCTTGTTCCAACTGGGTAAATACAAATGTCCTCAGAGGTCTCATTAATGAGAGACTGTGGTTTCATGTGAACTGTAACCCTCTTTGACTTTAAGATCAACTCACTGGATCTGTCGTTGACCTCAAGCACCTCTGGGACTTCTCCTGGCTCTCCGTTACCAGCAGCATTGAAGGCAATCACCCTGAACCTGTACTTTCCACCGGTCTTCAGACCAGTGATCACCAATCGGGTGCCTCGGGTTTCGGTCTCCTTGGCCTGAAAGCACAAATATGGAGTTCAACAAGTTGCTTTAGAGCAAAGATTTATTTCTTAAACAAGGGTCATATCCCAAGATCAGTGACGATGTCAAAGGAAGAGGATTGGGTTCTCTCACCTTGACCCAGGCTTCAGTACCCTCCTCCTTGTACTCCACCCAGTAGCCGATGATCTTGGAGCCTCCATCTTTCAAAGGAGGAATCCACTCCAGGTCCACTGTGGACTTTGTCCAATCAGAAACCTTTGGTGTTGGAGGAGAGGGCGGGGCTGGAGGAAGAAATAAAATGGCAGTTAACATCTTACTCTGTGGATTTAAATCTTGTGAGATTTCAGTGTGTGAACTTACAAATGGGGTCTCTGGCAAAGAAGGGGTCAGTGGGGGGGCTGGCGAGTCCAATTCCGGCAGCGTTGATGGCAGAGACTCTGAACAAGTACTGTGAGCCCTCAATAAGTCCGCTAACCACAAATGACTCACCCATACCCATGGGTCTGATCGGGTCACGACTGACACGAGTCCAGCGTTTTCCCGTGGTCTCTTTGCGTTCCAGCCAGTAGCCAGTGATTGGGGTGCCACCATCGTCCTCAGGCTCCTCCCAGTTAACTGTCATGGAGTCCATGTTGACATTGGTGACAGTCGGCTTCTCACACTGACCGGGGACGGCTGTAGGAAGGTTGAATATTAGGTCAGATGATTAAATGGGGTGATTAGATGGGATGTTCTTGGATCTGTACTTGTTCTTTGATTGTACACATTAACACATTGTAATGCACTTTGTGTATAAATATGATTCTTTCGAAGAGAAAGAATGATCAAAAGAAGCTGCATTATTTATAGGTAAACTGAAGAACTATTTGACAAGAGATTTTTCATTCTTATCTGAAAATTAGACTCATTTGAATCCTCGACTCACTAAAGAGGTTGCGGGCGATCTCAGGCTCACTGTCCAGTGGCTCTCCGACTCCATACTTGTTCTGGGCCATGATCCTGAACACATACTCATGCCCTGCCATCAGGTTCTCTACCGTCCAGATACGGTCTTTTGGTTCATTGGTAACAGGGACCCAGGTCATCCTGTTGGCGACACGCCTCCAGATGACGTAGTTTGTGACTTTGGATCCGCCGTCGTCCTTTGGTGGCAGCCAGGACAGCGTGATCCTCTCAGCTCCAATCTCTTCAAACTTAATCGGAGCAGAGGGAGGACCCGGCCGGCCTTAAAGGAACAAGAGCAAAGAAAAGCAACTTAGAAGACACAATCCTCCACGGTCTACACTTGAGCCTCACTAGGATGTCTGATGATCTTTGGTCAGTTTGATGTGGCTTTTACAGATTTAGACTAAATCAATTAGAATTGTCTTATTTCTGATTTCCTTTACAAACAAAACTTCTGATATGTCCTTTGAAAGAGTTTCCGTGTTAGGTTAAATCTGATTAACTTTCAGTTTCTGTAAACATTTGTTCGTCTGGAGTTTTGTCTCACCAAGCACATTGAGCCTCATCTCCTTGGAGGCCTTGCCAAGGCTGTTGGACGCCACCAGAGTGTAGAGGCCGGTGTCGGGACGTTTGCCCTGCTGGATGAGCAATGTGCAGCTGTCGTCTGACACGATCTTGTTGATGTGCTCGTCGTATTGAACCTCCACCTTGTCATCGGACTTGTGGGGCGGAGCCTTGTGCCAGGTGAGTGTGGGGAATGGACAGCCGCGGATCTTGGCCACGATGCTGATGTCGGAGCCCTGTTCCGCCTCCATGAACTCTTTCAGCTCAATGGAAGGAGCGCCTGCAGCGGAATAATAGAAGGTTTCTGATTACCAAATGTTTGGAGGAAAGAATACAGGCCAATATTTATTTACTGCAGCAAAGATTGTGGTTAAATATATCAAGAACATTACCTTGACAACTACTGAATGAATCAAACATTAACCCAGAGGTCAACATGAGCAAAAGTCGGTATAAAAAGGATGAAATTGTGAGTTACGTTGTTGTATTATGTGTAATCATACAGCTTAGGGCCTTTCATTTGTGATTTCATGGTTGATAACATCTTTACAGCTGGAACAGAAACCTTTCTTGGTGTCTTCATTATAAAGGAAGACTTCCTTATAGTCAAAGACTTGTAGTCTTAAACACGACATCATACATTTCCCATAATTCAGCTGCATAGTCGTTTAAAGCTGAGCGCTCTGGTCTTACAGGTCTGGTCCTGGATCACAACGGGTCCTGCTGTGGTTGAAGGTCGACTGGCTCCGGCTGCGTTATGCGCCACCACTCTGAACTCGTACTCGTCTCCCTCGGTCAGGTCCTCCACCTTAAACCTGGTGGTGTCCACGTCTCTCCTGTTACACCTAAAGGGCACACAAGTCTCACTGAAACCATGTGACTCAATTCACTCAGAGCTTCCTCTGTAACATTGTGCCAACATTGACTGAGCTGTTGGCTGTATGCACATTAGTGTTTATACACAATCATACATATAACAAAGAGCTGTCAGTGATGGTTTCAGGATTTCATTAGGGCTGATACAGTCTGTTCATTTAGTTTCCAAAAGAGCTATTTTATTGCAGGAGAAATACAAACAATATTACTTGAAAATGCAAAACCTGACACCAAACAGCCGATCTTTTGTCTACAGGTACTGGATCTGTTCTAAAAGAAAGTCCCGTTCCAAAGTGCTGAGCAAAATCAGCAGTGTAGCATCCTAACAGGATTATTTGTAATAAGGGCCTGAGTACTGAAATGATTGGAATGCAAAGAATGATTATTTATTTTTTTATGCCTTATAAATTGCATATTTGGAGTTTTACACTCACCAAATTATGCACCAAAAACCAAAAGTGGTAGAAATGTACGTATGATACTGCTTTGGTACATGAGTGTCAGAAAATGACTCCACAGCACCCCCTTAAACTTAGCCCCTTCAGTGGGTTTAATGTACTTGCATGAAAATCAGTAAGCATGTGTATCATGTCCAGACCCAGTCTCTCATTGTCATGGTTAAAAAACAAAAAAGTCAGCCATTTGAATTAAATGTCACATATTATTCAAAATCCACTTCACCATGTTTCTCTAACTCTAATATGTGTCTCTAGTCTGTCTACAAACCCCCCAATGATGAGAAAAGTCCATCCTCTCCCGCTTTTACCTGCTCCACTTTTCAGAAAATGTGTGCTCAAACAGGCCGTTTGGAGATTTTCCCTTCATGACATCACAAAGGGCAGTAACCCCTCCCCTAGGTAGGTGACTCTCCCACAGCTAGGTGTTTGATCTGCCCTCTGAGTCTGCCTTCTGACTGTAAACAGTAGGGCATGGAGCGAGAAAGCCAGAGACACCCAAGCCCTTCCAGAGAGGGGGCGTGGTCAGACACAGCTCATTTTCATTTAAAGCTACAGACACAGAAACAGCCTGTTCTGAGCAGGGCTGAAATAGAGGGGTTTATAGGCATGATCAAATACAGGATCAGAGTGGATTTAGAACAATAAACTTCACACACATGTTTTGAGGAGGAGGATATGTGACCTTTAAATTTCTAACCAAGGGCGATTTGAAGATTTCCTATTTGATTGAAGTTTCATTGAATCGACTCCATATTTGGTGAGCTTATGTAGACACATTGAAGAGTCAAAGTTTAAAAAACGTTTAGCTGTTGTCTAAGGGTGTAGCAATGATGAAGGGTCACAGTTTGATGTGTTTCTATAGTAAATACATATTGTTATATGGACCTGAGCTTGACTCAGATCCTAGGTCAGCTTACAGTAAGCAGTGGAGTCATAAAGACCTCTGAGTAGAAAGTTTACCTCCTCCACGACTCTTTCTGGGAACTACTTGCTTCCCAGCACAGCAGGTCGACACTGTAGTGGGTGACGGGTGAACCGCCATCGTTCTTTGGAGCCTTCCATGTCAGAGTCACGGTGCCCTTCCTCACGCTCTGGATCTTCAGCCTTGTTGGAGGATCAGGAGGATCTGCAGAAACAAAAGATCAATGTGCTTTAAAAAGAAAGATCAACTTTTCTTTTGAAGTCCTGTATGTAGGAAATGTGTCACCTCTGCTTGGCTTTTCTAAAACATACATGTACATTGTAGTGCTTGTTGCAAGTAAATAAGTCACTATCATAAATGTCTCTGCCATGGTACAGAAAAACACATTCTAAACAAGACAAATGATGAAGGGTCGGAGCAGGTTTGTTGGCTGTCAGCCGGCAGAAAACTGGAGAACAGATAATAAAGAGAGTGGACGTACGGATCGGATCTCTGGCTCTGGTTCCTTCAGGGGTCTCCACAAACGGACCGAAACCAAAGCAGTTCTCAGCTTTGATGCGGAACAGGTACTCCTGACCGTTGATCAGGTCTGGAACCACCAGGGACTGGGCAGCACAGGCGGGGTTAACCTGAGAGAAACAGATCAAGGTTAGTGTAGGGTCCTGATACTGCAAGGTTACCTGAAAGCTGCAGTGGGGGTGGGGGGTTACCTTGGTCCAGGCTTTGCCATCCACTGCCTTCCTCTCGATGAAGTAGCTCTTTACTCTCTCTCCTCCGTCACACTCAGGAGGTTTCCAGGTGAGTCGGCAGGTTCCCCTTGTAATGTCGCTGACCTTAAGGTCTCTGGGAGGTCCAGGCAGGTCTGCAATCATGAAAGCAACATCAGAGCAGTACATGCACGGCGATACTCTGACTGATGTCTTTCGTCTTTAACCAAGTTGGTATTTTTATTACGATGTATTGTAAGTATTTTAAGCACATCCTGTGGTCTGTATAACATGTTTAATGACGCATCTATGTTTCCGTACCGAGCACGTTGACTCTGACTTTGACCACTTTGTGTCCAGCAGGACTCTCAGCGTTGATGATGTAACGACCGCTGTGGCTCAGTTGACTCTCTGGGATCACGATCACAGATGTGGTGTCAGTGGAGTGGATCTGAAAGGAAAGGCCACCATCATGTTAGAAATAAAGTTTAAATATTAGTTTACATTTTATAGCCCGTAAAGCATGAGAGCGCTCTGACCTCGGAGTCAACAGGCAGTGTGTGCAGCTCATTCTTTTTCTCAGTCTCAGCGGTTCCGTCGAATGTCCAGGAGACTTTGGGAATGGGTCGTCCTGTGATGGTGGCAGGGATCCTGATGGTCGTTCTAGCTCTGCAGTTCAGCAGGTCGTGGGCGCTCACATCCAGAGTCACCGTCGGCTCGACTGAAAGAAAAGAGCTTGCTTTAGATCCTAATCTGTTTTATAAGATCTACCTGAAAAGTAGGTTCAATGGTTTCATCAATTAGGACATGTGGAGATCAAAGCAGAATCATGTGGTGTTACGTGTAAAGATAATAATGAAAAATCATCCTCTCATTGGAAACCATCAACGTCTGATCTATGAGAATAATCTGAATTAAAGCGGTATCACAGTCTCAGTTGGTCTCTAATCAAACTGCTGGGTTTCTCTTACTCAGGATGTCCTGGACCAAGATGTCGCCTGTCTTGGCAGGCTCTGAGTTTCCGGCTGCGTTCACGGCATAGATCCTAAACTTGCATTTCTTGCCCTCTTTCAGGTCGGGGACGGTGATTTCTGTGGACGGGTGGAGCTTGTCAGCAGGGTTCACCCTCCTCCAGTCAGGAGAGCCCTCCTCGTGGACCTCGATGATGTAACCCTTGACAGGGCTGCCGCCGTCCTTGTCTGGTGGGCTCCAGCCGAGCGTGATGCTACTCTTGGTCTTGTCTTTTACCTCCGGGGCTCCAGGCGGGCTGGGGGGGTCTTTGAGAGGAGCAGAGTGCATCAAAGATCAGTATTTAAAACTTTAATATGACTGAAGAACCATAAAAACAACACATGCACAGGAAACCCAGTCAGGCAGGGACCACTGAGGAACATTTTTGCTGCCACGCCATTAAAACACACAGTGAATCTGTGCAGAGCAAACTCTCAGGTGAATCACTCACTGCAGGGATCAGCAGCAAAGCGGCACTCTGAGGCCTCACTGGGCGGTCCGACTCCAGCAGCGTTGCAGGCTGAAATCCTGAACATGTACTCAGTTCCTTCGATGAGCTTCAGTACAGTGTACTGCAGACCCTTCACAGCCGGTTTGGTGACAGGCGCACGGTTGACCCGCCCCCAGTACACAGCACCACGCTCCCTCTTCTCCAGCCAGTAGCCCTGGATAGTGGAGCCACCATTGTCCAGAGGAGGATCCCAGGTCAGGGTCATGGTGGTCGCTGTGGCGGAGATGATTTTGGGATTACGTGGAGGTCCTGGGAGGCCAAATGGATCCCGTAGCTGGACTTTCTCTGAGTCGCAGCCGTCGCTAACGCCGTACTTGTTCTCAGCTTTGATCCTGAACTGGTAGGCACCGTTCAGGTTCAGTTTGTAGACCTGAAGGAAAAGAACAGGAACAGACAATGTAAGCTTTCACTGAGGGTGGAGTCAGATATTTATCTCTGCAGGTGGAGTCAGATATTTATCTCTGCAGGTGGAGTCAGATATTTATCCCTGCAGGTGATCAGATATTTATCTCTGCAGGTGGAGTCAGATATTTATGTCTGCATGTGTTAAAGGTAGAGTCAGATATTTATCTCTGCAGGTGGAGTCAGATATTTATCTCTGCAGGATGTGGAGTCAAAAAGAAAAAGCAGATATAAAGATGTTTTCATTCTGTTTCTGTTTCTTGATTTTGTCCAAATAAGAGGATTTCTTTAAGCGCATTGATTTAAAGCCACAGATGGCTTGTGCTTTCAGAGGAAACTCACCCCGTATCTCCTGTCGATCAGGTTGATGGTCAGGACCTCGAAGTCGGACTTCTTCTTGCTGGCATCCCGACGCTCCACAATGTAGTTGGTGATCTCGCTGCCTCCGTTGTCCTCTGGGGCGTCCCAGGTGAGGTAGCAGGACTCTGCTTTGATGTCTGACACCACGATGTTTCTCGGAGGTAGAGGACGGTCTGAAAACGCAGGACGGTCAACGATCAATGCTTTGAAAAAGACTTATATGTAATTGTCACATAGTGAAATCTAAACTTAAGATCTCACCGAGGATCTCTACTGGGATGACATGCTGAGCTTTTCCGAAACAGTTCTCAGCCACCAGCTTGTAGTTGCCTTTGTCCCTCCGGATGGTTACTGGGATGGCGATCTTTGACCTGACAGTCGTCCGGTTCACCTGGAGATCAGAAGGCAAGAGCCATATTCATTCAATAATCAAACAACAATCCATACGCCAATCATAATCCGTGTGATTATTAAGAATTTACCACTTTCAGAAAAAAAGAGTCAAAGTTGAAAATAAAGAACCAACATGAAAAGTGTTTTAAAAATGGATCTTTAGCGTTACTGACACAAAAAACTAAACTGTGCATCATTCATAGAGCTCAAAGTTTGATTGGTCATTTGTTCCCACCTCCTCGGTCTCCATGGTCATCTTCTCTACGTCAGGCTCCTCGATCAACACGTCATCCTTCATCCACTGCAGCGTGGGCAGAGGAAGACCCTTCACCTCAGCTGGGATGTCGATGGCCGTGCCTTTCTTCACATTGATGGAGTTGTTCTTGAAGAACTTCAAGATGGTGATCACTGGAGAGACTGGATAAACAAACGCACGCTCAAACTTTGCCTTCCGATCATTGAGTCTACACATTTAATCTGAAATCAAAAGGTTTCTATCAAACACTCAGATTTCAGGCTTGATTTCTTACTTTCATCGTCCTGGATCTTGGCGTTGATTGGCCTGGAGGGATCTCCATCTCCAACCTCGTTCACGGCTTTGACACGGAACTGGTACTCCTGGTTCTCGGACAGGTTCTCGATGGTCCCGCAGCACTCGGTGAAGATCTTGCGGTTAGCCACTTCAAACTCTGCGCCGTCAGACCTCATCTTCTCCACGTAGTAACCACTGATGGGGCTGCCTCCATCAGTGCGTGGAGGCTGCCACGCCAGCGTGATGGTGGTCTTGCTTCTGTCGGTGTAGTGCAGCTTCTCGGGGGCGGATGGAGTACCTGCAGCATGGTTCAAGTTTTTGAATGTTTGAGCTTTGATACCATCCCTTCTAAAATTCTGATGTGATGTGGTATGTCAATCTTATTTGATGCATTTACCTTTTGGATCCTCAGCCACAATGGGCCCAAGGTCGGCAGGAGCTCCGTCGCCGTACTTGTTCCTGGCGATGACCCTGAAGTCATACTCCTCTCCGGCCAGCAGGCCCTGGATGTCGCACTTACAGGACGCCGTCTCGATGGGTTGGCGGAAAAGCTTCATCTTGGCGTCCTTCCTCAGCACCTCATAGCCAAAGATGTCACTGCCGCCGTTGTCCAAGGGGTCGGACCAGGTGAGGATGATGTTCTTCTTTGTCACAGTCACGGTCTTCAGGTCGACCACCGGCCCGGGGACGTCTGCAGAAGCACAGGAAAGATCTCAGATTATTTTGGGTACCAGGGACTCAGATGTCCTACTTTATTTCTATACGTTTAAATAAACATATTACTCTTGGGAGAAGAGGAAAGATTCTATCGTTTTCAGCTTAACTTAAATATGTGTGAAAGTTTTCAATCATATCTCCGAAGAGCATGGAAAATGTTCCCTGAGAAAATATATCATGAAAGACGAAACAAATGTCTCTCTCAGCTGGAGACGTTTAACCTTCAGGTGTTAATCAGTCTGTGAAACAGGTGGTATTTTTATTTGGTAGAACATTGATGATGTATATTTATTGAAAACTCACCCATGACGTCAACTCTGGTCTCGGCCGTCTTGGTCCCGCTGCTGTTGGTGCCGGAGATCTTGTACTTTCCGTGATCTGCCCTCACCGCCTTCTTGATGAACAGAGTGCTGTTCTTTCCAACCGTCTCAACAAGCATTCGCTCAGCATCGATGTCAGCTTCGTCTTTGGACCACTTCACCTCAGGCTGAGGGCGTCCAGTCACGATGGCGGGCAGCCTCAGAGACTCCCCGGCCTTGATCATCACTCCATTTTTCACTGAGTCATCAAAGTCTACAGCGGGAGTTTCTGTAACCACAAACAACAAGGGTCAGTGTTTATATAAATAAAAAGGATTCAGATCTGTGATAGAACTGCTAAAGATTCCTTAATGTCTTTCAAATCTATTCAACCTAAACTGAATATTCATGTAGTGAAGTATGAAGTATCATGAAGTATTTTAGTCTCTGAGTCGGGCTGTGACATGACAAGGATTCTACAAAACGCCTTTAAACACCTCTACCTGTCTCCTCTCCTCTTGATATTAAAAGTGTTCCTACCTTGCGGTTCTTTGACTGTAACAGGTTCTGTCACTCCAGGAGCTCCAGGTCCGGCGTCGTTAACGGCTACAACACGGATGTAGTAATCTGCTTCCTCTGTGAGACCGGTCACCGTGTAGGTCAGCTCCTTACACCTGAACTCTGTACTGCGAGTCCACTCCTTCTCCCCGGCCAGAACCTAAGAGCGAGAAACACAAGGTGAACATCTCAGCTGAACGATTAACACTTCTGTTCATCCTCACGTCACGTGAGGAGTGTGTTTGAATGTGTTGTACCTTCTCGACATGGTATCCCAGGATGTCTCCTCCTCCATTGTACAGTGGAGGCTTCCAGGCCACGATCACAAAGTCCTTCCCTGTGTCCACGATCCATGGAGTGGGGGGACCAGGAGGCACTGTGAGAAGAGGGGGGACAGAAAGGGACCTGTTAATCTTGTGATGAAAGAAATATGCACTCACATTGAAAAAAAAACACTTTGTCACAGTTTGATCAATAGGACTGAAGGACTTACAGATGGCGTCCATGGCCACAATACGTTCTGTGGGCTCGCTGAAGGGCCCGGGCCCGGCCAGGTTCTCAGCACACACTCTGAAAATGTAGGTGAGTCCCTCCATCAGGCCGCTGACCTTCACCTCCAGAGAGTTGAGGAGGGCGTGGTTCACTCTGGTCCAGTGTTTGCTGTTCACTTCTTTCCTCTCGATCCAGTAGCCCAGGATCGGGCTGCCGTTATCCTTTGGCTCTTGCCAAGAGATGTGGGCAGAGCTCGCCGTCACCTCACGGACTCTGGGAGTGTTGGGAGCATCGGGAGGATCTGTGGGGGAGGACAGAGGGAGATACAGCTTGTCATTCCTGACACAGCCACTTGTTTTTTTTTAATCTGGATCTTTTCTGTCAAGGTTTGGCGACATTTTGAAAAACAAACATATATATAAGTTTAGCTTTCATTTCCTTCCTGTTTAATCTTACCGAACTGATTCTTGGCAACGAGCGGCTCGGAGATGCACGGTGGCCCGACGCCGTACTTGTTCTCAGCGGTGACCCTGAAGATGTACTCCTTCCCCTCGATGAGTTTGGTAATGGGGCAGCTGGTGCCCTTCAGGGTGGAGGTGATGGTGATCCAGTCAACCTCCTTGTTCTTGTTATCCTTCTTCTCCAGGATGTAGTTCAGGATCTCACTGCCTCCATCGTCCTCTGGAGGCTCCCAGTTACAGATGCAAGACGTGTTTCTGACCTCATCAAAGGTGAAATTGATCGGAGCGCCGGGTTTGTCTGAGGCAGGACAGAGGTCAAAGTTTGAATTTAATCTGAGGAGGTGACGAAGATTTATGATGTTCTTTCATGTCTGTTAATTCTCAGCCATCCATGTCATGGTAACGCAAAACTGGATCCAAAAGGAATCTGGACTTTCTTTAAGTTGTTTCGTCTCTTACCTGAAAGGCTTCAGAGTTCTACAGTATGAACCTCCGAAGGCCATTAGTATGCTAATGCTTGTGTAATGACATGGAAGTCATTAACTGAGTCATTTGGTTCCTTGACGTTATTGTAAAGAGAGTCACAACAGAATGACTAAAGAGCTTAACGACTCCTTTTTGACCAAACAACCGTCATCATCTTCCTTAGTCAGTTTAGAACCGAAGAAGACTTTGGGAAGGGACGGGAAAGGTTCTTGATTCAACCTTTGGATGATCTTAATTTTTATTAATTTATCAAAAATATCCAAAAACTCTTGGTCATAAAGTCCTTTCCTTTATATATTTCAGTCAAAATGTTCAAAAGGCAGTTGTAAAGCCAGCACACAAATAACATCAAACATCCATTTTTATACATGGAAACCTACCAAGCACATTGACGGTGCAGGAGGCGGTGGCGACTCCGTGTGTATTCTCCACCTGGATGGTGAACTCTCCGTGGTCGACTCTGATGGCGTCACGGATCATCAGGACCGTCTGACCTCTCTTGGTCTGGTCCAGTCCCAGACGCTCATGAAGGGGTGTCACGTACACCGGCTCTGGTTCAGGAACCTGAGGGGAGCATGACATGAAAGTGAATGAGGAGAAGAAGTACAAAATACGAGTTTCTGACACTCTGGTCTCTCTCTGAGGACAAACCTTGGACTTGGTCTTCTTCTTCATCAGTGGGACGACTTTCTTGGTGGGCTCTTTGGTGACATCCTCGTTGTTCTTCAGCCAGGTGACTTTTGGATACGGCGAGCCCGAGATGTAGGCATCGATGCGGATCTCCTCGCCCTTCTTGATGCACAGACCAGACTGCACACGAGCGTGGAGGGTGACCTTTGGTTTTTCTGAAAACAGAAGCAGTGTTATGAGGGGTCATAAGGTCAAAACGCCTTCCACATGTTAACGTAAGTGTTTTTTACTTTCTTTGGATTTTTGATGGATAAATGACTTTAAAGTTTGTGTCTTTCTTCCTACCGACAGGATCTGCGGCCTTCATCATCTGCGTGCTGCGTGATGGCTCGCTGACTCCTGCAGCGTTTTCAGCGCGGACCCTGAACTGGTACTCCACGTCCTCCTTCAGGCCGCTCACCACATGTGAGAAACCAGGCACCAGGCTCGGGGTGACCCTCTCGTAGCGGTCGCCATCTTTTTCCATCTTCTCCACGATGTAACCCTGAATGGGACATCCACCATCGTAGTCTGGAGCCTTCCAGGTTACTGTGATGGACTTGGATGAGGGGTCTTGAGCCTCCACCTGGATTGGGGGGTCTGGTTTCTCTGTGGATACATTATAATTTGCGAATTAAGTTTTTGGTGAACTATACAATCCTACATCTTTAAAACATCCCAAATTATAACTTTACTAGAATAATCTCCCAAAAAGTAAAAGAGGGCATGTTGGAGGGTTCAGGACTCACGTTTGACTTCCTCTGTGATTACAGCGTTGCGTAGCTCCATATACACTCCGGCTCCGACCTTGTTCACTGCCTTCACTCTGAAGTAGTACTCACAGTTGACATAGAGGTCTTTGACAGTGTAGGTCAGGACGTTCTCTCCTGACATGACGGGTATATAGGTCTTTTTGGAGGCTTCACGGCGCTCCAGTGTGTAGCTTACAATCGGGGTTCCACCATCATCCTCTGGGGCTTCCCAGCTGATCTTGCAGGAGTTCTTGGTGACCTCACTGGACATGATGTCTTTACACTGACCGGGTAGCCCTGCAGGAATAAGGAAGGAAGTAAGAAAGTGTTGAAGGAGGACTGATGTTTGATTTAGATTGATTATGACGAAAAGAAAAGCGCAGACAGCTGGGCTTGAGGGGTGTTTTTTGATGTTGTCCCCAGGGCAAGAATCTATTCGAAACAATTTGTGAAACCTAAATTTAAACTTATTAAACAAGTAGCAACTTCCAAGGCTGAAATTCCAAAAACTGCAGTTCCTCCATTGTCCACTAGAGGCTTTACTTGATTCCTCATTGATCAAAGTTGTTTGAAGGACGTCATACCGATGACTTTGACGTTGACAGTCCCGGTGGCGGTTCCCAGACTGTTCTCCAGAGTGATGGCATAGGAGCCGGCGTCGGCACGTGTGCACTTAAGCAGCTCCAGGTGAGCGCTGTTCATCTCCACAGTCATAGAAAGCCGGTCGTCAGCCTTACACTCAACTGTGTCCTTTTGCCAAACCATCTTAGGGGTTGGGATCGCCCTGTAAGGGATGTTCAGGTGCAGCTTTTCACCTTCAACCACAACCACGTCCTGTGCCTCCAAGTTCATGGTTGGCGCACCTTGGGAAGAGAGGACAGAAACATTATGCAAGGTTTCTTATCAGCTATTGCATGTTTTTATGATTCCGTTGAAGTTCTGCTTACAGTCAGGGTCCTTGGTGAAGACCTTGTCGGAGATCTCAGAGGGATCGCTAACACCTACAGTGTTGATAGCGCGGACTCTGATGACGTACTTCTTCTCTGGTTTGATTCCATCGCTGATCCTGAAATTAAGCTCCTTGATAGGTCTGCTGTTAACCCTGAGCCACTTCAGCTCTGGACGGGCTTCAGCCACCTCAACGTGGTAGCCGGTGATGGGGCAGCCGCCATCTTTGGCAGGAGGCTTCCAGGTGACATTGATGTGCTCTCTGCTGGCATCAGGGATGGCCACTTCCAGAGGAGGAGATGGAGCGCCTGGTGAGAGAACGGAACAAGTGAAGATCTAAAAATAATAGCCTGCAGCCATACATCTGTGTTCGATTCCAACATTTGCTGGTCTCTTACTGGTCGCATCCTCAATGGTGAGGATCATAGTGGGTTCGCTTGGATCTCCAACTCCAGCCTCATTCTCAGCTCGGACCTGGAACTGAACCTCAGATCCTTCATCCACGTCTGTCACCTTGAACTGGGTCTGTTTGTCTGGAGTTTTGCAGCATTTCAGCCAGCGAGTCCCCAGCTTCTCTTTCTTCTCAATCACATACCTTGGAAGCAAAAGGGCAGAGTTTTAGTTCTTCAACTTTATTTCTCAGAAACAGCATGAAGTGCAAACCAGTACTATTCAGAAGTTTACAGAGTTCAGGAAAAGCAGGAATGGAAGATTTTAGTGCTATGTACTTTGTTGAACATATTCTCACTCAGATGATGAGTTCTTACTTGGTTATAGGTCTTCCACCGTTACTCTTAGGAGCTTCCCATTTCAGTTCCACGTGTCTCTTGGTGACCTCCACCACAGTCAAGGCATAGGGAGGCCCAGGAGTTGCTGAAAAACAGGACAAATGTCAATACCACTTGTTAAGGTCACTGTGTATACATTTTTTAACCTTTGAATGTATGTGGTATGAAGGTTAAGATAAAGGTAAAACCAGTCGCCATATTTTGACTTCAGTGTGAATTAAGCAGCGAAAAGGGAAGTGGTTCATCAAAAATTACTGCTGGTAACAGTTGAAGACTTACTGAAAGTGTCTTTGGCGAGCACGGCGTCCTCCAGCTCACAGAATTCACTCATGCCCACTGCGTTTTCAGCGGCGACGCGGAACACGTAAAGAGATCCCTCGTTAAGAGGAGTCACCGTGTACTTCAGCTCCTTGACCGTGGTGTCCACAGCCTGCCAGGCCTTCCTCCTCACATCCCTCTTCTCCACCACGTAGTTAGTGATGGGCGAGCCTCCATCACTGCTCGGAGCCTGCCACTTCAGGTCAGCGTTGATCTTGGTGATGTTGGCCACCTCCAGCCACTGAGGAGTGGACGGAGGATCTGTGGGGCATCCCAAAGGGAAGTAGTTAAACATAAAGTACAGGGATGTATTTTTAAAGGGGCCTAATACAAACAAGTTAAGATGTTTCAGAGTCATTGAATACAAAAGTGTGGCCACATGTGAACCTACATTTAGGCTGCAACAGAAAAGTCATCCGTCTATCATCCTGCACAATTACCAGTGTAGTCTACCGTTTAACTGACTATCTTTGAATATGGAGCTTTAAACAACACCAGCTTTGCTTGATCGGAGTACACTTTTATTTAAGACCTTTGTTTAGGTTTAATGTATTGATTAAATGTATGAATTGATCAAACGATTTGTCTATTATAGCTTCTGTCTATTCATCTGATATTAAAGCTTTCTGGATGAACTTTAAAAATGGTGTTAGGGCCACAATAATTCAACTCTACATTTCAAAGGTAAATTGATTGCGACTATGACAATAATACTTTCAGACAGAGCCTTCTCCCAGTCACCCCCATTGGACTTACAGAGCCTCTCCTTGCAGACCACAGGCTCACTGGGCTCGCTGGGTTCGCTCTCTCCGGCCTTGTTGACAGCCTTGACCCTGAACGAGTACTCCTGCTTCTCCATCAGGCCCGTCAGATGGTGCTCAGTCTGTGGAACATCCTCTGCGATGCGTATCCACTCCTCGCTGCCTGTCTTCTGGAACTCGATGATGTAGCCTTCGATCTTTGCGCCACCATCGTGCTCTGGCCTGGTCCATGCCAGCTGGGCGGTGGTCTTACCCACATCCCTGATGGAAGGTTTGCCGGGAGCCCATGGAGGATCTGAAGAATGTTACAGTGTTATCATTACAGATAACGCAAATGGAATTCTAATCTTTAAAAACTTCATCAAGTCAATGATTACAATGAACCTGCAGATGAAAACATTGATATATGACTGACCAATTGGGTCTTTGATGAGGACGGGATCTGTCTCTACGCTGGGATTTCCCGGTCCAGCCAGATTCTCAGCCAGAACCCTGAAGCGGTACTTCTTCTTGGTGGGGAGCCCCTTCACCCTGCAGGACATGACAGCAGCTTTAAAACACATCTTTCCTTCACATACAAACTCTTAGTTCCAGTGATTTATCCATATTCTTGTTATTTGACTGATGTCGTTACCTGAAGGTGGTGTCCTTGATTGGCAGCTTGTTGCATCTGATCCACTTGTCGCTCTCTGGATCAAACTTCTCGACCCAGTATCCTGTGATGGGGCTACCACCATCCTCATCCGGCTCGAACCAGGTCAGAGTCACTGCATCCTTGGCGATTTCGGAGGGAGTGACTCTTGTTGGAGGACCAGGAGGATCTGAAGGTTGGGGGAAGTGATATGATGACAATAACATATTTAGATTTTACCATTGTGGATCAAGTCAGTCAAATTTCATTGATAGTGACAATAAAATTTACCAAAGGAATATTTGGCAATGATTGGTGCATGTTCGGCAGGCTCTCCAATGCCGTATTGGTTCTCAGCGCTGATTCTGAAGATGTACTCCTTCAATGCTGTGAGCTTGCAGGCCTTGAAGGTGGTGTGTTTCACAGTGGCTGATAGCTTCACCCACTCCTCTTTGTCTGTCTGTCGACTCTCTACGATGTAGTTGGTGATTGGCGAGCCACCATCGTCCCTGGGAGGGTTCCACGCCAGGAAACAGGACTCGTTGGTGATCTCAGAGATATCGAAGGCAGCTGGAGGGCTGGGCTTGTCTGAGGAGGAAGAGAGAAAACATCCAGTTTGGCAAAGTCTCAGTTTCAGGAGGACCACTTCAAATTTCAAAGCTTCAGATAAGCTTAAATACAAATATGGTATTTTATGGCAGATTTTGTTTGTCCATTGTGTACCTAGAATGTTGACATCAATAGTTGCAGTAGCGCGCCCACAGGCATTGACTGCCTCGATAATGTAGGTGGCGGTGTCTCCTCTGGTGGTGTTTCCAATGGACAGCTTCGAGTGTCCAGGCTGGGTGTCGATGGTGATGCGGTCATCAGCACGCAGGACTTGGTCGGCCTTGGTCCACTTCACCCTGGGGTCAGGCTTTCCAATGACATCAGCTGGAAGCTCAATCTTGGTTCCAGCCCTGGCGGTCAGACCTGCCAGCAGCTTCACATCCAGCTGGATCTCTGGAGGCTCTGCAGGGTTTTTCAAAGATAAATGTCAGAGAGAGGAAAAGAGGAGGGAATGATTTGATAAATTACACTTCATACAATCTCCCTGAATCCAGAGTTAATTCTGTTAACAGAAAGATGACAATAAAAGTTTGTCAATCACAATTAAGAGCTAAAATAGATCTTTGATGATAAAAACTCTGAGGATAAATAAGCTTTGTTTTCCTTTATGAGACGAGACGGAACTAAAATGTTTTTTGGGGGTCTGTCAGACATTTAAAAGTGTTATCTGTGCGTAAAAACACAAGCAGGAGAGAGGAGAAGTGTGTGCGCTGCCAGGCAGTGTGCAGGAGGAGCTCTCAGTTTAGAGCAGAGCGAGAACTCACATGACAACGTTAGGTTACTTTTGTAACCCGGTTCTCTGAGTAGCATGACTAAACGTAAACTAATAAGCATTTTTATCTTTCGACAAAATCTCAAACAGCTGACAAAATGAACCCCGGTTAAATCCAATCACTCTTGGTTTTAGTCTTAATCACATTTCCCTTAGACCCAATTCCTTTCCTTAATCCTGATCCACTCGTTTCTGGTCCAGAGACAATAATTCTTTGTCCTTACTTCATAATTCTTGGTCTTGACTCTAAGCCTTCTGGGTCCCATTACTGTCTCCTTAAGGCTCTTAGTCCGAGTTTAACTAAGTACCAGTTATACTAAATGTTAAAGCCCAGAGGGTCAAGTGAAAAGGTGCCAGTCTACCTCTGGCGTCCACAGCCTGGATCTCATCAGTAGCCCTGCAGGGTCGGCCGGCTCCCAGCTTGTTGAAAGCTCGGACTCTGTATGCATACCACTGGCCCTCGATCAGGCCCTGTACCTGGAACCTAGGAGCAAAAATACATTTTAGATACAACTGAACTCAAATACAGAGCCAGACACATTCAAGTGTTGTCACTAAATACTAACTTCAGTTCAGGGATGGGGTCACCACAGGGTTCCCACTTGTCTGTGCCACGCTGACATTTGTCCACCACGTAACCTTTGAGTGGGGCTCCACCATCGTACTTGGGAGGCTCCCAAGACAGGAAGATGGTCTTGCCACTCTTATCTCGCCATTTCAGGTTCTCAGGAGGATCAGGAACAGCTGGAGAGAAAGAAGGTGAGTTTAAGGACAGAATCATCTCTGTGTTCATCTCTGATCTGACAATGTCAGTTCAGTTTTTCTCAGAACAGAATCAAGACTCACTGGCAGGAGAGGACACGTTGATGGGCTCATCAATGTACGCCGGCTCTCCTGGTCCACACTTGTTGCAGGCTGTGACACTGAACAGATACTCCTTTCCTTCAATCACATCTGTAACTGTGTGCTCCAGGTCCAGAACACCAGTTGCCACCTGGAAGAAAACCCATGGCAATAGTTTAAGACACAGAAAACCTGTGTATCTAAATCCTCTTAATTTCAGCAACAGTTTGAGGGTTTCATTTGGTTTTTGTCAGCATGAGGCCCTAAACTAGTTTTATGTGAAACTTTATTCCCTTAATATGTTACGTCCTGGTACCAGAGCATGGCACACGTCTGTTAACCCATTAATTATCAGTGTTCATTTATTTATTATTTTTTAAAGTGGATGTTACTATATACAAATCTTTAACTTCCAGTAAATTCAGTTCTGTTAACATCCAAACTCTGCTCTTACATGGTCAGATGGATCAATGACAACCTGAGTTAGAGCATAGCGCCCCCTGTACTTTAGAGAGCTTATGGAATAACAAGTCCAAAAGCCCCTTCTCTGCCCCGGGTGCTTTTATTGTGAAATGCTGTTTGACCTATATAAAGGTACTTCTTGTGTTGATAAATGAAAACAGTTTCTATTATTTAGAGTTGTCTAAGTCCTCATGGCCTCTGAAGGACTCACATCTACTGACTTTATACAAAGATGATGATTCTGTTGTTTTTTATAACACTGGTGTTACGGTTAAGTAACATGGTTCACTGTAAGAGTGACCATGTTAATTGGTGACTTTTAGCTGACTGAACCGTGGTAAAAACAGTTGTAGAAGAGAGAAAGTGTCCTAACGAATGTCACTTTGTTTAGTTTTTTATTGTACAGTAAAAAATTGCATCATATACGTCTGTAACTTTGACAACCAAAGACACATTCAACTGAAAGTCACCAGTTAACGCGGTCATTCTTTAAACCGTAACACCAATCAATATTTTCTGAGCAAATTCAGTTCTTGATTTTTCTTCTGGTGTGGTGTTCATTCATGTGTGAATCATTGGATCTAAAGTGTCACATGTACCTTGGCCCAGGTCTTACGGGACACCTCTCTCTTCTCTATCTGGTAGTGGGTGACTGGACTTCCTCCATCGTGCTCGGGGACCTCCCACATCATGTGGACATGATGTCTGGTCACCTCAGCCACTTTGAAGTCCTTGGGAGCACTGGGGCATGCTGGGATAATACATGTACCGAACATATTGAGACTTTAAAGTTGTCATATTTTGTTGATATTGATTTTTTTATGAATTGAGAGAAATCATTGTTACCGATGACATTAACTTCGATTTCTCCAGAGACCGACGAGACGTCGTTCTCCAGAGTCAGGGAGTAGGTGCCTTTGTCTGGACGGACACTTGGCGAGACAGTCAACTCTGTGTATGTGGGCTTTGTCACCATGGAGACACGCTCATCAGCAGTGGTCAACTCCTTCTCTCCAAAGGTCCACTTAGCCTTGGGGGTCGGGTATCCGGTGATGGGAACTCTGATGGTGAGAGGCTGAGGGACGATCACCTCCAGACCATTCCTGAAGGCACTGAGGTCCAACGTTGGACCCACTGTGAGGAGAGGGGAAGTATATTCTTTAAACAGAAGTTTGCACACATACTGTCTGGCTAAGTCAAACTGCTATCTAATGGAGTGCTTTGTGTGTCTACTTTGTGTCATGATTCTTCTTATTCTCCTAATGTTTGTCTCGTACCATGAGGGTCATCTGCGAGCAGGGGGCCAAGTTGCTCTGTAGGATCGGAGACACCGGCGGCATTTTCAGCACAGACTCTGTAGAGGTACTTCTGACCTGGTTTCAGACCTGACACCTACAGACACAACAACAACAGTGCTCTCATGAACCAGAAAACAATTTCAACTTCAATAAAGTGGTAAAAATGGGAAATAGATCGTCACTAAACAAAAAAAAAACTCCATAAAAGTCAGAAAATCTACCAGGAGTAGATATAACGGACATTTAAAAACATCTAAAAGTCAATCTGATGTGCTCAGAAAGAGGTTGATGTTCTTACCCGGTAGGAGAGATCTGGACACAGTCTGGCGTTGCAGCGAAGCCACTTGTCAGTGCCGTCGTCACACTTCTGTATGATGTAGCCGGTGATCATGCTGCCGCCGTTGCTGGTTGGCGTCTCCCAGGTCAGCGTGACAGCAGTCTTGATTTGGTCGCTGAAGTTCAGGTTCAGAGGTGGGCTTGGCCTCTCTGCAGAAACAAAACAAAATGTTGGATGAAAAAAGATGTTTCACACAGAGAATAAAGACGGTTGAGTCTCTGTGCTCCCTCACCAATGGGATCCATGATCTTGACAGGTTTGGTTGCAGCGCTGGGCCTGCCGATGCCAGCCTTGTTCTCGGCTCGGACTCTGAAGATGTACTCCTTGTTCTCCACCACATCGTTCAGTGTAGCCGAGCGGTCATTGGCACCGCAAAACATGGCTGCCTCCCACTTCACAGAGGTCCTGTCACGGAGCTCAATCACGTAGGCCGTGATTTCAGAACCACCGTCAAACTTAGGAGGCTCCCAGTTAACAGTGGCACCAAACCTGTTCACCACGCTAACTTCAACGTTCTCAGGAGCGTCTGGAACATCTGATGATGAAAACAAACAGTGGTCAGACCTTTCGTTGTGCACAGAGCTTGGAGAACACAGGCATGTGAGAGGAGAAATCTGAGTGTGTCTTACCAAACTTGTTCTTGGCCTGGACGGCATCCTCAGTGGCCACAATGGGTCCACTGCCGACTCGGTTTCTTGCGCAGACTCTGAAGAGGTACATGGAGTCCTTCTGGAGGCCGCTAACACAGTACTCCGGAGTATCAGCACGGTCTGTAGCCAGGGTCCAAGTCTTACGCTTTACATCACGTCTCTCGACCACATATGCCATGATCTTGCTTCCTCCATCGCTCTCAGGCTCCTCCCATGCCAGACTGACCTCACCATCAGCAGTGTCCACTACTCTCAGGTTCTTGACGGGTCCGGGAACATCTGGATAAAACCAACACAGCATTTTAAAACTCTTCAGATACAACATCCTGCAGTCACCCAATCAACCATCTTGGATCTATTCCCCAGACTGACCAATCACGTCCAGGTTGATGAAGGCCTCTCCCTGCCCATGCTTGTTCTTGATCACCACTCTGTAGCGGCCCTGGTTCTCCTTGCTGGGGCTCTTAAGTCTGAACTCAGTCCTATCTATGGAGGTGTCGATGTCCTGGACAGGCAGACTGGAGCCCTCAAAGAACCACTCGGCATCAGCGCGAGGGTAGGCGTCATAGGGAACGCTCATGACGAAGGGCTTACCAGCATCTGTGACCAGGTTCTGGTCTGTGGTTTTGATCTTTGGTACAGCTGCAGGAGAAGAAGACGATAAGACACTGAATTAAAGATTGTTCATTCACCTGTGGAGGAACACTATCATCTGTATGTAGAGGGGGCAGCAGCAAAGGAACTCTTAATGTCTGAGACTTTTTATGGACCTGATCAGTCTCCCACAGACTTTCTACTTCTATGTTCACATTTCAACAAATCTTTGTCATCTTGCCCAACATCGAGAGTACAGTTCAGGTTGTTTATGTGCTTTTGTTACTCAGTGGGCCACATGCTGTCATTAGTCTTTCTTTGACACAGAGGATTTGTGTGAGTGTCTCATTGCTGACTGACCTGCAAGCTCCAGCTTGGCTCTGGCATCTTTGTCTTTGGCCACGATCCTGTACTCTCCCTGATCTCTGGGTCTGATCTCACAGACCTGCAGCCTGTGGACTTTGTCCTCGCTGATCATCTGGTATTTGTCTCCCTGGACAATGATCATATTGTTCCTCATCCATTTCACCTCCACTCTGTCCTTGTTAAGCTCCACCTCGAACACAATGTCAGAACCAGGAGGTTCAAACACGTCCTGAGGAGGTCTGACAATCTCCACCGGGGTCTCTGCACCAAGGAAACAACATGTGAGCATGGATAGAAGAAAAAAGAGAAAGATTCAAAGACACAAGGAGAAATTCAGAGTTTACCTTCAACAAAGAGCCTGGCTCTGGTCCTCCTCTCGTCCACACCACATGCATATTCACACTCATCATCAGGTCTGCAGACCTTGATGATCAGTCGGCATGTCTTGCCTTCTTTTTCCATGTGATATCTAGAAAAACACAAGATATTATAAGAATCAGCACAATGACTTATGGTCCCTTCAGTTAAACTCAGAGTTATGAGGTTATTCAGAGGTACCTGGGTCCTTCTCTGATCTCTCGTCCGTCTCTGTACCACTTCACTGCAGCCTTCTCTTTACTCAGCTTGCAGGTGAACTCTGCGTCCTCAAACTCAGTGATGGTCTGGTCCTTGAGCTGTGCTGTGAAGTCTGTAGGCGCCTCGCTGATGATCAGCTCAGCAGAGCACTTATCATCTCCTACCACAGCAGTATACTCTCCCTCATCGTCCATCACGCAGTCCTTAATGGTCAGCGTGTGTTTGAGGCCATCAGCTCTGTAGACGATGCGTTTGCTGAGCGTCAGCTCCTGGCCGGCCTTCATCCACCTCACCGTCACTTCTGGACGGTTCACCTTGCAGACGAAGCCGATGGTCTTCTTCTCCTGAGTCTCAACGTCCTCGATGGGGTCCAGGAACTTCAGCTTCTCCTCTGTGGGACCACACAGGGAAACGTTTCAATTTCACTTCAGTTTCTACATTTATATGCATGTATTTGTAAGTCTGTCCTCGGTATGTCTGTCTGGACAGATCATTGAGACAACAGGCTCCAGAGCAGAGAGAGATGAAAACACCTGCCTACAGCAGGAAGGAGTATTTTCATCTCTTTAAAGCCGGCACAAGTTCGCCTCAATCACTAAGCTTTTGTTTGTTTGTTTGTTTTGTTGTGCTGGAGCAATATGTACATTTTCTAAAAATCACAACAACAAAAAAGCCTAAGATGAAGCATCTGCTGGGTGAAGTCTAAAACCTTCAGCTTCTGTTGGCATGGAAACCTTAAAATATTTCCAATATGACGCTGTTGTTCCTTTAAGCCCCAATCAGAGATACCGATGAAGGGGAGATACAGGAAGTCAAGTTATACAGGTAAAGGTGAGATAGATCCAGTGGTATACCTGCCACTCTCGCGCTGGCAGTGCATTTGGCTGCCTCTCCTCTCTGATTGGTCAGGCTGATGGTGTAGCTGGCCTCGTCGGCCTTATTGGCGTCTTTGATCCTCAGAGAGAACACGTTGTCCCTCTGAGCCATCATGTACTTGCTGCTCTCGAATATGGTCTCCTCGTTCTTCAGCCACTTGGCTTTCGCTCCCTCTGTGTTCGTCTCGCAGTTGAACACCATCTCACTTCCCTCCTTCACCTCCGTGTCCCTTATTGGCGTGATGATCCTCAGTTTTTCTGAAATGAAACAAACTTGATTCCATATGTGCTCTGAAATCATCAAGCAAGTTTAGGAGAGACAAAGACGAGTCTTACCAATCACAAACAGATCAGCAGAGGCTTTAACGGTGCCAATGTGGGCAACGTAGCCTCCCTCATCCTTCAGCTCGCAGTTTTTCACAATGAGAGCTCTTCTCTTCCCCTCGCTGATGACAGTATATTTGTCTCCAGCCTCCACTTCCTTGTCACCTCTGAACCATTTCACCTCATAGGTCTCCTTAGAGACAGAGCAGGCGAACTCAGCCTTGTCGCCCTCAACCACCTCCTGGTTCTGAGGACGAGCGATGAACTCAGCAGCCAGCTCTGGAAAGAAGAAGAAGAAATAAGGAACACAAGGAAGGAACACAGGGGACACAGCTAGCTTAGATTAGCACAAAGTTTGGATGGCTAAGCTTTGCACAAAGACTGGGAATAGGACCAACAGCTAGTTGCTGATTTAAATATTCAATGTGTGAGATGAAACTCAGATGAAACTGGGTGTTCTCACCTTCATCTTCACTTTTATATAGAAACGCTACCGATGCACACCGCTCCATTAGTAGACACAGGCCCTGTACACTAATCCAGACTGGCAGCCTTAAGTCATACTGACGTTCTATGATTCCCTCCTAGCAGCTATTTGGAAACTTTACTCCCCTGCAGGGATGTAGCACAAAGTCATTGCCTCCATATTCAGGCAATTTTACAAAAACATTGGCAACATGTCGGTATAACTAAATGTTGCCAATGTTTCTGTGCAGTGTCGACCGTCTGCAGGAGTTTGTCTGCATGCTTTGTTTACTAAAAACAATAAATGACCCAACATCGGGTGTCCAGGACATTGATTTATGTTGCCATGGTAACAAAAGGCGAGAGGATAGTTAGATTTGAACCAGAATCAATCACATAGACGTTCAATAACTCTGACTTTGTGTGACACCTTTAAAATCCTCACTGCAGTTGAGACGAACAAAAACAACAAAATCAACTTTTTATTATTAAAACATTTTTTATCTTTTTAAACTTGAATCCTTTAACAGCAGCTTAATTATTTATTTTTTTCAGAGAATCTTGTTCCTGTCTCAGGACAGTTTCACCGTGAAACAAATTGAAACACAAACTACTCATTTATTTTAGGGGTCCATCCTCCATCGGATCCCTCGGTACTCCGAGGGCCCAACCCCCCTTTATGACGCCATGTTCACACATTGACATGATCCTGCACTGTCATCGACAGCAGCCAAACTTCCTCTTTCAACAGGAAATTCAACCCTGCATTCATAAGAGCAGAAGACATTTCCTGCAGCTCAGTGTTTCCAGAGTCATGGCATGTTCTTACCGTTGAGTTTCAACATGGCCGACGTCTTGGTGGTGGGACTCAGCCTGCAGTTGTACTCTCCGGCGTCCTGCATCCTCAGGTCCTGGATGATCAGGATCCTCTTGCGTCCATCCATGACTTGCTCGTAGCGGCCGCCTTCCGGCAGCTCCTCCTCTCCTTTGAACCATGTGACCTCTGCGCTGGCCTTGGACACCTCGCAGATCATCTTCACGCTGTCCGTCTCTGTGCCCTCCACGTTGGACAGGTTCTTAGTGAACCTGGCTGCTTCCTCTGTAAGAAGAAACACAGTGGCCATAGCAAACAGCGTTAATTTGAGAAAATCATTTATTTTGGTTGAAATCTGCCCTCAGTGCGGACTGTCAGGCATCCTCATCTTTCTCCTAACTTTAACCTTCATGCCCTTTCCAAAGAGATGCCTTTCTCGTCTACGTCCCTCAGTTTCCCAACAGACTTCTATGAGATTTTAAATGCTAGGCTAAAGAAAACACAACAAAAAGCTGAACTCACCGATGACGGTGAGCATGCCGGAACTCTTTGAAGTCCTGGCGTCACATTCATACTCGGCTTCATCATCAAACACCGACTTGTGAACGATGAGGATCCTCTGGACACCCTTAGCAATGATCTCGTACTTCTTTCCTTTCCTGATTTCGCTGCCATCTTTGAACCAACGAACCTGCACATGAAAACCACGGAGTAAGAATCCTCAAAGGAACTAATTAATCTGAAAAACCAAATCAGCAGATCTTTGATGATCCTGTCAGTCAGCAGGTCTCACCTTGGCCGACTCGCGCGACACTTCACATTCAAACTTGGCAGATTCTTTCTCTTTGACCTCCACGTCCTGCAGAGGCTTCGCGAACTCCACGTGAGGAGCTGTGGACCAACAGACGATATGGTAACGACACTGCGATCCAAATCAAACTTACAAAAGGTTCACTGTTTGATATCGAAGTAGAGCTTCCAACTTACGTGTGACCTCCAGGAAACAGGAAGTCTTGAACTCTTTGGCGTCGCACGTGTACATCTTTGCGTCGTCTGGAGAGCAGTCGTGGATAATCAGTGTCCTCTTGCGCCCGTTGGCGAGCAGGTCGTACTTTTTGGTCTTCCTGATCTCCTGTCCCTCTCTGAACCATTGTACCTCCGCGTTCTCTCTGGAAACTTCACACTCCAGCGTGGCATTGGCCTCCTCCTCCACCGTTTGGTCCTCCAGAGGCTTCGTGAACTCCACGGGTGGCTCTGAACACACAAACACACACACACAGATGTTATACACTTTATTTTTCAGGTAGTCACCACCCACACTTCCTGTAACAATGTGTGGATTTGTCATGATGCGTTCACTGTCCAGGGTGCATTTGAGTGTCTCACCTCTGACGATGAGCTGGGCCAGAGTCTGGAAGTCTTTGGAGGTGAGTTTGACCTCGCCAGCCTCGGACAGCTTCACGTCTCTGATGGTCAGAGCGTGAACACCACCTGTGACACGAGTCTTCACCTGCACGCACACACACATTTAAATAAAAACATTTCGTTTCTAGAATAGTTTTTTTGTTTAAAGACATTAAAATGTTCAGTCTTCGTCGCTTTCATTTAACTTTCTGAAACGAAAAACCTGAAATCCGAAATGTTAGCAGCTAACTGTGTGTGTCTGTGTGTGTGTGTTTGTGTGTGTTTGTGTGTGTGTTTGTGTGTGTGTGTGTGTGTTTGTGTGTCTGTGTGTGTGTTTGTGTGTGTGTCTGTGTGTGTCTGTGCGTGTGTGTGTGTGTGTGTGTGTGTGTGTGTGTGTGTGTGTGTGTGTGTTTGTGTGTGTGTGTGTGTTACTGATAACAGCTTCTATCTCTGATTATTTTTAACTACGGCCTCTAAGGCTCCAACTCTGTAAAAAACAACTTCAGTTTGATTCAAACAGATCTCTCCTGAAATGTTTTGTTGAAATATTTTACCCTCGCGTTTTAAAGGACGTGTTCACACATCGCTCATGGCGTTGTATGTAAGACATAAAACTTTCACATTGAAAAGAAGAAATCACACACTTGCTCTCGCTCTGCATCGCCAAGTTATTAGAAAAAAGGCACTTTGTTCGTAAAACACGACGGACCAGTTTTTACAGTGTAGCTACAAATTAACAGCTTTTATTAATATCTTTTTCTTTATTAAATATATTCAGACTGATTCAGAGACTTTTACGGACAGATATCAAATCAACGTTTTTATTGACGTTTTATATTTTTAATGTTTTAATGTTTCCGTTTCCTCCAGAGATCAAAATGTGTCTGGGACGATGTAGCGGGACGTGTCTCACCCGCTCGCTGGCATCCATCTTCTGTCCTCCCAGGAACCACTCCACTGCGATGCCCTCATAGGACAGCTCGCACTCGAAGGTGGCAGTCTCTCCTGCGGTCACCGTCACATCCTTCAGAGGAAGCAGCAGCCCGATGGAGCGCGCTGCAGAGAGCGAAACAGGAGAAGAAGAAGACATGGTTACACGGGCCAGCATGCATCTGTCTGACTGACCTCAGATTCTTTTTCAGAAAAGTTTGTGGAGCAGCAGAGAGTCATCCAATCAGAGGGCTGCCTCTCACTTAAGATAAAACATCTAAAATAAACTCAGAAGCTGATTGGCTGAAAACAGACGGACACTCAACACCTCCTGCTGATCTGACACAGACACGTGTGGGCTAGAGAACAGGACTGTTGCCTGTTATTTCAAATGAAAGCAGCCTGTCCGGTTTTACTGATAAATATAAGAATAAATGGACGAAGTGGAACTCACCTTTCACTCGGAGCTGGGCGTTGGATTTGGCGTTGGCTGCTGTGAAGTCGACACCTCCGGCCATGTCCTTACGGACGTTATAGAGGATCAGCATGTGTTTGGTTCCTTCCTCTTTAATCTCCACATCCTGACAGCAAACAGACTTTTTAATCTCAGCAGAGAAACAAGCATGGAGATATGTTCAAGATACCTCACGAGTACATCTCAAGGTGTCGAACACGCTCAGAATGTTTTTGACGTGATTTGGTGGAAGAAATACGTTGCTACATAATGAGTAATTTCAGGACTGATATAAATTTATTTAGTTAATCTTGTGCAGTTTTTTTGATTTTCAGTCACGTCTTATTGTTTGTCAGTAACGTCCTGGAGTTGGGATGAAAGTGACGTCGATCGCAGACTCACAGGAGACTGATGTAGAGCTTCTCCCTTCAGTTTCCAGTTTCCGTGAACGTCCTCTTCTGAGATCTCTGTCTCAAACTTGGCTGTCTCCATCTCCGTCACCTCCACACTGTACAGCGGGCGAACAACCTTGATGTCGCGCTCTGAAGACAAGGAAGACGAGGGGACAAAAAAACATCAGTGAGAATGACTGATGAGCTGCTGGTGCCCCCTGGAGGCTGAAGTGTGTGTTGCATTACAAACATCCTTATGTTTTATTTATTTGGAGTCTTTTCAGTAATGGAGCTTTAAATGTTAAGTAATAAGAAACAAAAGAGTGATAACTAGAAGCCGAAAATTAGAAACAAAAAGTCAACAAAACAATTTAAACATAAAAACGTAAAAAGAAACTTAAGAAACAATCCAACTTAATGTTTGTGATGAATTAATTTAGATCAAATGATCAGAAAATCAAGAGGGGGGGCGTGGCCATGACACCTGTCACTCATTTAACTACAGAAGTGAATTAAAGTGCTCAGGTTGTAAAAAAAAAACAAGCACATTAATAGATATTGTGTGTTTTTCTTGTAATTTTAAGTTCAGTTGCTAATCTAGTTTCCACCAAAACTACAAACAGTCTGTTGTAAGTTCTTTGAAGAATAATTTTCTCATCTTTATTTAATAAGAAAAACCCGGTAAACCATTTATATCAGCCGTCTCTGCTGATTAGTCTAGGCCCCTCTCACTCTGAACATTATCTTAACGTTAGCGCTGTATATCTGGAGGATTCACCTTCAATGTTGAGATTGGCTGTGGTTTTGTCGGAGCCGCAGTCACAGGTGTACTCTCCGATGTTGGCCTTCTCTGCCTTCCTGACCATCAGCATGCGCTTCTTGCCATCGGTGCTGATGGCAATGTTCTTGGAGGGAGTAATCTCCTTCCCGTCTTTGAACCATTTGACGTCAGCGACGGCTTTGCTGAGTTCACAGACCAGCTTCACCTCGTCCTTCTCCACGGCGGTGTAGTTCTGAAGCTTGGTGGTGAAGTAGAGGTCGCCCTCTGCAGAGACAGGAGAAGGTGTTAAAAACCAGGAAATGTGTTTTCGGACTTCTCTGGAATTAACCAGGTTTTATACCTTATTGACAAACTGTGAAGGATGAACCAAAAGGGTCAAATGTTTTGTCACTTAACAGACACATTAAGCAGCAAAGGGTTTAAATTTTCACTGACCAATCACAGTGAGCATAGCGGTCATGGTCTTGTCCATGGCCTCCACTTTGATCATGGACGTGTCGTCGATGGTGACCTCCTTGAAGGCCAGCGTGTGGATCTTTCCCTGGTCCGACATGTGCACTACCTTGCTGGGGTGCAGACGGACGTCGTTCTTGTACCAGACCACGGTGATCTTTTCATGAGAGAGTTCAACGCTAAACTCTGCGGTTTCACGCTCCTTCACCGTCACGTCTTTAATCGGCTTGGCAAACTCCAGGCGGATACCTGCCACGGAAAAAAAACAACCCAGTCACACCTCTACAAAATAAACCACAACAGGCCTGTATTTGTCAGGTTTAGTTTTAGTTTTTAGGTTTAGCTGCTATATTTGTAAAATAACCTTGTATGACGAGTTTGCCGGTCGTCCTCTTGTCCTCGGCCTCAAACATGTACTTGGCCTCGTCGTCGTACGCGGCCGACTTGATCAGCAGAACGTACATGTTTCCCTCCTGGATCATCTCGTACTTTTCGTCCGCCTGCAGCTCCTGAGAACCTTTCAGCCAGCGGAAAGTCTTCGGTGCTCTCGACACCTCGATCTCGAACCTGGCCTCATCCTTCTCGTACACCTGAACGTCGCTCAGCGGGCTGAGGAAGTTCAGAGGAAGCTCTGCAGGGAAACAAGAAGGAAGGTTTTAAAAGTGATGCTGCAGATATCTTGGATATCCTCTGATTTGTTCTTTATTATTACTAAAACTAAACGTTAAAGTTTAATTCTCCTCTCAACATCTGGATTTATTCTCTACAGCAAAAGCAGGAACACGCCTAAACCTCGCCATTAATCACCTGACATGCCTCCTTCCCTCCCTTTCATCCATCTCCCCTCCTTCCTCATCCTGTCCTTTTCAACTTGGCGTACGCCTCTCCCATGTCTCTCTCTTATTGCAGGTACAGTCTGGGCCGTAATCAGCTCAGGTAGAAAACACCCGAGACAGAACCCCCCTCCCCCACTCTAAGTCTCCCAGACCAGCCCTAAAGACGACGGCCTCCTCTCACCTCCACCCCTCTCATAAACTACGTCTGTCTCATTAGAACATATGAGTTTGCATTAAATGTTCAAATGCAGATTTTTGTGGCGTGGTCCTCGCTAGTGATAAAGATGACATTTTAACCTGACGTATTATTTCAGCACGTTTGCTGATTGATCGTCTTTTTGTGGATGAGACAGAATTAGAAATATATCACAGACTTTAACTAGTTTTACTGGTTTTAAGCCCTTTTCAAAAGGAAACTGAAGGCCATATGACAGTGCTGGTGGTTTTTACCTTTGACCTTCAGGTTGGCAGAGCATTTGGCGTTGGCTGCGGCGTATGCCACTTCTCCGGTCATCTGCACTTTGCAGTTGTACAGGATCAGAGTGTGTTTGCCTCCTTCCTCAATGATGTCCACATCCTGTCAGGACAACGTCACAAACACACACACACACACACACACACACACACACACACACACATGCGTTAGTGACAGCGGAGAGCTTTAAGTGTGTGTGTGTGTGTGTGTGTGTGTGTGTGTGTGTGTGTGTGTGTGTGTGTGTGTGTGTGTGTGTGTGTGTGTGTGTGTTTGTGTGTGCATGCGTGTGTGTGTGTGTGTGTGTGTGTGTGTGTGTGTGTGTTCTCACAGAGGACGGGCTAAGGACTTCTCCGTTCAGTTTCCACTGGCCGTGAATGTCGTCCTCTGAGATCTCCACCTCGAAGCGAGCCGTCTCTCCATCGAACAGCTCCACGCCGTAAATCGGACGAACCACTTTGATGTCACGAGCTGAGGAGGAGAAAATAAAAGAATATTAGAGAGAATAAAAATATGAAAATGTGATATGCAATGATGATTTTAAAAAATGCAGAAGTTTCAAATTTGAGAAATAATTGAGAAATAGTTTTAGAAGAAAACTAAACTGTGCTTTGACGTTCTTATAAAAACGAGCAGCTCAAAATAATGTTTAACTGTTGGGAAGAAATGCAGAGAAATTAAGCTACACATCAATCAAAAGAAGTCAGAAAAGATAAAGGGAAGAACTTTGAATATGAAAATGAGCAAATGATCAGGCTGTGGCTCAGTGGTAGAGTTGGTCGTCTCTCACCTGGAGGTCGGGGTTCGATCCAGTTATGAATGGATGAGTTAATACTGATGGACTCTTTACACAGCAGCCTCTACCATCAGTGTATGAATGTAAATGAATGGATTAGTTACTACTGAGGGACTCTTTAATCGGCAGCCTCTACCATCAGTGTGTTAATCCTGTTGAAAAACTCTGGTTATTTTAATCAAGTTTACCTTCGATGTTGAGGTTGGCCGCTGTCTTGTCTGTCCCACAGTCACATACGTATTTTCCTTTATCGCTCTGCTCCACCTTCTTGAGGACCAGAGACCTCCGCGTGCCCTCAGACTTCATCACCACCGTCTTGGAGGAGACGATCTCCTTCTCCTCTTTGTACCAGATGACAGGGACGTCTTTGCTCAGTTCACAGTCCAGACTGACCTCGTCTTTCTCGGTGGCCGTGTAGTCCTGTAGCTTTACCACGAACACGGCATCGCCCTCTGAGACACAACGAGACAGACACGAAGTCAGAATTAGGAAGGTTCCGATTGATTGACTGTTTACCTCGAGTGTTTCAAAGACTGAGCTGCTGCTCAAAGACATCACGATTAACTATTGAAAATGTAACCCTTAAATAAATCTATATGTTTGTCTTTTGTCCTTCTTATTTTTATGTTGTTTCTTTGTTTTGTTCTTACTGACAGGTTGCTCTCTTTAATATTTAGGTCTGTTGTCATTTCATTTTACAGACAGGAAGTGGTACAAATAAAATGACCTTAGCTTACCTTTGTGTTTTCAGTAATCTCGTTTGACTAAATGTTTTCCTTTAATCTTGGGATGTCAGTGTTTTCATCTTGAACAGGAGATCGTCAGATTGTAGAAATTAACCTGAATTTGATTTATTACTCAGCACAAAGGCAGCTATTTCTCTTTTCTTACTTTAAACCTTTGTTATTCTGAGAGACTTCAGACTTCTCAGAGCTTTTGAGAAAATGAAGTAAAACTGATTTATAATAAACCAGAACTTTAAATCTATATTGTAAGAGTCCTTATTAAAATATCCTGTATAATAATTAGGGGAGACATTTGTGCAGATGACACACACTGGATGAAATCAGAACAATCGTGTGTAAAGCTCTTCCTGTTGGCTGAAACAGTGAAAACAACAGACAGGTGAAATAAAAAGGAGGTGTGTTTTTACCTATCACCGTCAGTTTTGCCATGGAGTAAATTCCTTTGGCCTCTGCCTTAACCTGGCAGGTATCATCTAGAGACAGACTCCTCATTTCGAGGAAATGTCTCTTTCCTTCCACGTGTATGAGCACCGTGCGGCTCACGTGGAGTTTCACTTCATTTCGGTACCAAACCACAGGCACGCTGTCGTGCGACAGCTCAAGCTCAAAGCGAGCTGTTACACCTTCTTTCACCGTTTGGTCCTGAAGCTGCTGCACATATTTCAGCCTCATGCCTGCAATACATCGGGTCAGTGCAGACAGACAGGAGGGTTTGACACCAGCTGACACAAACATGGAGAGACAACAAAGAGGAAACATGGAGGCTGCGTTTGTCACCGACACTTACCTTCAACGGCCAGCTGAGCGCTGGATTTCTGACCCAACACCTCGATGGTGTACTGAGCCTCATCATCAAACTCACAGCTGTTTATGATCAGCATGTGTTTCCGTCCATCATCAATTATTTCATATTTAGGGCACGGGGTGACGATCTCCGCCCCCCTGAACCACATGACCTTTGACACCTCCTTGGTGATGGTGCATTCAAACTTAGCCTGTTTCTTTTCAGGCACAGAAACGTCCTTCAGCGAGTCAACAAAGCTCATCTCGATCTCTGCGAGGTGCGAACATTTCAACCATTATTTACAAAAGCAGCAACACAGCCAACACCTTCTCACCGTCTGACAGTCCTTCAGTTTCTGACTGACACAACGAAAGCAGCCACAAACAACAGGAAGCAGAGTGTGTGTGTGTGTGTGTGTGTGTGTGTGTGTGTGTGTGTGTGTGTGTGTGGGGGGGGGTAGCGTACCTTTGACAGTGAGCATGGCGCTCGTGACGGCGTTCAGAGCTTGATACGACACTTCACCAGCCTGATCCAGCTGCACGTTTTTTAGCGTGAGGAAACGCTTCTTTCCTTCAGATTTAATGTCACAGGTCTGAAAAACACAAGCGGTTTAATCTACAACACCTGTTTGACAAAGTCATGAAATCAACACATTTTTATTTTCTTTCAGTGAAGTAGCGGTCAAAGTTTCATCATTGTGGCGTATGTAAAATGGGTTCATTTGCTTTGTCTGCCGGAAGTTTGTTTTAATGAGACATTGGGCCTCATTCGCCGACAGTACTTCACACATGAATGATGGTTATTGCATCCTGTGCGTCTTTGTTTGTGTTCCTGAGTAACCATTCCTCACACTGCTGAATCAAACAGCTTGTTAGCTGCAGTCGTACTTCCACTTAACAACTCATCAAGTTTCTTCTCAGTTACCAGCCCGCTGCTCTGCTGGCGCCATCATGAGCGCTCTGATAGGCATCTCCCCAACCCTTTTTCTACCAGCATGTGTGTCTGCATGGCCCTGCACTCATGCCCTTTTATGGGCATTAGAGGGTGGTTACCTATACTAATTAGGAACAACATGCACGCGCTTTTAACTTACGAACACTTCGAACGATTCAGTCAATTAAGAACAAATTGGTGAATCTGACGGAGAGGCTTCTAAGAAATCTTCTGAACAACTTAAGGAAGATATCAGTGAATGGGGCCCAATGTTTCCGTCCCTCTGTCATCTGTCACTGTCATTTGAGTTTACATAAAAAAACATAAATATGTTTTAACAGGAACAGGCCCCAGGTTTCAAAGTACCACCTGTGAGATGTTTGTCTGATAGCAAAGCCGCTTTCAGTGAGTCAGATCAGTATACTCTGACTTCCTCCGTTTTAAATCCTTACCGGAGATCTCATCAGCACATTGCCTCTCAGTTTCCATTCTCCAACCACATCATCCTCAGATATTTCAGTGTCAAACTTGGCCTCCTCCTTCTCCACCACCTCCACGCTGGACAGAGGCTTCAGGATCTCAGCCTCGCGCTCTGAAATAAAACAAAGACATGAAACTCAGCACTTTATGGAAAGGTTCCTCAGTCGCTTTTCTGTTTTTGGACTTTTAACACAAACCTCCAAGAGTGAGCTTGGCTGTGTATCTGCGATCCTCCACCTCGATGGTGTAGTCTGAGACGTCATCTGGCTGGCAGTTTTTGATAGTGAGCGTCATGTCCTTTCCATCTTTGTTGATCTCCACTTTGTCAGAAGGCGTGAGCTCGTTCTCGCCTTTGAACCACTTCCAATTGGGAGTGTCCTTGAACAGCTCACATTTGAACTCGGCCTTGGCCTTGGGTTTGACGTGCTGGTCTCTCAGAGGCTTCACCAGCCAGTCTTTGATGATTTCTGAGCACAGAGTGGTCAGGGTTTTTAGTTTAGGAGCCATGAAAAGATTGTTTCACATATTTGAAAGATCTATAGTGTCAAAAAAGCACTGAAGCTCTAAAAAAATATGAAAGAATGAGTTCATTAACAATTGAAGCAAACTTCTGCACACTGTCTATGTTTTTGAGAACCAGAACACTGCCAATGTATTTGTGCAATTCAGACAGCGTGCAAGAGGTTGGCTGCTAATTGTTGATCGTTCCAAACAAGAATGACCCAATATTAGTCGTCAGGAACTTCAATTTTTGTTGCCATGGTATCAAACAGGTAACGATACCATTTGATTTCTACTAGAATGATTTCAATGATTAAAGTCATGACAACACCAGGGTACAAAACGTGTTTAATGACACATAGAATGTTGTTTTCTCATCTCATCTTCGATGTTGTCGTGGTATCACAAATCTTGTGAACTGTTCACTTCTACAACATGCTAATGAATGCTTACCGATTACTTTAACCTGGGTGGTCGTCTTGACGTCCTCCTGTCCTTCAACCTCACACGTGTAGGCGCCGGCGTCCTCATCAGTGGCATTCTGGATGGTCACGGCGTGCTGCATACCAATGATATTAATGGCCACTTTTCCAGCCTTTTTCTTAAGGACAGCGCCGTTACGCTTCCAGATCACGTCCCTCTCTTTGTTCAACTCACAGGTCAGATACATGGGCTGACTCTTCATACACGTCGTCTCTGGTTCCAGTTCTTTCAGCCATTTAACGGGCAGCTCTGTGAAAAGATATCAAGCCAATAAACATCAGTGTTCAGAACAATGACCGCTCCGGTTTACTTATACAATACCATACCTGAGAGTACCTTTTGACTTCCATAAAGAGCTGGATTCTCAGTCAATAAAACAAGTCATACTTGTCAAATACTTTCAGTGCTGCGAAAATGTTTGTGGATAGATTAACCTCGTTAGTTTACCTTCAACGATGAGCTTGGCGGTGCACGTTATTTCCTTGCCGGCGTTCTTGGCCACACAGGTGTATTCACCCATGTCTGACAGCTGAACGTCAATAATGGCCAACTTGCGATCTTTGCCGTCAGCAGAAAACTTGTGCTTGGGACCCTCGCGGAGATTGCTGCCATCTTTCATCCAGGAGGCAATGGCAGTGGAGGGCGAGACCTCACACTCGAAGACAGCAGACGAGCCAATAGACTCGGCCTCCTGCAGCACGATGTCCTGAATCTTCTTGATGAACTTCAGAGGGACTGCTTTGAGCTTGAACCCTCCGAAGGGTTCCTCTGGTGGTGACGGACCTTTTCCACCAGGCTTCAGGCCTCGGCCCCGCCCACCATCACCAGGAGACGGGGTCTGTCTCGCTAAAACATCACATACAAAAACTCATCAAGTTAGTTTCACATGTAATTATGGGGGAACCAATCAGACTCTGGACAATGGGATGTTTGAAGACTTTGTGCCTACCGTAACTTATCCGTCATTCAGTTGTTAAAACCAGCAGTTTAAAGTGTTAGCATGTAAAGAATGAAAGATTCTGTTTAGACATGCAGCGTCGCTCTATGTGAGCTTCAGACAAGATACTCTGGTGAAGCCCAAACACAAGAAAACAAAGAGAAAGAACCAAACAAACAACACGCACAGACAGCAAGACAAGGCAACCTCCAGCTACTCTGAAGCTTATTGGCTGAACACAAAGATGACCCAGCTGTTTTTACACATCATGTGGCTGTTCAAACGTGGGACTGCAGAACAACCCTGCTTTGTCTTGTTTGGGCCTTAATAGTCAAAGAATGTGACGTCCTGTTGACGGGATGTTGTCAGTGTGGTTTTAAGAAAAGGCTGAGAATCCATCAAATCGTTTGATACTAGTTTCCTAATTTCTGGACCGAAACAACAAACTTTGTTTCTATAGAAAGCTGTTGTGGATCCAAATAACTTTTCTGAGTAAAATGGACTCAAACTAGAAACTTTTCCTGAAAAATAAAGTCAACAAGATTACAAATCTTTTGTTGACAGAATTAAACACAACACACACACTTGCAACACATATTCGCTTTGTACCGAAAAGTGAGAGTTCAGATATCCACCCTCATGTTGTGTGACATTAAACTCAAGATTTAAGACTAAATACAGAGCAGTTGTTTGGTTTAGTGAAAAGAACAAGACTACCAAACAACAGTGAAGAGATTATTTTTCACAAAGAGCAAACCGTTAGTACACAGGGTTTTAATTTCACTTATTCATACCCCCAAATCCTCGGCCTCTGCCTTTTGGTGCCTCCTCTGATGGTTTTCCATCTGGATAAGAAATAATAGGATTATTTTCTCTGATAAAGCTCAGTGTGGAGGTTACTATTCAAAAGATAAAAGCAAACACGCTAAATTAAACTCCACAACAACAAGAAAGGGGCGTCACATGGATGATGAGATGGAAAAAGATGGAGGGAAACCTTTGACAAATTGATAAATAATAAGTAAAGATGATCACAGGGACGATAATGGATGGAAGAACAAGCTGAAAATCCAAAGTGATGGTGAACGACATGAAGATGAACATTGAATACTTAATGATCGACGTATGACATGTTTGAGGACAGATGATAAAATGATGGATGACATGACAACAGCAGGACGGACAGATGGATGGACAGATGTTTGATTTCATGATCTCTAGCTGATCTGATGGATCACATGATGAATGCGATGAAGATTAGACGAGTCATTGGAGATGGATGATGGCGCTCCAGAATGATTCGATGAAGATGGGTTTTGTTGGACTGCATCTCACCTCGTTTTCCACCCGGGACCACCGGAGTCTCCCGAGCCCCATCCACCCCTTCAACTTCCCAGTCATCTGAGGGAACCAGCTCCCATCCCCAGGCTTCCTCTTCTTCCTTCGCCTCCTCTTCCTCTTCAAACACCTCCTCTTCAGGCTGGGTGGGAACCTTCTTCATCTGCACGGCTCCAGGAGAGACCTCCTTCACCAATGGGACCCGTCCTTTACCAGGCCTGTCTGGTTCTGATGCCTCCTCTGGGGTCGGCTTCTTTGGGACCTTTTTGAGCGTCACAGCTTCGACTGAGTCTTTTGGGGAAACTGTTTTAGGAATCCGTTTGACTTTTTCAGCACTTGGCTTCGGCTCTATGGGGACCTGCTCCGGTTCTTTTTCTTTGGGTTTTGGCGAAGGTGTCTTTTTAAGCTCGACCTTTTTCAGTTGTTCGATAGGCTTTAGAGGCTTTTCTTCTTCCACTTTGTCTCTACCGACTCTGGGAGAAGGAGTCTTTTTCAGTTGGATACCTTTCTTTAAGATGTCTGTTGGTTTTGATGGGATCTCTTTCTCTGCTTGTTTCTGTTTTGGTGGACTTGCCTTCTTTTGTGAAACAGCCGGTTTCTCTCTCTCCTGAGGTTTCTCGTCCTCTATTGTAGGAGTTGCGGTCTTATCAACTTTCCTGAGCTGCTGTTCTTTCACATCTTTAGGAATGTCATCTTGTGGAGTTTGGCTGGGGACATTGGTGTCTGCAGGCTTCTTCTCCCCTTCTTCAGATTCTGTTTCCTGCTTTTCTTCAGGTTTGGTGTCGTGTGTGAAAGGCTTCAACACAACCTGCTCTTTCTCTTTGACTTGTTTGGTAATGGTTTTAGGTTTTCCCCGGAGCTTGTCGGTGGCTGCTGGTTCCTCATCGTGGACTTTATCAGCCTTTTTCACCTGCGGGGTCTCCTTCTGGTCTTCACTGACTTCAGGAGTTCCTTTTGGACTCCTCGTGGGAGTGTCTTCATCTTTCTTGTGTCTAACAGCAGCAGAGGGTTGATCTCTTTGTGGTGTCTCAGCTCTCTTGAATGGAGTGCATTCAGTATCTGTCTTTGCTTCACCTTTGTTCTTAGCTTTTGGAGCTTCAGCTGCTTCTTGTTTCTGAGGTTTTTCAAATGGTTTCAGTGTCACTTCTTCTTGGTCCTCATCTTTCTTTGGCAACTTCTTTATTTTCTTTTTAGTTAAATCTAGCTCCTCTTCATCTTTTGGGAATTTAGGGATTCGTATCCATCTAGATTTTTCTTCTTCTGGCTCCAGTTGTTCAGGTTCCTCCAGATGCTTCATTTCAGACGTCTCTTCAGCTGCAGTGAAGACTCGTTCAGTTCTCCCGAGTGTGAGGACCTCTCGATCTTCTCTGTCCCGGAGCTTCTGAACAGTCAGTTCGGTATCGAAATGCCTCACCACTTCAACCTTGTGAGTAATGACTTCCTTCTCAGGCTCTTTGAGTTTGGTCGGCACCTTTTTTAGTTTGATTCCTTGTGGTTCTTCTTCTGGTTTTCCTGATTTTTCAGACGGTTTCAGTTTGACTGACTCTTTCTTCTCATCTGTCTTTGGCAGTTTGGTTATTTTCTTCTTCTCGACCTTAGGCACCTCGGGTTCTTCCTCCTTCTGTGGTTTTGGAGTTCTTGTCCATCCTTCTTTCTCTGCTTTCGACACAACTTCATCTCTTTCAGCCTCCTCAAAATAGTCAAACTGAACCGTCTCTTCCTCTGCGGTGAAGACTCGTTCAGTTCTTCCGAGTGTAAAGATCTCTCGATCTTCTCTGTCGTGAAGCGCATGAACTATCAATTCCTGGTCTTGATGCCTGGTCACTTCTGCTTTATGAGTTATGACTTGCTTCTCAGGCTCTGGAGATTTCACTGGAACCTTCTTCAGCGTAATGACCTCTGGTTCTGGTTCCTTCTCTTTGGGTATTCTGGTGAGCTTACTCTTCTTCGGTGATTCAGGTGTTTTGGTCTCTTGAACCGGAATCTTACCCTTTTGCTTAAGAGCTGGCACTGTGGTTTAGGCAGTAAATACATGTTTTATACCATGAACATAAAGACACACAAAGCACTGGAACATGAACATGAAAAACAACAGAAAACTGTCATTTATGAGAGAATGTATAACTGCCCGTACGAAGTAAAGAAGCCAATATTTGTATACCTTTAGTCGGCCCAGGCGCTGAAACTGGTCCCTTGTCTGAAAGAATTTGAATGAGATAAATCTAAGTACACATGATACAAACAGTCTTATAGAAGAAGGAATAATTCAGGGTCAAAGAAGATGTGTTTTTTTCAGACAGACAAAGCCTTGAGTCAAGAAGGTGTGGCATGCTTTTGTGCAGAATTTCAACGATTAGGTTGACTCCAGGTAAGTTAAATCCAGACGCATCCGGAGATGTTTGGCCTCTTTTGAAAGATACTGTTAATATATAGATGTGGATCGGGTTGGGTTGAGGACTGAACTTTTATTTAGGTTTCGACAAACACCAGACCAGGACATGAAGACAGGATTGGACAGTGAACACATTTCATAAAAGAAAGCTCAGATTGATTTCAAGACATAAGAACTCATCAACGTACTAGATAAACAGATCGATGAACAGGATGAACAGTTAAAGGGATGTTACCTTCAGGGGGAGGGATTTCCTCTGATGCAGGAGAACGCTCAGCCTTTACGGCTGGGGGAGATGGTTTCTTCTCCATCGGTGATACTTGATCTACAAGAACGCCAACTTGATTAAATCACTGGCAAAGATCTGATTATCAAGAAACAACTGACAGATAATGAAACAACACAAAGTTAAAGATTTCAAACCTACACAGTTCTGAGAGGCAGGACAGACAGAAACTGAAACACTGATGACAAACACAAGAAAATACCTGCTGGAGAAACCACTTTTTCTACAGGAACCTTTGGTGTTGGTGGAGATGGTTTCCTGTCCTCTGGAGGAGACACTTAGGAGTAGAAGATACCAAAGAGAATGACCAAGAGGGCAGAAGATGTGAAAGTGATAAGACATTAAATGAGAGGACAGGTTAAAGACGTTAAAAGGAAAGAAACATGAACATCACAGACTGTTATCTGAAACAAAGCAGAACATTTAAAAACACGGTTCGACAAAAAGAGGACAGAATGAACGTAAAGAACTACCTGCAGGAGGAGCAACTTTGGCTGCAGGAGCTGAAGGGGCTGAAGGCTTTGGTGCTGGTGGAGATGGTTTCTTCTCCTCAGGAGGAGACACTTTGGAAATACAAGATGCCAAGATCATGACCAAGACAACAACACGGTCAATTAAGACAGACAGATGCACTGAAACAATGCAAGAAAAGACTGGAACACAGTGGAGAGCAAGTGAAATGGTAACAAAAAACAAAGAGCACAAAGAAAGTTGAGGGCAACTTATGATCATCCAGCAAAGAGAAAAATCAGCAAACACATATATTCACAACGACAGACAAAACCAAGGATAACAACTACCTGCAGGAGGAGCTACTTTCTCTGCAGGATGAGGAGCTGAAGGCTTGGGGACTGGCACAGATGGTTTCTTCTCCTCTAGGGGAGATACTTTGGAAATACAAGACGCCAAGGTCATGACCAAGAAAAGATTAGGCTTGGTCAAACATAAACAGTGACACAAAGAGCAAATGACATGAATCTGGAAACATTCAAAACAGTAAAACCAAGACAAACAAACCAACTGACAAAAGAACAACATGGCTGACTCTTGATGAGCCAGCAAAAGAGAGGAAAGTACACAGAGAACAGACTACCTGCAAGAGGAGGAGGATGAGAAGGTTTTGGTTTTGGTGCTGGTGCAGATGGTTTCTTCTCCTCTGGAGGAGACACTTTGTAAATACAAGATGCCAAGATCACGACCAAGACAACAACACGGTCAATCAAGACACATTCAAGACTTAAAGAGGATTTAAATGAGGTGACAAGATATGAAGGTAAAACCAAACAACAGAAATTAAAGATGTCATTAGACCAATAATGGTTCCTTAGTGCATGGTATATGTTATGTTAGTAACGTCTCACAATGAAGATGGACACGAGACATGAAGGTTATTGTGGTATCTCTTTAAAGAGGGGTTGATCTGATGGCGATCATAAGCCTGTACGGCTCAAACAAGAAAGAGTACCTTTCTGAAGAGTTTGTTCAGTCTTCTGTAGCCCCTTCTTTGGTTCTTCTTTAATTTCAGTTGTGGTGGTTCTAGCAGATTCAGATAAGTCCACCTCTGGGGTGAAAACTTGTTGTTCCAGAGATGCTGGTTCCTTTGATAAAAGAGTTTCTTCTTTGGGGGAAAGAGGTGTCTTCTGAGGTGGATCTAGAGGTCTGGTAGTCTGGCACACATTGTCTTTAGTGATTGGTTTCTTTGCTTGAGTGGCTTTGTCTTGGGAAACATCTTCTACAGGAGGTAACACTATTTTTGGAAGGGCAGCAGAGGTCTTCATTGAAGTGAGGGCAGAATCTGTGAAGGGTGGAGTATCCTCCATAGGACCGACCATTTTCTCAGCTGAAGGAATTTTAGCAGGAACTGGAGGCGACACTTTGCTACTTGCTGGGACGGGTTCTTCATTTGACACAGGAGATGATTTCATATCAGCTGTAGGAGGTCTTGTTATTTCTTTCAGAAGAGACTCCCTCTTTGTTAGGGTAATCACCTCTGTTTTGGGAGGAACTGTTGCCATTGGATGAGAAAGGGATGATTTGGGGAGAAACTCTTGTTCAGGCTTAGCTGGAACTCTTTCTTTATGAGGCACGATTCTTTCAGATTGAATTTTTTCCACTTCATCAGACTGAGCTTTTATGAAACTGACTTCTTTTGGCACTTCAGACGCCTTTGGTACAGTGATTTCATTTGGCGTCTTGGATATTTTATATTCAAGATCCTCAGTTTGATAGACAGTTTCTTCTTCATGATGTATTGATATGAATGATTCAGAAACCTCTTCTTGCTCCACATACGTACAGGAAATGTCAGCTTCCTTGAGTTTCTTTTCTTGGTGAGTTTTCTTGTAAGATGATACCTCTCTTTTGGTTGTGAATCCAGCAACGTCCTCCTCTGTAGGCCGGCTTTTGTCAGGAGGAGGGATTACGTCTGTCTTTGGTGGAAGGACGAAGGCTTTCACTAAAGGTGGAGACACAGATTTCTGGTCAGCTGCTGTTTCATCTGGATAAGAGTCATCTTCATCTCCGTGTCCTGTGTCCTGTAGGTCTTGAGCTTCATATTCTGTGTGTGAATGCTCAGTTTCTTCTCGCGGTTCAGTGCCTTCGACTCGCTGATCTTCATTGTACCATGTAGACACCTCTTCCTCTTCCTCTGCACGAACCCTTTGTTGTATTATCTCCATTTTCAAAGCGTTGTCTTCTCTTACAGTCGACTCCCAGAGCTCCACTCCCCTCTCAAACCTCCGGACTTCTTCTTGTCTGTGTCCAACTTCTTCTGCCAGACACATTTGTTCTTCTGGACCCTTCCTTAAAGAAATCTCTGCTCTGTCTTCAAGTTCTAGTGCTGTTTGTTTAAGACCAGTCTTAAGGGGGACTGGGGTTGTTTTTAAGACAGGACCCAAGATTGAAGATTTGCACCATGTAGCGGTGGCCAAGAGAAAAACAACACAAGACAAAACTATCAAAACACAAAAACACGATTTCATTTTGGTATGTGTTCTGCTGGGATCCTTAATCTAAATCTAAACTGAACATTTTGAAAATCATACCTCTCTGTTGAGAAGTTTCTTTAGACTTTGGTTGGACTGCTATTCCAGAAGGGTCAACCTCGTCTGGATTCAGGAACAGATAATCACAACCAGTCAGTCTACAAGAAACTCTGCTGACTTTCTAAATGTACCTGAGAAGATGCAAATTTGGGCGTACCTTTGGTGGGTGCACCTGCCTCCAGCTGTGGTGTGATTAGTGCTGTTGTGTTCTGAGGTACCTCCCTTTGTTTTACTGTTTTCATAACCAATATGGTGGCGCAAACACATGACAGCACAGACATCAGGACACAACCATGACACATTAGCTCAAGATAGACCAAACAAAGAAGTCAAGTTAGAAGATCAAGAGGGGTGAGGATTAGTTTGAAGAGGTTTGAACTTGTTGAAGACATATCTACCTTGTTGCTGAGGCTTTTTAGCTGGAGGGATTTGTCTTGGTGGTTCCAAATCTGGCTCTAGTGGCAGATCCATAACTATTTTGTGTGCCACTGGAACCTTCTTTTGGGCTTCAGGAACCTTCTTTGTTTCTTCCACAACTTGTTTTGTTTTTTGTGGTACCATCTTTTTGTCTTCTGGAACCTTTTTTGGTGTTTCTGGAACCTTCCTTTTCTCTTCTACTACCTTCTTTGGTTCTTCCGGTAACTTCTTTGGTACCTCAGAAACCTTCTTTGGTTCCTCGAGTACTTTCCTTTGTTCTTCTGGAACCTTTTTGGGCGTTTCTGGAACCCTCTTGGAGACTTCAGAAACCTTCTTCAGTTCTTCCAGGACCCCCTTAGGTGTTTCTTGAACCTTCTGTGGTTCTTCCGCTTTGGTTTCAGAGATATACTTTGGTGCTTCTGGCTCAGGTGTCTTTGGTTCTGTGATAACTTTGAAGAACATTTTTAATAAGATGTTCATCTTGTAAACATGATTTTTGATCAAATCAAGTGCAGTCACACTCTATCGAGTGCTGAGCATCTTCAAAGAATGTTTGACATCACATAACATCAAAGAAACAACACAAAAATAAAACCACAAAGAAGCCTGGTCACAGCATCTTCATAGTACCTGCAGTTGGAGCAGCTTCAGCCTTTGATGGAGAAGGTTGAACCACAGGCTCCTCTGGTCTGGTAACATCTTGTACTTAAGAGAAATGTATGCATTGTTTCACCAACAGGTAATCACCAAGGCTAACATGGCATCAAAGATTACACTCTGAACGAGCGAAAGACGATATAAGAGGACATGAGGACGATTCCAGACATTATCAATCGATACCTCTAGCTGGAAGACGCTCCGGTGTTGAGGGAGAAACCTTCACTGCAGGTTCATCAGCTCTTCGTACTTCTGGTGCTTTAAAGAACATTTTAAAGAGTAAATCTTTGTTAACCTTATAGAAGTCAGAAAGGCTTTGACATTAGTGTCCACTCTGACGAGTGTTTCACACAAATCTACAAGCCTGAGATCACAAAACACACAACACATGACATCACAGGTCACAGAGGTCAAAGAAGTAGAAAACACTGCCTCTCCTGCACTGTTTCTTAATCTTACTCCAGTCTTTGATGGAGTCATCTGATTGGCTGAACTATGACTTCCTCTGGTTGGGTTTGTTCTACTGCTAACACATTTATAAAACAGTAGAAAGTGTGAGCTTCATTATTGACACAGCAGAGCCACGACCTTCCCGTTTAGAGTTAGTTTGTAAAGAGATGATAACGAGCACAAACACATGTTACTCAAAGATCCAGCTCAAGAGGTTAGCAGTGAAGACATGATGCTTAAAGCTTTAGATCACAGCAATGTGAAAGACTAAGAAGGACATTGTGTAAAAATGTCTTCAGGTGATCATTTACTACTTTACCTTTAGGTTTTGGTGCTTCAGGTGCTCTCTTCACAGGTTCTACTTTGGGTTCTTGAGGCTTCAGTTTGGGTGCGGTTGGCTCAGGGGTTTTTTGGGGGGCTACTTTAGGCTCAGGAGGAACCCTTTGAGGCTCCTCAGGTGGAGCAGGTGGAGGAGTGACCTTCCCAGGAACAGTCACTAGCTCTTGTTTGGGCTGCGGTTTGGTGTAAACTGAAGGTTCTTCATGATTAAAAGAGAAAGATGGCCGAGAGTCAACAGAGAGCACACACAGCGTCAAGAGAGAAAGAAGGCACAGAGGGAACAGAGAAAACATGAAACATATAAGGACGCACACACAACCTGATAAACGGACGCACAGACAGAGAGATAGATGGACGGAATACAATCATCTATAGACAACATGAAGTTATGAAGACAAGACTGGAAGAAGATAACAAAAGATTGATCCAAGAGGAAACAAAGAAAGAATTGTTTTAAATATTGAAAGACAAACTGGTTCACATTTCATGCAAAATTCTATAAATGTACAGATAAACAATTCAAGTTTTATAAAAAACTACTGATATAGAAATAAAATGTGTTTAAAAATGACCAAAAACTAACATGTGTTAGGATGGTCTTGTGTTCTTGGTTTGTAAGTCCGTGTTTGTTTGTTTTTAAATTATGAACAAAATGGAAAAGATTTCTTCTTCATGTGTTTCATTGAATAAATCTTTAAGCATTGAAACCAAAATCTGTGTTCTTACAGAAGCCCTGAGCCCTTTTATTAAACTGCATTTCCCCGTGATAACGAGGAACTTCTGTTTTTTTTATCTCCACAAAAGCGACGTAGTTTCCCTGACATATTCGAGCAGACATCAAGAGAAAAAATTACTAAAAATTCAAATCAAATCTCTTAATGCTCGTCGGCTTCCTTTCTTTGTGACGTTCTTTGCAATAATTAAAAAATTAAGACTTCCTGCATGAATGTTTTCTACTTAATGTGCAGAAGAAGAAGAGTCGGCACACTTCTGCACTTTGACCCTTGACCTGTGCATATCTACTCTGTATGTTATCTTTGTGTCTGTGCTTTATGAAGTGTTTGTGACTCCTGAAGGATTATCTGTGCGTGTCATGTTAAAGAACGAAGAGTCCGAGTCGATGAAGACTCAAGAGCAACAGACAAAGACAAACAAGAGTAACAAAGTTTACCTGCTGCGCTCAGAGTTTCCTCCTGCCACGACTGAGCCGACACGGTCCCATCAGGCTGCAGTTTCATCGCCTCAGGTACTTAAAAATATCATCATCATCATCATCAGTTCTCTGATCACAACTAACATGAAGAATGCTTAATGAAAAGGTCATGAAGAGAAACAGGAACACAAGAAGAGGGTCTCAAAAACAAGAGACAAAGGACACAAAGGTGCACGGGTAAGAAAAAAAAAAAAACAGACTGGTGTGAAAAGGAGAGAAGGTGAGATACCTGTGAAGGAGACTGAAGACAGCGCTGCAGGCTCAGAGAGTTTCTCCTCTGCTCTCCTGTAACCCTCAGGAGCTTCAAAGATCAAGAAAGTTCACATTAAAACGATGACAGATCAACTTCACACCGTCTACACTACAGGAAGCTTCAGCGAGGGTTAATAAGAGCGAGGAGGCGGTGGACGAGTGAAAAACAAGAAACATGAAGAAGAGTAAGGAAACAGTCCGAGAGCACATACACTGAAGAGAAGCGTCTATGAGCTGCTGAAGCCGTGAACAATAAACCAAGAGGGCAGACAAACACGGTGGTGAGCAGAGTGGTGGTTTTGATCAGCTTCACTACGCTGCAGCCACAAGCTTTATGGGAAACAGCCAGCTTGCTTTTTATTTCAAAATCAGGGATTTATACCTTGAGGGGTTCCTTCTCTGCTATCCAACTGAGTCCTCTCAATTATTTCCTCCACAGGTTTTTTCTCTTCTGGTGAAGGAGAAAAGTGAGCTTAGACCAAAACATCGTGAGTGACACGTGACCACTGACACGGGTCTCTATCTGTCTGCAGGTTTACTGCGATTAATCAAGTGAGGAAACATGTAGATGAAGATAGAGGACAGATACAGACACATGAAGAAGGAGACGCAGACGGACAGACAGAGTGAAGATGGAGGTACTTTATAAAACAGAACCATCAGCTGTTAGATCTGAGCTCCAGAACATCATCACTACATGTTTGAACTCAGTACAGATGAGGAGTCCGACAACGACACACCAGAGATCTGCCATTCATCTCAAATCTGATGTCAGCTTTAAACAGCAGTCTGAAGTTTGTCACATTTTGATAAAACAGATTATCGGATTTATTTTCATTCAAATGTCACATATTCTCCTCCTCATCAACCAGTGTAAATAAGTCTCAGAGCTCGTCAAAACATGTGTGTGAAGTTTCTTGTTCTAAATCCACTCTGATCCTGTATTTGATCATGCCTATAAACCCCTCTATTGCAGCCCTGCTCAGAACAGGCTGTTTCTGTGTCTGTACCTTTAAATGTAAATGAGCTGTGTCTGACCACGCCCCCTCTCTGGAAGGGCTTGAGTTTCTCAGGCTTTCTCGCTCCATGTCCTATTGTTTACGGTGAGAAGGCAGACTCAGAGGGCAGAACAAACACCTAGCTGTGGGAGTGTCACCCACCTGGGGGAGGGGTTACTGCCCTTCTTGATGTCATTAAGGGGAAATCGCCAAACAGTCTGTTTGAGCACACATTTTCTGAAAAGTGGAGCAGGAAAAAGACGGAGAGGATGGACTTTTCTCATCATTGGGGGGTTTGTAGACAGACTAGAGACACATATAAGAATTAGAGGAACATGGTGAAGTAGATTTTTAATAATATGTGACCTTTAAATGTTTATAAATTTGATTTGAAAATCTCAAAAGATAACATTTTTGCATTCAGCCTGTGTTCAATTAAAAGGCTTAGAATTTGAAAATCCAGGTCTGGATGAGAAAGGGTGACTAAAGACTTAAAGGGGGCGCAGGTAGCCTAGTGGTTAGTGTGCACCCCCCATGCACTGAGGCTGTAGTCCTCAAACACTGAGATTAATTCCTTCCATAATTATTTTTGAGTTCACAGAAATGTGACTGAAGTCAGATTTGAATTCTTGATTTGAATTTAATGACAGATTTTGAAAAGCAGTCTTGAAACATTTGATTAAAAATTATTTTCAGAGTTCCTAATGTGGCCGTGATCCTCATCTGTACGTCTGTTTTCATGTCCTGACATTTGAAATATGTCTTTAGAGAAGGTGGAAGAATTAAAGTTGTTATGGCAGATTATTGTCAGGAGGGAGGACGGCTGTAACGTTCACTCGGTTATTTTGGACGATGGAGGAGGTTAAACTTCAGGACGGGGGAGGGGCACACTTTCATATTAATATTGAAGTCACAATTTTATTCACGCAAAATCAGAATTCAAAGTGATTTTAGTAAATGTGAATTATTCCTTTATGTACCTTTGACTTGTGTTCGTTCTTCGTACTGATAAAACTCAGCAGAATCTTTTGTAGAGAAACATTTAAGAGTGAGTGATTTCTGTGTAAAAGTGTTAAAGAGGGAAAGTTTGTTTGATGAAAGCGTCCCAGACTCACCTCGGACCACCATGGAAGACGTTTGTGACACGTGAACCGATGAGTCTGGGACGTCTGAAGGTTTTTCACAAATCAACATCAGTTCATGTTGAAGTCAAATATTCGACTGTTTTATGACAGCAAAACTTCACAGTTTCTCCATTTTACAATAAGTGTTTAAACATATCAACAATCTGAGTGTCTCTGAACTTTGAAGCTCCGTGAGTCTCAGAATAACGGAGTGAAGGTTTCCTCTCGCTGGTCTGAACCTGAAGACTTGTTCAGTTTTACTGTCATAAGTTTGAGTGATTTGAAATACTCACCCTGAGGAACCCTTCCTAACCCAATCTCTGTAAAGGACAGGGTACAGAATGTTATTTTATCTGAAGTTTTGGTTTGAACGTCAGAGACTTCTGCTGTGTGGTGGCGTGTACACACCTTTGCCCGACAGGTAAAGCTCAGCGGTGCTTCGAGCTTCTCCGGTCGTTTCCAGACGAGCAATCACCGAGTAAATGCCTGACAGATTGAGGACAGTATGACGCTGATTATTACCGTTTGGTGTTCAGCAAGAGCTCACTTCTTAAGCTTCAAACGTCACATCAAAAATATTCATATGCAATTAAATGTGCTGCCAAAAGGTCCGTTAACCATCAACGTCTTTATCCCCGTACGCTGATGACCCTCTGTTCTACGTCTCATCTAAAGATCCTGTGAGGAGTTTTAGCTGTTTATGAAAAAGACTGAACGTAATACTGATGACTTTTCATGACCTTAAAGAGTAAATTAGACCCTCAGCAAAAAGACGGACCATTTTTCTTTATAGTTTGTTTTTAATATTTGGAACCAATCTGAGGGGCGGTTAGCTGGAGGGCTAACCAACCGCCTGAAGCACAACAGCTTTGGTTTCTATGGCAACGATTCATGATGAGTGATTAATTTAACTGATTAAATTCAGCAGTGTGAGATTGTTTTGTGTTTATAACAATAATTACACAGAACAGGGCAAAGTAAGCAAAGAGGTAAGAGGTCCCCCCTCCATCCACAGGGGGCGCTCAAAATCGACAAAATACAAAAGTTCCTCACAGGAGCTTGTAATCTTAAGAACCTCATGAAGGTTGTGTACTAACACTGATAACAAGTCGCTCTTTCAGTCATGGACTCTCAGGCTCTGTAACTTAAACTTCAGTAACATTTAGTCTCAACAAGCCATCAGCTGTGATTTAACGCTAAACCTGCACGATGTAATAAATCATTCAATACGTCAGGACTGTACAGCCCTCAAAGTTTCACCTCTGAAACAGAATATTTGCTTTTCCTTTTGTGATTAAACATAAAATAAAATCTGTCCATGGTGATGAGATCTGAACTCTTCTGTTCACAAACCTTCGTCCTTCGGAGTTACGTTGCGGATGGTCATAAAGTGCTGGCGCCCCTCGGTCCTGAAGTTATATTTTGTGCTCTCTTTGAGCTCCCATGAGTCTTTGTACCAAGTCACGTTGGCATTGTCAAAGGCCAACTCGCACTCGAAGGTGGCAGCAGGGCGTTCGTCCACCAAGATACTTCGGATGCTTTTAGTGAACTGAATTTGTTGGGCTAAAATTAAACATTCAGAGTTAACTTCCCATCTTCAGATTTGTGTTACGTTTAAACATGGCATCCTGATTAGAGGTTATTATGTTTAGAAGATACTCATCTTTGGTTTGTTTTTATATTTACTTTACATTTAAGAGACACAGAGACACAAGAGAAACAAGAGACACAAGAGACACAAGAACTTCACATTACACGAGAATGACGTCATCCTGTGAACCGGCAGGCTCAAAGAGGTCAGTGTGGGTTCGGTTAGTCTGGAGTCAAACGGCTTACCTGTCCTGTAAACAGCTGCTGATAATAAAATGGACATGTTACAGACGTACAAACAAGCGTCCGTCAGGGCGGACAGGAACTCCAGACGCTCTTACCTGTCACGGTGAGCTTGGCGTTGGAGATGTGAGGTCCACACACCACGCGGTAGTTGCCCTGATCTTTCACCATGCAGTTCTTGATCTTCAGGCAGTGGCGGTCGCCCTCTGTGCTGATGTCGTACTTATCGCTGCTGTCCAGCTTCTGCGTGCCCTTGTACCAGGTGAGTGTGATCTCCGGGTAGTTGATCCGGACCCGGCACTCAAAGGTGGCGCTCTGGTTCTCAGCTGTCGTCTGGTCCGTGATGTCCTCAAGCACGGAGACGGGCTGAGGATTCAGATTGATGTTTAATCTTGTAGAGATCGTAAAGTTTTCACGGATAAAACATTCTGATAAACATGTCTAAATGTTGAGTTTATACGGACGCAGGTTTGTTGTCGGAGGCGGGGCCATCTGAAGACTTTTCTATGTTTATTTAGATTAAACTAAATCTCACAAAAGACGAGTTGGGAAGAACAGGATGATGTGCTTTTCATAATAATGTTAAAGAAATTAAAACAGAAAAACCAAGCTGCAATATCAGTTCAAACAAGTTCTCATAAAGTCCCTTTATGTTTGAAAACTGATCAACATGAACCACAGACTTTAAAAACCAGCAAAAATAAGGACAGATATAATTAATTCATGTAATTAATCATGAATGTAAAGCTCTGAAATGGACACAAACAACTAACTTAAACACTGAAACTGAAATAATCAACATTTTAGGTCAAAAAACAAACATCGGGCCATGAGACAGTTTATTAAACTCAAGACTCTAAAACAGACAGAAATAACATTTAAATTCTATAAAACTGACGGGATAAATGAGTTAAGGCTCTGAGCTGATTAAACACATTTAAAGCTCAGACAGAAGAACTAAAGAATCTAAATGAACAGACTCAAACTCAATCTGCTTTCTCAATAGAGATCTGTGTTTTATTCATGTAGTGCTTCATCCCTCTCCTCTTTTTGATTTAAAGCTCTTTAATCAAATATTTCATGCCGATACTTTGCCGTGTAAAAACCACGGTGTGGGGTGTTACGGGGTTGTTGGTTACCTCGGTGCCGACACGTCCCTCCAGCTGTGTGATGAATCGAGCCATGTCCGCCTCATCGACCCGGCCGCCATGCTCCACTTCCTGTAGGCGGAAGGTCAACAGCTCAATAAAGTGACTAAAGTTCTCCTCGCATAGTGATAGGAAGCGGAAATACTAAACAGCTGATATTATTTGAGTCATGAAGCCTTGATCCAGACATGGGCGAAGAGAGAAGCTCATCTTAGTGCAATCAGGAATTACTTTTATTTGATATAATAAGCTTCTCCTTCTGTTTATCTCTGTGCTGCTGCAACATGCAAGCAATACTTTATATGTAACTTTGACCTCTGGTGTTTAAAAAGGGTACTACAGTCCAAATTCTAAACATTACAGAGAGCTGTCTCCCCCCGCCCCCTCCTCTCTAGAGTCGATGCTCACGCAGGTTGCCATGTGGTGGACAATGAAGCTTCAGTGTTTATCCAGCTCTGCATCGGTCTGTAAACCTTTCTGCGTTCTAACCTCTCTCCATTTTTCAAAAGCATCTCCAATATTGATCCTAGTTTTTACTATTGTAACAAAGTTGACTTTTCTGGTGTCATGACGACCTTAAAACTAACATGGTGTTTTATATTCCTCCACTGATAAACCGTCGCAGCTGTGCGTCTCTCACCACTTTTCCAGTCTCCATCTCCTTCTCCCTCTTCAGGAACTCGATGGCCTGCAGGATGGCGCGGTAGTCGTGGATACCGTGCTCGGTCAGGATCCTCTCATATTCTTTGGGGTCGTGACCTCTGAGCAGCTCCACAATGTCGATGTCTCCCTCTTTCTTTGGACTCTTCTGCTTTGATGGTGTCCTGAAGGAAATAAAAAACACCATAAGAGAATGTTCGACAGGCGGAGACGTGGATAATCTCAAACTATCAGCACAGCTTACTTCTTCAGCCTCGTCCTGATGTCTCCCAGTCCTTCCATCTCCTCCTTCTTGGTGACAGCCATCTCAGCGCTGCACTCGATCTCTCCGTGTTTGTTGGTGGCCACACACCTGTAGAGACCAGCATCAGACTTGGTGGCCTCTCGGATCTCCATCTTGGCGTCCTGGCCCTTGTGCTCAATAGAGATACGACCACCAGCAGTGATCTGCCTCCATTTGCCCTTCATCCACTTCACGCTGGGGATCGGGTCCCCGCCAATCTTGGCGATGAAAGTTGCAGTGCCCTCTGCAACGATAATACAGACATGAAGCATCATAAAGAATTCCTGTGTATGAAATAGTGTGTTGATTTGTTCTTTTCACTTGTTCTTTTTTTTCCTACATCTTTCATTCGGCATGGCCATGAATTGTTCTCTTTGTCTTGTTTTTAAAGCAATGATTACTCAGAAGTGTCAAAGGCTGAAAGCTGTCAGAGTGAATGTTAATGACAAGCAGTGTGAGGAATCCTGTTCACTCACTCTCTGTGACCGAGATGTTTTTAGGTTCCTCGATGAAGAAAAGGTTGTCAAGTCTCTTGACAGGGGCAGCGGCTGGGGCAGCTGGGGCGGCAGGCTCGGCTGGGGCTGCTTTGGCTCCTTTTTCTGAAAAAAGAAAAGTGAAGATGAAAAACGTGTTGACTGACACCAACAAGCCCAATATGAGCCTCTGGCCAAACAGTCCAATGTTAATGACTGCTTATAACCAGGCTTCGGTTTGATATCATAAATGACTCCAACAACAGATACAATGATACAAATTAGACAACCATGCATCAAAGAAAGCTTCATTGGGTTGAAAGATGTAAGAAAGATCAATAAGTCATATTCTGTGGAATAAAAGCAAACTGTTGGGCAAAATGGTTCAAATCATTTTAAATGCCCAAATAACCGAAAACACCTTTTTGGACAATTTTGAAAGAAGTATTCCAGTTTGGTGAAAAACATCCCGTTCTGTCGTGACGATGCAGTGAAGGCACTTAATGTGAAAAGTAAAAGAGGACAGGTTGCCATGGAGAGCCCCTTGCTCAGATATACGTAGAATGATTATTGTTCAAAGCTGATTACCTGTCACAGTGACCCTGGACTTGCAGAAGTTGCTGCCGTTGGCGTTGCTGGCCTTGCACAGATAATCTCCAGCGTCACTCTTTGAAGCAGAGCTGACCTCCAGAGAGGCGTTCCCGCCAACAAATGTGATTCTGGTGTTTCCACTGGACGTCAGCTCCCTCCTGTCTTTCATCCACTGGATGTTCAGAGGAGCCGAGCCGATCACGTGGCATTTGATGCTCAGCTTCTCGCCCTCGTTCACCGTCGTCGGCTCCAGAGGGATGTCGAACTTTGGAACCTGGCCGCTTTCTGAAGGAGTGATTGCAAAGAAGGAGGACAACTATAACACACTGCTTTAAACACGGTGAAATAATGGGCAGCACGACAGTGTCTGCTTCACACTTCAGAACAAACCTTTACAAATGAAGCCATGATGTATTGGCTGTGACAACACTGATACTGTGTGTGCCTGGTGTGAGTGAATGGTAGACTCTTCAAGGTTTGGGAGTGGGATTTTTTCTGAAAAAGCTTCAGGGCTTCTCTGATAAACACTGTCAACAACAACTCTTAATGTTGGCATCTTTTTTGGGTCAATAAAGCCACCAGGGTGACGGCCAGTTTTCCAGGATTCTTTTGGTATAACCAGCAGTATTTCAGGTTATTAACAAATATCCCAGGTAAGATGTCCTTTACCTCGTGCTGATCATTGTTTGCAACCTAACGCCTTGTTTCTACGTCTGTATGAGTATGGCGGTAGGTCAACCGTAAACTGGAAGTCAATTAATTCCTATGGGAATCTGTGTAATATAAGATGAGCTACAATATCACAGCACACATTCGATTTGAATTTGTGCAGTCCGACACACAAATCCCAATGTTGCCGATGTTTACGTTAATTCAGACAATGTGCAGGAGTTTGTCTGCAAGTTTGAGTGCCAATTTCTTCTATTTCTAATTTGGTATCATGACAACTTGAAATTTAAAAAAAGTTAAAACTCTGTGTTGCACCCTTAAAAACTCCTCTTCAGTTTGAATGAAATGCTAATAATGTAATATGCATCTAAAAAAGGTTCGGCCTCTACTACACCTATGTTCACTTTAAAAGGAAATGGCGATTAAGCATGAATCCAAATCCTGATCAGTATTGGAGATTTCTTTCTATTGCAGATAAAGTGACATCCTCGTACCTGAGATGGAGAGAGAAACCCGACATGAAGCTTCTCCAGCTTCGTTTGAGGCTGTGCATGTGTACTCTCCGCTGTCATAGGTGGACGAGTCTCTGACACACAGCACAGCCATGTTGTTGTGGAAGCTGACATCGTATTTGTCAGAGCCATAGATTTCGCTGTTGTCCTTGTACCAGGTGACGGTCAGAGGCTGAGAGCCTGACACCCGGCCCTCTATCTTCACCGTCTTACCCACAGAATCCACCATAGACTCAGAGGGCTTCCTGGTGAAGTTTGGAGGCACTTTGCGCTCTGTTAGTGGGGGAGAAAAGGTATAAAATCAGGCAGGGTAAGAATCTTTTTTAAAGGCCGCTGGGCCTTGACCCTTAATACTGGGAAAACAGAGAGCCACAGCACAGAGACAACATCAAACAACCTGCAACACAGAAGCAAACAGAACATCCACCCTGTCTATTAAAAACTATTTTCAAGCTATCTAATATTTATCTGACCCAGCCATAACATGATGAAAAACTCTCTTAATGACCTCTCATCATAAAATCTGTTTCTGTCCAAATCCGGCAAACACAGGACCAGGACCAGCCAACCCTGAAGAACACAACGTGACTCAAGACCTAACAGATGTTACGAACCAACGAGAACACGACCACAGGAACGATCACTACACTGGAGGTTAGTGATAGTACATGGAACCAAATGTGGGGATGAAGTTGTGATGGAAAAGCTTTTGGTTAATGTGTTACCTATTTTAACATGAGCATGACAGGTGTCCGATCCTTCTGCATTGGAAATTTCGCACGTGTATTTTCCTGCTGCTGTGGCTCTGTTGCTGTAGAGAACCTCCAGAACACACGAGGAGTCGGTGGTTTTGACGTTGTACTGGTAAGAAGCCCAGATCAGCTTGTCGTCCTTCTTCCATGTCACGTTGACCCTCTGACTGCCGCTGTAAGTGCACTCCAGCCTCAAGGGTTTACCCTGTTCATGGCACATGTCCGCCAGCTTCTTGACAAATCGCACAGGTTCTGAGAGAAGCAATGTTGACATCAGTCATAGGAATTAATGACCCGTACATGCAGAGGACAAAATGGTATGTGACCGCGCAATATCCAAAGAGATCTGCGACGTCCTCATGCGCATAAGAGAGGCTATGTGAATGGAGAGAACTTTACCCGTACATGAAGGTATGGCCGGCAGTCGAAAAGCTATGTAAATGGGGTAGGGTTTTTAGTGTCAGGAATTATTCACTTCATGCATGAATAAATGAAGCAAACTACAAGCACTGTGCTGTTGGTTCTGGTTACCTAGTTTGACATAAGCATGGCAGATGTCAGATCCATCTGCGTTGGAAATTTCGCAAGTGTATCTTCCCTGAGCGTCTTCTCTGTCACTGTTGAGGACGTCCAACACACAGCTACAGTCTGTGGTCTTGACATTGTACTGATAAGAGGCCCAGATCGGACTGCCATCCTTCCTCCAGCTCACACTCACTCGTTGGCTACCCGTGAATGCGACCCTAAGTGTCAGCGGCTGGCCGACTCTGAATGTGGTGTTTTCCAGCTTTCTGATGAAGCGTGTGGGCTCTGTGAGAATCAGTGAGGGTTGTTAAATGGCAATAATGGTAAGCAAGCAAAAGCAAAAGTGAATCCTGTAATAATTATTCATAGAAGTGTGCAGCATAGCTTAAAAAGATCCTACTCCAGGGACGGCTTCTGTTTCAAAGGCAATGACTGCACAACGCTCTAGATTTCCCCATCAGAAACATTTTATTTACAGCCCAGGTAAATGCTAAACTAGCCTGAACTAGTTTAAAAATGTGAGACCAGGTATCAGCGAGAACACCAGTCTATGCATCGATGACGGAGGTGAGACCAATTTTTCAATAAGAAGCCAGCAGGGGGCGACTCCACTGATATTAGGAGGATTATATAAATTAGCTCAAGAGAATCAGATTAATAAAGGAAAAAGTTAAAACAGAACGTTTATGGTCACCAACGCCATCTTGATCAAACTTCTAACTTCTTTGAGCTTTTCAGGGAAAATACACTTTGACATTAACGGAAGGAAAAACCAGAAGAACAGAAGCCAGTTCGGAGTAGGATACAACATCTGCTCTGAATGGTTGTAATTAGCAAATGTTTGCTGATCAGTGTTAGCCAATAAGAAATGAGTGCTGTGGTGATTTGTGGAAGTGATACCTTTCTTAGAGGTTTTACAAACAATGTAAGCGTCACAGGCGGCAGAACCTTCAGCGTTTGAAACTTGACAAGAATAGACTCCGGCAGCTTCTTCTCTGTCACTATTGAGGACTTCCAGAAAGCACAAGCAATCGGTGGTCTTGATGTTGTATTTGTACGAAGCCCAGATTGGTTTGCCGTCCTTTGTCCAGCTGACGTGCACTTGCTGGCTTCCAGCGTAAGTGCAAGACAGACGCAATGGATCGCCCAGACGGTAAGGTGTGTCTTCGAGCTTTTTCAAAAAGCGCACAGGTTCTGAGAGAGGCAACATTAGTGTTAGTCATGATAAATACCCTGAGCCGTAAGCAAGCCGATGAGTGAGCATGATAGGAAGTAGTTACCTAGTCTGACATGAGCATGACAGCTAGCTGAGCTAGTAGCATTGGATATTGCACAGGAATATTTCCCAGCAGCCTCTTCTCTGTTGCTATTGAGAACCTCCAACAGACAGGAGTCGTTCGTGGTCTTGATGTTGTACTTATACGAAGCCCAAATGGGCTTGCCGTCTTTAGTCCAAGTCACGTGCACGTGCTGGCTGCCCGTGTACATGACCTGGAGCTTCAGAGGCTGTCCAACCCTAAAGGTCATGTCCTCCAGCTTTTTCACGAAGCGCACAGGTGCTAGGAGAGGCAAGGATGTTAGTTATTAGTTGTGAACAATTGGCAATGCTAAGCAATGTTATATGAAATAGAATATGCAGATAAAGTTTGACAGTGATCAAAACAAGGCTCATTGTTTTCAGTTTTTAAAGACTTGAAACTAAAAGTACCAATTAAAATAAGACTTTACAGAAAATCACTGATGTCACTGATCATTCACATCGCTGGGACGGCGCTAGCTTCAGCTTGTTGTTTATCTTAGGGAACATGTTTAATTCATGTGAACTCCTCCCTCTCTAACCGCAGCCCTGAGACAGTAGCAGCCCCGCTGTTAGTAGGGGTACAATGGCAAAGTTCCGTCACAAAGGTAACGATTTAAGAAGAACCAACAGACTTTACAAACTAAAAAAAATACTGTTCAGGGAAAAAATTATTTTATGAAAAAATAACTAAATTGTCTTTGGGCTGCATCATGTCTGAATGGAGATCAGTTGTAGAAACGGCATCAATCGGTCGGAACACTAAAGCCCTGTTCAGATCGCCACAACACTTTTACTCCTGTGATAGTTCTCCATTATGAAGGCCATGGAAGCATAATCGGGGGGCAAAGTGATCCTACTTCTTCACCACCATCGGAGTAAGTAACAGAGGCATTACATGGGCGAGATGGGATTAGCGGAGAACAAGGCTGTGTGCAACACAGTGATGAATTCACAGGCTGGGACACTAATGTAACGCTGTTAAAGAATCAATATAAATGAACATAGATGTAATGATGAAGGAGCTTCGTTACAGAGCTGTAGCACAATTGAACTATGAAAAGGACTTTAGAGCGGTGGGGGAGGGGGCAACAAACAGCGATGGGTGGGGGAGGAGGTGCTCTGAAGGGACAGCTTCTGGAAATCTACTCTGAAAGTCATCGTTGTTTAAACATTCAAGTAAAAGTTTAATTGTTTTGTGTTTTGCTTGGGCATATTTTGGTTTGATAAAAACAGAAAAAAATGAGCCTTCTCTTTGAGCCTTCATGTTAAATGTGTTACCTAGCTTGACCTGAGCGTGGCAGATAGCCGAGTTCTCAGAGTTTGAGATCTCACAGGAGTATCTGCCCGCTGCTTCCAGACGGTCACTGTTTAGGACCTCCAAGACACAAGAGTTATCTGTGGTCTTGACATTGTATTTGTAGGAAGCCCAGATTGGTTTGCCATCCTTTGTCCAGCTCACATAGACCCTCGGGCTGGCACTGAACCCGCAGTACAGTGTCAGCGGCTGGCCCAATCTGAAAGTGGTGTCTTCCAGCTCTTTGATAAAGCGCACAGGTTCTAAAGAAGGCAATGATGATGTTAGTTTCTGTGTTTTTGTGATAGCAAGCAAATGCATGTCTATGTAAAGGTCTGCTCAGCAGGGGGTTTGCTAGAATTGATGATTATTCACATTTTGAAACTAAAATGAGTTGGAATCTACTGGAGTGAAGCATTACCTATCTTAACCATAGCATGGCAGATATCAGTGCCCTCTGAATTGGATATTTCGCACGAGTATTTCCCGACAGCTTCCCCACTGTCGCTGTTGAGAACTTCCAGGGTGCTGGAGAAGTTGGAGGTTTTAACGTTGTATTTGTACGAAGCCCAGATGGGTTTGCCGTCCTTCATCCAGCTGATGTAGATCCTCTGGCTGCCGGTAAACGTGCACTCCAGCGTCAGAGGGTGGCCGATTTTATAAAAGGTGTTTCTCAGTTTTCTCACAAATCGAACCGGTTCTAAAAAATCAATTAGTCATGATGGTGTTAGATAATATAAGCAGTCATGATGGTGTTAGATAATATAAGCAGTGATGTTCAGGTTTATAAAGGACCTGCTGAATGATGCGTTATTAGAGTGCAAATGACTGAAGGTATGTTTTAAATCCTGTTTACCTAGTTTGACATTAGCATGGCACACATCCCTTCCTTCGGCGTTAGAAATTTCACATGTGTATTTCCCAACAGCCTCTTCTCTGTCGCTGTTGAGCACTTCCAGGAAACAGGTGTCTTTGGTGGTCTTCACGTTGTACTTGTACGATGCCCAGATTAGTTTGCCGTCTTTCTTCCAGGTTATGTTGATTCTCTGACTTCCAGTGTACATGCATTTTAAGGTCAGCCTTTCATGGAGTCTGAAATACGTGTCTTCCAGCTTTTGGACAAAGCGAGCGGGCTCTGAGAGGAGTAATGGTGGGGTTAATTGCATGTAAGAACACTTTGTGTTATGCTAGCAAGCAGGCATTAGTCTCGACTAACTGTGAATATTTTCTTATGTTGTCTTGATAGCAAACTACATTGCAGTAGAAAGTTAAGTTAATGAAATAAAAGCAGGTGATGTGTGAAGAGTTTGGATTTTACCTAGGCTCACTCGAGCGTGGCAGACGTCAGTTCCCACCCCATTTGAAATTTCACAAGTGTACTTCCCAGCTGCCTCTGGCCTGTTGCTGTTAAGGACTTCCAGAACGCAGATAGAATCAGTGGTTCTAACATTGTACTGATAAGAGGCCCAAATCAGCTTGCCGTCCTTTTTCCATGTGACGTTGACCCTCTGGCTTCCAATGTAAGCACAGGCCAGTTTCAGCGGCTGACCGACTATGAGAATAGTGTCCTCCAGCTTGGCGGTAAAGCGCACAGGTTCTGAGAGAAGCAAGGTTAATGTTAGAAATGTGCCAACTGTTATGCTGCCATGCAACTGTAGGCCTCTTAGGAAGGTTAATGTTACTATCAAGGATGAATTGTAAAATGTACTGAAACCCCCTAGTGGAGGATTTATTATTGTATGAGAAAACAAACTATAAATCACCAGCACTCAGTGAACTTTTCACTTTCATTATCCTGTAACAGAGAAGGATCTACAAACAGAAAGTAACAGGTATGGAAACGAGCATCACCTTTCACCATTACGTTACACCTGGCAGAGGCTGAGCCGACCCGATTCTCTGCCTGGCAGGTGTACTCGCCGTGATCAAATTTGGTTGTTTTGATCAGTTTCAGAGTTGCAACACCGTTTGTGAAATCCATCGAGCAAACGTTCGACTTGCGCAGCTTTCCATCACCTTTGAACCAAGCTACAGAGATGTCAGGGGTCCCTGCAATACGGCATTTCAGGGTGACCGCATCGCCCATGGTTAGCGCTGCTGGCTCCATCTTTTCGACAAAGTATGGTCGCTCTAAAGTGAAAGATGATGATGATGATGGTTTAGTACAACTACTGGTTTTGAGCTAAGTCAAATTAATGAATCAATGAATTATTGATGAATGATTGTATGAATGATCGTGAATTATAACAAGCCAGAAGAGTAAACTCATATTTATTTTACCTAATATTGACACTTGAGCTTCACATTTGTCACTTCCGACTCCGTTGTCTACTTCGCAAAAGTATCTACCGGCAGCCTCCGTCCTGTCAGCGCTAAGAACCTCCAGAATGCAGGAGGTGTCTGTGGTGATCACATTGTACTGATATGAGGCCCAGACGGGTTTACCATCCTTCTTCCAGGTCACATTTACCCTCGGAGTTCCAGCAAATGTGACCTCAAGCCTCAAGGGTTTTCCCTTTTCGGCAGATACGTCCTTCAGCTTCTTCACGAAGTGGACTGGTTCTAAGAGAGGTAATTCCAGGATTAGTTAAATCAGATGTATTTAAAGAGCTGCAGAAATGGTTAAAAAAAGATTTCTATCATGCTAACAAACCTTTAACGAACAGATTAACCGGGCAGCTTTCCTTCCCTGCCTCGTTAATGATTTGGCAGGTGTACTCTCCTGCATGGGATTTCTCAACTTTGTGAAGCACCAAAGTAGCGACTTCGTTCTTCAGGCCGATCTCACAGCCCCGACCATGCTGCATTTCTTTAGCTCCCCTGAACCATTTGACCTTCAGTGGAGCACTGCCGTTCACTTTAGCTGAGAAAGACACATTTTTGCCGGGTAGTGTTTCCTTCGCTTCGGGTGATTCCACAAAATAAGGAGGTTCTGGATTTACATAAAAAAAGGATGTCATTAACTCTTTGTTATGAGCCTGGTCCCATGCTAAGAAAAAGATCCTTGACTATTTCTCTTCTTGACTTCACATCTACTGACCTGTCACATTCATGGGAGCACTGGTCTCGCTGGTTCCAGCAGAGTTTACAGCTTTACATGTGTATTTGCCAGAATCTGACATCTTGATTGTTGGGACTCTCAGTTTGCAGTTATTATCAGTGCAGCTAATGTCATAGTTTGGTCCACTCTTGATCTCTTGGCCGTTGTGGAACCAGGATGTTGTTAGGGGAGCAGAGCCAGCAACCTTACACTCCATCTCACCAGGCTTACCAACAACAAGGTGGGTGTCTCTCAGCTTCCTTATGAAGCTCGGAGGAATCAACTTATCTATTGTCAAAAAAGAACAAGTTATTATGTATTCTGAGCTATTCTTTGGAAAAAGGATCCAAATGTTTTAGTGAGCATGTGCACAGTGGCCACCAACCTGAAACAGAGAGCTTAGTTTTGCAAGAGGCCGTACCAACATGGTTTGTGACCTCTAACTTGTATTCTCCGGCATCTGCTTTATCTGCAGAGCGAAGCTTCAGGACTGCAACCTTCTTTGTGAAGGACATCTGATACTTGGCACCAGCAGAGAGTTTTTTGTTATCCTTGAACCACTGAACCTTCAGTTCTGGTGAGCCAGAAACTGTGACTTCAAGAGAGGTATTTTCTCCTGACTTCACGTTCAACGACTCTGGGCAATCCACGATAGCAGCGGGCTCTAGAAATTAGTTTAAAAAAGATATTGAGCTAAACAAATCCTGACACTGTCACTCAAGGTAATGTGAAGAAGTTTGGAGTTCTACAAACCTAGAACGGTCACTTGGGAGACAGACTCAACAACTCCAGAGTCTCCTCTCAGCTTGCAGGTGTATTTACCAGCAGTGGTCAAGTCGGCTTTAGGTACCACAAGAGTGACCACGTTATTCTCAAAGGTAATCTTTCTGTTATCACCGTCTCTGAGAATGTGATCTTTGTCCTGAACCCAGCACACAGTCAGAGGCTCGGAGCCTTTCACTGTAGCTGTCAGAGTCAGCTGCTGACCAACCTTGACTGATTGGTCCACCAGTTTCTTCACAAATGCTGGTTGTTCTGAATGATGATGGAAAGATCAAACGTAAGGAGAAGCAATCACACTAATGCTACACTTTGAGGAAATGTTCAGCGATCCTTTACAAACCTTTCAGGCTAACGGTGGTGTGACAGAATCCAGTTCCTACATTGTTGGACACTCTGCACTCATAGAGACCAGCATCATCCAGCTCCAGCTTCATTATGTGAAGAGTGGCAGAGCTGGCTTCAATGACCATCTTATATTTCCTGCTCTCCTTCAGTGGCCTTTTGTCTTTGTACCAGTTTACCTGGAATGGTGGCGTGCCGTACACCTCACAGTGTAGGCTGGCATCTTTCCCTTTAATGCCCTCTACTGGGCTTGGGGTATTAGTAAAAGATGGGGCCTCTGGAAAATATATGAAGAGACATTAGCAGAAGTTTCTTGTAGAGGGTCATGCTTAAATTCAGTCCATGCTTGAGGAATCCATTCAGATGATGACAGAAGACGAAGGTCATTAGAGGTGAGAGGAACAGTTTCTTATGTTCATGCTATGTCTGGACTCGAGGTCTTATACTGAGATCAAAGAAACTCAACGAAGTAAAGCTTATGTAGTTCTTGAAATGCATGCCTCTAAAAAAAGAGGTAACATTCAGACTCATGCTATCCAACACAAAGGAGGACAAAAGACTTTATTTCACAGAAACAGAAGGTGGTGCTGTTGAGTTCCATGCTGAAGTTTTGAGACAAGGTTCCAAAAGCACTTAAGATTAAATCAAATTTCATAACCAGCATGATAGAGGATTTTCATTACTTCTTTTTCGTGCGACACAAGTTCTGAGGGGACACAATCCATAAAATCAAACATGTGTAGCCAAGATATAGTCTATAGCTGACCTTGAACTTTGAGAACAGTGCTGCAGCTTGCACTGCCAGCATCATTATGAGCCTCACAGGTGTAGACACCATTATCCTCGAACTTTGTGGTGCAAAGCTGGAGATATGCGGTGGAGTCTACAAACATTGTTTTATAGTTGCCTCCATCGGTTATCTTTTGGTCATTTTTGTACCAGCACATAGTCAGAGACTGTGCCTCCATGGCCTTGCATTCGAAACGGTATCCCTCACACTGCTTCACAAAGGTAGTGGGAGGAAGTTTCTGGACAAACTGTGGTGGTTCTGCAAAGCCAACAAAGATCAGGTTATTATCATCTGCAAGCAACACATGAACAAGTCTGTGACGTATGGAGGTAATCCTGGAAAGAAAGAAATGTTAACGGGGTGAGTTTGAGGAAATGAAATGAAGAAAGAGGGGCTGGGAAATGGACAAAAAAGATGGAGTAAAGTTTGTGGTGATGGACAAAAAAAAAGAAATGCCCGACCTTTCACCAACAAGTCTGCTGCACTTTTCACTGCGCCTGCTTCATTGCTAACTTGGCATGAATAAATCCCACTTTGCAGAGTCCCGACTGAGTGCAGATCTACAGAGGAAGAATACGTCTCCATTTTAATTGTACAGGAGGGTCCTGTGATGAGTTCGGTGTCATCCTTGAACCATTTGACCATAAATGGAGGTGTTCCTTCAAAGTCACTTCTGAAGCACACAGTAGACTTTGGAATAACAGCCTGAGACTCAGGCTCAGATTTGAACCTTGGTGGCACTGAAACCCATACAGAAAGATTATTAAGATACATGACTAAAAGCAATTGAGTTGACAAGTTGATCAAGATGACCTTTGAATGCAAACCTTTAGCTGTAAGAACTCCACTGCACACAATGCTGCCTGCTTTGTTTGATACTTTACAAGAATATTCTCCGGTATCATCACTCTCTGTCAGTTTAAACTCCAGTGAGAGAGTATTTTCAATTTGCAGAAGCTTATATTTGGAGCTCTTGGTAATCTCTTGTTTCCCTCTGCTCCATTCAACAGACATTGGAAGAGAACCAGCCACTTTGCACTCCATGGTTACTACTGAACCCATGATCGCTTGAATGTTTGTTAATTTTCTAAGGATCACCGGAGGAATGACCTCCTCTGTTTGAAATGATATTAAGAGAAAATTAGATTCAAAGTAAAAACATAGGTCTACGTGTAAAAATGTTGATTTGATTGTATTCTAATGGTAAAATATGACAAACCTAAAACAACCAGCAGGATTTTACAGCTGCAGGTCCCAACAGAGTTTCTGGCTTCAAACAGAAACTCTCCACCGTCTTCCAGCTGAGAGGTCGGTATGTTTAAACGGCTGAGGTTGTTTACAAAGTGGAGACTGTGTTTCTTCCTTGACTGGAGCTCTTTACCATCTTTGATCCATTTTACACTTATCTCAGGAGTTCCAGCTACCTTGCATTCAAGAGTAACAGGATCTCCACAAGTCACTTTGACTACCTCAGGCTTCTCTGTGATCGTGGGTGGTTCTACAACAGTGAAGAACAAAGTTAAGTTTACTTGTTGCTGTTAGAGCAAGCTCTTATGTTAAGCAAAAGCATCAAATTTGAAGCAGAGGTACCTAGCACTACCAGCTTGGCAAAGCATTTGTCCTGCCCGGCCTCGTTAACAACATGGCATGTGTATTTTCCCATGTGAGGCGCCTCACAGACCGGGATCCTGAGTGTGGCCTCGTTGTTTTGAAATGTTCTCTCAATCTTTGGGTCCTCTGGGATCCAGTTATCATCTCTTTGCCACTGCACAGAGAGAGGCTGAGAACCTTCCACCATGCAGCAGAAGATAGCGGCACCTCCCGCAATAGTTGAGACGTTTTCTATCTTCATATGGAAAGTTGGAGGGACTAATGCAAACAGAAGTAGTCATTGTAATACCGGCGTACACAGCACTGTATGCCTAATGTATGTAAGTGAGATGTTTAGTAAAACCAACCTTTCAGAGACAAAGCTGCAAAGCCGGTACAACTTCCAACTTCATTTGCTACCAAGCACTTATAAGTACCAACATCGTCCGCTTTACAGTCCTGGATCTTCAAGCTCACATTGTCACTATCAGCAATAACATACTTCTGGCTGGATTTGATAGGCTTTCTATCTTTGAACCATGTGACCTTGAATGGAGCACTTCCTGCCACTTTGCAAGCAAACGCTGCTGTGGAGCCTTTTACAACTTCAAGATGCATGAGCTCTTTCAAAAAGGAAGGAGGTTCTGAAACATAAAACAGCAAATCAAACTGAAGCATCCTTTGATTTCTACTGTTGTCACATGTAAAATGATCTTGACTTTAATACTGAGAGACTTGAGGGAAACCAACCTTTCACTTCAAGCTCAACACTGCAACTCTCTGTGCCTGCTTCGTTGCACGCTTCGCAGATGTATTTACCGTTGTCGTTTTCACTAGCTTCACAAATCTCCAGGGTGGCAACAGAGTTGTAAAATGAGATCTTGTGTTTGACACTTTGCTGAATCTCAGCTCCATCTCTAAACCAGCGCACAGAGATCTCTGGAGTACCAGCTAACTTGCACTCAAACACTTTAGCGTCTCCTGATGCTACCACTGATACACCTTCAGGTTTTTCAAGGAAATATGGCGGCTCTGAAAAGAATACACAAGTTACTCGAGTATTTTCATCTCTTTAAAGTACATAAAACTAACTAAGGAAAGAGATTGATATACACCTTTGACAAAGAGTGCTGCCTGGCATGACGTTGAGCCCACATCGTTCTGTATTTCACAGATGTAGTCTCCAGAATCTGAGGTTTTGGCAAAGAAGAGCTCCAGTGTGCTTGAGGTGTTGTCTTTGATCACGGAGCAGTCAGCACTTGATAAAATCTCTTTCTTGTTTTTAAACCACTTGATCTTTAGTGGTGCTGTACCAGAGACCAGTACATTTAACTGGACCTTTGAGCCAGGCAACACATTTACGGATTCTGGCTTTTCAAGAATACACGGCGGTTCTGTTGGTGGACAAAACCCAATTCATTACACATACAACATGATAAGGCCTTAAACTGCAGGAAAGCACTGAGAATACAAGAAATGAATCCAAACCTTTGACAAACAACATCCCCGAGCTCTGGGCTGATCCCGCCTTGTTTTTAGCCATGCAGGTATAAAAGCCACTGTTTTTAATGTCAACACAACTGATCTCCAGGAAAGCAACATTTTCAAAAAATGTGCATTTGTGTTTCTCATCTGTACAGATCTCTTCCCCGTCTTTAAACCACTCTATCGTCATCGGCAGGGAGCCAGAGACGAGACACTCCAGATGAACAAACGATCCTCTGATACCTTCTGTCTCCTTCAGTTCTCTTGTGAAGGACGGTTTTAAAATCTGATCTATTATACACAGCATACAACAAACAGAGATGAGTGCTTTGTGCAAATCAGAGAGAGGAAAATGTGATAAAATATTTACTTCATCAAAAACTGACCTAAGACCGTCACAGCTGCTTCACAGGAACTGCAACCAGCTTTATTTGAAACCTCAAAAGTGTAGTCACCACTATCACTTTTCTCTGTTTTAACAATCTTCAGCACAGAGCTGGCGTCTGTGCCTCTTATGTTATATTTCTGGCCTGAGGTCAGCTCCTTTCCCGCCTTCGTCCATCTGGACTTCAGCGGTTTAGTGCCTGAGAATCTGCATTCAAGCCTGGCTGGGTCACCTTGAGTTACACTGATAGACTTTGCATGTTCTGTGATATTTGCTGGCTCTAGGATGACACAATAATCCAACACTGTGTTAGCTGCTACTATGAACAGGTATAATGCGACAGTTGAAACAAAAAGCTTGACAAATGAAGCGACAGCATTTAAAACAAGTAAGAGTCACATCCTACAAACCTGTCATTACGAGCACAGCGGCACAGCTGCGAGTCCCGGCTTTGTTCATTGCCTGACAGACATATTTCCCACCGTGTGATAACTGAGCATTTTTCAAATTCAACACGGCACATTTGGTTTCAGAGGACATCTTAACATGCTCATCCTCTGTGAGCTCATGATCATCCTTTATCCAGGTGAAAGTCATGGGAAGTGATCCAGATAACATACACTTCATAGAGATCTCAGATCCCACCATGCAGGACATATCCTCTAGTCTTTGAACAAATGATGGTGGTTCTAGTGAGAGAAGATCATACATCAGACTGCATGCAGTAGAAGGATTTACATTAACACAGATTATCCACATTGCAAACCATTATCTCCTGATCTAATAGGCTACTTTCTGCCAAATAACAAAAACAAGCTCAGCAAAAAAGCAACATGTTATTTAGAGTAAATGCCATGGTGCCTAGATTACATATTTGAAGAATCTGCACATTGATCAGTAGATAGTATAGACGCTGTCCTTGGACTAACCTTTAAGAGAAATCTGGCAAGAACAAGATGTCTCCCCAACATCGTTTGCAACAGTGCACTGGTATGTCCCAGCATCTGCAGTCTCACAGTGTGAGATCTGAAGAGTGACAGTTTCATTCTCAAAGCTGATCTTATGCCTTGGGTCGCTTCTGATCAGCTTATCGTTGAGGAAACAGCTTATTTCAAATGGAGGAGAACCTGTTACGGCCCCTTCCAAGACAATGCAAGATCCTTTCACAAGCTCAGCCGATTCAAAAGGCCTCACAAACACTGGAGGTTCTATGAAAATAAAGATCAGTAATGTTATATTTAAAGGCAATAGAGGGTTGAGTGTTTTCAAGTCTCATGAGGCCATGTGGTCCACAGAATTCATTTAACTGTTCACAACGTCTACATTACAAACTCTGCACTCTCATTGGTCACTGCGTGAGTCAAGACACCAATGGAGTCGCACTGGTTCTTGACAATATGTTAGACACCAGTGGAGCGCACTGGTTTTAAGCACTGGAGGACAATCACCAATTTGTCTTTACACAGTTTGCAGTTACCAAATTAGCTATCAGATGATAGTTGAGATCTGCTTTCTCTCCTTTGAGTGAGTTTGACTGAGCTTCACCAGACAATTACAGGATGGATAAATCGGACAACCCTTTAACACTCAAATTCCCGCCTTTGGGAAATTTAGAGGCGCCAATAAACCTGGACCTTAAAGTTGATTATGCAAATTTAAGAAGTGTCCTGATTAAATACTACAGGGTGTGATCCCTCAGCACTAAATGAAGATAAGAGTAATCCTCTGTATTGATAAGAAGCCTCCAGTTTTCCAGTTTCCCATCAATGTAGGCGTATTGAACGTGTTACAGAACAATGTGGACCATCGTAACATAAGCAGACTACTTAGGACTGAATTTACCTTTCATGGTTACTGAGCTGCTGCACTGGTCTCTGCCGGCCTCGCTGGATGCCATACAGACATAATCTCCGCTGTCCTCTATAGAACAGTCGTCTACCTCCAGAGTTGCTATAGAGTTGTCGAAGGACATTGTATGTCTGTGGTCTGAGGCTATTTCTTCCCCATTTTTAAACCACAAGATGCTAATAACAGGAGTGCCCTGTACTTTGCAGGACAACTTCAGAGGCTGTCCTGTTTTCAGTTGCTGTGAGGGCTCAAGCTTGATTGTAAACGTTGGGGCTTCTGTAAATTAACAGGAACAGTTTAAACAAGAGGTTTAGGAAACGAAAGAACATAACAGGGTATTAATGTTTTTTGAATGAAAGACTGAAAGAGCACCTTTCACAAAGAGGTCTACAGTACAATCCACCTTCCCAGCATCGTTGGATACTTGGCATGTGTATCTAGCAGAGTCACTGGGTTTCACAGAGTGAAGCTCCAAAGTGCTTGAAGTAGCATCTTTCTTTATCAAACACTTCCCCCCTGTGAATATCTCTTTTTCCTCTCTGAACCATTTCACAACCAGAGGAGCTGATCCTGTGAAAGCTGATTTTATGACAACATTTGATCCCGGTGAAGCGTCCTGGGATTCCGGGTTGACTGTGAACACCGGAGGCTCTGGAGTTATTTGGGAAGAAAAAGAGCACATATGTTCAAAGCCAAGGAATAGCTTTGATTAAGCAAAATGTCTGCCATATTCCTGTTAAATCTCAAGTAACGTAACACCTCTGACCTCTTACAGACAAGGTACCACTGGTCTCTTTTTCTCCGGCATCATTCGAGGCCCGGCATTTATAAACTCCTCCATCTGTCTGCTCCAGGCCGGTTACAGTCACGGAGGCTGTACTCTCACTGACATCAATCTTATATTTTCCATCACTGTGGATTTCTTTATCGTCTTTGTACCAGGAAACAATCATCGGCTGAGACCCAGCAACTCTGCACTCCAAAGTAACATTACTACCAACACTTCCATCAACTTTCTTTAGAGATTTGGTGAAGGATGGTGGCACTGCACGATCTGTGAGGAAATAAGTCCAGTTCATTACTGTCAATAAGAGCCAAATCTTAAAGCTGTAATAAACTTGTATTCTGGGCTAACTGACCTATAATGGTGACTGAGCAGGTGCACTGGTCTTTTCCTACTTTATTGGACACCTCCATCATGTACTCCGAGGTGTCTCCTTTATCTGCTGAGAGAATCTTTAAGGTGGCAGTGTTCTCCTTCACAATCACTTTATATTTACGCCCACTCATCAGCTCCTTGCCATCTTTAAACCATTTCACTTTGAGGTCTGGGCTTCCACAGATTGTGCACTCCAAAGTGGCTGAATCCCCTGCAGTCACACTGATGGACGCTGCCTTCTCTATGATCCTAGCAGGTTCTATAACACAACATTGCATTTAGGCTTTAGGAACATGTGTTTCTGAACTTTCTAATAATTCTAATAAACAGGGTTGTGTTCTAACCTTGAATTGTTAAGACAGCTTCACTTTTCTGCTGCCCCGCCTCATTTTCAGCAAGGCATGTGTACTTGGCCCCATGCTTCATCTCAACAGATGAGAAGGAAATGCTAGGGATGTTGTTTTCAAACGTCATTTTCACACTCGGATCGTCATCTCTGAGCAGCTCAGAATCTTTCAACCATTTGATAGTGATGGGGGCTGAGCCTTTGAGGGCTCCCTGTAGTTTCACTGTGTTTCCCAACACTGCTGTAGCACTCTCAATCCTCTTAGAGAACATAGGTGGCTCTGAAATAACAGATTTAGTAATAATATAAGTAACAAATGAGGACTACTATGGTTTTAATCAAAGAGTTTAAGTTCATCTTCATTTTCTGACATCACTAACCTCTTTGTTTAGCTACTGACTTCGATGTTACTGACCCGACCTCATTTGACACGACACATTCATATTCCCCAGTGTCAGCGCTCTCAAATGAGCGGATCTCGAGAGAGCTCAGAGCTCCCTGTGAGACTATGCTGTATTTGTTATCTGGGGACAGACGTTTCTTATTCTTTTTCCAGGCCACCTCGAATGGTGCAGAGCCTGAAATCTCACACTCCAACACAGCTACAGATCCTCTGACCGCCTCTATGGGGAGTAACTCCTTTCTGAAAGATGGGGGTTCTAAAGGAGGACATATCGCTTTGTTAGAAAATACCTTTTCTGACTGAATATTTGGTTCTGTAACAGAGGTACCTAAATCTACAAACCTTTCACTGTGACTTTAGTGCTGCTGCTTTCAGAGCCAGAGTCATTATGAACCTCACAGGAGTAGTTTCCACTGTCACTTGGCATGACATCCTGTACCTCAAGAGTGGTGAGACCATCCTTCTGACTAACATTGTATCTGCCACCCACAGAGAGTTTGCTGTCATTAAAGAACCAGCTGGTATGGAGTTCAGGGGATCCTTTGATGCTGCACTGCAGCCGTGCAGTGCTGCCTTGCTTCCAAACTGTGTTAGCTTCGAGCCTCTTTACAAAGATAGGCGGCTCTGGAGAGGTGTGAGGTTAAAATGAGCCATTTTGAAATCAAAGAAGATATTTCAAATAACAACCCAGCATTAGAAGAGGAGATGTTAGAAAGTGCAGCTGATATCATCTGACACTGAACACCACAGAATAAAACAAGTTATTTTCCAGTACTGCAGATTTGCTAAAGCTTCAAATGCTGCAGTAGCCATGAAAAATAAAGACACAGCTCTTACCTTGTACTTTCACAGAAGTGGAGCAAGAGGCACTCCCAGCCTCATTTGTCACTGTGCATACATAATTTCCACAATCTTTCAGTGTGGTCTTTAGGATATCAAGACTCACTGTCTTATCCTCAAAAGACAGTTTACAGTCCGGAGACTGGTGGACTTTTCTACCATCTCTGGTCCAGGTGACATTTACTCCAGTGTCCTCATCCACCTGACACTCCAGGTGTAGAGGAGCTCCAACCACAGCTGCGACTGGACCCAGGGGCTTTACAAAGTTGGGCTGGGTAATAACACGCAGCTCCATGCTGCATTCAGCTGTCCCAACATTATTCGACACCTTGCACACATAAAGCCCCCTGTCATCCGGCTCAAGTTTGATTATCTCAAGAGTGTGCTTATTCTTTTCACAATGGATCTGGTAGTGTGTGGGCACTGTGGGTAGGGTCTGGTTGTTTTTGAGCCAGACAACATTCAGTGGAACAGATCCTGTTATTACACACTGTATCATTGCCCTTTTCCCAACATACATAGTCTGCTGTTCAGGTTTAGTTATAAAGGCAGGAGGACATAGCTCTATAAGAATTCAGAAAAAGAGAAACATATTAGTTGTAATATGTCATACTCTGTCATTTAACCTTAACCAAAACTTGCCAATAATCAAAAACAAACCAGCAGGGCAAAAAAAAAATCAATAATTCAAAACCAATCAAACACAACGCAGACCAGCAACCAACAACAAAGTTATACCCTGTAGGAGAAAGAATCAACTACAGCTTTAGATTCAAGCTCCAATCAACACAAATATCAGATCCAACTCAACCAGCAGAGAGGAAGGAAAAACTCTTGTTCTTACCTGTCACGCTGAGAGAGGCAGAACATTCGTCACTTCCATGCTGATTGGACGCCTTGCAGGTGTATTCACCGCTATCGTCCTTATTTGGGCTCAGAAGCTCCAAACTGGCAGTGCTAAAGCGACTGATAATCCTGTACTTGTCCCCCTCTTTGATGGGGTGTCCATCTTTGAACCACTTGAAGCTCACGTTGGGAGCGTCCTCAGTTTCACATTCAAACTTGGCAGAGCCGCCAATGTTGATCTCCACGGGGACTATCCTGTGCCTGAACACAGGTTTCACTGCGTTTTTGGAGAGAAAGAAATATATGATTAATGAAAAGAACTTGTAAAAATTAAAGCAAATATTAATGTTTCCACTGCAAGTGGTGATGTGGTGCTGATGGAAGTGACACACAGTTATCCTGTTGTGACTGTAAAGAAGAGAAGGAATTAATTTGGGTTAAAGTGACTGGAGGAGGAAAATTGAAATGAAAGTGAAGATGGTAAAAAGGATTCTGTGGAATGAAAAAGGAGAGAAAACATGCCAAAAGGAATGGACCAAGAATGAGGAATGATGGATGAGTAAAAATAAAGTCATTTTTTCCCTTGATGGTACAGAGGAATGGAAATAGAGTGCTACAAATGTGGAGTAAAGGATGACCTTGAAGGAGAAGGATGTCACTGATATCTGGTGAAACCTCAAACTTCTCATAATGGTTTGGCTTAGAAAACACTCACGCAGTATGTTTAAGACTTTTTATGACTGACCAAAGTTTGTATAAATTTTGAGTTATGTTTGAGGTTTGCAGACAACAGAAATGGATCCACATGTGTGAAGTTAGTTGATAATGATATCAAAGAATCGTCCATCATCAAACCTCTTGAGACCACAGTGAGTCTTGATGAAGTTGTCGTCTTGCCGGCTTCGTTCTCAGCCTCACAAACATATTCTCCTTGGTGCTTCTCCTTGACCACTTTTTCAATGATTAATGTGTATTTGTCAAGGTCTTCAGAACACTTGAACTCTTTGCCAGATTTTACCAACTGGCCGTTGAAAAACCAGTTAACTCTTGTGGTGTACTTAATGGTGGTGGTAAAAGAGGCCTTACCATTTTCCTCAGCACAAATGTCTTCCAGAGAATCAACAACAACAGGATAATCTAGAAGACTGTCAGAGGACTCACTTATCATAATAGCCTCTGAGAGATACTCTTCTCTGCTTTCTTTGTGGATGATAACTTTCACATGATGTTCAGCAGGAGTCTGATCCACAGGCACTAAGGCAGTCACTTCAGCAGCAGCGGTATGCCTCTCTGACCCGACTCTAATACTGCTCACCTGCTTAGACTCACGGATCTCAGAACAACTCTGAACTGATGCACTGTGGAAGGAAGCCATGGCTTCAGTTTTGACAGCTGCAGACTGAGATACAGCAGGAGGAAACCCTACTGCACTCTCTGCCACTGTCAAGGTGTCCACCACAGTCGACAAAACCTTTTTGGAGGGTGCTGAACTGACCAGCACTCTCTGGGGCTTGTCGATCTGCATGGTACCTGGTTGTTCTGATGTGAGACTCTGCTGTTCCTGGAAAACCATAGCCTTCAGAGCTACCTGGAGTTCAGACCTGAGGTCAGCTGTCTGAGGGTATTCTCCATCAAATGACAGTGTGATCTCCATTGGGGCACCTGGTGTTGTTATCAAGTATGTACATGTGGCCCGTTTGGGCTCTCTGTTAACCTTCACCTCCTGAACCTCCACTGCCTCTAACCTTCCCACAACATCGGCCAGTAACTCTAGCTGGTCACTAGCCACAGCAGACTTAAGAGCATCTCTGAGCTGATGGCGGAGAGGTAAACTGAAAGGCTTGGGAATCTGAATGACAAAGTTGAGTTCCTTGGGAAGAGTCTGAGTGTCCTGAGACTCATGAACAAACAGTACTTCATTAGGCTGCATCTGAATGCTGAGAGCTGAGCCCTCAGACTTATGCATCTCACAGGACTGCTCTCCGGTTATGACACGCTTTTCTTCCAGCAACACCGACCGTTGGACTGTCTGACCTTCCTGGATCTGAACTGCATAGTCCTGCTCAGCTGCTTCTAAGATAGAACAGCTTTCAGTAGCAACTGCCTTCTCCTCAATGAAAACAGGTTTTTTCGGGATCTTGGGCTCAATTCTTGTCTCAGTTTTGAACTTCTCATCAGTTTGAATGCTAATGGTGTGACCCTCCTCCAAAGTCTGAGTGTCTGTGATACTTAAAGAGTGCATGATTCTCCAGTTATCCTCTTTCTGGACTAGGGCACGCTGCTGCTTGGCATCACTCATGAATGGTTCCTCTTTAGGCAGCTGTATGGGTTTGGAGGAGACTGCGAGGATGTTGGAAGACCTGGGCTCAATTTGAAGCTTTGATTGAACTCCAGTTACAGAAACATCTAGATATTTGTGATACTCTGCTGTGATCTCTCTTCGCTCTTCTGAAGAAGCTGCATGAGTTCTAGCCTTTTCCTGCTTCTTGGCGGCCACCTGCTGGTCAGGTTTAGTGATGGTAAGTATGTCTTCCTTTGGTAAAACTGCTACAGAATGAATTGACTGGAGGTATTTAGTTGACGGTAACTCTTTCTTTGGCTGAACAGTTGTAGTATCAGTCTTTGCTGAGAACTCTGAGGTCATTTCACAAACAGTGGTCCTTTGCTCTTCTTGGGTGACAGAGTGCAGAAGTGTTGGACTCTTCCTTGCCTCTGCCTGCTTTGTAGATGGCTTTTCACTGCTGAACCTGCCCTCAGACTGTAAAATATCCTGCTCACTGATAACCTGCAGGTTCAGGACTCTTTCTCCCTCTCTCTGGGGCTGCAGACACAAAGAAGATGCTATGCCTGGCACCTGCCCTGCCTTTTCACCTTGGAGTTCATATCTCTCTTCAGCGGTTACAGCCGACTTATAAACTGTCACTTTGTCTGGGATGATACTCTCCTGTTCTGGTCTGTGTATTTTAAATGTCTGCTCCTTGGATAAAGCCACTCTATTTTCACTCACTGGTGCTACCACTGGTTTAGACTGTTCTCTCTCAATAAAGGGTTCAGTAGCTGAATCTAAATCTGACAGAGACTCACAGTGTCTCTCTGTAATTGGTAGGTGCCCTGTAGATTGAGCCGAGTATAAAATCTTAACCCCCTCTGTGACTCTGAAACTCCTCTCCTCCTCTGGCCTGTGGGTGGCTTCAGAAGTTTCATCTAGGATAGCAAGTGTGGACTGGACTTGGTGACTGCTAATGAGCTGCCTGGGTTCTGTCGATGTCTTCAGGTGCTCTGTAGCCTGCTCCATTAAGGCCTCGGCTCTCACTGTGGAGAGGGGGAGGGTCTCTTCAGTTGTGGCCGACATGAGTTTCGAGGGGTGCTCTTTGGCAAATTCAAGTTCTACGATCTCAGGACTGAGAATCCGTTCAGAGTGCTGCTCGGTGATCTTTTGTTTCTCCTGGACTGAAGATAAGAAGGTTGACATGTGAAGCTGTTTCATAGGGACTGCTGAGACCTGAGGGGGGTGACTGGGAGCTACAGAAACCCTTTCCTGTATTTCATGAGACTGCAGCACTGCAGCCTGCTGGGTGAGCAGCTCTCGTTGAAGGGTGGCCGCAGAGATATCAAGCTCCCTGAAGGTTCCTGCCTCCTCACTGGGAATAATCTGCCTGTCTTCAGTGCTAATGGTGTAAATCATCTGATCAGACAGGGTCCTCTCAGCTAAAAATCTTGATTCTGTGGTTTGTTCAGTCATGGATATTTTCAAACCTTTGGTTTTCTTAACCATTGTGTGCTCTTCCTGAACCTTCTCCCTGCACACCAGTAGCTTGGCAGAACAAGAAGCCTCTCCGTATTGGTTGGAGGCTTTACAGGTGTAGACACCACTGTGCTCTTGTTTGACACTCTTTAAATTCATAAAGCCTGATCCATCTGGGTTGCTCACAATGATACAGAACCCACCAGGCTGAATGTGAAAGCTGCCTTTGAGCCACTGAATCTCAGGAAGAGGATCTCCTGTCGCCATGTATCTGAAGAAGGCCTGACCGCCTTCAAACAGCTGAACAGACTCAATATTTTTGATGAATTCTGGGGCTTTTCCAGCAGGTACAGAGGGTTTTCTGTCTACTGTTTCCTCTTTTTCTGGCCCCTTAACCTGAACATGCATATGAGAGGTGCAGGTTGATTTGCCAAATCTATTACTGACAGTACACGAGTACTCTCCCTCAAATTCCCTTTGAACTTTGGTGATGACCAAGCTGAACTCATCCCGCTCGTGGATGAATGTATACACGGACGACTTTGTTATAGTCTGCCCGTTGTAGAACCACTGAACAGTGGGTTTAGGGAAACCTGACACTCTGACTGTCAATTTAGCAGTTTCTCCAACAGTCACAGCTGCTGGAGAAAGTTGGCTGAGAAAAACTGGCTTTTCTTTCTTATTCTCCAAATTGCTGGAGAAGCGTTTGGACTCAGGCTTAAGTTCAAGTGTTCTGGTTTTATCTGCTAGTTTGAGACCAGTGTAGTAAGACTCTTGGGTTTCCTCTTCCTCTGTGATGGTTGAGCTAGAGAAAGCTGAGTGACATAACAACATTTTAAAGGAAAGTGAGACCCACAGTCCAAAAACAGCGAACATCATATTCAGGTAGACTCAGAGGTACAGTTAAACGTTTCTAAACAACAGTTTTTGGGGCAAATAGAACCACTTGTGCATATTTTAAAAACATGTTATTTAGTCATGTAAAGCATCTGAAATTCAAAGTGAGATATCCAAACACACCTATAACCTTCTGAATCATGAAATACGACTTTTTATGTAACATTTCTTAACAGCCCAACCTGAAGAAAAGTCAAAACAACTTAAACACTTTCTGTGTCAAGATAGGACCTCTCTGTTGGAAAGAAACAATATTTACCTTTCACTTCTTCCTTGACCTGATCCGTAGGTTCCTTCTGCACTTCAGTTACTGTGAAGACACAAACATTTTCAAATTAATAACACTCCCAAAACTGCACATAAAGCCGCATATGGTGCAAGACTGTTAGAATCAGTGACAAGTCGTGCATCCATATTATCCATTTGTCTTCTCTTTAAACTTTTGGACATGCTTCCTTTTGGTCTTTAGTGTACGACACTTGTCTTTTTTCAAAACTCTCAGTGATGTGAGTGTCCCTCTCTCTTTGTCATCTAAAACAGAGGTTAAAACCTTGTTGAAGAGGAGCTGTCACCGTGTGAAGAAGTGTGCCTCTGCTGGCTGTGTAGGTGGAAAGCAGTGTGGATGAGTGGTGGGCCAAACAGCCCGAGCGAGCAGAAGGACCAAAAGCATGCAGATGCCAACCTTTCATCACCGTGTTGCACTCAGCATCGTCAGCTGAGGTCACATTTTTGCAAGTGTAAGAGCCCCCTTGTCCGGGTCCCATATTGTTAACATTTACACAGCACAAGGGGCCGTCATGTTTCAGCGAGTAAGACACAGAATCCTCAACATTCAACCGGTTGTAAAGCCAAATGAGGAACGGGGAGGGAACCCCCTTCATAACGCAATACAAGGAGCCGCTGTCTCTGTTTGTGATCAGAAGCTCAGACGGCAGTTTGATCAGGAACTCAGGGAAGCTGGAGAGACGCTGAGGCTCCACGTCAGGGAAGTATAGGTGGCTGATGAGGCTGTAAGGTCTCTGGGAAGATGGAGGAGATGGTCCAGGCTTGTCCACAACCTCCTGCTTTTCTTGGTTGGGGGGGTCACTAGGGGTCTCCCTGTCTGCCTGAGACACTTTACGTACAGAATCAGCGGGAATGGGGGTTTCTGCTTTGAGATTTGCTTCTTTAGCTGGGTGAGAATAAAGTTAGGGAGAGGAATTAGGGGTCAGAGTTTCAAAGGCTATGACTCCAGACACTAAAGGGGTTAGTGGGATGTATGGATGTGGTTAGTGAGAAGCTTGGAACAGCGGGAGACTTGTTATTGTATTACATTTTAACAGGTTACAGGCTAACAGGACATATTAAATCATGGGAGGAGGGGGCGAAGCAGGAGGAGCAGGTGGAGTGGAGGATGGACCAGATGTAAAAAAAGAAAGATTAACCACCTTCGACGGTCAGCTTGGCAGAGGAGCTGATCTGGCCGTGTTGGTTGGTGGCGGTGCAGCAGTACATGCCCTGATCTGCCATGCCAACACTCTGGATGATCAGAGACAACAGCCCCCCCATTTGAGAGCTCCTCACCCGCTCCGTGTCCGCCAGACTTTGGCCATTGTGATCCCACACTACCCCAGTGAAGGGCTGCCCTTTGAAGGAGCAGCTGAACTCAGCCATCTCTCCGCTTTTCACACGGATGTCGCTCATTTCCATCAACAGTTCAGGTCTGGTCGAGAGTTTGATATCAAAGATGCTGTCAGAGCTCATCTCCAGTGAGCTCATACTCTCCATCTGAATCTCAACAGTCCTCCAAGACACTGAGGAACTCTCAGAGACTGACTCAGAAAACTCAACCTTGTGGGAAGTTTGTCCCACAGACGGAGAGCTGAAATGTTCACTCTGAGTCTCAGCCACAGTGCTTGACACACTAGCTAAGGCTTTTTCATCTGGGCAACAAGAAAGAGTTAGAAGAAGAGTTAGGTCAACACATCATTCTGCTGACTTCTTCAGGTTACTTGAGTAAAAACTGGTTTGACAAGAGTGCAGCCAGGGTGGAGCGCTGCTGATCAGTGACCATCAGTGAGAGAGTGGACAGTGGCTGTTTCCGCTGTCAATCATGCAAGCTTGATTGGAGACAAAAATCTAAATCAAAACCAGCTATTGGATTATGTCGGTGCCTGAGAGTGAGGAACCCGGAAACTTAGATTGCCAGAGTTCAGCTCTGTTTAGAGCATGCTGCATTCCTCTGAAAGAAAAACTGATGTTTCAGAATAAAGGCGTCAGGTTTTAAGAGCTTGAATAAAGGATAGACGTGCATCACAAAAGAGTAACCTAAATGATCATCATGTTTGCTGTCAGTAAAGATGTGAGAAAACAGCCACAAGAGACAACAGGCTTCAGTTCTGAGTGATGAGTGTTTGTCTTGCATGCTCACAAACACTATAATATCAGAATGAAAGGATTCAACATTTTTCATCGGCTGATCTGGGAGGCTGTCTGCATCAAGTTGTTATCAAGGAGAAGGGTTTCAGTTGGACCTGTGACAAGAATACTTCTTGGACTTTGTTATTGTGAAGAAAAGAAACGTTTCTCTAAGTGAAGTTAATAAACTAACCTCTCTAGCTAACAAACAAGCCTCTTTAGCTAACAAACTAGCCTCTTTAGCAGCTGATCTATGCAGTTTGGTCTGGAGAAGTAATTTAAGTACTTTTTAACTGTTGTATTGCAACTTTAAATAAATAGTTCTCTAAAAACGTTTAGCTTGATAGTAACTATGAGCAACTGTTTCAACATTTGGGAAAGATTTTCTTTCACCGAAGCAGCACGCAACTTCCCTTCTATGTGCTAAGCTAATTTAAACCCTTCTAATCTGATACCCAGTGGCTGTGGACTAGCTAATGCTAGCTTTCTAGTAACACCAGTTAACACCAGCTGTGTTAATGAATTTTATTTTATTTAGTGGCAGTTCTAACATAAATAGTGGGCACAAAGAGGTTACTGGCCCCTTTGTTGAACTTGACATCATGGCAGTCAGTCATAGATGCCATACAGATTTTTTTTTGAGAATATGATGAATCCTTAAGCAGAAATCTAAATTCTGTGTTAGCTGGAAGCTATCCCAGGTCATCCTAACTTTCCCCTGCTAAACCCAGTGTTTCTCTCCTATCAAAGTCATCTCATGCAGTGAACAGTAGCCTGAAAACATCCATAACACTTCAACCACTTGAAGTACTCACCATCAATATTCAAAGTGGCAGCACTTGTGGACATTCCTGCTGAATTTGTGGCCACACATGAATATTCTGCTTCATGGCTGGTTTGAACTTTGGAAATGTCCAGCTGGCAGATGTCACCATAATGAGACATCCTAAAGATGTCCGACTGTCTGATCTCTCTGTCATTACAGAACCAAGAAACCTGCAGATCTGGAGACACAGTGTTCAGTCAGCATCATGCACAGCACATGTTGAATTCTGTCAACTACAGTCCCCAGAGCACTGGGAGCTTCAACTGTGACAGGATTTATTTCATTATAAAGTGAGAGGTGGTCCCTACCTTCCCCAGAGATGGTGCACTGGAAACGGGCAGGATGACCCTCTGCAACCAGGACGTCCCGCATGGGAGCCAAAAGGACTGGAGCAGAGAGCCGCACAGTTTCGACCACCTCAGGAACTAAACGACAGACAAAATCACAAAAACATCAATATGCTTTGCCGTGAACTTAATACCTTATATAAAACCTTAAAGAAAAAAGCACATTCCACCATGCCAAACCTTGAAGTGATACATTTCTATATTTACCTTCCACAGTGAGAGGGGCGGAGCTTGTCGCCTCTCCATAGTCGTTCTTGGCTTCGCAGCTGTAGACGGCAGCGTCTTCAGGGAAGACTTCGAGCAGCATCAGTGTGTGCTCATCCGCGTCATGGAGGAACTTGCACTTGTAGCTGGTGGACAGAGCCTGAGAATCTTTGTACCAGAAGACCTGAGGCAACGGGATGCCGCTCACCTGCACCGAGAAGCGCACTGATCTACCTGATGTTGCGGTCTGGGGCTGCATATGGCGAATGATCTGAGGAGGCTCCGGCACTGGAAATAGGAGAGATGAAGCTTTTTAGCAAGATCTCAGGAAACATTACGTCAGTGTTTGCAGAGTTTAAATGATTACATAAAACATAAGTAAAAAACAGAATGAATACAGAGTGAATATGTTTGATCAGGAGAGTGAACTGATTGTCTCTGTGACGTCTCTTACGTTTAACATGGAGGTTCATGGTGCTCCTGTTCTTGCCGGCTAAGAAGGTGTACTCGCCGGCATCACTTCTGTACGTCTCAGAGATAGTGAGGCGGTGCAGCTTCCTGATGGTAGCGTAGTTGAACCTCTCCTCCATTGAGAACTGGATCTCCACCCCATTCCTCAGCCAGTGACCCTCCACATCATCCTCATTCACCTCGAACTCAAAGGTTGCCCTTTGTTTCTCAACAACCTGCAGAAACATGAGATATTGGTTTAAAATGATAATGAGATTCTGGCTGAAATCTGCTGATCTTTGGTTGGAACATACAGCAAACTAAAGAATATGCTAAAGCTAATCTGTAATAGATGCTGGATGACTATAAAATCTTACAGTGATGTCTCTGCTGGCAGGCTCTGAGATTTTGACGTTCCGTCCCTCCACTGCCAGCCGGCCCATCGACATGCTTGACCCGGCGACAGCGGTGTATTCACCGGCATCAGACAGACGGACAGACGGCAGAGCCAGGCGGTGCACCAATTTATCTGAGGTCATTTTATATCTGCAGGAAACAAATAAAGATAGTATAGAACACTGAATCAGAGATGTTCTTTGTTTGCATGATGTGTGATGTATAATCTTTAAACTACTGTACCTGTCGGACATCTCAAGCTCCTGACCGTCCTTCATCCACATCACCTGGATATTAGGTTCGGAAACTTCACACTCAAACGTCGCTCTCTTTTTCTCTGTGATCTTCAGGTCCTTCAGGTGTTTGGTGAACTCAACAACACGAGCTGTAGAAAACACGGAGAATGAACGTGTGCGCCAACAAGGTTCTATCAAGGCTTGGTGGAAAAAAGCTACAAGGAAAAACAATCTTACCTTCAACATAGAGTTTGGCTGTAGTGACTGCAGAGCCGGCCATGAAGGTGTACTCAGCGCTGTCTCCGAAGTGAACATTCCTGATGCTCAGAGTGTGACTGAGCTGTTTGCAGCGAGTCTGACATCTGTCCGTGGACCGGATCTCCACGCCATTCTTCAGCCATTTGTAGGTGATTCCTTCGTAGTTGACGTTGACCTCGAAAGTGACCGTGTCTTTTTCCTGAGCATTCAGGTTTTCCAGCATTGTAGTGATAAGGACGGCTGGTAAGCAACAAAAACTAACGGTTAGTTTATTGAAACCTTGATATGGCCATTAATCTTTAAAAAATGCAAAAAGGCCTTAAAAATCAAGAGGTCTTTTGTGAAATAGACAACACAATCATGAATTTAATCTGAAATTTAAAAATCGGGTCTCCTTGTCTGGAGCTTTAAATCTCATATCATAAAATGTGTTATTAATGGTAGCTAAGGAAACAATCTTACGGCTAACGGTTAGCATAGCCGACACTCGGTCGTTCCCGCAGACGAAGGTGTACTCTGCGGAGTCATCCCTGCTGGTGTTCATGATCTTCAGCTGGTGGAGTTTCCCTTGAACCACAATCCGGAACTTCTCGCTCATCTCAATCTCCACACCGTCTTTCAGCCAGGTGGACGGCACATTGAAGTGAGACACTTCACACTCAAGTGTGGCCACCTGAGTTTCTGGGACCTCCACGCTCTTCAGGGGTTTGGTGACGCGCAGAGCTGTGAGTAAAATGTCCTTATTAATATATTTTACATACACGACGGCTTTCCACTACAAAAGATGTTTGTCATTTAATAAACTTACACTCCACAGTGAGGCGAGCGATGCACTGAAGGTGGCCCACCACAGCTGTGTACTCTCCCTCTTTGCTGTTGTCCACATCCTGGACAATCAGTTTGTGGTTCTTCTTCTCAGACAGCATCCTGTAGTGCTCGTTGGGCCTCAGCTCTGTGTTGTTGAACATCCATTTCACAGGGATGTCGTCCTCAGAGATGCCCACCTCAAACATGGCAGTTGCACCCAACAGAGATGTCACATCCTTTGGCTTCTTCAGAATCTTGAGGGCTGTAAGAACGTTTATTTTGTTAATTTTTTACTTCTGGCTACTTTATGAGAAATCTGACATCTTGTGTTTCCAATATTTTCGAACGATCAGTTGTTGCTTACTTTCAACGTTAAGCCTGGCATTGGCTGCCAGTTTCCCCAGTTTAAAGGAGTAGACAGACTCATCCTGTGTGGTGCAGTTCTTGATCTTCAGGGTGTGGACTGTGCCTTCAATTGTGATCTCATATTTATTGCTGTTCTGGACCTCCACACCGTTTTTGATCCATTGTGCTCCCCTCACATCCTCATGGGTCAGCTCCAGGCTGAACACAGCTTCCTGAGTCTGAACCACGTTCAGGTTCTTCAGAGTCTTCTTGATCTTCACAGCTGTGGAGAAATAATCCAATTTCAGTAATCTGTATCAGTGGATGACTTAATTCAGTTGCTTTAAACCTAGGAGATCAAATCGCCATTGGGATGATCAGGTATTTCCCAACAAACCACACTACAATTAGCTGACTTTTTGCTTTTTATTTTATAATTTGAGTAAATACTTTTGGTAAAGATTATGGATAACCATCCTACTATCTTTTACATTTTAGTGTATCTAATTTCTATCTTGGATTTTCCTCCTCAGAGTCCATATTTCCGAATTCACCAATACTGTTTTTTTGTGGGTGTGTCTTATTGGCAGGTAAGTGAACTTGGCAAAATAATCCAAGTTTGGTTTTCAAATTCAGATTCAGCAACATGACAAAAAATACTTTAAAGAAATGCTCAACTGATAAGTGTTGCCCATACTGCAGATAAATAGTTCCATATTATAAAGTACCTGAAAATCAATTCTGATACCTCAATGTGTTTTTCATAAAGAATGTACGTGGACCTACCCTCCACTTTCAGGGTGGCTGAGGTCAAGGACGTAGCCACCTGATAGGTGTACTCTCCAACGTCTGTGGCTTTGGTGATATTGATGATGAGGCGTCTGACGGCACCGTCCACCTCGCTTAGCGTGTTCTCATTGAAGTCAACAGGTTGTCCTTCTTTCAGCCACCTGCCCTCAGCGGAGGGGTTGGCAACCTCACACTCCAGCACCGAAGTCTGGGAGTCGGCCACCACCAAATCCCGCAGGGGCTTTTTAATTGCTCCACCTGGTGAAAGAAGACAGTTGTTGATTAGTCCAGTCGGCACTGAAATGTGTTTCCATATGATTCTTTTTATTTATACTCAATTTGATCATTTTGGCTAATCTTACCTGAGACTGTGAGCAAAGCACTGCTCATCTTCTCACCAGCAGCAAACATGTACTCGCCCTCTTCATCCTTCATGGCGTTCATGACAGTCAGGGTGTGGCGCTTGTTCTTGGACTCCATCTTGTATTTTGCGCTAGCTTTCAGTGGCTGCCTCTTGAAGGTCCAGAAAGCGTCAATACCCAAGTGAGAAACCTCGACTTCGAAAGTGACATTCTCAGACTCTGAGCACTCCTTGTCCGACATCGGTTTCAGGATCTTGACAGCTGTTGGGTCGGAACAACAGTTAGAGTCAGTTAACTTATTATCAACAAACTGTCTTCCGCATTCAGAATATCAAACGTCTGCAGTCAAAGAGATCTGTTTCTGTTGGGACATCAAATATTTTTCTCAAGGGTTGAACATCTTGTCATTTTCTTGGTTTTAGAAGCAAATCTAATACAGGTTATCATGTCATTTAACTTTGTCAGAACAAGGCATATATGGTTACTCATCTTATTTAAAACATAGGTAATCTTTCTTTAAACAACTTACTCTGAACAGAAAGCCTGCAGCTGGTATCAGTGCGGCCGACCACCAGTTTGTACTGTCCTTCATCGGAGGCATAGGTCCTGTTGAAGACCAGACGCTGCTTGGCTCCCTTAGCCACCATCTGGATGCGGTCACTGGGCGTTAGCTGTTTGTCATTGTGGTACCATTTGACTGAGCTGACATCCTGAGCAGAGATCTTGGTCTCCAGAACAGCTTTGGTTCCTTCAACGGCACTTGTGTCCTTCAGTGGAATCAAGATGCCGATTGCTGAAACACAATTAAATGTGTAAGATTTTGCTTTGGCATAATGAATATTTCAGGAGAAACATGAAGTGTGTGGTGTCTTACTCTGAATGACCAGCTTTGCAGTGGTTGAGATGCCGTGATCAGGAACCACAAAGGAGTACATTCCATAGTCGTCCTTGTTGGTGTCTTCAATCAGGAGCTTGTGGATCTGTCGGTCAATAACCATGTGCACACGGTTTGAAGCTGAGACCGGCTGCCCGTTCCTCATCCAGGATCCCTCAACGTTCTCCTGGGAGAACTTAACCTCCAGCTGTGCAATGTCACCCTCGCACACCGTCATGTCACTTAAAGGCTGCATCATGGTCACTGGGCGCACTGAAACATCAAGATAACATGTTAAGAATCTGATATAAATTAAGGCGGACTAGCGCGTCCTAGAGGCTATACTCTCATTTACATCCCAATATATGGAACAAGGCAATGTTTGAATGAGTTTGAATGTTGGCATGGGTTACTTCAAGTTACTCTCAAAACTCACATTTCATCTTCAGTGAAGCACTTGTCTTAAACTCTCCGACTTTGAAGGTATATTTTCCCTGATCCTCCTTCTTCACATCTTTGACTGACAGGGCGTGTCTTCCGCGGCGGGAGGTCATAACATATTTACTGCTAGGAGACAGCAGCTTTTCCCCGAAGAACCAGCTGCCTTCAGCGTCCTCACGAGATACAACACACTCAAACTCTCCAGAGTAGGTCTCAGGTACCTCTGTGCTCTCCAGCTGCTTCACGATCTCCAGCGGGGCTCCTGGTTATAACAAGGTACAGAGGATATGTCAAGGTACAGAGGATATGTGGATCAAATTGTCTTGGACAGATATATGACAGCTGAATCTAGGCCTTGCTCAGTCTCACACAACACAGGCTATTGTCTAATGACAGTGTAAAGCTACTTATTGACATTGATAAAAAGCTTAATGGCAGACAAGAGATCTAGGGATTGCATCTTGCACAATGCATTCTAAGTTTTAAGCTCCCACCACTGACTATTTCCTTCAAACAACTCAAACCTGCTTAATTGTCATTAGTTAATTTGACCTGAACAATAAATGGACACCAGAATGCTTCCTACGTTACAAATTTGTCCCTCCTGAACACATTCTGCATTGATCTGCAGACATCTGTTTATTGAGATAAGTTATCGGCCAACCCACCTTCAACGTTCAGCTTAGCAGTTGTTCTGACATCATCATCGATAACCATGCAGGTGAATTCTGCATCATCCCTCATGTCAATAATCAGCACAGACAGGAAGTGGACCTTTCTGTCAGAGTGCATTCTGTATTTATCTCCAGAGAAGATCTCCATGTTGTTCTTCAGCCATTTCACCTTGACGAAAGGCTCGTTAGTTTCACACTCAAAGGTAGCCATGGTGTCCTTCTCCTTTGCATTGACGTCCTCCAGTTTCTGTGTGAATGTGATGACTTGCTTCCCTGAAAACATTGTGTAACAACCTTTGTTAGAAACATACAACAAATAAAATGATGAACTATAGTTAAAATGTATGAAGTGCATTACCTTGCACAAGCAAGAAAGCATGGCTTGAAGTCTCTCCGGCTTTGCTTGTAGCTTTAACCATGATGCTGGCAGAATCCTCCACACGGACGTTTCTGATCACCAGCTCACACACATGATCCTCAGGCCAGTACCAGTAAATACGGTCAGACTTCTCCAGCTGAACACCGTTCTTGAACCACTGGCACTCAGGTTCCGGTCTCCCCACAACTCTGACTCGAAACTTGACCTCTTCACCCTGAGCAACTGTCTGGCTGGTGATACGCTCCAGGATCTTTGGAGCCTCCATGCTGGCTGAGAGCTTGACTCTTTCTGGTTTAAGTGGTTTAGCTGTAACTTTGCGGCGCTCTTCTTCTTTCTTCTTTTCAGCCTCCTCCTTCTGCTTGGCACGGTGAGCCAGCTCGTCCTTCGTTTTCTTCAGGAGATCTTCATAGGACTCATCCCTCTTACGTGCCTTGAGCTCCACTGCTGTGATGGACTCATAATAACCTTCTTCCGTCCTGCGCTTGAACTTGCTCCTCAGCTCCTCTGACTCCTCTGTGGCTTTCGCATGGACTACTCTTTGGGCTTTCTTCAGCTTGACCACTTCTTTCAGCTGAGAGTCTTCTGCAGTTGCCTCGGCCTTCACCACCTCAAATGATATTTTTCCAGGTTCGGTTGCAGCTTCAGCTCCCTTGCCCTCAGGTGCACGGCGCAGATGTGTTCTGAAGTCCTCTTTCTGCCCAATCTCAAGTTTCACAGTGTGCTCTGCTACACCAATGCTGTTGTCAGCCACTACTTTCACCTCTCCTGAATCATAGGATTTGATTTCAATGATCTCAAGATAATAAATGCCATCATAGCGAAGTCTGTATCTCTTGCTTTTGCGGATAAGTTGTCCGTTGAGGTACCAGTTAACCTTCGGGGCTGGATAGCCGGTCACTCTGCAACGGAATCTAGCTGTGTCACCCTCCATAACACTGGCTGGTTCAGGAAGAAGGACAATCTCAGGTTTTGTTTTCTCAGTTTCTTCTTCAGCTGTGACTCCATAGGGTCCTCCCTCGTGAGCCATGCGTTCCATCTCATCAATTCGGTGTGCCCCCTTCCTGCCTTCAGGAAGCTGCGATTCCTCCACAAGGCCCTTCTCATCCTTCACAACAAAGGTGGCCGAGGTCTGGTCGACTCCAAACTTGTTTGTGGCTCTGCAGGTGATGACACCGCTGTCTCTAGCATAAGCAACCTCATAGTCGAGACTGCAGTAACCAAACTCGTTGACCATTCGCATTCTGTTAGCAGCTGCCAGGGGTTTGCCGTCATGCAGCCACTCCACCACCATGGTAGGGTCACCAATGGGAGTTAGTCTGCACTCAAAATGAGCGGGACCAATGCGCTTCATTCTGATAGAGGTCAGCTTCTTCTTGAACTGAGGTTTCTGCTGCTTCTCTTTGTCATAAAGGTCACCCTCCTCCCACTGCTCTTGACCGTATCGCTGATGAAGGGGCTCCAACTCTGGAGCTGCGATGTCTTTGGCTTTGTACGTTCCTTTGGGAATAATGAGCTTCCTCTCTGGTTCAGGTTCAACATAATCAACCTCAACATTGACTCTGCAGCGTGTGGTGTCTCTGCCAGCCTTGTTGATGGCTGTAGCGGTGTACCAGGCACTGTCTGAGCCAGCTGCTGAGGGAATCTGGAATTTGGCATCTCCTCTCGTTCCTTCAACCCTGAAAAATGGATTTGCAATATTAAAAAACCAATACACATTGGTTTTCATTACAGTGGATCTTTTGAGGGGTAGTTAAGTGGAACCTGACTCAAAGATTAGCAATTTTTAAAGAACTAAGCATTTGATGTTATAATGTGGTTTTCAATCAAAGTTCAGTCAATTATACCTTATGTTTGGGTGCTTGTGTGGGGTGATAATGTCGCTGTTTTTCAGCCAGACAATATCAGGCAGAGGATTTCCAATGGCTTTTACAGCCAGTTCAACAAGAGTACCCTGCTTCACGCTGATATTCTTCAGTTTCTCAATAAACTGGGGGCGCACCAAAGTTTCCTTAGCTGCAAAAGAAGAAAATAAATAATCAAGAAACTTTAAGTTGATCAGATGTTTATAGGAATCCTTCTTCTTCAATGTGTAGGGTTAGCTGCAGTTTTACCATCAACTGTGAGGGTCACAGAGATGGATGAACGTCCAGCTCTGTTCTGAGCAATGACGGTCCACTCTCCAGAGTCGTGAGGCAAGGCTGGGACAATAATAAGGGATTGGGTACCATCCTCTTTAACCACTATCTTGTGGGTGTAGTCACTTACTACTTGTTGTCCTTAGAAGTCAACAAAAAGAGTTTGATTATTGTGAGGCCATAAAAACGTTTGATTAACACAACAATGAGATTTGTCTGTTTTTACTCACCGTTGTGGAACCAGTATGTGTCGGGCATGGGTCTGCCAACGATTTTCAGGTCAAACCTTGCAGTCTGCCCCTCAGAACATTTACACGAAGAAGGCTTCATTACAAACACAGGCTTGTAGAGCCTCTCCAGCTGAGCCTCATCTGTCTCATCAAGCCTTCTGGCAGGAGAGCGTCCAGGAGAACGACTTGAAGAACGTCCAGGAGAGCGGCTCAGAGAACGGGGAGATGTGGACCTGTGGACAAGGTAGATCAGTGTTAAACAAGGTGTCCACATTTCTGTATCTTAGGAGTACTTGTCAGTCCTTTGAGGGAGACATTACCTGATTCTCTGCATCGCTGGCTGTGGTGTGTATCTTTGAGGGGCTCCAGCTCCAGATGACTCAATGTAGAGCTTTCCAGAGCTGACAGCATTTCCTGTCATGTTGGTGGTGAGGGCGGTGTACACGCCTTCATCCTCTGGCAGAACCACTGGCAAACGCAGGCTGGCTCGTCCATCCTGAAGAACTTCCATCTGGTAACGGTCGCTAGTCCTGATTCGCTGTCCATCTTTGAACCAAGCAATCTAGTAGAAGACAAAATGTCATTGTAGGCTTTTTGGTTAATTCATTAGAATGAGGGAATGACAATGATGGAAACCTAATTTTCAATGTTCTGTACCTTGGGAAGTGGTATTCCAGACATCTTGCAGTGGAAAGTTACACCCATTCCTTCCATGATTCTGTAGTTTTTGACAGGTGTGTCAAAGGAAGGCTGCTGGGCCTCAGTGGCAGAAGCAGTCATTATTGTTTCTCCATCCTCAGTCACTATTTCAGTGTAGGTAATCTGCATAATACGTAGTTCAATCTCCTGGATAATCCTCTGCTCAATGGCAGAAAGGTGGAATTCCTACAAAAGATGAGACATTACAGATAAAGTATTCAGGACCTATGATTGGCACTTTTGTTTTAGTTAAGCCTATCAATCAATCCTACCAATCACTGTTGGTTGGTTATGAAAATTTTGGTAAAACCAAATTTGCTAGGCAAACTTGTCATTTTAAGATGAGGACTGGAAGAACCATTGCAAATGATACAAACAATTACATTTTCAAAAAAAAATTGTGTATTTTTTGGGCCATTTTTGCCTTTATTGAGGTCAGCACATATTGACAGTAAATCAAGGGAGGATAGAGTGGGAGAAGATGTGCAGCAAATGTTGAGGGTGGGACTTGAACCCTGGTCGGCAAAGAGAACTATAGCATCTGCACATTGGGTGCACGATCCACCACTGAGCTTAACAGATGCCCTTAAGTATTTGTCTTTTTTCCTCATCTTTCTTCCTTAGTGCAGCCTTTTCTTGGGGTTAATCGATATCTAACACTAGTGCCAACAAGGTTTACCTCACCCAATCCCTCAGGGGCCCTATATGGCCATAGTGAACAGAAATACCTGAATGTTTGTATTTTATGTTGAATTTATCATTGTGAAATCTCCCGTAGAAACCAATTTGTGTCCTTCAGGCAGTAGCTGGAAGATGGAGTACAGTCTGCCCCAAAGCCCACTGGTGGGTAAAGCTGGCGTTGTTTATTCGATGTAGTGTACATAAATTGCAGGTACCCCTGATATATGATATACTTCCATAATCAAAAACTTCTAGAGAACAACCTCCTACCATAATGATGCTCCTACCTGTCCAGAGATAATGGTGGTCATCTGCGCCATTGGTGTAACAACCACAGGGGGAACATCACCCACTCTGGGCTCCTGCACTACTGCCATCACTTCAGTCTTAAAGGTAACCTCCTGTGTCTTCATATAAATTTCATATTCCTCTGTAAAGACAAAGCATTTAACATTAGAAAATCTGACAAAATAAACCTGACATTGGAACAAGAAGGTTTTAGGACTTGGTCTACTTTGAACTTTTTTAGATATAACTTATATCCTAGTCTTATCTCTATTCGTCTTTGCCCTCCTGTCTCTCTCTTTAGCATGTTATATTGGCTGTAGCTCAGTTGGTAGAGTTGTTACCTCTCAACTGGAAGATCAAGGGTTCAATCCCCAGCTGAGCAATGTGTACTCAGGCAAGACACTTGCATTGTGCTGTATGAATGGATTAGTGTTGTACTTACTCTCACTGATGTACTTCACTTTGGATAAAAGTGTCTGCTAAGTGAATTGTAACATTTTATATCATTGATACAGATAACAACTTACCTTCTTCCAGCAGACTGACAGAGGCTGAGACCTCTCCAAGCTGGTTCTTGGCAAAAACAGAGTATTCTCCGGCATCATCAGCAAAGGTCATGGAGATCTCCAACCTGCATTCTCCAGTGTCCTTCTTGTAGGCCACTTTGTATCTGATCGACATTTTGGAGGGGATGTCATTAAAACCCGAGCTTTGTAAGCACTGAATATGTAGCCCTGATCACATGTTTTAAATATAAGCTCATACCTGTATCCAGTAGTGAGTGGTATGCCACTCTTCTTCCAGATGATGTGAGGTTTGGGGCTCCCTCCAATCTGGCAGTCAAACAAGACACTTCCTCCTTCCACCAGCTTTTGAGCGGTGGGTTTCTTGATAAAGAAAGGAGCAGCGGCAGCAGTGTCGGACTCAGCTGCGCTCACCTGAGACATGGTCTCATCTTTGGCTTCTTCAGTGACTCTGAAAACATAATTGTCTTTTTAGAATTACAGGCCAAGAAGTAGGGCTAGCTATCTTCACATAGAGATCCTGAGGAATCCTTTCTTGAGTTCAACTTTGAAAAATATTGACAATCTTGATTAACCCTTTACCAGTGTTTCCCCTACCATTATATCAGCCCCCCCCCCCCCAACACTGTAAACCTAGGGGAAACACTGCTTTACTAAAGATACTTGATCAACTCACAGTTTCTCAACAGTTTCAACTTCCTCTCTGCTCTCAATTTCCTCAGACACTGAAAGACAAAAACTTGGTTACAATACAAGGTAGAGACAAAACTGACGCAAAAAACTTAAGTCCAACTTTAGTCCATATGTAGAAATTCATCCTGGAATCAAAGTTGCACACATTAAACTACCGAACCAGCACTGTCAATAAAAATAACAGCAGCAAACAAAAACATGCCTGCAGTATGGAAAGGGAAAACTAAACGTAACAAGAGTATCGATAGCAGCAGGAGTTAGCAAAGGGTAAGAAATAGACTGTCGCTAGAAGTGACCCAACAATGAGCTCAAGGGTATAAAGAGGTAAATGGAATATTAATGAAACCAAGGGATGGTTTGTAAATGGATGATTCTCATCTGCTGTTTCTGTTTGTACTGACCCTGGACGAGCAGGTAGCAGGAGGTGCTGACGGTTCCAGCCTCATTTGTTGCTGTGCAGGTGAAGCGTCCGCTGTCTTCAGCGAACGCCTCGCGGATCACCAGCTGGGCGATTCCGTTCTCATAAGTAATCTGGAAATCAATGGAGCTCTCGATCTTGTAGTCCTCTCTGAACCACATGATGACGGGTGCAGGGTGACCACTGATCTGGCACTCCAGGGTCACCGACTCGCCCTCCGTCACATTTGTGTTTTTCAAACCCTAAAGACAAAACACTACACTTTTAGAAAATGCCACTTTCCAAACAGCCCATAAACATGTTTTGTGGTTTTGATGAAGACACTTACAGACACCAGTGTGGGAGGGACCACGCCGCCACCTGCTGAAGGTACAGCTGCTGTCTCCACTGCCTGTTGTAGAATCACAGATCTGTTAGCACAAGACAACTAAACAAAGAGTGTCACTAATTCTAAAATCAATGACATGGACACCACATAGCAACACACTTAGGACAGGATATGGGATGGGCAGATGTTGAAATGTAACATGTTAAGAAAGATAAGAAGATGGATGAGAGGCTTGATGGGCTGAAGAAATTAGATGAAGTTGTCAATTACACCGACAGGCGAGTTAAACAGTTATTTAACATATGATAAACTCTGGATGTAACAGAAATGAAGAAAACCGGACTGAAAACAAGACATCATGGCAAGAAGGGGCCCCTAAGAGTCACAATGTTCGTCATCATAAAATTTCTTTCCAGCACTTAACATCCGTTAGCCCTGTGAGTTAAGATGGTAAAATATAATGTTGTGATGATCAAAATGGTTCAAACACGAGGGGAAATCCTGTTCTGGATACCTTGAATAAACACAAAAAATAAATCTGTGATATTCTGCCCAGTAAATCTTTGGTTTTCCTGCACTAATCTAAAGTCTTGGACAGACAAAACAATGATTCTTTGCAATTTAAGAAATGGTTTGTTCTTAAATAACTCATCAGGTTTTCTTGTTCTGTTCAGATCCAGCCAACCAAACTAGATTACAAACCTGGGCTCCCCAGTCCTCATACATTCTCTCCAGACCCCCAGAGTACACCACCCCTGTCAGTAACTCAGCACCGTAATGACTCTGATATTTCTCAGTGAGCTCTTTAAACGGTGCAGGGATGGACTCCAGGGTCTCTCTGGCCTCCCCCACTCTATGAGACGGGATGGGAGACTTGACAGGCCTGATGATCTTTTTAGTGGTGGCAGAGCTTGAGGATAACTCTTTCTGTAGAGTGGCAATCGCCGAGCCGGCAATGGAAACCTGACCAACCCAAAGAGGAGGAACAGCCAAACCATCATCATCAACAAACAACGTTGGTTCTGTTTAAGTCTACACCACAGCAGGGGGAGGGATCTACGATACGTTAGTTATATTAAATCTAAAAAGATCATAAAAAGAAATGAACATTTAGGAAGAAGCTGGATTAATCCGTGGGTTCTGCAGTGTCGTTATTGTTGAAGCAAGTGGAGAAAAACCAGGTTAAAGGCTGAGCTGATGTTGTTATTTTATGGATTTAGTTATGATTATTATTTATTATTATTATTATGACTTTAAGCTTCCACAAGTCAGTATTTCAGGCAAGCTTTAAAAACTGTTAACCATTCGCTACACATCTCCCTCCAACAGCAACGGTACAATAACAGCCTGGAAACAGTGACAGGAAGTGTTTCAAGTTTCAAGTACATCAGAAAAAATAAGAAACTACTTGACCCAACATAAGTTGCCCTGCTTATAAAAGGTCATTTAGAAACATTTAAAATCTAACCAAACACGGAGCTTTTAAACAACTACGAGTTTGCATCAGTGAACTTACTGGATATCTAGCTACAGGTGGGTTCAATTTCCTGTTATATCTCCGGCCATGACAAGACATAAACTGACAGGTTAGCAACAGTTACTAAGGGAGGCGGGGCTTAGTGTAGGGTCAGTTAAGCCTTGTGTTCATTAATGACTATTTTGTGAAGGTAGCGCCCTCGACTGCAGTTTCAGAACACTTCCCAGCAATGCTTACTGTTATTAGGTTACAATAGTTGTCTCAAGGCAAACCCGCATAAGTAATATTACTCAGTATATCCTGTTATCAATATTATTAAAACATTTCACAAAGAAAACGTAAATAAAATGTAAAAGGAATTGTGTCTTGGCATAAACAGGACCCTCAAAAATGAAAGTCAGATACGTTTCCTCTCCGCCATTTTTGCTGGCAAAGTTCAAATCAGAAGCCCCGCCCCTTCTTGATTTTCATTGGTCAGTGGGGGGATTGACATCGTTTAAGAAGGCTGATTTTCAACTGAGAAAGTTGTGAATGCTGCGACTAAAAACAGACAACGCTCAGTGTGTTTTTGCGTTTAAGATGCTGAGCACTGAAAATGATGAAAACTCTTAAAACTCTGAACAGCATCGGTTTGTAAGGATATGAGAACTGCAAACACAAAAAAATGCTGTTAGCGAACACAGGCCCTTACAGTGTAAATTCTGACTGAAGTTTAGATTCTATAAATTGAAAATGGGATGTTAATGTTATATTTCTTAGTCCACATGTTTCTCCATGTCTTTGAAGTTGTTTAGTTCAATTCTATCCACACAGGTTATTTTGTGCTGATTCCCTGATGCCGCCTCTCTTACCTCAGAGCTAGACTCATGTTTGGGGACTGAAACTTTAGAAACTGTAAATTGGGGAACAGGTGATGGGGCAGGACCACCAGTGTCCACCTGGATGAAGGAGATTTCTGTCGCTCTCTGAATCTGGAGTAACCAACACAAGAGCGTTACAACCTCAGGAAGATTAAAGTCCAGAAACAAAATCATTATCATTTATTCCAATTTGTAGAACAATTAATGACAAGTGATTAAGTCCAACTTTAACCTTTTAGAGAAATTATCTTAAAGCACTGGCAAATAATTTTTTTCAAGTTGTTTAAACTGTTAAGTGTTTATATTTGAACACAAGGGGGTGCACTATACACGAGTATTTATCTTAAATGTTTGATGTGGTTCTTGACCTAAGTTTTAAAGAAGGGACATGAAAGTGACAAAAAAGACTTGGGGTTTGTTGGGATAATCGTTGATGAAGCTGTGCCGTTTGTTGTGACAGATTTGGTAATATCTTCAGTGATACATGAAAAATTGTTTGCCAGTACAGAACAAAACAGTCTGAATTATTGTAAATCCTTCTGCATGTTGTTCCCCTGCTCCTGAGGCCTAGCTAACCTGAGGCAGTGGCATGGTTGGTTCAGTTGTAAACTCCTGAGCAGTGGTAAGCATTTGGCCAGCCTGCACTCCTGTTGTTGTCCAGGCGGTTTGATATTGTTGAGCAGTGGCCACGGCGGCGGCAGCCTGCATCCTAAACTCTGCCTCTACAGCCTCAGACTCGTCTTCAGCTTGACCGCCCTCTGCATGCACAGGCAGTCGGACCCGAGCCAGGTCGACGGCGGCCACCACTTTGGCCACCGCCCCAGCTCTTTTCCCTCCCTCAGCCTGGAGACACAACCAGCAGCACATAGATCTCAGGACATCCATGGCAGCACAGCACAGAAGCAGGGAGATGGACGGGAACTAATCTGTCTTTAACGTTTTAAGTACAAATTGGTTCCCCTATGACCTGTTAGCTCGGATCATACCAGGTCCCAGTCTGATGGCCTGTTAGCTAGGATCAGGACCAGGTCCCAGTCTGATGGCCTGTTAGCTAGGATCAGGACCAGGTCCCAGTTTGATGACCTGTTAGCTAGGATCAGTACCAGGTCCCAGTTTGATGACCGGTTAGCTAGGATCAGTATCAGGTCCCAGTTTGATGACCTATTAGCTAGGATCAGTACCAAGTCCCAGTTTGATGACCGGTTAGCTAGGATCAGTATCAGGTCCCAGTTTGATGACCTGTTAGCTAGGATCAGTACCAAGTCCCAGTTTGATGACCTGTTAGCTAGGATCAGTACCAGGTCCCAGTCTGATGGCCTGTTAGCTAGGATCAGTACCCCCCCCCCCCCCCATGCTAAGCTATGCTAACCACTACCTGACTCCAGATTTCCAGCAGACTTGAGGTTGCAACTTGGGCCCAATATCAAGTCACTGAATAGATTGTGTAATTAATATGAGGGAACACAATTCAACCATTGAGCCCAAACACTGTAATATAAATGTTAGGGCTTGAATTACTTATGTGACTTAATATTTGTGAACATTTTCCCGATTCACACCTCCCTGCCTCTGTGAAAGACACAAATCACTAAATGAGTATCTGCACATACACGCACAGACACACACCAAGATCACTGTGACAGTTTAGAGAAAGAAGATGCTGACAGGAAGCAGAAACTCTCATCCACCACCTGGTTTAAGTCCAACAAACAAAGTTATCTTAACACAATATCCAATTTAGACATAAAAGCATCATCACAGGATACAAGTGTGTGCGTGTGTGTGTTTATGTAACTCACAAACATTTCCATCAACGTGATAAAGACAACACATACTCATCTGTTTGACATGCAAGAGAAACGTTCTGAAATCAGAGGGAAGTCAACAAAGAGCCAAATGAACAGAAGTCAAAGTGCTGAAGGAGAGAACCACAAGTCAAAAAAGAAGAAGGTGTGACGTGTCGAGCTACCTGCTCGTGCTTCAAGGTGGACATCTTGGTTAAGATCACAGAAATAAACACGCTCACTGATCAACAGCTGGAGGAAAAAGGGATCCAGTTGTGGTGGTTCTGATAAATAGTTGTGGTCAAAGACGAAGAAGAGACCTTTAGAGAAACACTTCTGAGTCTTCATCGTCCTCAGATTGTGTCTCTAAGTGAAATTCAAAAGTGTTTCCAGACTCTGCACAGATGAAGACTTATTTAAAATGAAGTTGAGGATTTAGCCATCCACTTGAACTCATTCAGATCTTTGATGAATAGAGGATTCAGCATCTTGTGGTGATTGGAGGAACTGCAGTTTAACCTTTGGGTTTGTTTTGCCTTTGAAATGTCCATAGGTGTCAAAGGCAGGTGAATATTATACACAGGTGGACGGAGAAGAGTCTCAAGAATAATGCTGACTGGACAGTCCGAGTCTTCATAATGTTTAAAATATATTATTGCCTTAAATTATGGAATGAAAAGTTTTATTCTATGGCATGATAATGCTGTATGTGTTCAAACTACCGTTAAACCGTGTGGCTGTGTGTCATTAACGTGTGCTGAATGAGCCGTCAGCAGCTCTGTGTGCAGGGTAACATGTATGTACACCTATCATATGATCTCTGTAAAAACATGAAGAGTCTCAGGCAGCGTCTGCACAGAGCGTCTTTGTTTCTGTATTTTTTGGGTGGATTCCTAGAAGTGTATTCTTGCAGACAGCCGATGGAGCGATGTCCTCAGGAGGTTAACGTCACATTTCATGTAAAAATATGTTTATCATCTCTGCAGAATTACAAATCAGAGAAGAGACGTATAACAAAGTAAACTGGGAAAATCTCATCATCACCTTCTATCCTCCATGTTTTTCAAACTGCTCCATGAGCCACAAGATGGCGCTGTGGACCCCCTGACTCAAACAGGCGCTGACTCACCTCTTTGACATGTGCCTCCCAACGCTGCTCCAGGCCCGTCGGGGGGACGCCGGGGTCTCCCTGCTTCCATGGAGGCAGGACGTCGGCGCCAACTACCAGCTGTTTGCGTGTGGTGATCGGGGACTTGACTGGCCTGTAGGGGGAGACGGAGAGTCTTGAAGGGGGGTCATGTTATAGGCCTGTTATAGGCTTGTAGATGGCCGATCACACTGATGGAAACCCGTCACTCTCTAATGACCCCGAGACGTCTTTCTGCAAAAAAACTTCTACAAAATATCACTTCATCCGACTAACCTGACAGGTGTGGGCGTGGGCGCCTTCACATGTCTGACAGGTGATGGCGACTGTTGCCGTCCTCCAGTCACCTTGGCAACCAGTGATGGCTGAGTCGGGGACTTGGACGTGGGTTTGGGTGGAACTCTGGGTGGAGTCTTATGAGCCAGCTGCTGAGTCATATGCTCCACCTGCACCTCCATCATGGCGGAGGCCTGGAAACTGGTCTCCATTCTCTGAGGACAAAACACAGACACAGAGGAGAGGATGACGGGACACTGGAGGACAGAATTTAAATGATAACTGAAGGAGAGTCAGTTTGTCTCAAACCTTTTCCACTCTGGTCTGACGGGTCTGTGAAATCTGAGCGGTTGAAATCACGGTCTTTGTTTTCTTTGCTGGGACGGCTTCTTCACCTGAACACAGAAGATTTTGTTCAGTGAGAAAAAAAACAAAATCACATTCATGTTTACAGATTCATCTCAGAATCACTTTGTCCTCATGGTCACTGAAGCATCCAGAATCACAGCTGAAAGTCTGCTTCACTGACTGGTTCTTCTGCAGAGCCTGTTATAGACACTCAGACAGAACTTCTAATTAAATCTCTCACACACTCATTCCCTCCGCACTATAGAGGGAGTTATATGTAGTGGACTTTGAAGTGCACTCATTCAGCTCCATTAAGCTCCAAAAAATTAAAGATACGGCTCAGCTCATTTGCTGGCCGCCGATAGTGACACCATTCTTGTTGCACAACTAGAACGTGCAGCTTACCGTGGCTAGGATCAATATTAATGGTAAACAACGTCACTTTCTGCTTGCAAAAACCTTATAACCGCAACGCATGATGGTATATATTTCTTGGATAGTGACCATCAGTTGTACAATACTTTTCACAATGAGTGCACAATAAAAAGGGTGTGCACACTCAGAATTCAGACAGCTCTATAAGATGGTGCTACTATATAGTGAGCAGACTCAGCCTTTGACTGAGCGAGGCTCACAGTCTCCCCTCACTTTCTGTACGCTATGGCGGCCTGAGTAGTCATCAGTGACGAACGCAGCCAGGAGGTCGACGTGCTAAGCTAGGCTAAACACCTCATGGACTCCTTATGTCGGATAATCCAGTTGAAGCGTCTCACACATATAAATTATCTTTACACTTCAGTTTCTGTACGGCTCTCTACGTTATGAAAGCTAAAAATAGTTTGCCGTCCTCACCCTGAACCTGCAGCTCAGCGGTGGAGGTGGCTCGTCCGCTGCTGTTGGTGGCGGTCGCAGAATAAGTCCCAGAATCCTCTGGAAAAGCCTCAGCGATCAGCAGAGTGTACAGGTCTCCTTCTTGAAGGATTCTGAAGTCGGCTGAGCTCTGGATCTCGGCTCCCTCTCTGAAGAACTTCACCACAGGTGTTGGGATTCCTGTCACACGGACGTCCAGCCTCACCTGGCTGCCCTGTCTCACTGTGGAGCTCTGCAGTCTCTGGAGGAAGCTAGGGGGCGCTGTCTCGGCTGCAGAGAAAAGCATGGACACATTTCAATATGCCTTAAAGGTACCTCCTCTTTCTTTCAAGTTACCAAGAGCATTTTTCATAAATTCCAGTCATGGTTTAGACTCTGCAACAAGGACGTCATAGTCTTCTTTGGCTTGAAATTATAATGTTCGTATCATACTGGACACTTTTGGTGCATTATTCACCTGCATGACCCACCATTGCTCCATCTTATCCCCAATCGTTTGATTTGCTTTCTCTATTTTGACAATCAGCCTTAATTCTTTAATCCTTTCTATGCTGATGACACACAGGTATCAGCCCATTCTTTCTCTTAAATTTGGCAGCTTGGTGGTGGTGGTACTAATTCTTCAAACTATGACCCTGCAGGTAAACATCTAGTCTTGTATCTGCACTTTCTCTAATATGCCATCAAAGTCAGAAGGCAATTAATCTGGGGAGGTTGGACTTTCTCCCTGGGGTCAGGAGTTTTCATTACCTGTTGCTGATCTTAGTCTGACATCGCTCTCACCTGTAACGTTTCTGATCTAACTCTGACGTCACTCTCATCTGTAACGTCTCCGATCTAACTATGGTGTCGCTCTCACCTGTAACGTCTCCGATCTAAATCTGGCGTAGCTCTCACCTGTAACGTCTCTGATCTAAGTCTGGCGTAGCTCTCACCTGTAACGTCTTTGATCGAACTCTGACGTCGCTCTCACCTGTAACGTCTCTGATCTAAGTCTGACGTTGCTCTCACCTGTAACGAGGAGTTCAGCGGTGCTCGTTGCTTGTCCAGCTCCGTTGGTTGCTCTGACAGAAAATCTCCCACTGTGTGCGGCGGTCACAGCAGGGATCCTCAGAACAGCGCGGCTGTCGCTGAACGAGATTTGAATGCCGGGCAAAGCGGCGGCGGAAAGAACCTGGCCATCACGAAACCAGCTCACTTCAGGAACTGGAGAACCTACAGACGAGAGAAGAACCGGACGGGCCGGGTGTTAGAGAACAAAAAGTTTTCACGATAAACTCAGAACTCTGTTTGTTTTCATGTTTCCTGGAGTTCAAACAGCTGCTTAGTGAACACGTCTGATTGGCTGAATGGTTTCACCTGGATACAGGTAACATATCAGAATCAGTGCAGAAGTGTCTCAATAAAACAGGCTGGTCATTCAACAAGCAAAAATATAGACTCGTTAATGTAATCATGATTATTTAAGGTCTGAAATTAATGCATTAATTAGAAAACGCTGAGAGTACTTCACTTGCTGTGTGCTTTTATTTTGAAATTCAGTAAGGCCCTTCTGGTAGATGGAAGGTTAGGACAGGAAGTAAAGCCCAGAAACAGGAAGTGGGAAGGGACTTATAGAAGCATGCAATCAGAGGCGCTGCTTGTCAACATGCAAGGCAGGCAACTGCTAGGGGACCCAGGCCAGTAGGGGGCCCCCAAGGGCTGAAAAACTTTGAACCACAGCAGTGTCTCAAAAATGTGCTAAGTTAACAGTGACAGTAGGAAACCTCCTTATAGGGGCCCCGTCTGACAGCACTCACTCGTATACTAGTACATGACTGAATGTTGCTGATCCAGCTTTAAATATAAAGTGTCAGGGTCGTTATGTCTGCAAGCATTACGTTACGGTTTTTGTTCTTTGACCTTTTTTTTCGAACATTCATATTTTGAAATGACAAGGTTCTTAATGTTTTTTATATATTATATTGAAATATGAATACTGATGGTGAACTTATCAATTGTAATACCAATGTTTCATCATTAGCATAGAATTTATATGTATGCATGTATATGTTTATATTTTACTTGTATGTCGTTGTTTAGTACTCTGCTGTTTTTTAAAAATTTAGAACCTTTATCGCACTAAAGCTGACAGCTCGAGTTCTTTCTAAACAATCAGAATCTGAAGATGGACTATTTCAACTGAACATATCAAAGAATACAAATGAAAATAAGTAACCAGGTCAGACCTCTGCTGAAAGGATTAAAAAAAATGAAATAAAACAGAAAAATGAACGGAGGATTTCCTTACCACTAACTTGAGCCTCGAACGTCGCGGCACTACCCTCTAGTGCCACGACGCTCTGCAGCGGCTGTGTGAACGTTGGTGCTTGTGTTGACATGATGGCGGCGGCGGCACCCTGCACACAAACAGAGATAACACAGAGTTAAGAGGTTAGTCAGCACATTAAACAGCAGGAGGAGACACAGGGTCTGCTTTAGGAACAGGACAGAAAGAGGACGCTGCTGTCCCATGATCCCTCTCTCCTGAAATAGACGACCAAATGTCTCCGTCTGTCAACCACTGCCAGAGTGCTGCTTTACCGAGCCGTGAAACACGTCCTCTCATCATGACCGTATTCATATTTTAAAACCATCCCATCACTTAGAGAAACAACAGAATCAGGAATTATTTCACTCGACACACTCTTCAGCTCTTAGAGATGCAGATTAAAGACTCCCTAGAAGTCTATGATGAAATGTTATTCCCTCAGCAAACATTTCCCTAACAAGGTTATCTCCTCAGTCTGGAGTTTCAAGTCTTCTTCAAAACAGCATGATGTTCATTGAGTTGATTGTGGTCCCTTTCATGATTTGTCTATGTTTTAGTTTTGTCAAAGGAAGTGACCATATTTGGAGAGATGGGTGGAGCTGCCTCTCTCCTCTAAGGCTCCACCCACTTCGTCAAATATGGTCACTTTTGAATCCAAACATAAAGACGGCGATGATTTATGGAAATGATGATCTCATCTAGAGTCAAAGAGATCAGGCAGAGGGGGGAGGAGTCAGGGTGGGGCTACCTGTGATTGACCCATCATCTCCAACGTAACCTGAAAAAATCCCTTGTTCAGGTGTTCTTACAGACACAAAGACTTGGCACCCAAATAAATATCACAGCTCATTACAGCTACCGTTCGTTGATAACCTTTCTGTTAGTACAGAACACATCGCTCCTCCCAAGCTCCACCCTCTCGTCCAAATATCACGTCGCTCCAAAACGCAAAGATGGCTACGTTAAAAAAGGCCAAAATCAAAGCTGGCTGAAGCTTCCTATTCTTCTATCCAGTCTCTAAAACATCGACCACCATCACCACAACACCGTTCTTTCTTTAGCTTTCTCCAGCTAGTTAGCCGCCTCGGCAAAACCACATCCGAGCTTAAGAGGGGAAACGAGACGTCGAATCAACTGTTTCTTTTTTACAGTTTAGGAATCAGGCTGATGTTCATGGGGCAGAAAACGCTGAGGGGTCAACGTGTTTGATTTGAAACATCGTTGACTCATGTGGTTATTTTGGTCTCTAAAGCCGGGGATCTGATGTGTCCGGAGTTTGAGAGTGAGCATGAACGCAGCACAGGAGGAGCCACAATGATTTTGGATCTGTAGAACCACATATGGACCTTAAACGTGTTTCTTTGTGGCGTCTGAAACAACAGAGAGAAACTAAAATGTAAAACAAGCAACAGTATGTATCTGAACATCGACATCGCCACATGTTCTGGATCTGTTTGCATGTCTGAGCGGAGAAGAAGAAGCAGAAGAAGAAGATAAGGAAGAGGCTAACTGCTAAAGTTTGGATGCTCCTGTTCAGGTTTTTATTGGTGTTCAGATTTAAAGCGAGCTTAGAGATGAAGTGTCTGCTGCAGCTTCTCTCAGCAGGTTTGAGTCTCACTAACCAGAGCGCAGCTATAAATGTCAGTGGGCGGGGCCTGTTGGTGGGCAGAGGACGCTGACGGACAGCAGCAGCTGGAGGTCAGCCGCGTGTTGGAGTCATCATCAGGGAGCTGAATGAGCTTCATGTGCTGAGTTTTGTAACAAACCAACTCAAACTGAACGTGATGATTTCAAAATGCTGAAGTGAAAATCAGAAGACGAGGAAATAAAGACAATTATTTTATTTACAAAATAAAACAAAAAATCTGAGAAACATTAACGCGGACTGACCATCAATGATTCATAACCGTTAATTAATTAAACTCTGTTATGTGTGACCTTGCTGTGACCTCAGTATAAACGTGGAATAGACCAAGAGTCCCTCCCCCGAGCCCCCCCCCCTCCACCCCCCCCCGAGCCCCCCTCCTCCTTAAACCAGGTTCTAAATTTAGCCGACTCAGTTTAACAGCTCACAGCTGCTCAGAGCAACGATTCCTGAACGTGTCAGAGTTTATTTATGTTTTTGTTTATTTGTTTGTTTGTTTATCATAAATTACCAGCAGGGGGCAACCTAAGCGCGATGCAGGAACAGACGATAAAAACATGTTCAGCGTGAGACGGACGTTTTATTTGTTAACTAACGTTAATAATCGTTAAGGGGAGGTTAAGGGGCTTTAAACAGATTAATTAACCCCCCCTCCCCCCTTTACGTTAACACCATCCCTCTGATCCTGAATCTGAGACTTTGAACAGTAAACAGAAACATAAAAAATTTAAACACGAGGAGATACATTTAAACTTTCCCTGACAGACTTTTCTCAGACGAAAAGTTTGAAACATTTATTTCTTTTATTTTGAAAAAGTCTGAAAATGATTTAAAGAAAAATGAAAGTTTGTCTTCTTTTCAGCGGATCGATTATGTTTACTGAAAGCTTAAAATGTAAACGTTGACTTAAAGTCAAATACATTTTAAGATCAAATATTTGAGTGAAAATCAAATGATCAACATGTGGTCTCCACAGGCTTTTATTCTGAAAGGACTGTGCTTCCTCTGGATGATAAGGTGATATTTAAAAGTTTTTATAAAGTGGGCATCGTCATCGAGTGATTAAAGAGCTGGAGGTCAAAGGTCACATAATAACAGTAAATTAAATTATTTTTAAGTTTTATTTTTAAAGTTTTTACGTTAAAATTATTATTTACGGTTTTTAAAAAATAATCAAATCTAAACTTTATTTATTGTACATCACAGCATTCTTTATTTTCACATTAAACGGTTTAAACGACTTTGACTTTTTAAACTCTTTGAATGAAGTGACCTCATCGATGATGTCATCAGTGAGGCTGATCTGTGATTGGATGAACATGAACCTGATTATTAAACATTCCTTATCAAAAAGACTGAACATTAAAGACATTTATTTATTAACTGTGTCATCGACGTCAGCCTGCAAGAAACGTTTTCAACACGAATAAATAAATAAATAAGTAAATAAATAAATAATTATTATCAGGATCCATTGAACACTACACACGATGCCTGAAGCAGCAGAAATAACTTCTTAACTTAAATACCCGACAGGGAACAAAAACCTAAACATCAAAATATTCAGAAAACAAGATCAGGAAAATAAAAATCTAAAAGATCCTCAAAATGACATTTTATTCATGGTGATGTTGTTATAAATCAAACATATTATTATTAGGAATACAATCTCAGCTAAAGCAGCGGCAAGCAGGAAACAGCCGTGAACTCACTAAAGATAAAAGTGATTCATGAGATACTTCAAACCTCTGGAAGGTTTTTAAAGTTTTATTTCAAAATGAACTGTAATTATTTCAAACGTTTCCATTCTCACATATTTAAAGTCAGATTTTTTTTTGTGTTCCTTGAACACAGACAGTAGGATCAGGACAGCTGGGGTTTTTTTCAGCTCTGTCAGCTGATTGGAGGTGAGAAGTTTCTCACTGCAGACATCGACTGTCGACACGATCGAACACCGAGCAATAACAACCAATAACAACGTGAACCTCAGAAATCAGCCAACAGGACGGAACAAAGCGAACAAATCAGCTGATATTTACAGATCAGAATCAGAGCGACTGATATGGCAGTCGCCAAAAATACCCCCCCTCCCCTCCCCACCCTGACCCGGGGCGGTTTGATTGACAGCCACCATGTGGCACATAGCTGGAGGTGAAGTGATAGCCCTGCTGCTGATTCCCTTAAAAAGCCATCAGCCGCCCAGCTGACAGGCCTCTCGCATGCTATCAGCGGCTATTCTTGGCCTTCCTCGGATCACTGCAGTCTGCTGCATGAGGCTGCGTCCAAATCCAACCAGAAACAAGTCAAACTAACACAGAAACACCATGAAACGAACCAGAAACCTCCATCCGACCCATATCCCCGTAAACCACATTAGTCTGCTCAGTGTGCACATACGGGGAAGTTACTCACTTGTTTCCACAAGAGTGCCTCGGACTGATGGGACGGAGCCCAGCGGATTCAAACTAGTTTCCTTATGCAGAAAAGTGTTTCCAGAAAATCCAAGATGAGAACGGTCGAGCCTCCAAATATCCCCCCTCGAACAAAACAAAACTACACAGTGTGGCCGTGTAGTTTTGTTTTCCCTCCGTGCAATCCCTCCACCCGAGGCGAGGCTGGGAATGCTCCAACTGCTCAGGAGGGCCCACACGGCGCTGAACCTCTTTATACCAGGGGGGACAACCTGCATCACCACCCAAAGCAGCCTCCCCATTGGCTGCCGGGACACCCAGGGGGGCATGATGGGACATGGCAGCCATGTATGCCACCTCCACCCTGTTAGACCTCCGTCAGTGCAGAAGCAGCTTAGATTTGACGACAGCGATCGAAAGATTTAACATCTCATGTCAGAATGCCGGGGGAGAGAAAACAGATCAAAATCAGTGATTACATAGAAACAGAGAGGAAGTGGTTAATAGCTGCTGACCAAAAGGAGGCAGAGGCTGTCCCTGTCACTCAAACACACGACCCCCCCCCCCCCCTTCAAACCCACTCCCAACACACACCTCAGCAGCCTGCTGTTATAACACACACACTGTTTACACACTTCTTCTTTTTAGGGTTAGGGTAGGCATTTAATCATGATTTATGCAGCCTGTGTGTGTGTGTGTGTGTGTGTGTGTGTGTGTGTGTGTGTGTGTGTGTGTGTGTGTGTGTGTGTGTGTGTGTGTGTGTGTGTGTGTGTGTGCGTTTGTGTGTGTGTGTGTGTGTGTGTGTGTCTGTGTGTGTGTGTGTGTGTGTGTGTGTGTGTGTGTGTGTGTGTGTGTGTGTGTGTCATGCTTTGGTAACAAGGTTTGGTAACTGCCACTCAGCTGTCAATCATCCATCATCCGGTGATCTGATCTGCAGGAGGAAACAGGAAGTAAGAATCATTCTGACATCGATAAACTCTCGAGTCAAACGTCTTTATATTGAAATATTAAAAA